ACAAATACAAACTAGTTAAGTTTATGATTATTGACTTGAGGCAGATCCAGCGATACTAATAGTTCCTCTGCCCCCAACCTGCAAATTCGAGGTTCGGTGAACAACAACTCCCTTTTTCAAAATAGATGAGCCTTGACAAAGGCTGATTCATGCCCTTATTGGCTTGAATTACTAAGTAGAAGATGACAAACCTTGATATTGAGTGCTTAACGCTTGATAGAAGGCAATCAAGTCTAAGTTGACGTTGGAAAGGCTGCAAGCTATCTCAGAAAACCAAGGTTTAGGGAAAGAGATCCACACAGGTAACTGGAAAACTTTATTTCTTGCTTTTTTTCTCGCTTAGCGTTTTTCCTTTCATGCTTCCCGGAAAGTTGAACCAGTTATCTCGGATAATCGTTTGATATGGATAATAGCTTATCTTAGCTAGGTTCTTGCTCAGCAGGGTATTTCAAAATGGCTCTTCGACTCTTCGAAGAACATCTCGTACAGTTTGTCATTCCGGAATATTCGTTTTGCCTGCATCACCTCGCATTTTTCCACTTTTTCCACCCTAAGCAGTAATCTTCAGTAGTTAGTTTCAACGTCACAAGTCTTAATATTTGAGCTTCTTGCCTTTTGGGTAAATACTTATTAATATGTAGTTCTCACCACAGAATAGATTTATTGAAAGTAAATAATCCGAATTCTCAAATGTTTCAACGTGTTTGCATATCAGACACATCCGTTTTAGACAAGGCGCTCCATCTCAATCGATTCGAAAACAGTTTCCAGTTTCCCTTTCAATATTGTTCTAAAACATATGAAATTTATAAGTAATATGAGACATTCAAAGTCAATGCGGAGACATTAGAAAAACAAATTAGAGAAAGAATTAATGTTCTTTGTCTGTGTTCAGCAAGTTGTGTTTTGTTCAGTAAGAGTGTTTTATATCACCTGTAAACACGGCCGTTTTTTTAAGTTTTTTCGTTGTTAATTTGAAGAAATTGAGCAAAACAGGAGCTGGAAGGCTTTGGGAATTCGAAAATCGAGCAAAACAAGAGTTCATTTTCTCATTCAGTCTACGTATCCCCTAAAGCGGAGTCATGCACTAGTGGCTTGAGTGGATGGAAAATAAAGGGGTCTTTTGGTCAAGCCGCATCTGTCATCTCAATAAAACACTCCCGTATATCAAAAACTTCAAAGGACTGTGTGTTTGATTTAATTCACGACTGACTAGTTTTTCCTGTACTTTGAGTTTCTCGTCTAAGGAGAGATCTCCTTATAGTTATAATATATTTTGGCCTTCCAATTGATCCATTGTGCAAATTGAAAGGAGATTCACAGTTTTAACCCTTTAAGAGAGGTTGTCAGAAATTTTCAAGAATCCGGCGACAGAAGCAAAAATTCAACTTTTTTTTTTCATTTGCTCCAAAAGACCCTTATATTGAATTGTTTTCAAAAATAATATTCCAAAGTTACAGCGAGTTTTTATTTTGGCAAAAATACGAAAGTTCGAAATCGGCCAAAACGTACCAAATTTGCATAATTTCTATCTGGCTTTCAGTGCATTTTCACAACACTCGTACAAGACAACGAAAAATTATCTTGGATTCATTTTTTTATAAGTTATGTTTCATCCCTTGGAGTAGCTTTGCAACTATATTTCATCTCCAACTGAACTTTTTTTCGTTTGTAACCACCCGCGTAAAGTACACTATATTTTCTACTCCGTTTGTACGCTGAATTTTGCCATACTTCAGACGACCATCGGGGGTATACGAATGTACATAAAATGAAAGAGCTTCTTTCAACGAACAACTCTTCGTGTTTATCGTGTGAAAATATTATCCTTGGCCCGAGAAAAGCGAGCGCGCCAGACCAAAATATATAGCGTGCATTTTCACGGAGTTCGGCCATTTTCTTGCTATACTCCTACTGCAAATCATACGCTATTCGGGCAAAACTCGACGTGTTTGGTCTCTACTTCTGTTTTGATTCATTTAAATATATCGATTTTAACTTTAAACTTACCCTACCTTTATTGTTAAGTGAACAAACCTCCGTTTTAGGTAAAGTTTTTAAGTTTATTTTCCTCGAGTGCTAAATAAACAAATCGCTGTTTACAAAGATACCAGCTCTGTCGACGTGTTTCTAGCTGAAATTGGCCTGTCGCTTATATTGCTCTTTAATTTACAATCTATCCCACTGGCATAACATTGGAGTAAATTACATGTAACTATAAATGTTGTTGTAAATACGTGAGCGTGAGCTAAATAAAATCTTCGCACACATAAAATATTCGAAACATGTAGTTGTCGCAAGAAAATACTCCTTTAAAGGTCTTAATGGACCGCCACGTTGTCCAAACGAAGCCAAGTTTTTATCTGAGACATACCAAGGCTGGGGTACTCTTGAATTTGGGAGTTTTCTTCTTAGTCTCAGTGCTAGATACCACACACAAAATAACAAAATGGAAAGATAAATAAAAGGAAAAAGTTTAAAGGAATATGAGGAGAAGAAGGAAAATTTGTTACCTACCAATGTTTCTTGAAGATTCGCTTTCCAAGATCCCGTATCTGTTTGTACGCAGGCTTATTCTAACAGCTCTCAGTTTTACGTTTACGGTTAAAACAATCGACTGAAGAAAGTTTGAAAGAGGTTTTAAAGAAATTACTTTTTTGAGCATTATTTAATTATCCAGGTCCCTGACATTCAGTTTCATTAAATTTTTCCATGCATGTTGATGTACAAAACACAATGGAGTTTTGATGTTATGGCACATTTTTCGCTCGCTTTCCAGCAATTGTGTCAAGTCTACCGTCATCCTTTGTTATTTGGCATTGCTACTATAGTATTGTAGTCAAAATGTTAGCTTTTTATGTCTCAGAGTTGATCAACATCTCAACTCTTCCATGTGATTCCAATCTTGTACATAGGTCATGAGAATAGATTGTTTTATCTGTCGTTGGCTGCTAACTTCACCTAACACAAAATCCTCCTGTGTAATTTATAAGGAAATGTATAGCAGTAAGAGGGGGGTGCAACTAATTGGATCTTGGGAGTTAAAGACTTACCTTCTTTTTAACATAAAGTTACGACTGTTTACTCAGAGGCGTTGAAATTGACATAGTTTAGAGATTCATCAATTTCTACTCATAGGCCTTAACATCGAAGACATATCTTTTGATCGAGACGAACGAGACTTAGAGACTGTCCCTAGTTTCTTATTGCACTGTCGCCTATGGAATTGTTACAAGTTCAAACAATTACAAATAAGCGGCGTTTTCACTCAACATAGGAGGCCGACTTTTTAAAGCAATATTTGAACAATGTGAAACAAAGAAATTCAACTAACGTGAATTTATCTCCAAGTGTTGCAAAGTAGTTCTAGGAGCCAATGCACCGTTAAAAAGATAAAAAGTTACTGAATACCTTTTTGTGGAATTTTATCTTTTACAAAGTTGTTATTAGTTCCTACGGAAAAACATATTATTTTGCTAGTCTGTCAGCAATGAAAGGTGAACCCCCCGATACGTGGGGTTGCAGTTGTTTGGAATGTAGGACTAATTGATAGTTTTGTTTCCAGTTAAAAAGTTGAATACACTCCAAAAGCCTTCATTATTAATCCGACTGCGCTGGAAGAATCAGAAAGGTAAGATTTCATTGCTTCCTTCGAAGTAGTTATGTCCGATGTTGTATGTTGAGTAAATTTTGTTTGGGAAGATTCAATATACAAAGGGTGACTTTGTAACCGAGAGAAGCTAAAAGGGTTACATGTCAAATTAAGGTCTGGATGATATTTTTCATAATGAAGCAAGAATATTGGAAGTACTCTCGCCAAAGCAAGATGTAAAATAAAATCGTTGGATAAGTCAACACAATTTTAATAAATATAATTTAATTTAAATTTCGTCGCTAATCGTTCAAAAACATTTGAGTCGCAGTTTCATATTAAAGTTTTACCCCTCAGTTTTTAAAAGAAATGAACAGATGTGGTTTATTCAAGAGACAAAAGCTCAAAAGTACAAAGTCTGAATATAAAGAAAAATTCCATAAAATGGAACTCAGCAGTATGAAAACCAACACGAATAAAATAATCTGTACCATGAAATTTATAATTTAGAGATTCAGCAAAAGATCAATCGACGGGTCACTCTTGTGTGAAATTAAACGAGCTACGTGGCATTGGTGATTTGTTGACCAGTTCGAAGCCTTACAGCTGGAGGGCGAGTACACTGAAAAGTGCACAGAATAGGAATTTTTTTTCTTTTTTTATTTAAGTTAAACTGCATGAACATGCACGGGCCTTGCATTGGTATCTAATGAACTAAGAAGACTCACCCTTAACTGCTCGTTCAGGGGCAGCAATTTGGTTTCATTCTTTTCCTTTGTGACTTAAAAAAAAAAACAATATTTTGTTTTACTCTCCATCCGCAGGATCAAGAATTGATTCTACATGGCTATTAAGTTTAAAAATGATATCAACAGAAAGCGGTTTTGTAGTACAGTGATTTTATGATTTCCTTTCATTTTCCCACAGATGCCAACCGCAGGCAAGGACATTATTGGCTTGTGGCTTATCGTATTGGTTGCAGTGAATCTTCCCCAAGGTAAATAACGTTATATTCCATTCCACTACCAAAATAAATTCCTCTCATCTCTGCTGATAAAAAATACGGTATTATCAATTGCCAGAATTCTATACGTGGAACGAACAAAAATTCTCCTTAATTCCCAAAACTGGTTTCTTGGCTCAGTTGTCAGAAGCGCTCAACCAACCGGCATATGTAGCCACTGGTTCTATACTCGTCGAAGCTTTCTTCTGCAATGACGTTCGATTCACTTCAGTTAACCAGCTGTAAAGAACACATCTTTCCTTTCCATGTGAGAGATACTAGGCTTTCATGTATTCCGGGTTTATAGCCCTGAATTGAAAGAAATTTTTGGTAAAGTATGCTCGGCAAAGAGATTGATTTCTTACAGGTCACTAGATTCAAAGGCTCACCAAAGATGAGTTTTTAATGCATTTTTCTCTTTGTTTAGCCGCTTCATCCGATTGTGAGAATCCTCCATTAGACATATCTATCGTGATCGATCAAACAAAGAGCGTAGGAGCGGACAACTATGACGCCATGTTGGATTCGGTCATGGCACTCATTTCGCAGTATGATGTCGGTGAAGACAAGACACACTTCTCCATCGTAACTTATGCAAAAGATGCACAAGTTCGTGTCAGCTTTGACGACCCAAAATATCAAAATAAAGCGGCTCTTCGTGCACTCATTGAAGAAATGAAGGAGAAGGACAAGTTGGGGAATCCGACGAGGACTGACAACGCTTTGAAAGTGGTCGGCGAGGACGTGTTCAACGAAAAGAATGGAGATCGACCGGAATCACCAAACGTCATGATCATCTTCACTGACGGAGGAACGCATAAGAGTTCCGAACCCTACAGTGCCGTGCTACCAACTCTTGAGGTGAGACCGTAAAATAGACAGTCTAAATCTCATCAGTTCGGGGAAATAAAAGAAACACTATATCGACACAAATGCAAATAATGACGAACGGTGTTGGAGAGCGGCTCATTGAATTTTTTTGTTTGCAGCGCCCCAAATCAATTTAAAATTATTTAAAAAAAAAGTGTTATTGAATATTCATTTACTTTTTCAATTGCTTGTTCATTGCTTGCTTTTTGCAAGCGCTATGGCAAGGTCAAAATATCATGTCGTAGCTTCTCAATAGTTAAAAAGTAGTGATTTCTCGACTGCCGATTGTTTACGTCTCTCCGATAAGATACCAAGGTACTTTCTTTGTTAATCGTTTTCATCAACATTAACAAATGATAAAGTGACTTGTAGAGAAATTGTTCTTCTCGAGCTAACAGCAATTTACACGTGTAACTGGTCTAAAAATGAAAAAAATAAAACCTCAGCGAGCACTAAAGCCTTGCATTCCAAGTACTGGGTCGGTGCTTTCATCAACTAAGCAACGAGGCCACGTCATGCTGGGTGTAAGGCAAATTTAGTTGGATTTTTGATTCCCATAAAAAAAAGAAACCTGGTCACGTTATTGTAGACGCCGTTCGATGGAAAGGCTTAAGTTGCAGTTTATCATTTAAGATCAACTCATTGCTGGTCAGAATTTTTCACTTTGCAGATACTATGGCAAACGCTATCATGCTTCTCATTTCTGTCCCACGTCAATTTGTCACCTTGTAATCACACATATAACGGCTAAAAAGCAACTAATATAAAGAGAGGCGAAAAATAAGGCTCACAATTGCAATCTCTCCACGCAGGAAAAAGGAGTACAGCGAGTGGCTGTGGGGATTGGTAAAAAAATTAAGCAGGCAGAGCTTATAACTATTGCTGGAGACGAGAATCGAGTCGTTAATGCCAAAAATTTCGAAGACTTGAACAACCAGTTGGACGATATTCGCGAAGCTACTTGCAGTAAGTATCATCTTCCTTCAATTAAAGAAAGATTAGTTGACTTTAATTCTTCGTTTTCTGTCTGCTTTTACTGCTACATCCTATATATTGACGAAAAGACGAATTATGATGTTGAGGATGTAGTTTTTGGAGACATCACGCCACCGAGAAACTATTCGGTTTCATCCTAACTTTCCTTGGGAGAGTAGCGACAACTAAATTGTGTTTACTAGATTATTTGCCAAAGGACTATCTCATGATAGTTCAGTAAAGGTTAAGTTTGTCCTCGAGCCCAATGGCCCACCATGGCCAGCCGGAGCTTTTCCCAGTTTGCTCGGTATGACATCATCAGGAGTGACCCAATCCCTCCTTGGATGGCATTCTAGTTCATCGTAGGGTTACCTCCAGCATTTTATCAGGCATCCCTGACAATTCAGTGCTACTCATTTATACTCCTGGGTGAAGAGGGGTGCTGTCAGGGTAAAGAGTTTTACCGGCGAGGTCTCGAACCCAGACCTCTCGACCTGCCGCTGGAATTCAGCGCACTAGTCACCAGGCCACCGCGTGTCCTGCGCTCTTTATGTAATTAATAAAATGATTCCTTAAGCAGGAGATGACTGAGAAATTCACAAATAATTTTAATGTTTGATTGCTGCTGTATTTTTAGACATTGATGGAGGATACACTGAGTGGTCCGAGTGGAGCGAATGTACAGCAACTTGTGGTGGGGGAAGTCGTTCTCATTCGAGAACCTGCACCAACCCGTCACCAAAAAATAAAGGAAAAACTTGCATTGAACAGGATCTGGGTCCTAATATGGAATCTGAAGAATGTAACACCCAAGACTGTCGTTAGTATAATGCATTCACTTCTCTACATTTACTTCTCTTGTTCTTAAATATCATAACCAAACTATGCATAGCGAGTATGCTATTAATACTTGCATGCAACACTTTGGTAAAAGGAAAATTTAATTGTTACAAAAGAAGTTTCTCTATTTTTATGTCGGAAGTTGAAGTAGCAATTATGCGAACTATGTTTACGTCAGGTAACGTTTAATGAACAGAAACATGTCCACTTTTAGATGGAAATCCAATAAAGGCGGGGCCAACATGTATTTCTAGATAGAATTATTCCACCCACTTTTGAGAGCTGTAGGTGCCTGATCAATAAGGTCTTGACTAGCATTACGCGTTTGAACACATTACTTTTCTCAGCCATACCTGGTGGTTACACTGATTGGTCCGAATGGGGAGAATGTAGCGTGACATGTGGTGGAGGAGTTCAGACACGAAAACGGACTTGTACCAATCCCCCGCCGTCTGGTGGTGGGCCAACATGTATTGAGCAAAATCTGGGGCCAGCAGAGGAACAAAAGGAATGCAACTCACAAGATTGCGGTGAGTCAGCTTGAGACGTAGTAGAGTTATAGTTACACCCGCAGGGCTTTATTTCGAAAAGAATTCTCAAGCATAACCTTTAACGATTTAAATTCCTTTTGTGTAAAACATTTTCGATAATCCTTCGAAAATCAAAAACGTGGTATGGCAAAGACTTCGACCCATCGAAGGAAACTTTAGAAAGAATGGATTCATAAGAAGTTCAAGATTGTGAACGAGTGAGGTATTCGAAGATGTACATTACAGAACCTTTTCTTTACATCAACAATTTCGTTTTATTCGATGGGTGTTGAACAAAAATTTTGGATCAACACTAATGACAAAGAAATGCGACACAGAGCGTTGTGATGTGAGTTGTTCGGTGGGAAGGGTGAGTAAAATTATTAGCTTTGTCATAACTTTCATTGTTTCACTGTGTGACAAATGAATGTAAAAACAAAAAGGAAGGTAATACTCTATCTGAATGATTTTTCTGGTATATTATGAAGGACTCAGGAGAATAGGTTTTCCTTGGATGGGAGATTGTGGCACCCTCAACACCACCAGACTGTATGTTACGATACGTATTATTATTATTGTTATTATTATTATTATTATTATCATCTCCATCATCTTGGTTTGTGCACGCATAACCATTTAATGTCTAATTTTGTACAGGTGAAGATGGCAACTGGTCTCCCTGGGGTGCCCCTGGTCCTTGTGATAAGACCTGTGGGGGAGGTACTCGAGTGAGAAAAAGAACATGCACCGACCCACTTCCATCTGGGGACGGTAAAGATTGTGCAGGAAGCAGTACAAAAGATGAGCCGTGCAACACACAAGCATGTATGTTCTTGTTCAAAAGCATTTGTACATCTTCGTCATGTCGAAGTGCAGATTAATGTTTATCGCAAGAGGAGCGAAAATTCAAATATAGGATAGTTCTTAAAGGCATTTCTCTGTTAGGCCTCGAATGGCGCCACTGCAAGCGGTAACATGTCACTTCCCATGAATACGTCGTATGTCGACTATGAAATGTGTAACCCACGATAGCATTCACTCCGAATGCTTCGTTCTTCAATTTCTTTCAGTCCGTCACTTTTTGGCGTGGACTTGAAACTTACTCAATCCTCCATAAAAACTAAACTCAATAAAATTTTGGATCGAATCAAATCTAAAGAATATTTAAACCTTAATTAATCTTAGCAGTTCTGCGTCAACCCTACTGACAATGTCAATCTTGAAGTTAGGAGACACCCCGCAAGGAGATGCAAATGATCGGCTTCTTGATGCCCTGGACTTCGGATAGAGCCTTGTCCAGGTCATTATTCTGTGTTAAGAAAGACAATTTATTCCCACAAATCAACTCACCAGCTCGAAGGGTATCATTAAACTGCCGCATAAACATGAGAGGGAGGGGGGGCAGTGGGGAGCGTTACAATGGACTGAGATCCCTTCCTCCTTAAAACTGACACAGGGATAAACTCCTACGTGATGGCCCCCCTGGTTCCAAAGCTGTTTTTTTTTTTCTTTTATCCTTATCTTAATGGCACGCCTACTTCCAGGGCTGACTTTTTCTTCATCTTTAACCTTTTATCATCAAGGCCCAACTTCACCTCCACCTCCACCTCCACCTCCACCTCCACCTCCACCTCCACCTCCACCTCCACCTCCACCTCCACCCAAACCTTGCAAGGAACATCTCGACGTTGGTGTCATAGTCGATTCCTCCAACAGCATCAGTTCCGTTGATTACAATAGAGCACGTGATTACTTAGTTCGACTGGCTCAAAGACTAGAGGTTTCCGAAGCCGGAACACATATGGCGATCCTTCTCTACAGTTGGGAAGCACATCTCTGGCACAGGTCTGTACATTCATGTCATACATAAGGAACGTCTAAGTTTGGAGATGAGGCTGAACTTTCCAATTTTTTTTGTGAGGGGAGGAAGGAAGGTGGGAGGGGGGTAAGGTTAAATGGGACGTAAGCCTGTGAAATGTTCTTGACATTTAAAGTCGGTAGAGGTTACAATTAAATCAATGCATTTTTAAATATAAACTAATAAATTATTTATAGCTTTGTATCCTGAAGATTTCAGTAATTTCGTAGTTACAGACAACAATTTGAGTTTTTTTCATTGCATCATGAATATCTTATACTCTTACACTTGATCCCAAAGACTTGCACAACTATCTTCCTTCAATTATTTTCTCCCATCAATGCTTTTCAGATTTACCGATCCGCAAAATATTGATGCACTAACAGCCAAAGCCAGAAGCTTGCCGCATATTCGAGGTGGAACAAGAACAGACAGAGCTCTAGAACTAGCTGCGGAGGAGTTTTTTGGTTGGGACAATAGTGGAGACAGACCCGATAAACCAAATGTGCTACTTGTTCTGACTGATGGTGACACAAACGAAGGGAGTAAGCCATTCAGTCAAGTTATTCCTCCTTTGAATGTGAGTTATCTTTCAAATAGCAGATCGAAATACTTAGATAGACTCGAGAAACTGACCATGTAAGCTCTTAAAAATACTTAATCTCCGACTAAAATTCTTCTTAGGTTAAGACTGATATATTAATCTCTTTCTGTGCAGAGAGTCCTCAGATTTCACACCCCAGCGCTATCTTCCTATCTAATTTTGCAGGATGCAAGCGTAAGGAGAATTGCTGTCGGAATTGGAAGTGGAATAGATATCTCGGAGCTTCAACAAATTGCTAGCGCCAATCATGATGTATTACAGGTTTATGGGTACCAGCAGTTAATCCCCAAACTAGAGTCCATAATGACCAAAGCTTGTGAAGATCAATTTCCAGGTAGTTTGACATGAATATAGCATTGTTAGAAACTGTCAACACTGGGTTAAAATTTGGCCCTTTGTGATACTACTGTTTGTATGCAGTCTGTTCGATTCTACAAGGACTGTTCAACCCATCAAGTGTTCAGGCTTAAATCAGGTTCTTCCAGGTTGTTCTGCCATTTTCTCGCTGCTTCCAGTTACCTTCTGCATGCAGTGTTCTTCCGAGTCAGGTTTCTTTTCATTGTGTCTTTCAATTATAGCCTTGCCTCTGTGATAACTTCTACAAAATAAAATTTTTTGAGCAAAAAATGCAATTTAGGTGTGTACGCTTATTTCAGGTGTATACGACGAAAACTAGTACAAGGCTTCTAGAATAATGACTACGATGATCTGATCGTAAATAATCGTTGTGTCATAGCTACATGAATGATGTATATAAGTAGGACACACGCGTTAAGTTTCCCATTAAATCAGCATTTCCATCATTTCTTTCAGACCCCTTTTTCATTTTACTTTTGTTTGATTGTAATTAGGTGATTGTGGTGAGTGGGGATCTTTTGAAGGCTGCAGTAAGAATTGTGGTGGCGGAGCGCAGGTTCGTACCAGAAGTTGTCCTCCTAAAAGTCAACATTTAACGAAACAAAGGAAGCATTGCAACACAAACCTTTGTCCAGGACAAGGTAAATACTAATTATTAGTTTAATCGATCGTTATCATATTTGCTACTGTTCAACGAGGATCGTTATCTTGCACGATCAGCGGATGGTTAACGACAATTTACCGAAGTGGAGGTGGCTAGTGGTGAATATTTACCGAGCGGCGAAGCGGTGAAGCAGCGAGGTAAACATCCACTGCGAGCTACCCGAGGTGAATCGTTTTTTAGTGTATACTAAAACAGTGAGTTAATACAGCTCGAAAAGATTATCTTGAATCATCTATTCTTGTAACGATTACAATATTTTCGGGTACAAATCCCACGCGCGTTGCTCGGAGGTGAATCGCAAGAGATTTTCGTAGTTTTAGTAGCCAATCAGAACGCGCTTTCGACGCTATCCACTGTTTTAGTTTATAGTAACTAATGATAAGGGATTTATTTCATAATCAAATATGCAGTTTTTAAAACTGACTACGTCAAATGGATGCTTCACTGAATAGAACACAGTTCAAAAGTTCTGCCAAAAACTGTTTAACATTTGTTCCGCTGAGGTCCAAACTCGGATTGATGTTAGCCTCTTTCAAACGACTTGGCTGTAGTATTGTGATAGTAGCGGTAATAATAATAGTAGTAATAGCGGAAGGTAAAACTTTAGTGACAATACTTTATTAATTCATTACTCTTTAGAGCCCTGTGAAGACCTTGCAGGCGATTGTGCAGTCAGAGCTGCTAAAGGAGACTGCTGGAGGACCGCTAATGTACCTTCCAGTCAACGCTTGCTCTACGTTGGCAGGACGTTTCCTTTGTGGAACACTTGTCCAAAAAGCTGCAGACGATGCAATGGTATAAGTACAAAGGCGAAGATTGGCCTTTCTCAGTCAACAATTATTTTCTTTATAGTCTTCTTTTTTCATATTATAATTTTCATTCTTCATATTTATCCTTCTCTTTGTCTTCCTTCCCCTTGATATTTTATGAGTATTTTACTTTGCATCTTCTTCTTCCTTTTGTTTTTCTTGTTCGCCTCCTTGCCATTCTTTTATTTTTATTCTTTAACTTCTTCCTTTTTTCTCTCTTTTTACGGATTGCCTTCCATGATATTCTACACGTATTTTACTTCCTTTTAGTTGATACCTCTTGTCAAGATGACGATCCCTATGTTTGTCCTTGGTGGTCAGTAGCTAATGACAATAGGTGGAAATGCCGCTTTGCATGGCGACAAGGCTGGACTCAGTACTCTCTAACAAGTGAGCAGTAAAGTCGTTGATATAGAAAATGCTCCCAGAAGATGTACATCTTCAGGAAGCTGAGAAATGTTCCGACTGCTTGAGATCAAGGCATTAATTTTTATTTTAAAATAGAAATATCGGAAGGGATTGGTTTGTTTTGCTTTACTTCGTTTTATGATTGGTCCATAAAACTCGCGCCACTCACATACGCTTGAAGTGGTTGAGTGTTTTTTACGTTTAGTTCTTTTTACCTTTTGACTGCTCGTGATATTTCCGTTTCATCTGATTTGCCGTTTTTTACGCTGGTTCTTGAGAAACAACGACGTGACGAAGTGAATGCGTGCAGTGAAGACAACATCTTTCCAAGTCATTAGGTGCTCACCAGCAACTTGAACAACTGATATAGTAATTATGATTAATGACGAGTTCACATTCTGGCGAACCCGATTTAAAATTCTAGTCAATAATGATCGGGTTTATTATCTATTATCTAAGTGAATCCCTTAAAACAGTTGGCCGATAATGTAAACAGACAACGGGAAGTAACTTCTCTATTAGAGCAATAAGGTACGTCTTCTATCGTTTTTTAATTAAAAATTGCCCGCTCGGAACCTGAACCTCCTGAGAAGCTGATAACGAAAGAATAGTTTTTGTCTGTCTCACTTGATTTTGAAAAATACCCCATGAAGTGAAGTGTGTGTTATCACTATAATTTCGTTTCTCTTCATCCTTTAGACTATTGCAAGAAAAGTTGTGGCAAATGCAGCGGAGGAGGCGGAGGAGGAGGAGGAGGAGGAGGAGGAGGAGGAGGAGGAGGAGGAGGAGGAGGAGGAGGAGGAGGAGGAGGAGGTAGCCATATCATATCAGCCGGTCGTTCAACAGCATAACCTAACTATCCGCTCGACATCCTTTTTTCATGAATTCGGAAAACGTTGTTTTCATTCTGCTCCTATGTCCCAATAGAGCTCTGATACTGGCCAGTATCACCTCATTTGATATTGCAACCTCTTCAAAGAAATTTAGAAATAGATCTCATGCTTAATTGATGGTACGGGGCTAACAGGAATTTCTAGATGAAATAATTTAATCGACCCATAAAATCTGTTGAAAACGAAGTAATTATCCCTTTCTTGGGCTGGCTTGATTAACAAGGCTTCTAATTAAATGACACACTAGGTGGTTATACTGATTGGACTGAACAAATCATGACAGGTAGGGGGAGGGGTTCAGACACGAAAACGGACATGTACCAATCCTCCACCCTCTGGCGATGGGCCAACACGTCTTGAGCAAAAATTTAGGCCCGCTAAGAATCGAAAGAGTTGATGTGAGACGTAGTAAAGTTATGGTCAGCCCTTCTTCTTAACGTTTGGGGTTCTTTCAATTGCAATCTTTTAGCATGTCAGGATTTCAACGTCTATTACTGTCGGATTAAGGTTAAATGGCCAGGCTGCGGCAATTATTTTGTGAGAGGTAAGCAGTGTGACTTTTATTTGAGTCATCCATCTTATTAAGGATGAATTGCTTATTGCAGTTTATAAGTAGCCTGGCCAAGAAGAAGCATATAGCTTCTTGAGGAAAAAATCCATATCGAACATCACTGTCATCGAATTTAAAGCTGTAAAGCTCTTTGTGCGTTTCAAGTGCGAGAGAAAAGGCTGGGTGCGGTTGCTTAAACCACTGCAATTTATTAAGGCGTTAATACTTCACCATGTTTAAGATAAAGCCTGCTCCAGTGTTATAACCTTACGTCAAGCGCCAACAGCGAAAGGCTTCAGTCGCATTCATTTCCTGCTGAAATCTCACTGACTTACATAAAAGTCAAATCTTTTTCTTGCATATTACCAGAAAAGCACTCGCCTCGGACATGGGATCTGAACCCGGCTAGTAAAAAAAGACTGACGTTAAGTCGTCAGAGATGTTGGAAATTGTAAATTACGCTGGGACAGTTATTACTTAAGAGACGAGTGTAACAAGACAAGGTATACCTGCTCCGAAAAGAAATTCGTCGGGTGTTTAATGCTTTCCATACTTCGAACAGCCACACTGATGGAGATATTTCAATCAAGTTTACCTCGTTTTGTCTTATCTAGCATCACTTCACTCGTCTTATTTGATGATGAACATGATCATTTTGTCTTATTTCAAAGATTGATCAGTTACTCAACCATTTATTTTTTCAGCCAAATGCAAGAAGAGTTGTGGCCTTTGCAGCGGAGGTTAATATTCTTTCCTCTCTTTTAGAATCCTAGAGTTTTATGATATGCACTAAAGAGTAGAGATCGCCTTGCAATAACTGTTCGTTCAATCTCAGACAATTTATTGATATTTATGTGTGGGAGGAGAATTTCTTTGACTATCTTGTCTTCAATGTCCAGCTCTCTTACTCTTTGTTTTATGCCTCCAAGGGTTTAAATCCGTGAGAATGACTGCCAACTAATTCCTCCTCAGAGTACCACCTCTGAATCAACATTAAAGTCGCTAGAGTAAAGGAGATGATCGATAACTGAAGAGGTTCTTGAACGTTTTACAGATCAAATGCTCCTTGTTCATACAATAAAAATAGAGTTGAGAAAAATGTGGAGAATATGCCTCCTGATGTTAGCGTGTTAAGGGTTAAACTATCACGAAAACGAAGAGGGATGTGTGCAGCTACACACCTAATTACGTGTCTGTGCGTTGTTCCTTTCAATTGCATACCGTATTCAGATTGGGTAAAATTTCTCATACACGCAAGAAAAAACCATCGTGTTATTCTTCCTTTCATACAGGGAATGGAGGAGGCGGTGGCTTCGGTGGCTACGGTGGCTACGGTGGCTACGGTGGCTATGGTGGCCGCCCTAGCTGGGGACGTCGATAAAAACGTGGCCCTAACCTAAGGTGATTTTACAGTGTTTATTTAATCACAATGACCTGTAGCCAATAAGGGGTTCTGTCTTCAGATCCTATCACATTCACTTTACAGTGGTGCAAAAGGTAAAATCTTCGATTGCCATTGATTCCCCGCATCTGGGGCTAGTCGCAGAATACAACTGTCAAACGATCAAGGAAGGTGTCTAATGACAGTTTTCTTTTTCTACTTCTTATTGTTAATATACTTCTGCTAAAAATGTTGACCAAAATTTACTGACTCCGTTTTTCCGATGTTTCTGATTTGGTTTTTTAATTTTTAGGTTTCTGGTTTTCCAATAATTATTTCGATGGCTGAAAAATGGAGAACGAATGGAATAGGTGATACGTCATGGCTCAGTATTGTAGGCAGGGATAGCAAATAAACACTGAAATTAAGAGTGTGCTGGCTGTAATCTCTGGATGCTCACCATTTAAGCTCTGGGCCTGATTTTCCCCAATATAAACTTATACATAAAAATTAATTGGGCATTCCAAACTTATTCGGCTTATTTTTTAACAACGTCAACAACCACTAAATAGTCGAAGTTTCAATTTTCGTGCCTCAACGCGCGTTCATCGTCACCTGATCAGTAATTTGTTCATTAATTAATATAGACATGTGTTTAAAAAGGGCTTATCCTTAAAAACCAAAACTTCTTAAAAGTATCACTTTTCTTAATTAAAAGCATCGTTCTTAACAATCACTAAACAATTCAAAATTCCTTGAAATTGCCAACCCACCTAAGCTCTCCCTAAGATTTACATTTTCAAGTTTCCCCCTTTGAGAATCTTTGATATGGAACGGAGCAAACTTAGCCGGTTTAAATGAATGTAACTTACCTTTCGAGCTATAAAATAACAACCACAGGATAAGGTACCAACGTTGCATTAGGGTCCCGGTCACGGGGGAGAAATTTTCCAGAGGGCGCCCGTGGTGCTTCAGTTTTGGAAGGTTTTTTTTTTAGTAAGTCAGAAACATGCATAGACACAGACTTTGCGATTCAGTTAGAGTGCTATTTCGACTATTGCCAATCCATGGACGTCACCAGACTACTTAGAAAGTTTACTTCCTCCATTAAACCTCTCTCCGATTTTCAAACATATGTTCAACGGGAATTTTGATTAAGAAGTGTTTTTAAATGGTCATCAAATTTCGCTCACACATTGTAAGAGAAGCAAGAAATCCTCGAGATTGAGTATTGTAAAACCAAGATACTCCATAGTAGTCACTATAATAGCGAAAGAGTTATCATTTCAACTCAGAATCTTTATAAAAGATAAATAAAAGTTAAGATAACTAAGTTAGATAAATACAAACAAAAACTGAATACGAACAAAGCGAAACGGAAAAATAATCATATTGATAACGTCTTATATCCAGCTGAAAAAGCGAATAACTTTGAAGTTGAAGAAAACTTCCTGACAGAGAAGTATGCCAAGCGTAACTTTAGGTAAACTGACTTGAAAAAGGTAATTAGAAACCGGCTTTATGAATGGGAGAACTGCGTACTTAGCTGCGGTATGAAAATTATGCAAAAAAAGGTGTAATTGACAAAATAAATGAGAACAGACCTACAAAAAAAAAAAAAACAAACAAACGAAGAGGTACGAGAAATGAAAGACGAAATAGATAAACACAAAATTACAAAAAAAAAATAAATGGCAAGCGCTTTAGATCTAACAGCTACCATGGTCAGTGCATGAATAACTATGAATATGTAGACGACTTCAACCGCTAATAAGACACAAGAGACAAAGTCAGAGTTGGAAGCTCGTTGAATAACACTCATTTTTGCATATAAACTGCTGCATGCTTCACACTTGAGATAAATGAATGACAGAATGCCAAAGATTCAGTTGCTTTAGAAGTCGATTATTCATTTTAAAATGTAAACGTTGCTTTTATGAAACTTTTCTTTGAGTCGCACAGGAAAGTGAAAAGTACACGATTTGCAATGTAACTTCTCCCCTTCACCCAGTGGAGAACAACAACCAAAATGTATTACATTTGTCGGGGATTATGTGGTGTTGTTTGGTCTTAAATTACTGACCGACGTCGCGGCTTGAAAATGCTGTACCTACATAAATAAAATTAAAACTCACGAAACTTCACGAAAGGGTTACTGTGCCTATGGACAGAGATAGGAAAATCCGGGCCACGCTAAAAACAAGTCAGATTCAGAACTCGTCCTCGTGTGATATTTTCATCTACTATAGTAGACAATTTATTTTTCCTGAAAACATTTCCATGACGCTCTGGTAATAAATCTGATTATGTGAATCACATGTAGGGAACAAAACACGACGCTTAAATTTAGAAAACATATTTCGACAGAAGCGTCAAGTATCTAGAAAACGCATCGTGAAAACTCAGAGGAAATTTTTCTTTGGAAAGAGGGCATTTTACCGTTTGAATCGGCGACTTATGCCCAAAATAGCCACTTGTGTATTGGAACGTTTCGTTGAAGCCAGTAATTTTGAAAAAAGCATCTCGTGGGACGACAAACATCACGTATCTTGATCACGTTAAACTTGTGGTTTTGAAAAAATAAAATTAACGCTTTTTCAAATCAATTGTATTTGATTTTAGTCGCGGTTCATGCAAGCGGGAGACTTAATGTATAATTCTTCCAAACATTCAAACACATTCTTAGCTGACGACTAAAAGTTTCTAGGAAATTTTGATAGTCCTCATTCAAGGTACCCAATCACTTAATTAAATTCAGTTCTTAAAAACGTCAAAGACTGAATCGTGCCCTTACTGGCTTGAATTGCTAAGTAGACGATGAAAACCCTAACATTGAGAGTTTAACGCTTGACAGAAGATAATCAAGTCTAAGTTGACGTTGGAAAGGCTGGAGTCTATCTCAGAAAACCAAGGTTCAGGTAAAGAGATCCACACAGGTAACTGGAAAACTTTATTTCTTACTTTTTCCTCGCTTAGCGTTTTTCCTTTCATGCTTCCCGGAAAGTTGAACCAGTTATATCGGATAATCATTTGATATGGATAGTAACTTATCTTAGCTAGGTTTCTGCTTAGCAGAGTATTTCAAAATGGCCCTTCGACTCTTCGAAGAACATCTCGTACAGTTTTTCATTCCGGAATGTCCGTTTTGCCTGCATCACCTCGCATTTTTTCACTTTTGTGCAGTAATTTTCAGTAGTTAGTTTCAAAGTCACAGGTCTTAATATTTGAGCTTCTTGCCTTTTGGGTAAATACTTATTAATATGTAGTTCTCACCACAGAATAGATTTATTGAAAGTAAATAATCCGAATTCCAAAATGTTTTAACGTGTTTGTATATCAGAGACATCCATTTTAGACAAGGCGCTTTATCTCAATCGATTCGCAGTCAAAAACAGTTTCAAGTTTCTCTTTCAACATTGTTCTAAAACACGTGAAATTTATAAATAAAATGAGACATTCAAAGTCAATGCGGAGACATTAGAAAAACAAATTAGAGAAAGAATTAATGTTCTTTGTCTGTGTTCAGCAAGTTGTTCACAACAGTAAGAGAATTTTATATCACCTGTAAACACAACCGTGTTCCTTTTTTTCCTTTCGCTTACTGTTTTGAAACCTGATAACATCGATACAATTAAGTGGAACTTTCTGCCAATCGTTCAGCACCGTTCAGGATGAGAGCTTGATTATCATGTTAGTTAAGTTGCTGCTCACAGGGTTTTTTTTGAAGAGATCCAAGATTTTCTGAAGCTCTTCCTGATATGTTTCTCGTGAAAAATATCAGGTTTGACCATAGCATCTTCATTAATGCTACACCTCTCATCTCTGTTCAAGAAACTCGTGTGGCTATTTTAGAATAGTTTAAACCTGTGGATGATTGTTCCGTCGAGTCGTGTATTTTGAATCTCTAACTTCTCCCACAAGGTAGGACACACTATTTATTTCTGCTTAGCTCTAGTAGAGTAATTGATAGCAAATTTCAATAGAGTGAGATTTGAATCCTCATAAGAGACGGCCACATTTTATTTCTGCCTAGTTCTGGTAGAGACTTTGACAACAAAATTCAATAGGATGAAGTTTGAATCCTCACAAGAAACGACTCACTAATTTTTCATACTAGGCTGGTACGGTATTTGAAAGTGAAATTTAATACAGGAAGGTTTGAATCCTCACAAGAGTCGATCTGCTTAGCTCTAGAAGAGCATATGACGGCAAAATTCTATAGAGTGAGGTTTGACTCCTCACAAGAGACGACCCACAATTTTTTTCTGCTTAGCCCGGTAGAGCAATTGATAGCAAAATTCAATCAGTTAGGTTTGAATCCTCAAAAGACTGGACAGACTATCTAATTTTCTCAGCTCAGGTAGAGCATTTGATAGAAAAATTCAATGTAGATTGCTTAGCTCCATAGGCTTCAATCGCCCATTATTTTTGTTATGTGAAGGAACCAAGTGTTTTAGGTCGTCTACAATTATTTTTTTTAAGTACTTTAGCTTTGAATGTCAATGAAGCAGGAGAAAAGAGAAAATACACTCCCTGGTTGAATGCAGACACAGTCCTCTGATGGTTACAGCCGACAACCGAAATGAATCTAGAACCTTTGGGGTTTGAAACCTTTTTTTTTTTACTATTATTGTTTTATCAAAAACAAAAAGGTAGAGCATTTGATGGTGAAATCCAATAGAGTGAGGTTGGAATCCTCACGAGGTAGAACCCTCTTTTTTTGCTACCTTTTATTTCCTTTAGTTTAAATCCTTGACTGCCGCTGGTTTTACTGTTGTTGTTGGTTTTTAATTTAGCATTCGTTACCCTGGTATATATTACATATGGTACCTTTTGTCTCCTGTCACCACACGTGTCCACTCATAATAGAATGTAAAGATTCAGCTGAAAAGAAACAAGACTTGAAATTCAGTTGAAAATACTAAATTACTCTGTGATACTCTCCCACCAACGCAGCACCATAGGGAAAATATCCATATTCACTTACTAGTCGGTGCGTTTTGCTTTAATATTCAGCGTATTAGCGAAATAAAATTGTACTGAAAGTTGTAAAAGCCGCCCAAAGAAAAACCCGAGAATTCGAACGCAGCAGTATTTAATATATTTAACATTTGTTTGGGCTATGATTGATTTTGTCCTTTTCTTGGCAGTGCAGGATGATTATGGTCCAGATATGTTTCCTCGTGGTTCTCGTATTATTTAACCCAGTACAAGCTCCAGTTCTCAAGAAAATATCACTGATAGTGAACGATTCAGCAAAGCAAATGCAACCGCTTGCGAGGAAGGAAGGTACGTGTTGAACAAATGCGAAGAACGCTGTGAATGCCGGGATGGCAAGCTTATGAACTGTTATCGCGTTAGGAAGGAATTCACTAAAATGGACATTAACTCAAGACGCCGCTTTCTTCGCACACACAAACGTAGCTTTGAAAAAGTCGTCGCTTATCATACAAATACCCCACCAACTTCTTCACCAAACTCCATTCATCTTCCTTCCGTGGCATAGATGGTGGCTGGTCACATTTGAAAACCTTCTCCGTAGAATAGATTGCCGGGTGACTATTCCCTACTGGGACTGGAGCCAAGTTGCTCATCACTGGTGGAGAGAGTCTGGTGACGAAGACATCTGGAACCCAGGGGATCATGGACTGGGTGGAAATGGGAACCCATTTGCTAACTTCTGCGTTGAAACTGGGCCTTTTAGTAAGGATAGATGGCAACTGCTGAGATCTGTAGGGGGAGGGTGTTTGAAAAGAGTTTTCTCCTACGAGTGCCTGACCGGTAACACGCATCACGTGAAGAGAACTTTAGCTCAGCCAGTAGAAGAGTTCTTCAAATTTGAGGAAACAATACGCCATGTTTATCATTATGAAATTCACGAGTTCATCGGTGGAACGATGCTCGAGTCGACGACATCTGCCAACGCCCTGAAGTAGTTTTACATCATTCGTTTCTGGACAAGCTCTGGCTTCAATGGCAGAAGAAAGGCAGTGACTATAAATATGTTTACTTCTCGAAAAGTCGTCGCAAACTTCCTCAATCAAAGTATTACGCCTGGCAGTGGTTGGACTCCAACAATCTTCCAGATCAAGTCAAAGTTCTGTACGAAGATTAGTGACACGGCACAGAGTGCTCCAGCATTCTCCTACATGCTCGAAAAGCATAAGTACTTATTGACCGAGAGGGTCGGACGGAAAAATATGCGGCTCGAGGTCATAACCTACGGACCGAAATCCATGCGTCATGACCGAGAGCCAAATATTTTCCCGTCTCGCCCTATCAATCTGAGTCAATAAGCATTTTATCATATGACCATTATGAGCTGAAAATTTATTAACTTTATTTCAACCCAAAGCAGGGCTTTTCTTTTTTTTTTTTTTTTTTTTTTTTTTTTCGAGTCAGACTGGCTCACGTCAACCCACCCGACCCCACACAAGTTACCATTCATTATGGTTTCCATGGCATTGCGCGTGCGGGCCATACGGTCATGTGATAGGAACTTTCATCTGACAGGTAATGAAATGAAGGCAAAAAAATGGTTACAAAGATACCAAGCAGAAGTACAATTTACATTAAAAAGACGGATTTTTCATTAATTACATTCTTAAATTAGCCTGCATATTCTCCAAACCATCCTCCATATATTTCATATAAAACTGATAAGGAGAATATATTTAGCAATCAAGAGCTTCGTAAGTCTGCAATCGTATTCTCTATTATTTTGACCTTAATGTTTGATTCAGTAGTCATACTGTAGGGAGAAATTAGCTGCTAATCACTAACAAAGGTTAAAGGGTTGACATATGATGGGGGGGTAGGTCTCTTCCTTGAATTGAAGTAAGTAAAGGTTACTGACAGATTCTATGTAACAGGGGTTGACTATCGGACTGGAAAAATATGAAGATCTAAGGTTCGATTCGTAAGAGATGTCCCAAGTTGGAGACAAGTCATAAACTTGTTTCTGCATCGGATAGCGAGGCTCAAAACTTGCCATCTCTTTTAATCCGTTCTAATTTACTTGGATTGGCAAAGGTGTATCGTTATCAAGTATCTGACTGGTTCCACTACCGAGTGACTGACTGACCGACAGACCAACTTACCAACCGATACCTCACTTACCCACTCGCTTAGCCACTCGCTTTAAATGTGGAGTAAACTCCAACCCCTCCAACCCCCCCCTCCCCCCATCTTCCCCCTTCTAAATCGTCCAACTCTAACCTACCCATTCTTCTACCTTTGCTAACCTCCCTTTCTTTCCTTCAAACTCGGTCTGTTTATCCACTGCAATTTACATTTACCTTAAGATGAAAAATCCACCAAACAAACATAGCACAAAAATGTATCATCTTTTTAGCGACAATGGTGATATCCTTTTACTCCTCATTCGTAAAAACAAAACAAATGTCTTTTATTAACTTCACAATTAATTCCTCTTACGGTATTCATGTGCGTGCAAGATATTTTCAAGTTGATCGGTAAGGAGTAAACAACTAAAATAAACATTATGAAATGGAGTATTTCATCGTTTAGTGCTTCTAGTAATCTTTCAAACGGATATCAGTAGAACCTTGAAAATCACAGCAGATAACCGTTTCCCAGGTAATATCAACTGATATTTTCTAGCTGTTTCATGTGGTTCAATTTCAATCAATGTTTCAACGTCCCCATGGGTACACTTTACCATGTACAACGTTACCAGGATGACGGTTTCCATGAATATTTGGCCAAACATTATCATTGCCAAAATCCCCAGCAGGACTACCACCACCACACAAACCGCAGCTCTTAGGGCAGTTCTCTGAAGGATAAAGATTGTTTGGGGCGATTATCAATCGAGATAAATCTGTTTTAGCTCTACCACCCTTGCATTTTAAACCACATTCAGAGGCAAAATTTAGGGTTTCTTTTCTATTTCCACATTTAAAAAGATAACCCGAGCATACTTTGAGTTCTGGGAATTCTTCTCCATTGATCGTACCACCTAAAGGTCAGAGCTGAAACTCTAGCTCACGAGCGGTAGAAAAAGGCTCGATAGCCACTGAAGGAAAAACGTAGACGCTATGCAGCGAGTGAAGTTAGCCGCGCAGTCGTAGTTACAAGACTCTAGCTGCTATACTTGCTGTAGAGCCTGCCACTCTAAGATCAGCCTGTTCGGTCTTAGCTGGCTCTGCAAGTCAACCGCAGACCGACTAACCGCAGGAGCTAATTCATCGTCGTACGACAAGCATTTTAATGGCTTTGTTGGGATTTTGTTGAAGGGATTTTAGCTGAATAGATACACGGAGATTTTTTCCGCAGCGTCTTGGTAATCGGTAAGAGATTTTTCTACCGAGATAATGCAAGGTGATGTTAACTTCGTTTCAATGTTTCCCTGTCAAAACCTTTCCTGAGTTCTCAAAGTCACAAGTAACATTTTTACGCTTTATGGTCCTTCGTCGAGAGGCGGCAACTAAGAGAGTCAACCAGAGCTAGTAAGCTTTAATCTTAACTGATTGAGAAAATTTTTAATAACCGTCGGTTTATGCCCCCCTATTCAAGTAATAATTTCCTGTCGTGGATCCTCTTCTATGATCATGGCCCACAAATTTACTCGCCTTTTTTTTTTATCTAAATACCTACGTTTTACTCGGCGATGGCGACATCCTCTCAAACGAACAAAAGAGTAGCATCTGGGAAATGCATCCTTGCAATCTCCTGTAGCTGGACACTGACGACAGCTCCTCTGGCACATCTCTGGATAAGAGTGTATTTAGAATTACGTTAGAGCTCTTTTGATTGAGTGTCAAAAACGCAGAACTAAATTACATTTAATTGCGACGGTTGATGAGAAGGAAGATACCTTTAAGAGCTAATGAGGAATGAGAGTTAAAACGACTAAACTGCCTTGGTTCTAGTTTTGCATCTGATTGATTAAGAGAGTGGCGTAAGTTTTCTGAACTAATCACAAAGCGAAGTAAAGCAAAACCGATGCAATCTCGGGCCACTTTCGACACTCCACTCAAAATAAATATTGCTCTAGTAACGGGGTTGGTGGGCGTCAAATTACACTGGAGTAAACCGCCCTCATTTACTGACCGAGCTCCTGGAAAATGCTGGCCCATTCGGCTAATATTAGGCTGATTTTAGGCTAACAGGCAGCTTACAGCCTACATAAGGTCGATAATCGTCAGGAGATGCGTATTATAAGGGAATCTCTGTGACATTACACGTATGAGCGGACAGATCACGTGAAGGTGAGTTGAGAGATGTCTTTGGCAGAGCGGCCCTAGACAGATACAGATAAAGAATCATTTCACGGCATATCCTGGGGTGAGGAATCACGAGAGTCCAGCTCCCTGGAGACACCAGTAGATCATGGATTGCTTAAATCAAGCAAGAGTTGATTGAGCGTGGCAGAAAAAATACCTACACTAACCTTTTAGTGTTGCTATTCGGCCTCCTAATGGGAAAATGAACCTGCATTTCCTTTTGTTTTCTCTCGCTTGTGACCACCAAGGACAAACATAAGGATCGCTATCTTGACATGGATCCACTAGAGAGAAAAAGGGAAAAACTGATTACCTTTTTCGGAACAACCTCGCATTTTAACCTTACGCCCTAAAAGAGCAAATTTTCTAAATGAAAACAAGAGCGCTATAGCCAGTAACGCGAGAAAAAGAAAAATATAAGTTCTTCTGGATGGAAAATTAAATAATTGGCGTCATTATCCTAAACTTGGAAGGCTTAGAAAATAAATGAGTCTCTACTTAGGCTGATAATTTTGTATCAGAACTCTGTTCATTGTCTTAAGAAGATTTTTGTGAGTTTTTATTTTATCATCTCCTGTAAGGCCGCTCCGACTTTAGAAACCATAAACAATTTGTGCAACCGGAAGGTAGTATAAAGTATTTCTTCTCAGAAAGTACCGCTGGCTGTTACTTCTAATTGTCCAGCCAGCACAAAAAATGTAGATTTTTGAAAGTAAGACAGCCATACAAATCCAAACATTTTGTATCAGTTAAACGCAATTTGCTCACCATGACATCGTCGACAGCTCTTAGGGCAGATGTCCCACAGAGGAAACCTCTTACCCACGTAAAACGTATCCGACGGTTGAGCTGTTTTCCAACAGTCTCCTGAGGCAGCCCTAATTGGACAATTTTCCTCCTTATCCTCGCACAGTTCTTTAAAAGTAGGCGATGAAAAAAGTAAAAAAAAAAAAACACACACACACAAAGTAGTTAGTATTAAGAAAACAGAGAAAGAGACTGACTTTAAATAACTTTCAAACGATAAACCAATGGTACATACTTTGTCCTGGACAGAGTTCGTCATTGCAATGTTTCTTTTGTTTCCTCAAATTAAGACTGTTTTCCGGACAAGTCCTTGTGCGAACTTGGACTCCGCCACCACAAGTCTTACTACAGGCTCCGTAGGATCCCCATTCACCGCAATTACCTATGATGAACTAAGTCTATGAGCTACCAGGACTAGAGCTCTTAAAACTATAAGGAATAGTCGTGGAGATCTTAGAAATCACACCACTGATGAGCAGTTTTGAAGGGTCTGTCTGACGAGTTGTGAGCAGTACTGATATGAACAAATCAAGTTTATCGCTTTGTGTTCTTGCCAAGTTTTGAGGCAGAAGAGAAACTAGGCGATTGAAGATCATCACACTATGTCCTGATCCATGACAGAACATTTACAGCCAAGTCGAGTTTGACGATTGCTACGTGTAGGATTGGAAGTATAAGGAAAGATCACCTTAATAGACTAGGACCTTCAACCCCCTCAACCCCCTGGGCCCCGCATTATCTTGTTTTTTTTTTTTTTGTTAAAACGCATTAATTACAACTTTTTCTATGTTTTCTTTTCTCAAAGTCAGCGTCTGCCAAACTTACCAATATCTTGCTCGTCGCAAGCCAGATTTATCACATTCTCTAGTTTGGAGGACATCTCGTTGACTCCAAAAACTTTTAGAACATAGCTAGAATTGCTGGCGATTTTTCCAAGTTCGTGATCACGGAATCCATATCCAGCTCCAACGGCAATCCTTCTCACTTTGGCCTCCTGCGTTATACAGATATACATTTTACAAACGACAGTGATAACTTTTACAACCAAGTTTGCTTATTACAAATAGAATTGCATATTGCTTTTGCTTTGCTGCTTTCTGTGACTGCTCTTGAAAACTTGCACGATTTTCCCAACCGATCACATGCAAAACTAAAGCCAATGGAGACCTGGTCACCCGTGCTTCCCCTTGCTTGACTTTTTATCGAATTGCACAAGCGCAATTTAACACAACCAAGATAACAATTAGAACATGACATTTACTCACATCTAAAGGAGGAACTACCCGAGCGAGAGGCTTGTTTCCTTCGTATGTAGTTCCATGTGTAAGCACAATCAATACATTTGGTTTATCTGGTCTGTCGCCACTATCTTCCCAGCCAAAAAGATCTTGCGCTGCTAGTTCCAGGGCTCTATCTGTTCTTGAACCTCCTCGACTGTGCGGGAGGCTGTTAACTTTAGACTTCACCGCAGAAATTGTTTGGTTATCACTAAATCTGGAAATATGAGAGAACCCTTTCACTCGCAACACGTATCTTTACTCCAGGAGTAAGATAGCCACAAACTATAGAGTAAATATCTTTGACAAAGAGCCTCCACAGACCTGTGCCAAGTGTGCGCCTCCCAGCTGTAGAGGAGGATCGCCATATGCGTTCCTGCTCCAGAGATCTGAAGTCTATCAGCCAGTCGAATTAAATATTGCCGCACTAAATCGTAACCTGCAGGACTTATTCTATCCGACGAGTCAATTATGACGGCGATATCGAGATGTTCTTTACAAGGTTTCGGCGGAGAAGTTGCAGGAGCTATGAGATTTATAAGCAAAAGATCGAGAACAAGATTATAAGTTGCAAGATTGGTGCACAGAGTGGTGAATTGTTGTCATTTGATTTGACGATATGAGTTTTGGTGTGATGACATAGAAAGTGATGTGATGTTATATAACGTGGCGTGTTGTTATGTTGGTTAGATGTGATCTGATTTGTTTGACGTAACGTGAATCGACGCCATGCGATACTTACACCTTATTCGATAGTTTAACATATAATACGTGCGGATATTTTGCGACATGCGCAGTATTATTACGAGCCCCGTACGGGTTAGGAATAGTATGAGCAATGGACAGAATTTCCGCTCGTTTACATGGGTGTCATTAATGAACCTTAAAAAAAAAAGTTTTGTGACACAATTTGTAGTTCATGTCTGGTATAATGGTAGAGTAATTACACTGGACATCAAGATTAGCGCTAGCATTTACAGAAGGCTTCACTCCATTCTCTGCCGAACACCAGTATTTTCCAGATTGAGTTCTGTTTGTTCTAAAACTCAGTGTGTCTCCTTCAGCCACGGTTTTCCCATCTTTAGTCCACGTCATCTTTGGAGTTGGGTTCCCAGTGGCAGCGCACTGGAAGGTTAGCATGTCTCCTTCAGCAACAATCTTGTCCGGTGGCTTGAGGATTATACTCGGGGGGTCTAAAAATGTGAAAAGAGAAATCTAAAACAATACTTCTTTGCAATCTTTTCTAATCGTTATGACCTTGTCCAGCGTTGCTTGGTTTTGAAGTTATACTCGATTCCTTGATTTTTGTTAATTAAAGAAGGGATAATGAAAAAAATAATCAAGGAAAAGCATACTGGCTTGCATAAAGCTCTAAATCTTACTTGAATAAACTTCTTCACCTGAGTTACATAAAGATGCGATCTGCATATTGCTTTTCTATCTGTTACTAAGACAGATGACTTTCTTTGCACATCAAGAAAGACAGGTTGCACCAATCGTACTTTTTTTTCTACATGTGTCATTAGTACTGTTATGATATTTCTTTGAGGAAACACTTTTTCTTAGTTTCTCTAGCAAACTTACATCGTACATCTAGATTGACAGTTGTATTGATAGTTTCACCAAGTCCATTCGTGGCCAAACACCAATATTTTCCAGAATCATTCCAACTAGTTTCAAAGCTGAAGGTGTGTCCTTCAGCCACAGATTTTCCATCTTTCATCCACGTTATATTTGGTGTTGGGTTCCCAGTGGCAGTGCAATGAAAAGTCGTATTCGTTCCCTCAATAACAGTTTGATTTGTTGGTCTTGAATCAAAGCTTGGTGGAACTGAGATATAATACACAAAGCATGAAAAAAGTGAACAACAAAACAGTTAGTAAAAATAGGTCAAGTGTTGGACCACAAGTAACAATTGCTATAATGTTACTTGTACTTACATTGGACATCGAGGTTGGCGCTAGCATTGACAGCAGATTTCACCCCATTCTCTGCAGAACACCAGTATTTTCCAGATTGGGTTCTATTGGTTTTAAAACTCAGTGTGTCTCCTTCAGCCATAGTTATTCCATCTTTAGTCCACGTTATCTTTGGAGATGGATTTCCAGCGGCAGCACACTGGAAGGTTAGCAATTTTCCCTCCGTAACAATCTTGTCCTCTGGCTTGAGGATAATACTCGGGGAGTCTAACAATGTGAAAAGAGAAATCTGAAACAAGTTGTACATTTGATAACTAAGGCGCAACATGTATATCTTCAACAATTCAGCACAAAATAATCAATTCTTTATTTCGACCTTAACCAACGTTGTTTGGTTTTGACTTTACACTTGACTCCTTGACGTTTGGTAATTTGAGAAGGGATAATGAACAAAAAATAAGCAAGGGAACAGAACACTGCCGTGTATAAAGCTTGTGTTTCCTTGGTATAATTTTGATATTTTAAGACACCAATCTTATTTAAATAAACATCTTCACCGGAGTTACATAAATATGTGATCTTCATATTGCTTTTCTATCTGTTACTAAAATAGATGAGATTTTAGCATATCCGGAAGGACAGTCAAGTTAAGTCAAGGTATTTCATTAGTGTTGTTATAATGTTTCTTTTAGGAAACACTTTTTCTTAGTTTCTCTACCAAACTTACATTGTACATCTAGATTGACAGTTGTATTGATAGTTTCACCAAGTCCATTCGTGGCCAAACACCAATATTTTCCAGAATCATTCCAACTAGTTTCAAAGCTGAGAGTGTGTCCTTCAGCCACAGATTTTCCATCTTTCATCCACGTTATAGTTGGAGTTGGGTTCCCAGTGGCAGTGCAATGAAAAGTCGTATTTGTTCCCTCAATAACAGTTTGATTTGTTGGTCTTGAATTAAAGCTTGGTGGAACTGAGATATAATACACAAAGCATGAAAAAAGTGAACAACAAAACAGTTAGTAAAAATACGTCAAGTATTGGACCACAAGTAACAATTGCTATAATGTTACTTGTACTTACATTGGACATCAAGATTGGCGCTAGCATTGACAGCAGCTTTCACCCCATTCTCTGCAGAACACCAGTACTTTCCAGATTGAGTTCTATTGGTTTTAAAACTCAGTGTGTCTCCTTCAGCCATAGTTATTCCATCTTTAGTCCACGTTATCTTTGGAGATGGATTTCCAGCGGCAGCACACTGGAAGGTTAGCAATTTCCCCTCCGTAACAATCTTATCCTCTGGCTTGAGGGTAATACTCGGTGAGTCTAACAATGTGAAAAGAGAAATCTAAAACAAGTCGTACATTTGATAACTAAGGCGCAACATGTATATCTTCAACAATTCAGCACAAAATAATCAATTCTTTATTTCGACCTTAACCAACGTTGTTTGGTTTTGACTTTACACTTGACTCCTTGACGTTTGGTAATTTGAGAAGGGATAATGAACAAAAAATAAGCAAGGAAACAGAACACTGCCGTGTATAAAGCTTGTGTTTCCTTGGTATAATTTTGATATTTTAAGACACCAATCTTATTTAAATAAACATCTTCACCGGAGTTACATAAATATGTGATCTTCATATTGCTTTTCTATCTGTTACTAAAATAGATGAGATTTTAGCATATCCGGAAGGACACTCAGGTTAAGTCAAGGTATTTCATTAGTGTTGTTATGATGTTTCTTTTAGGAAACACTTTTCCTTAGTTTCTCTACCAAACTTACATTGTACATCTAGATTGACAGTTGTATTGATAGTTTCACCAAGTCCATTCGTGGCCAAACACCAATATTTTCCGGAATTATTCCTGCTGGATTCAAAGCTGAGAGTGTGTCCTTCAGCCACAGATTTTCCATCTTTTATCCACGTTATAGTTGGAGTTGGGTTCCCAGTGGCAGTGCAATGAAAAGTCGTATTCGTTCCCTCAATAACAGTTTGATTTGTTGGTCTTGAATTAAAGCTTGGTGGAACTGAGATATAATACACAAAGCATGAAAAAAGTGAACAACAAAACAGTTAGTAAAAATACGTCAAGTATTGGACCACAAGTAACAATTGCTATAATGTTACTTGTACTTACATTGGACATCAAGATTGGCGCTAGCATTGACAGCAGCTTTCACCCCATTCTCTGCAGAACACCAGTACTTTCCAGATTGAGTTTTATTGGTTTTAAAACTCAGTGTGTCGCCTTCAGCCATAGTTATTCCATCTTTAGTCCACGTTATCTTTGGAGATGGATTTCCAGCGGCAGCACACTGGAAGGTTAGCAATTTCCCCTCCGTAACAATCTTATCCTCTGGCTTGAGGATAATACTCGGGGAGTCTAACAATGTGAAAAGAGAAATCTAAAACAAGTTGTACATTTGATAACTAAGGCGCAACATGTATATCTTCAACAATTCAGCACAAAATAATCAATTCTTTATTTCGACCTTAACCAACGTTGTTTGGTTTTGACTTTACACTTGACTCCTTGACGTTTGGTAATTTGAGAAGGGATAATGAACAAAAAATAAGCAAGGAAACAGAACACTGCTGTGTATAAAGCTTGTGTTTCCTTGGTATAATTTTGATATTTTAAGACACCAATCTTATTTAAATAAACATCTTCACCGGAGTTACATAAATATGTGATCTTCATATTGCTTTTCTATCTGTTACTAAAATACATGAGATTTTAGCATATCCAGAATGACACTCAGGTAAAGTCAAGGTATTTCATTAGTATTGTTATGATGTTTCTTTTAGGAAACACTTTTCCTTAGTATCTCTACCAAACTTACATTGTACATCTAGAATGACAGTTGTATTGATAGTTTCACCAAGTCCATTCGTGGCCAAACACCAATATTTTCCAGAATCATTCCTGCTGGATTCAAAGCTGAGAGTGTGTCCTTCAGCCACAGTTTTTCCATCTTTCATCCACGTTATAGTTGGAGTTGGGTTCCCAGTGGCAGTGCAATAAAAAGTTGTATTCGTTCCCTCAATAACAGTTTGATTTGTTGGTCTTGAATCAAAGCTTGGTGGAACTGAGATATAATACACAAAGCATGAAAAAAGTGAACAACAAAACAGTTAGTAAAAATAGGTCAAGTATTGGACCACAGGTAACAATTGCTATAATGTTATTGTACTTACATTGGACATCAAGATTGGCGCTAGCATTGACAGCAGATTTCACCCCATTCTCTGCAGAACACCAGTACTTTCCAGATTGAGTTCTATTGGTTTTAAAACTCAGTGTGTCTCCTTCAGCCATAGTTATTCCATCTTTAGTCCACGTTATCTTTGGAGATGGATTTCCAGCGGCAGCACACTGGAAGGTTAGCAATTTCCCCTCCGTAACAATCTTATCCTCTGGCTTGAGGATGATACTCGGGGAGTCTAACAATGTGAAAAGAGAAATCTAAAACAAGTCGTACATTTGATAACTAAGGCGCAACATTTATATTTTCAACAATTCAGCACAAAATAATCAATTCTTTATTTCGACCTTAACCAACGTTGTTTGGTTTTGACTTTACACTTGACTCCTTGATGTTTGGTAATTTGAGAAGGGATAATGAACAAAAAATAAAAATAAACAAGGGAACAGAACACTGCCGTGTATAAAGCTTGTGTTTCCTTGGTATAATTTTGATATTTTAAGACACCAATCTTATTTAAATAAACATCTTCACCGGAGTTACATAAATATGTGATCTTCATATTGCTTTTCTATCTGTTACTAAAATAGATGAGATTTTAGCATATCCGGAAGGACACTCAGGTTAAGTCAAGGTATTTCATTAGTGTTGTTATGATGTTTCTTTTAGGAAACGCTTTTCCTTAGTTTCTCTACCAAACTTACATTGTACAACTAGATTGACAGTTGTATTGATAGTTTCACCAAGTCCATTCGTGGCCAAACACCAATATTTTCCGGAATCATTCCTGCTGGATTCAAAGCTGAGAGTGTGTCCTTCTGCAAAAGATTTTCCATCTTTCATCCACGTTATAGTTGGAGTTGGGTTCCCAGTGGCAGTGCAATGGAAAGTTGTATTCGTTCCCTCAATAACAGTTTGATTTGTTGGTCTTGAATCAAAGCTTGGTGGAACTGAGATATAATACACAAAGCATGAAAAAAGTGAACAACAAAACAGTTAGTAAAAATAGGTCAAGTATTGGACCACAGGTAACAATTGCTATAATGTTATTGTACTTACATTGGACATCAAGATTGGCGCTAGCATTGACAGCAGATTTCACCCCATTCTCTGCAGAACACCAGTACTTTCCAGATTGAGTTCTATTGGTTTTAAAACTCAGTGTGTCTCCTTCAGCCATAGTTATTCCATCTTTAGTCCACGTTATCTTTGGAGATGGATTTCCAGCGGCAGCACACTGGAAGGTTAGCAATTTCCCCTCCGTAACAATCTTATCCTCTGGCTTGAGGATGATACTCGGGGAGTCTAACAATGTGAAAAGAGAAATCTAAAACAAGTCGTACATTTGATAACTAAGGCGCAACATGTATATCTTCAACAATTCAGCACAAAATAATCAATTCTTTATTTCGACCTTAACCAACGTTGTTTGGTTTTAACTTTACACTTGACTCCTTGACGTTTGGTAATTTGAGAAGGGATAATGAACAAAAAAATAAGCAAGGAAACAGAACATTGCGGTGTATAAAGCTTGTGTTTCCTTGGTATAATTTTGATATTTTAAGACACCAATCTTATTTAAATAAGCATCTTCACCGGAGTTACATAAATATGTGATCTTCATATTGCTTTTCTATCTGTTACTAAAATAGATGAGATTTTAGCATATCCGGAAGGACACTCAGGTTAAGTCAAGGTATTTCATTAGTGTTGTTATGATGTTTCTTTTAGGAAACACTTTTCCTTAGTTTCTCTAGCAAACTTACATTGTACATCTAGATTGACAGTTGTATTGATAGTTTCACCGAGCCCATTCGTGGCCAAACACCAATATTTTCCGGAATCATTCCTACTGGTTTCAAAGCTGAGAGTGTGTCCTTCTGCCACAAATTTTCCATCTTTCATCCACGTTATAGTTGGTGTTGGGTTCCCAGTGGCAGTGCAATGGAAAGTTGTATTCGTTCCCTCAATAACAGTTTGATTTGTTGGTCTCGAAGCAAAGCTTAGTGGAACTGAAATATAATACACACAGCATGAAAAAGTGAATAACAAACCAGTTAGTAAAAAGATGTCAAGCATTGGACCACAAACATTGGACGTCTAGATTGGCGCTGGCATTGACAACAGCTTTTACTCCGTTCTTTGCCAAACACTAGTATTCCCCAGATTGAGTTCTGTTGGTTTCAAAATTCAGTGTGTCTCCCTCACCCACAGTTTTCCCATCTTTAGTCCATGTTATCTTTAGAGTTGGGTTCCCAGTGGCAACACAATGGAAGGACGTTACAAATTTACCCTCGGTAATAATTTTGTCCGTTGGCTTGGCGATGATACTCGGTGAGACTAAAAAATGATTTAGAGAAATATAAAGCAAATGGAACATTTTGGAGTCAAGTCAAGATTTGTGCATCTTCAAAAATTGAGCGTAAATCAACTTTTCATTTCCAATATTTTCTAACCTTTTCAACCTAAGCTATCCTTGTTTGCTTTGGGCTTAATACTCGACTCCTTGATGTTTGCTAATTTCAGACGCGATAATGAAAAAAAAAATTAACAAGGGAACCGAACACTGCCGAGTATAGAGCTCGTGAAACTTGAAAATCAGATAGGTCACCATTCTCACTTAACCCTTTAAGTCCCAAGATCTGAATCTTAATTCTCCCCTCTAGCTGCAACACATCTTCTTGTAAATTAGTTACGAGAATTTTGTGTTGGATCAGGATAACACCCTTCAACTGATTAGTTGAGTATTCTTATAACCTGTGTGTAGGTTAATATATGGATATTATTGGGAGAAGCTACATACTAATCACTTCTAGGAGTGAGAGGCTTAACTACTTCTTCACCAGGGTTACATAAATATGTGATTTGCATGGGGGTTGAGTGATCGCGGTATCGAACGGCTCTGAGGCCTTGTGTGTATTTCCGTCTGTGAGAAGGATAAGGAAATTTGGAGATTCTGGACGATCTCCATTTTCCGGGACGAAATGAGTAACAGAATTTCCTAAACTGCTGTACCCAGGTTCCTGTAACGGTGCAGCTGAGGAACAGCTGAGGAATGACTTACCATTAGCGATTTGGCTGATGTTTTCTAAGTGCTTATGAAGACTTTTGAAGCTGTCCACCATTATCACTTTATTCTTGTCACCTGTGATGGCTTCAAGTTCCAATTGGTTTATATCAGGACCTATGCCAACAGCAACACGATGGATATTTGTTACCTTTGGAGGTAATAAACATGAGACATTTCAGATGATGTGAGATTTTACCCAAATAGGGTGGGGGTAGGGGTGGGGAAAGGGGGGGGAAAGAGTGGCCTTATCGTCAGTTCTGGATGAGATATCTGGCTTTTAGCGTCCCGGGCAGGAGGAATTAAGAGATTGTTATCTCACAAAATGTAAGGGTAAATTTATCCTAAGCATTTCGGAATGATATGAACGAAAAAAAATACTTTAGAGGGGAGGGGAGGGGGGGGCGGGAATTGAACAACAGAACATTTACGCATCGCCAAGTAGTTTTCTAAATGTAAAAAAAAATAATGGCGGGAAATTTGCTCCACCCCACTCCTCCCATCATGATTACTTTTGTTCCCAGATCCTCTTATTCTCTTCCTCTGATATCGCATCTCAGAGAAGTGGCATAAATACAAAGACTTAGCTCATTAACTAGGGTAACTTAGCTACCTTGCATCCCTGTATCGCGGTATCGAACGGCTCTGACGCCTTGTGTGTATTTCCGTCTGTAAGAAGGATAAGGACATTTGGAGATTCTGGACGATCTCCATTTTCCGGGACGAAAACATTCTCACAAACCATCCTCAGGGCTCTATCAGTTCGTGTGGGCGCGCCAAGTTTGTCTGTTTTCTTCATTTCCTGAATGAGCTGCCGCCAAGCCTTCAGGCTGTAGTATTTTGTATCAGTGAAGTTCACGCGAATTTCAGCGTAATTGGCAAATGTGACAATTGCAAAGTGAGTTGTATTTTCACCAACATCAAACTTGCCGATGAACTTCTCGACGGAAGTTAGCATCCTTTTATAGTTGTTTCCTCCTATGCTCCTCGTGCGGTCAATGACGATAGCCACGTCTAGTGCCACTGAAGGGTCAGGCGAAAAAGCTTATGAAAGGTAATACAAAATATTAAAAAAATGTTCAATGAAGTACCGGGAGACGCGGTTACTCAATGGTCAGAGCGCTGAGCCCCGGGTTGAGAGGTCTGGGTGCGGGACCAATATGTTCTCCAACAAAACAGTTTATTTTCACAGTGCCTCTAACACAGGAGTATAAATGGGTACGACAGCAAGTCATCAGGGAGGTATGGTGTTCAATTCAACATAACACAATTAATTTCCACAATGCCATCATCTTGTTATAATCCCTCTCTGGAGTTCAGATTAAAATGTTAATAATTTCAAATTTTACGAATCTTCTCAAAAAAACACGACAGTTTCCTCAGTTTCAGGTAGCTAATTTAATATCGATAGGATTCTAGCTGAATGAGGATAGTTTGAATTTCACTCTTTGATCGCTATGCAGTTACGTCCTGATTGTCTGAACAACTGATCGACTATATCACCATACCATCCGACCCTTCCCACCAATCTAACGACCGACGGACCTACCCACTGACAGACCAACTGACTCAACCACAAAAATAGTGCAAGGAGGCAATATAACTGAACGTCAGTCGTTCTTGTATAAAATTATTTTACCGTGCAATGGTGTAAGAATCATGGCCATAAACGCCCAAAGCCACAAGTCAGTCATGGTGCACCTATCACTTTTCTCTGTAAAAAAAAGAACCAAATCATTTTGGTGTAAGGAAGGTTATCATTTTTCGGACCTGTCCATGGGACCAACCGGCCAAACCGTTCAAGCTGACGACTCGAAAGGTATTTTTCGAGCGCTTGGAGGTTTTCCAGATTTCACGCAGTGTCGCGACATTTTTAGCTTACGCCAAAGATTAGGCTGTGAAAGAGGGATAACTCCAAGTCTTACTTATCTACAATCTTAATGAGCAGTACGTAGCCAAATCCTAAGTAATCACATCCGTCAGGTTCCTGTGACCCCCCCCCCCCCCCTTTTTTTTTTAAATATAAATTGATAACACACAAATCATATGAGGAAAGGTGATGCGAAGAATCTGCATGGTTTAAATACTTTCCAGTGTTAGAAACTTTCTTTGACGGTCTTTCTTGCAGCGTAAATGCGAGCCCGCTAATACACAAGGAAAAGCAGCGGTGTAAGCTACATAAGAGAAGACGCGCGGAAATTCGTAACTATGACTCCCCCTCTCCTCATCATAAATTCCAGCTGCTTCCTGATGCAGAATTATCCACTGCGTTTAAGGAAATCTCTGCGGAGCGCTGGTTCGACAATCAATAGGACTGTATCTTTCCGATTTTTTGCGTTTGTTTGCGATGCATACAATATCCAAACTTTCTACATTCAATCGTCCACAAATCTTCTGTTACAAGATAGTGATTCTATTTATCTGCTATTACAACGGTAATACACGCCTAAACTACGTAAAACCAAGATTGACATTACTTATTCGTGATTTACTAAAATCCCAAGCTATTTCCTGTCAACTTGATTTTAACAGCTGTTTCCAATCACACGCCGATCAATACTTCTGTAATTTACACCCGCACGCACGCACTATTTGCTGCACGAATGACACATCACGCAATGTCAAAGGATGTTCCAACCCAAACGCGCACGCACAATTTCCTTAGGCAATTCCTTAGCTAATTATTTCAGACCATTATTGATTTTCTATATCACGAACATTCTTACCACAAGTCTGCCATTACCGTGCAACGTTCAATTGTACACCTAAATCAAACCCTTAGCTTAGTTACTAACTTAGAAAATGAAGTGTCATGCGGTTATAACGACACTTCCTTAACAGGGTTCATCTGATCATTATTCTTTATAAAAGCCATCAAACTAACTTTATTTTTGTACCACATCACAATCACCCTTAATCACATTTTTCATTTGAGCTCGTCGCTAAATACTTTCCGTTTCTCCTTGCTCCCTTTGTTCGGGAAGACAGCGTGACAAACCAGAATGACGGCTTAGTCTAGACATTTCGGACAATCTCTGTTTCAACAGTCCCTTAAATTCTCATTCTTTATCGATATTTCTTCTACACTTTTTCCGATACACTCAGAGATAGGTTATATCTTATATAAAACGCGATAGGAGATATCAAGCTGATTTCAGTGACGGCTCATCACGGAATCATCCAAAACGATGGACAAACACGTATCGTTGAACGCTGTTCTCATAGAAGCAAGTTTTGAAGTAGGAGAAAACATTGGACCAAGGGCAAATTTTAGTTACCTTTTAAAAGGATCCTTGAAGTTATCTTTCACCTGTAAGGAGCTTATCACTGTATTTATTCCCCATCAGAGGAAACTGCATTTACAGTAAATTGTTTGATGGATTGGGCGAGGTAGGAGATGAATAAAGGGTGATGACAGCAAAAAACATCAGCACTCATAGATCACTTTCCGTTGGGGGAGGGGGGGTGGGGGTCTATGCTTGGTCATGAGGGGGAAAGTGACAAAGTTCAAGTTGATAAAAAAAATTAACCTCTAAAGAGCACGATCGTGCTTGATTTAATTCGTAATAGCTGCCTTTTCAAAGAGCTAAATGTTCTTATCAATCGCCTCGGGCCATCAACAGTCTTCAGTCAGAAGTTTAAGTTTTTAACCTAATTTTTGTAAGCGCTTTTAAATTCGCATTCCCAAACCCGGAGCAAAGTAAGTCCCTTGCCCTTTCCTTTCTATTATCATCTGTACGAGTGACTGGGCCGAGACAGCAAGCACACTCTCTCTGTTCCATATTTTTCGCCCAAGAACTGAGAATGGCAGCCATTTGATCCTTTATCCTCTCTGTAATTTCTGATTTTCTTCAACCCTAACATCAGTATACATATTCTCCCTACTGTTCTTTATACATTTCCTTGGGTGCTGACAAGGAGAATTTGTTTAACAATCAAGACCTTTGTTAGTTGGTAACCTTAATGTTTGATTCAGGGATGATATTGTAAGGAGAAATTGGATGTTAGTCACTCCTGAGGGTTTAATGGTGTATTCGCGTCCCTCTACTTGACGGAGAACATTGCCTAGTTCCAAAGATTCTTTATTTCGCCGTGGTTACCCGTTTCGTTTGAGTCACCTGGAAAGGGCGAAAAAGTAACTCCTTGTTGCAATTATGTCATCGAGGTAAATTGGCTTTAAGGGCCAGAGAGGCCGTGGAAGAAATCTCCAAGCAGACAGGGTGGCCAGCTCTGAGTAGTGGTCGCTGTCCTGCAACTGGGCGGTATAGTAGAACAATTACCCAGCGGACAGTGTAAAGTAGTCGTTTCGTAATAACCTGGTCTTCTTACACCTCCACCCCTATTTACTTTTGAGAATGTTCAAAGCACCATTGAAAATACAACTGTGATGGAAGGTAACCAACGCTAAAGGAAGAGGGATCACCGGCGTCCTTGAATCACCTTAACGATATGCTCTGAGGACAGACGAGTAACCTGCAATCATGCGTTGCTTTGATATGACAGAGGAAGAAATACACTGTAGCGCGAAAATTGGAACTAAACCATCGATTTTTGCGCTCCTACCAAATAAAAAACGATTGATCGCACGCTAAGGTTTAGCTGTAAGGGCGTCTGTGGTGTATGGAGTTAGTGCGATGTCACTAATAGCTTTTAAACTCGCTTATAGTGTCTCTTAGCAGCGGGGTAACAAGCCTGTTTCTTCAAAGGGTAGAGCAATTAAAAAAAAATCTTTCTTAATAAGATGGTAATTTAAAGACGGTAGCTCCGATGCAAGATCGAACACTAAGATCTATTAGGGAGACCCTCGTAGCAATAAGGACACCAAAGCTTGAAAACCGTAAATTCGATTTTGGCGGGAGGGGGGTGGTCGGGTGTGAAGCTCCATTTGCAAATAAATGTCTATACTCATTGACGTACCCAAGACAGGAACTAGACTGGGTTGGCGCTCTCTCGCTTAAAAAGCAAAAAAAACTTTAAAACATATCTTTTTATCAATCTTTTATTAATAACGTACGATATTGTTAAATTTACTTCATTAAGTTTTAAGAACGCTATAACTTGTAGGACGGTGTTTACCAAAAATATTACCCCACTGTGAGATCGTCTTCTAAAAATATCCAGGGATTTTATTTCAAAAGAGAAAAAATCTAATCTCCTAGCAGGTTTAAAGTAAACTTTTTAAATTGTTTGAATCTTATTTTCCCCTTAGTTGTAGCTATTTTTGAATTCTGAGTTACTAAATACGAGCGAAAGTTTCTCTCTAAACTGTTTCTATTTCAACGAACATTTACACACATTTACTTGATATCCTCATAAATTTTCTATTTACCATGAAAGCAGCATCAAAACAGTATAGTGTGAACTAAAATATTATTTCCCACATATGGCCAAGAAAGATACCCCCACGCACCGTGCTTCAGCGTGCACATGCGCTGATGTGCTCTAATGCTTTCAGTTATGTGAAATCTCCCTACAACATCGATACATTACCCAGTAAGCAGTCAATAATGCGCAGCGTTATCAGCTGGAGGGCATTAGTTTGATAAAATATCAATTTCTCAAGGAAATTTATGACAGTCAGAGGGAAGAGTTGTGAATCAGATCACAAGAGCGAAAGCCTGCACAGCATTCACCTTCAAAGTGTTGAAAGAAACATTTGAGGACAGAAAGCCTTTGTAAACAAAACAATTCGATCTCCTTCTTTCCTTGAAAACGAACAATAAAGTCTACAGAAAATAACAATGCTTAAATCAAGGTCCCACTGACTTATAACAATTAACTTCGGCAAGATTGTTAATAAGTTTCCTAATCGTCTGTTGAAGATCTTTAGCTTTGCAGTAGGGTACAAAAAAAGGAGAAAAAGGCCCAAGCATTAGCTATCTACAATATGGCTGTACACTGCAATTTATGGAGCAACTGTTGCATTGGGTGCTGCAGTCGCTATCTGCACTACACCTTCGTACAAACTCTCATCATAAAGGACACCTGGAAAGAAACCACGTGAGAAGAAAACAGAATCACCAAACAATAAACACTGCCTGATCACATTACGCTGTGGTAGGAATTCCCTAAGTGGTTTAATGTGTGCTAGGTAGTCGGATATTGCTCAAACTGCTAATAAGTGTTATCTTGACTATCCCGCGATTTCATAATTTTGTCGTTATCTCCGTTTTCGAATTTCGTCTTCAATAATTGTTTACTGGCACATGAGTAGATTTTGGGTACCAAACGGTAGCCTTTCTGCATGTTCTCGCACAGAAATTGTGGAGAAAAAGGGAGATATGTCACGGTTTAATCACTGATAACATTAATTTGAGCAATGTAAAAGCAAAATTTGGAAGGATAAAGAGAGATGTGTCCAAGTTTGACTACAAACAAAATCCATTCGCCAGAGACCACAAAGTCAAACAGGTAACATGAGTATGCATATTCTCCATACTGTTCTCTTAACCTTTCCCATGGTACTGACGAGGAGAGTCTATTTGAAAATCAAGAGCTTATTTAGTTGATCATTTCCTTTATTGTCGTGAACTTATCATTTGATTCAGGAGTGATATTGTAAGGAGATACTAAATGCTAGTCACTTTTAAGAGTCAAAGGTTTAAGCGAGGTAAAACACAAATGATGATCAAGTCGTGATTAGATTGAGTTTTGGCATTTAATTGATTGGGAAGGTGGGACGAGTTTTCTTGACCAAGAACAGCACGCTATACGAGAATACAGTGAAGAGAAGCACGTGCAACCCCGGATTAGTTTTGACAATATATCTTAAGACATCCTTTCAATGTACTGTGATTGGCTGAAAAAAAGGCACCACTCTATGTTTCCCTTAGGTCTGACTAGCCCTTCTAATCACTCTCGATTACTGAATCCGGTGTATCGGAAATAACACTTATAAATCTCACCTGCTACACAAGCAGTCATGAAACATGCAACAGTACCAGCAATAAGGGTCCTGATTGCTATCTTGGACATGTCCGGTACACGACTAGGAGCCATGGGCCCCAGACCTCCAAGCACAACCCCGACGGATGCCAAATTAGCAAACCCACAAAGAGCATAGGTGCTAATGATTTCAGAACGTATCTGTTTGGACAGATGCAATTACAAAAGATTTACGTTACAAATCTCACCTGCAACGCATGCCGTCATCAAGCAAGCAACTGTACCCGCAACCAGTGCACGTAAGGCAACCGTGGCCAAGTCCTGTCGTCGTGACGGGGCTAACGGAGCCAAACCTCCAATTTGAATTCCGATCGAGCTGAAGTTGGAAAAGCCACATAACGCATACGTGGCAATAATCTCCGAGCGAATCTGTTAGAAAAGTTCGGTAAAGAGGAGAGAATAGTGTTAAGTGGTTACACGTTATGTGGTGGCAAAAGTTGCTGAAGATGACAACTTTGTGTTTCAAAGAGTATTGATCATGAGAAATGTGAAGTGATACAATAGAAACGAGGAAGGAATTTCTTAGAAAAGAGGAGAAGAGACAGTGAAGAAGGGGCACATTACTTGTTGACAAGATATTAGATATTGGTATGAGAGATCCCATGAAGGAAGTAAAAAAGACCGACTATGGTGAAGCAGATATCCATTACTGGGTGACAGTAGAACATTTACCGAAGATGAAGAGCTTTTGTTACAAGGATTAAGAACATTGGAGATGGCCGAAGTAGTGATCCAATAGAAGTGGAGGTATAAGTGAATGAAAACTAGATTAACGTGAGTGTAGACTGATGCTAAAACGAATGAAAACTGTGTTAGGAAAAGTGCTATCTAGAATAACACAAATGAAGAACATGTTAATATAAGTGCAAACTACATTAAACCACTTAACATTAAACTAAGACGAGTGCAAACTAATACCAAGAATGAAAACTATATTAAAAAGAATGCGAACACGAACTAAATCGTTAACAACAAAAGTAACTATTGAAAAATTAAATAAAACCGATACCTATGTTAGGACAAGTGGAAACTAGAATGAAACCAAAGAAAACTGAATGGGAACAAATGAAATAATGAACGAAAAAGCAACAATTCGAAAATTGCGATCGGTAAATGAAAGGCAATTATAGTGCAATAACAAAACGGCACTTAAAAAAAAGTCAAATGAAAATTATTTTGGATTAATGTTCATGAATAGGAAAAGCTGATCCATCAACCATTGCTTTATTAAGATCCGTAAAAATTACTTGATGTGAAATTAGGGTTAACGGGATAATTTTCCTTACAGTAGCAACAGAACTGTTTGTAAGTTCTCAGGGTAAAAAAGGTTAAGTTCACCGAGGTCAAGACTAATTGAAGATATATTTTAGGTAGACTAACAATTTCATCCTCCTTGCGATTTAAATGCGTTAATCTGTAACTAGGAAACGACAACAAACTTAAGTTATCGGTTGAACGTTGTTATTGTGATATAATTATCTCAATTACATGGAAATGTAGAGTGAATAGAAGAGAGAATTACTGATCAAATCTTAGAAGCCAGAGGGTAAGAAATTAACATATTTATTACCTTGTCACTTTTAAGAATGAGCTGTTCCAAAAGTGGAGAATTTCACATGATTTTTTTATTTCCTGTTTTAGCTGTTATAAGATAGGTTAACAGGTTGTAAGTGTCGAAATTAACCTCTAATTCGTATGTAATTTCTAAGGGCAGCAAGCAGAAATAAGATTAAAAGATTATTTTCCCAGTGTCAATTTCTGGGTTACCATTGTATTGTTCTGATTTAAATTATTAATTAAAAAAATAAGATCTGAAGTTTAAACCTCCTTGAAATGTTATGTTGAACTTTGCTTAACTAAAACATTTCACTTAGCGTACTTTTCAAATTTCACAAATCCACACAAATCTGAGTAATCAGTAATTGATGTTACTATTGTTAAATGAGGTTTTATCATTTATTCAACACTTTGGAAATATTGATAAGCAATGAAGAAAATAGAAAGATTCAGAGGCAATTATTACACAACAAAAAGAACCTAAATTGAAATTTATCTCTTTGAGTACCTTTTACTCTGTCGTGGGTTATTCATGGTCAAAAATAATGTTACAGGTTTAGAAACAATAGAAATCAGGAATTAATTTTTTACACCAAATAAGAATCCTATTCATAAAAATTGATTAAAGCTTCTATTTCCCCGTGACCACATTATCTTCATGTTATCTTTCAAATACTGTACGTATTTATGGAGTTTACAAATTTTCAAATTGATCCTCAGGGGAACCACTGGAATTGTTAATGTTTAAAGGTTAGTCTTCATTGGTCAAACAAGAAGTTTTCACAATAGGGATGGCAAAGGGTTGAAGCTCATTCAATAATGAGAGTGCACTTGATGGATTCAAGTTCATTTAACAAAAAACTACAATTTCATTCTTCTACGGTTAAATCTAGCCTTAAGGGTTTAAAGAAAATGGTAATTATAAAAACTAAAACAAAAAACAAAGAAACAAAGGTGAAATTTCAATTAACATTTTTAAAAATATTTACTGAATCTATTTGGGAGACTGTTTAATCAGGAGCTATAGAAAAGGGAAAATGTAACATTTTTTATTTCATGCATGTGTGTTAAATTACAAGCCTTTAATTGGTAAATCTAAGTTATCATATTTTAGATGTTTGATCAAGCATATTAAACAGTTGTAAGATTTTCTTTAGAATTGTCTTCAGGGTGAGAAAATCTCAGATATTATATTCATGTTATTCATTTTGAGAAAAACTGAAGTCAGTCAGGAGCCCATTATTCGGTGCATTTAGTATTAAGTAAGTAGAACAATCTAAAATGTGTTATTTACTCATTTGACATACAAATTAATTCCAAGAACAGAGAGAAATAATAAGTTTGCAGTCAGTGTATTATGTTTAAGAAGTATGGTGACAATGGCAGTAAACATTCTTTATAACAAAAGGCAAACATGTCTTTAGGAAAATTTGTCTTTTGAGACTGCCCTACCAATGATTTAAAATGAATGTTAAGTGTTAAAAAAAAAAAAACACATGACAGAGCAAAACAAAGGCAACTTTAGACATTCCATTTTTTAGTCTTAGATTTCTTGATATTAAAATGCAAACTTTCTCTAATAACAAATACAAAGGTGAAGCAAATTTACAATTTTAGTGCACTGTAAGTTTGATTGGAAATTAAGTAAAACAAAAATTCAAGAGTGGAGAAAAAAACACATTTTAAAAGACCTGAAATTCACCAACATGTACATCTAGCTGTAATATTTGACAGTCTTTTTGAAAGATCAAGTGTTAATGATTCTACATGGTTTTCACTTACCCTTAGCCCAAGAAATAAGTTACTGGGCAATTATGTTGTAAATTTAATGCTTTCATGTAAGATTTTAATTTGATCATGAAAAGTTATAAATAAAAATGCAAAAAGATCCAGTAAGCAAAAGTTTAAAAACTTTCAAATTCTAAACAAAGTTATTATAAAAGAGACAAGAATGTTGTAAGAAAGGCCAGTATGAACAGTTAGTGTATGCATTACAACCCATATTAAGTTTGGAATACATGATAAATTAGAAGTTGAATTGTGAATCTTCAGGTTTAGTGTTTTTGCAGACATTGCATACTGAACACGTGATATGTTAAAATAATTAACACAAAGTGGGTTTGAGTGATTACATCAAAGAAAACAAGCTGTTTATCTGATTTAAGAATTGTTTTCCTCAACATTTTAATAAACATATAATGAGATTATGACAAGAATGCTGTTAAGTTTGCAATTGCAAACTATAACCCTATGTTTACAACACAGCCATTAGTTCATATCAAGGGGAATGTTTTGTTAGCTGATGGGAGAATGGAACATGCATCACAGCATTTAATTTCTTTCCATTTTCATGGGCACATGCACTAAGATTATGTCAAGAATGCAGTTAAGTGAACATTTGCCAACTTCAAGCTTGAGTTTATGACACAATTGTCTTTTTTTTTCCGCATCCATCAATGGATTATGGTGACAGTTGCCATAACATGCAAAGACTGGTTGATGGGTGCTGGAACCTGTTCAACTAAAGCCAGCTAACATTTAAAACCAAAACTATGATCCCATTTAAACCATTCAAGAAAATAAAATTTTGACAAAATACTACCAACTGTAAATCTAAATATGACTGTGTAAAGCTCAAAAGGAACTCTTGACTATATGTCTTTGACACTGCTATGATCCTAAGTATGAAAATAAATTAATATCATGCATTTACACAAAACCAAAATTCACTGAGTTTTACTTGAAGGAATGCAGCCACTAAAATAAAAACAACTGTTCAAATGCACAGGCAGGAGACAAATTTTGCATGCTGAGAATTGTAGTACAATTCATAACAACTTATATGAAAGATGTACAATCTGTTCTACTAAGCTATTTTCATTGCAACACTACATTATACCTATCTAAGGCAGCTGTCTGTCTAAACTATACCAAACACCTTCCATATTCATTGTTTTGCACTCAGTATGTTAAGTTCATCATCTACAAGTACATTTAAACAATTGTTTTTCTTTATGGCATTCCTTTTAAAGACAGCAAAGCAGGAAGACAGCTTTGAAAGAACGGTAATACCATTCATATATCTAAATGTTTTGATTATGAAGCTTCCATCATCTCTTACAACATATAAGAACCATACAACTTTAACTTAACAGTAGACAACTTCATTCTGTGTACATCTTGTTATATAACACTCACCGAAATGGTGCGCAAGCCATTCATTTTTATTCGGTTATCAATAAACCCAGCAAGCCGTGTATAAGCCACAAACTCATTTAGGAATGTTTTAATACCAAGAAGCTCTGCAACAACATCTGAATCTTCCCAAGGAACACCCATGATAAAGGCAACTGGTCGTAGTACATATGAACAAATATACTGAAAGACAAGAAGACAAATCCTCTGGTGTTTTTTACACCTTTCCTTTTAAGCCAATATAAAGCTTCCTAGAGTTGGAGGCTCACAAAGTTTTCTACAAGCACAGCTTTAATGCTTAAACCTACATGTATCCCTTCCAATGAAGGGAAATTCTTCACTGATTTCTGTTTACACCTTTAACATAAAATCACTTTGAGGTTGTAGAATATTTAAGCCTTGAGTACTCACTTTCCAACCTTGTTGCAAGTCACGAAAGGCTCCATAACATTCACGAACAAGAACATTCTGCTCTGACTTTTTGATTCATTGTGCATTCAAATAGATTTCTTTGACTATGTATACTGATTTCTGGTTTATTCAATCACTTACAAAAGTCAAGATAAAATGAAATCACTTCAAGGTACTGGAAAATTCTGACCTAATAAATACCTCAAAACTAAGTTCTGGTTTTCCAACCATTGATCCAAGCCATGACAAGACTCCATTGAAAAATGCCAAAAAGGCAAGGAAAGCAATCAGATTGGCTGCAATGTTGGCAACAAGAGCAATAGCAGTACTGGCACCTTTGGCAGCTGCTTCAATAATATTCCTTTCATTTCTATGAGACAAAGTCAAAGATCCATGAACAGGAGTGGAACAAATATTCAGTAAAACACCCAACCAAGAGGATTATGCAGAAAGTCAAAACATAAAACCACAAGCACCTAACACAAAGTTTCATAGCTTGCCTCAAAATGTGGTCAAAATTGAAAGGGTTGTCAAGCTGAGCTGGCAACTAGCACATTTCACCTTTTACTTTGAAAAGCACCCATACTATTCTTAGTGTTTCAATATGGAAGCATGACATTGCACTGTGACTTTGTATCAAAGTCTAGTTACTAAAAAATCCCTTCAACCCTGAATCAGACACCACTATTCATTTGGCTTACCCTTTGGGCAGTTCAATATTTTCGTCATCAAGAGTTTCTGGAATTTCTGTTTCTGGGTACATTAGCTTTGAAATGGCAAGAGCAGCTGGTGCAGACATCACAGATGCACTCAACAAATGAGAGGCTGATACACCATACTCAATGTAAGCTGCCAATACACTTCCTGCAATGGTTGCAAATCCACCTGTCATTATTGCATGAAGCTCTGACATTGTGACATGTTCAAGAAATGGTCTAACCATAAGGGGTGCTTCAGTCTACATAGAACAAAACAAAAACAGAACACAAGAATGAATATTCAAATATTTCCAAGTTGAGGAATCCTTCACTCTCTAAGTTCATTTTCTAAAGAACCTTCTTGTCTGCCTCAAGAGATATATTGCACTTAAGTTCTGATGGTTTAATACCCATGCATCAAATACACAAAGAATGGTAGAGTACCTCAAGATTTTTTCCTAGAGATTTTTAAGTGAGAGAATTTTTTCTGAAAAGATGACGGTGGTGAATGTGAAGTACAAGTCAATCAATATTGTCTTCTTGGCCACCTAGCAGTGAATTAAATGGTACCAACCAGATTCAAGGATCAGAGAGTTTATAAATTAGATTACACATGTACAGTACCTGTCCAATAAAGATATTTCCAGCAGCATTCAAACTCTCCACACCACTTGTCTTCATTGTTTTCTGCATAAGCCACGCAATTTTCTTGATAACCACTTGCATGATACCAATATAATAACACAGTGAGATAACTGAACTGAAGAAAATAATAATGGGCAGCACCTGTTGATTAAAAAAATTAAAAAATTTTTTAGACTTCAGTTTCTCTAACAACATCAAATGTAGAAAAATATCAATTCATCACGTTATTTTAACCACAGGTCAAACAACTATAATTTACTTCAAGTATGCTATTTCTTATCAGAATCCTTTGCAGGAAAAAAAAGAACCCCTTAAAAAGTTGCTTTTGTGTAACCCAGTTGATAGTGCAGGTGTAATAAACTACAAAGGCTTAAAATAAGAGCCTTGACCCTTTAACTGCCAGGATCTGATTGTTAATTCTCCCCTCCAGCTTCTACACATTTCCTTGTAAATTAGTAACAAGAATTTGTTGTTAAATCAAGAGAAAACTTCTACCTGATAAGTTTGAGTATTCTCATTACCTGTTTGTAGGATAGTGTATGGATAATATAGGGAGAAATTACATGTTAATCACTTCTGGGACTTCAAGGGTTAATCCAAAACACACACTTGCAATCTTTCTCCCTTTTCCATAAGGTGGCAAAGTTCTGTTCTACACTTGGCCTCCATATGATAATTTTGGCCTAGTATATTGGAAAATTAGCCCCTAAATAGTGTCTAGGAGGTAAGGGTTTGACTGATGTATCCTCTCCAATAAACTAACCATAAGTAAACAGTTATCACTTAGCAAACAGCTGAATGTCGTCTACAATAAAGCACATTAATGTATACCTGGAAGGCAAAGAAATGTTCTCTGTAGCCTTCTCCAAACACAAATGCAGCCCCAACACTGGTGTAATCCAAGAATGCTGTCACTTGATTTCCTGCACCTTTGAAAGCTTCAAAACCAAATTTGGTACGAAGAATAAGCAAGCCAAACACAAACTGTAAAGCAAGTCCCCAGATAACTGGTCGCCACTTAACCTAGCAATGAAGAATGGAGAGTTGAAAAACAATTGGTAAACAATTCTTAAGTCTACTTACAGTGATCCCCCCTCTCTTTCCCCAGTGTTAATCTGACAAGTAATGAGAGAAAAAAGGATGTAAAGAATTCCTCATGTTTAATTGCTCTTTACACAGCGATTGAATATCAATAACAGACCTCACCATTACTACACATGCAGTTTATTCAAGTTTTCATGCAAATGCTGTATCAAAATAATAATAATAAATGAAAAACAAACAAACAAACATGTGTCTTCCATGACTTGGGGAAATATTTAGAGGCTATCCATAATGGTTTCCACAGCCATAGGTGTCCCATACCTCGAGGATTTTTCCCCCCTGACCATTTCCAGCCACCCAACTCAAAGTGCACCCCACTCATCCTAAATTTGAAATAAACTCATTACTTATTTGAGGATTTGCATATGTACTGAATGATGATTACTTCTAGTGGATGTTCAGCCAAAGAATTTGAAAAAGAGGATGGAATTTACCTTTCTTGGGTGTTTTGAGAAAATCCAACAGAAGAGAATGTTCACAAGCAATCCAGCAAGGGAAATAAAACGCTCAGGTTTCTTAGCAGTGTCCAATCCGAAAAATACTCCAAGTAATACCAACACAATAACCAAAAGAACCCTAGAAAAGAAATCATTTGTTCTGAGAATGGGTCATTCAATCTTAATTTCTTTGTCTTTTATTAAGAGATTTAAGTGAAAGTTCTTTACAAGGTTGAAGCAATTATGACTCATGTTTTAACAAATCTTGGATATCCACACAATTTTTGCTTTGGCGCCCTATGTTAGTCCAACAGTGTAGATGTAAGGGCCAGCTACACTTGGCAGAATAAATAAGACACAACAACTTCTATGCATCTGATTCCTTGTATTCTTGTACAGGATAATAAAAACAAATAACAAATGAGGGTCTATCCGGCAACAATTCGAAGTTATTGCTTCTTACACAGCCTAAGATCCTTCGCTAAAACTAACTCGGTAAAAAAACAGCAAAAAGTCCTGTAAGTCACGCTCAAACTATGCACGTGGCATGGGAAACTGTGCCCTCTGTATATTGTCAGCGGTGCTATAAACTGTATGTAAACGCAATGAATCATACAGTAGAATTCCACAGCAAGGAATTTATTCAAGGTCCCATGACAATTTACTGATACTTTTTATTTGTGCTAGAAAAAATACTTTTATTATAGGCTCTGTGATAGATACACGCAAGCGCCTTACACAGGAGCACTGCACCAGTGACCCAGTCAGGATTACCAATGGAACTCTTGCTGTAGAGTTCACCATGTGTTAGTTTTCAATGTTAACCTCCAGAGCTACACATGTGATGCTACTGGTTGTCAAAAAGCTTCATAAAAGGAGTGGATACAAACATTAAAACTTAACCACTCTTCTCATTTACTCAGTACTCCCTGACAAAGATTAAAAGTACATAGACAAACATTTCCTAAAAAATCCTTTACATAACAACATACTCCTGCTCTAGAACGATGTCCACTCACCATTTCAAATAATGCCATCTACTGCTGAATGCCTCAGCAATTGGCTTCAAAACCACTTGATAGATTTCTGCTCCACAGTGCTTACTTATGAACATGTACGTCATGCAAAACCACAAAAACATGGTAAGTCCAAACAAGGACTTAGCTTTGTCAAATCCACTATGAGCAATGGCAACGATGCTGTAGATGAGTAAAAGAACTGTTACGCACACCAGGATAATTGACAAGCTGTGTTTTTCCCAAATTTCATAACACTTGTTGTACTCTGGTGACTCTTCCCATTTGGCCACAAAAACATGAAATCTCTTCTTCTTCTGGACTGGAGTTTCATCCTTTAAACTTGACTTGGACTCATTCACCCCAGACATCTCCAAATGATCAAGCTTCAGTTCAAGAAAAAAAAAAACATAATTCGAACTATTTAAATAAGACACCATGCAAGCCCTAGGATTTCAAATCCTATGGAGAACATTTTTTCAGTCCTTGCCCAAAGACCTTGGGAACCTACTTTCAACGTTTTTTATTTCAAAAACACAGGATGTTTGACTTTTGGTAAAGTACATTGAAATGGGCCATGAATACTATTTCAACAAAAATAGTGGGCATCTTTTTAAATGTCAATTAATTTCTTGAGACTTTGTTACACAGCTTCTGTCCACGTTTTTATGGTTTACCTAAAATTTATGAATCAGGAATTCTATTGAGACCCATGGTCTCTTTTATTAATTCTCAGACTTCTGTAATTTCTAGTTATCTTAGGAGAATTTTGTCACCTGTTAGGAATACTGATTATACTATCAAAAATTCCTGCAAATTTGCAGATTTCACGAGGGATAAAATTCTTAATGCTGGTGACAAATTGGCATCTTTTGACATTGTTTTGCTGTTCCCCAAAATCCCCATTGACCTTGTCGTTAAAGTTGCGGAGGAGAGACTCAAAGGAGACGCGTCCTTGGGACAAAGAACTTCTTTGTCCGTGGAGGATATAATTCATCTGCTGTCTTTTTGCCTCAAAATCACGCAATTTACATACAACGGCACCTACTATCGGCAGGTTTTTGGTACAGCTACGGGATCGCCTGTCTCTGCTGTCATTGCCGATATTTAAAAGCATTACAAACCAAAATACCGAATATTACTGGAATTTCGAATGTGGCGAGACGTGTGTAGTCATGTGTAAATGACGTAAAATAGACAGTTCTACAGTATTACAAAAAATTTTGACAATTTCCTTGTTTGTTTTCCGGTTTGCTATTGTATATTTTTTTTGTCCAGGAAAGAGAGCTCTCGTAGACGCGAAGCCTAGCCACTATTTCGCGAACAAGCCACAATAGCATCATTAACTATTCATATTATCATGTACACACGCGGACATAGTGCGCAGTTGTTGTACAAACATTACTACGGTGATCAAATCAAACGCACAAATTATCGTAACCAATATAGTCAAGCCCTTGTGGCAACATCGTGTTAAAATCGTGTTAAAATCGTTAGTCTATAAAATACAGCATTCTTGCAATTTCTAATACGCACAAAGAAAAAGGACAATAAGCCCGGCTTTGCCAAAGGAAAAGGACAATAAGCTCGCCTTGCCCAAGAAAGGCGGGATTCACGCGAGAAAAGCGTTCGATTTTTTCAACTTTGAGGAAGAGTTTCGATTTGACCGGGGATAATTGTTTTAAACGAAACTTTTTAAAATTGCTTTTGGATTTAGACAAGTAAGGAAAAAACAAAACCAGAACAAATTTGAGAAGTAATCGGTAAAGGTCGACATGGTGGAACTACTCCATTCTTATCTTACTCAAATAACAAAGTCGACAACATAATTTTCACACTTTGCCAGAGCATCAATACAAAAAATCCGACACCGAAAGCACTCTCCATACGTACTTACCGAAGTCATCTTGATAACTTTCGGCAAAATGCCCTTCTAAAACTGTTACTATTCACTAAAGCACACACGTGCGTTGAATCGTAGCCTTCAGGGAGCAGTGACGTCAAAGAACAATTACTAGATAATATATGCATATATATCAAACGGAGAGAGACTAAAGTGGCCATGGCAAAGACGAAATATCTTTTAAAAATCTTTAAAAAAAATGCAGTTATTCTTATGGCTTACAGAAACTCGTCTAAAAAACTGATGTTGAGCTAGGTAAAGTAAAGCTTTGATCGAAGTATTAATTTACGCCATGTCGATTCCACGAGGGAACACCGCGTGCTCATTTAAGAAGAGTTACATACAACTATGAAGTTGGGTATCAATCGCGAAATAGCGAGAAATTTGTGATTGAACACGACGTACCATTAAATTTTGGTCTTCCACGTTGCCATCCAAAAGAGCACTTCGTAATCCATCGACCACACAGCCGCTGTCTTCAAGGTTTACTTTGGTCGGGGGGTTATCCATTGTCGAACGCGCGATCCAAATCTTACGACTTCAATATATCAAACTAAGAAGAGAAAAAGGCTCTCGATTACAGGTAAGGCCAAGTTTACGTCTCATTTCAATTCAAAGAAAACATTTTTGGCTCGGTTGCCTTAAAAACTTAATGTTTTGCTGAAAGATGTTGGCGCCAAAACTTGCGTTTGGCGCCATAAACATTCCACTACGCAAATTTACTTACCAGAAATTACGGTGATCTTAAACTGTCAGGTCAGGTAGGAAAACGAAAATAGGAGTAGATGCTGCGGTGGCGGTTGTGCCAATGAAAAGGACTAAAATCAGAGGTTGACGGAATGAGTTGAATGTGCACTTGCTTGCAGCCTGTAGTTGTGTTGGGGTTTGAAGCGCCAAATGGACTTTCAAACCCCTTGATTTGCGCGCGAATAATGAGTTAGCCAATTAGAATGCTCAACGTCTGCCACTTGTCTCTTCACCCAATCAAAACACGATCATAACAAAAGATCAGTAATCAAAGTAGAAAGGTTAAGTAGAAAGCAAACTCGTTGTTTGTATTGTGGCGGTTAATGCCAACTCCTCAAAATACGGTACAATACGGTTAACTCCTCAAAATACGGTACAATTCGTAAAAATGCTCAGCGATACTACACACCAAATCGTCTACTAACATATACTGATATCACGTTAAATTTCATGTGGTCTCAAACGTGACAAACGAGTCGTGTATCGCAGATGGTGATGTGTTTTGGCGGGAATGCTATTTGCGCCTATAAAGATACCATAGCAAATTTTACTTTTTTCGCCGCCACGTGCTAGAAGCAGCTCTCCTATAGAAAAACATGTAAAAAGGATGTCCCGAAATAATTGAAAAATTTAACTTATTTCGCTCAGACCCTGAATATCAAATATGATTATTTTTATTTCAAAAGGGGAAATTAATACTATGCTTAAATTGCGTCTGGTGAAACAGTGAGTGCTATATATAAACAATATCCTAGTTTTTGTAGAGGCGTATCGATGTAATAGAGAAATCTACGGGCTGTTGATACTCAAGTCACAGGTTGTAAAAGTGGAAATATGCCATAATAACTTAATAAGTGATGGGCTGGCGTCTTACCGAAGCCTCCGCTTGAATAAGCTAATGATTATTTTCGCGTATAAACAAACCTATTGTTTTAGAAGGCTTCGATCCGAGGTGAAGTTTGAGCTTTTGCTTCACATTGACAGGATTGTAAAATGTTACAATGTCCGCTGAAGAAGCACATCCGGGGAAATTATTCGAACAATCTCTTGCAAATGTGGTATAGAGAAACTGTTCCTGTTAGTGTACCACGCTTGTCTCGTAACGAGAACTGTTTTGTTTTTCAAGGTCACACGTGATTAGCAGCTGTAGTAACATCTCCAAAATTCCACGAGGCTTTCATTTTGGAAAATGCATCTGAATCGCCTACGGGCTTGTCCCAAATTTGAAAAAACCATCTGGAAAAACTTTTGACCAACAATTCCTGTTCGTGGTCAAATCTCATGGAATTGAAAAATTGCAAGAAAAGAATTACCTATGAGTTTGCCTTCAAACTAGAACTCTAAGCCGTAAGTGAACTGATTTCACGACTGGCTGAGTTTCCCGCCTATCAACGCCATTGTTAAATTACTAATATATATATATATATATATATATATATCATTACACAAATTGAAGCTTGGGGGTCTTCGGACGAAATGTTTTTACGTTTTCCCTGATGTTATCCGTTAGACTGTTATTAGGCCTCACGGCACTTTTTCGAATCAAGTTTTTCTACTGTCCAGACATCGCTATCATGATATATTTCGTAGTACTATGACTTGTTGAATGGTAATAGAGTTTCCTTCGTTTGCGTGACCGAATTCTTGTAAAATGATAAGTGTTTCAGTCTCCCTTGTTTTCTCTCAAGAATAGCTAGTCTGCTTCTTACGAAAAACAGAGGCGTCTATGAGCACGTGTTTTCCATGAGGGGGCAGGTAGTAGCTGGCAGTTTTTGTCGTGTGCGTCATCAAAACAAAAGCAACGGTAGCACAAAGCCCTTGGCTCGTACCATTATTCTCGCTGTTTTTCTGCCCGTTACATACGGGTAGTGCATGGGCAGTGAACTAAGCATCGAGGGACTTTCTGCGTCCCATTTCTCTTGCTGCTTCCCTTCGTTCAAACTTCCTTAATGCCATAAGCAAAGCAGGTTAGTTATGCGGGGGCAGCGTAACCATCGTGGGTGACGGTTTTTTGTATATTTCATCAGGACACAAGCGGCGTTGGCGTCAAGCCTCGAGGGACTTTATAATTTTTTTCTCCATTCCTCTCGCTGCTACGCTACTCGGACTCCACATAGTACCACCAACAGAGCAGGTTAAGCGGGGGACAGTATGGCCTTCATGGCTGGCGGTTTTGTGTGTGTTTTATCGAAAACACGAGCGATGGCGGTGGGAAGGTTGAAGGGATCCTCTCTTTTCTCTTTTTCTCGCAGCTCTCCATCTCATAGTGACGCTAACAGCAAAGAATGTTATGCGGGGGCAGTGTAACCATCGTAACTGGTAACTATGCGTGTGTTAGTGTTACCTTAAAAAGAATGATGTGGTGGGGCGAAGCTATCGATGCACATTTGCATTCAATCTGCAAAAAAGAGGGATATCGCAGGACCGTCCACCCACTGCCTCTATCGTGTCGGTTTCTGATAATCTTGGGTTACTTGGAACCACATGCATACCTTTCCACCGGTGTATATATCTCCCTTGTTTTCGAAAAAATAAATTAATGAATAAAAAATTAAAAAATATATATCGTTGTGTTTTTATAAGCCAGTTTCGGTTGTCCTCGCCAAAAGCTTATTCCCAGAAGTGACGTTCCCTTCTCCCACATGACACGGAAGTTTCTAAGTGGGGGAGCGCGCCCGGTTTTCGCATTGCTTATCTTCATTTCGCAGGAATAAGCTCAAACCAAAACAGATAACGTTGCCAGACATGGTTTGATGCTACTCTGGTTTAAAGATTTAATGAATGTAACCGAAGAAGTTAAAATTCATAGACCAAACGTTTCGACACTCCTGTCTAATGCCTTCATCAGGGGTGATCTAAACGCTGCATTAAGGTCCTTTTATACGCTCACTAATTAGCTTCCCTTTTTTTCTGATGATGTGTAAATAGGCGTCAGGAAGTAAGCCACCATCAGCACGATTTAAAGGAGCGTGGGCGGAGTTAATATGCCAAGCTTCCAAACAAAGGCGCTGGTGGTAACGCCGATAAGTGGTGATAATTTTAGACTTATCTACCCAATTGTAAGGCATGTGTGCTCTGATAAAGCTGAATTTTCTTTTTAGCAAAAGAAAACCGCTTTTTAATGCTCTTTCAAACGTGTACCAAACTGACGTTTAGTCTGTCCGATGAATTCGTTGTCACAGTCATTGCAAGGAATAGAATAAATGGCTCCTTTCAATCAGCGGAAAAACCGCGTCAGTTTATGTTTGCAGCAGAAGAATCGTAGCCCTGAACGTTCAAACCGCGCACTCGTTTGCGGCTGTTTTTCCCGAGTCATGACAACATTTGCTCATGCGCGGACGTTTAACCACGAAATATCGTGACCATAAACCCGCTGACTAAACACACATCATTGTCGCGTTTGGTTATTAAATTTTTATCATCGTGTTTCTGTACGCTTTTTAAGAGGTTTGACATGATTGCTAAAGCTGTTTTGATATTTAGCTAAACGTCGGCCATAATAGACCTGCATTACATGATTCATCTATAATTATTAGGTTACATTTAGTGATAAACACCCCCAAGAACACTGCGTTAAATTCACCTGCTACCAACTACCTTGTATAAAAAGACACTAACTATCAAACTTCCTTTGGAAACAACTGACGTAATTGTATATAAAAAAAAAACCACGAAAGCCGGCACTTTGTGCCTTAATATTTAGGAATTTGTGTTGTCTTTTTTAGTCATTTTCACTACAACTAGTCGCTGACAGGGTCCTTCTCGCGTTGATCCTCCATCAGCATTTTCAGCTGAGCCCTTGCGCTCTCCAAAAATAGGTCCAAACCATGAAGGTACTTTTGTCGAACGGCTCTATCAGCCTGTTTGAAGAACGGACCACAAAAGTCAGTATTAAAGACTGCCCCACTTAAAGACATCTTTGAATATCTGTGAAGTACACTTTACACCGAAGTCAATTCGCGTCCTCGAATACTTTGGTTTCAGCATAACCTGAAGACAAAAATGCTCTTAAGCTAGAGCGAATTATGCCGCCGTTTGTGAATCTAAGAAAATCGAGCCATTTTTTAGATTTTGTCATTCCCAGCATCTGTTACTTACCTTCTCCCTCGATCACTCTTTCCTTTTGTACTGTTACCTAGTTTATCTATCCATTCATTCAGTCATTCACTCATTTATTTAATCATTCATTTATATTTCATTCATTCATTCATTCCCTCATTCATTAAATACTTTCCATCATGACCCCCTATTTTTACCTCTTGTCTAACTCGTGAGTATTCCAACATTTCTTTCTTTGTCTCCTCCTTTATTTCCTCAGCAAACTCCTTCCCTCTCTGCCTTTCCTCCTTCAGAGCCTCTTCCAACACAACCTGCGTTACAGATCAAAACAGAAACAGAAACTGTAGAGACCGCAAAAGAAAGGCTGGTGGAAAAGCAACACCTGAAAAACCCCGTAAACAACCACAAATATTGATGTGGACTACAACTGATCATCAAAACAGGTCTAAAATTTCCTTCATTAGAAGCGTTGCCACACGAGAATTCATAAGATAAATGGAGTGAAAAAATTCTCTCGGCAGTCACGCTAAACACACCCTTTTCGCTAGTTTGTCCGCACTTTCCGATGGTATGCACTTACCAACCTTCCCGCGTTTAAAGGGGGTGGTGTTGCGTCGGTGGGAGAGTATGGCAAGTAATTTAGTATTACCAACTGAGTTGAAAACGTAAATTGGCCACCGTAAAGAGTAAACAGGTTGACGTTTCAAGCGTTAGCACTTCGTCATTCGCTCTGACGGAGGACTAACGCTCGAAATGTCGGCTTGTTTACTCTTTACGATGGCCAATTTACGTTTTCAACTCAGTTGCTAACACTAAATTTCCCGCGTTTAAAGTCTGTCTACTTTAATGATTCGTTCCTTTTTTTCTTACCTTACTGTGATTTGTCAATGTGATTTTCATGGCGCCCCTCTTGTTTAGAGTGACGTCACACCTCGGATTATGAGTCTTGAAAATTTTAGCCAACGTTTTCAAGCGTATCATTTACAATCCGATTTAATCTCCTTAACGTGTAAATTTTTTTTTTTGATATGTGTTAAAAACTATTCTGATGTTACACAAATGTAAAATTTTGTTGAGCCGCTTTTTTGAGTTAAAAAATACCGCTATTTTGGCTAAATTGTAGCGAGGACGCGCGGCCTCATTTGTGTTGTTTATCGTACCGGACTAATAATGTCTAGTCTCTTTCAAGGCGAGAGCAATTTTGCATATTGTTAAAACTGTCTCAAGTTATAGTCAAGTTTCTTTCAAACTTAATTACGAATCACTTAACTACTGCTATTTTGAATGGGACAAGAGGAGATAAAAAAATTTATTTGAGTGACATATACTTTGCTAGCTTCTCTCTCTTCCTTCATGGCATCTTCCACAAGTCTCTGTAGCCGGTGTCCTTCTCGGTCTGTTATTGTCTTGATGGCTTCCTGTGGACAAGGAAAAAAAATCACATGGAAGCGGAAAGATTGAGAAACCTGCCAACAGCAGATCTATATATATAGCCATCCGTCAGAAGAGCAAAAAAATGCTCAGAAAATACGTGATGTATCTTTCTACCTGCATATTTACCCAAGCCCAAGCGAATATGCATGTTTCTTGGAGTATTTTCATCACACACACAGTGTATATCACACACACAGTGTATATCACACACACAGTGTATAGTGTCACTCAGACTCAACTCATAAACGGATCGCGTTGCAATATGGCGGTTGTACTGCTATATTTGGAGCTGGTTTGGCCAACGTGACCTATCTTATCACAACCAGATCAGCTTAGTCCGCTTACTCCTCTTTCATATGTTTGTTATTTCTTATCCCCATAAAAGAAAGGGGGGGGGGAGACGTTCATGAGTCTCTCTAGGACTGTGGATGTTTATCTCTTATGTAAAGCCATACTAGTTCCTTTTTACTACTGTATTGGTTACCACATTAATAAAAAGATTTAGCGTAGAAGTACAAGTAAAAAATTTCCAAGGTCAGGGATAACACTCAAGTGTGAATTCTTGCTGCATAATCTTGAATGTGGCAGAAGTAACAGCAGTAGCAATAAAAAGGAACTTCTGCAACGAATTCATCACATTTAGAAATTTCAGGTTTTAGGGCTGTTCAGTCTCAAGCTATCTTTCACATGCACGCCGTGGTTACCTCGGCCCAAAATCATAAACGCACCTCATGTTCTGTAATGAATTCCTCATATTTTCTCCTCTCCTCTTTTCTTGCCGCTTCTACTGCTTCTGTGCACTGCTGATTGGCATCCTGATGGAGAAGAAATATCAGAGGCATACCTTCAAACTTCAAAGAAGAAAGAGCGCATATCGTCCGAGCATCAGAAAATCAAGACCAATGTAATTACAAAAGCCAATCACTGTGGAGTGAAATATCACAAATAACCGAAATAAACTCGGAGTAAAATCCATCAAACTACCCAAAGCGCGGGAAAATGTGAGTGATCTAGTTGCAGATGGTTTTTTTCTTTCAATTTTATTGGCTAAGAGGGTGGTAAGAGTTTTCTTTACCAATCACTGCGCACAGCATAGTAAAACTAACGCATTTTTTAGTTGTCATATCAAATAGACCACTTACTTACCTCAATAGCTTTGTCTAAAGCCTCTTTGCTCTTTAATCGTTCTTTTTCAAGATGAGATTCAATCTCCTCCTACAGGCAACGAAAAAACTGTTAAAAAGCTCAACACTTCTACTTGTTAAAACTTTGTTCGGTTTTCTATTCTGCGCATAAACATTCATACCTTGTGCCTTTGTTTTTCCTCATCCAACAAATCACTTGTTTTTTGTTCGTTTTGTTTCCTCTCCTCTTGTAAAGTTCTTTCAAAGCTCTCTTGCTACAAGGTGAAAAGTCAACTTCAACGTGAAAGTTTATGAGACTCGTGTGATTGGAAATTAGAAATATTTGGTGGAAAGAGAAAAGCACTGACTGTGGCAAGCTTTTAACACTTTTTAAAGCTACATAATGCAAACTAATGCAAAAACATCCATCTAACAACAGTTGAGGAAATGACTGCTAACAATTTGAGGATGTAAAGAAAATCAATATTGAAGAAAGAAAAAGGAAATTGATTTCTTTACCTGATCTTGAAGGAAGCCCTGAAACTTCTTTTTTTGATCTTCCAGAAGCTTTTCTATTTCATTCTTGTTACATTCTTGTTGTTCCAAAACAGCTTTTCTGGATAATTCCTTGAGAGGGAAGGCATCAACTATTATTAAACACTTCTAAAGACAGGTGGAAAGGAAAATTAGTGGAGGAGGAGGTACTGGCTGCAGAAAAAGGGAGGAGATGAAGATTAAATGAGAAGAAGAAAAAGAGGATGAGAGGGAAAAAGGAATAAAAAAGAATATAACTGACATAAATTCAGTTCCAGTGGCACTACCTTATATTCTTCCACAATTACTGCTAAGGTGTCATGGCCAGCTTTTCTAATCTCTTTTACTTGATTTTCATGTTGTTCCTGTAGAATTACAGAGAAAACAGCAATTTGTAATTTAATTTTTCAATCATATGGATTACACTTAACCCTTTAACTCCCATGAGTGACTAAGACAGAATTTCTCCTCACTATATCAATAACATATCAACCAGATAAGTGATGAGAATAAAGAAATATAAAATATCAATTTGGGGATTATTAGTTGATCCAATACTAAATTCTCTGAACTAAAATTATAAGAATTGTATATAAGGAAAATTACAAATTTTATCTGGGAGTTAAAGGTTTAATAGATCCTTCTCAAAATTTCTCTTACCTGAAGATGTTGGTATTTCTCTGTTTGTTTAGCAAGCATTTCCGTAAGATTCTGGGATTCTTCTTCAAGAGTTTTATCCTTTTCTAGAAGTGCATTTAGGTCCTATTGGCAAATATCAGTTCACAAGATAGTTTAGAAATAATCCACAACACATTTTAATTGCTCTGAATTTGTTCTCTGGTCAAGTTGTCAACACAGAAATAATAGGTACTAGGAGCGGATCTAGAAATTCCTTACAGGTGGAGGAGGGGGGGGAAAGTAGAAATTTTGATTCAGAATATACAGATTTATTTTAAGTTTAAATTCTTCACCTTAAGTAGTAACATTGGATCTTGTAATTGTGAGAATTTTGGTATCAGACAAGAAGAAAATAAACCCACAGATCTGTTGGGGAAGGGGATCTGGATCCCCAGACCCTCCCCCACAAACTATCACTGTTAATATTCCCTTCCAAGACTACTCCCACTGGGCAACCATGATACATAAGACCAACTGTTCTCAGACTCAAGATCTTCACTATAACACAGTGTGCCTAAGGCTGAAATATAGAATACATTCCACACATACAACAGTGCTGTTTGAATACCAAATTGAATGAAAATTGAAGGACAATGCCAGATACCTCTCGTAACTTTAATTTTTCTTTCTCAGCAATGGATAATTTTTCTTGAAGTCCATCCATCTTCTCCTCAAGTTCCTTGTTTATTTTATTTGCATCATGAAGCTGCTGAGTAAGTTCTTTGTGAGTACTGTCTGTTGGCTTTTCAAACATTGAACTTGGCTGTTGTTGTGCCATTACAACCTATGCATAAAAAGGAATTTATTTGTAAGTACATTGGGTTTTGATTTATATGGATTTTAATCAGAATTCTCCTTTTCACTGAAGGGTGGAGTTTCTAAGGAGATAAATATTTCATAGAGAGGGAAGGAGAAATGAAGATTTTATGGAAAAAAAACTTAAGGCAAAAGTAAAAATTTCATTAAAATGGCATTTGGTTCAAACTCAAGCATGTTAGTTAAAAGTAGAGCCTTTTCTTTACATACCGATAGCATGTCTTGAGCTGATGAAACTTCTTTATCTAAAGTATTAAACGTATTAGGACTGTTTTCTTGTGTTTGTTGATTTACAGCTGTGATATATGATGGTATAAATTTTTCATCTGTCACTGCTGAATTTCCACCACTTGTATGACTGGCTTGTGTCTGAAGTTGTTGGCCTTGTTCTTTGTTAGATGGATCTGAAATTGTTTCCACTGGTTCTGTCAATGATTCAGCGAGAAAAGAAGAAAAATCTGCATGAAAGCTGTCATATTCTGTTTTGTAGTCTGGCTTGTTTTCTTCCTCTTTCAAAGATTTTCCTGATGATGCAGATGTTGCTGGAGATACATTTTGATTGTTTAAAAGAAACGAGTTAATAAAATCTGAATGGTCACTAACAGCTGGAGGGTTCTGGATTGAAGAAGTTGAACTTTTGTCAGTTTTACTTGAAGTGTTGAATGATGGCGCAATATTAGATGGCAATATCCCAGATGTGGTGGGTGATGATGATGGAGGGGCAACTGCAGCCCAAGTAATTAGAGATCCTGGTGCACTACTTCCATTTGCAGCTGGTGTTGCAGACTGAAAGAGAAGTCCTACACATGTTTGCATGGTTTATGCACAGAAAAGTATCAAAATCTGAGATCCACATAATAAAACAATAAAATAAAATACAGTAGTCTACAACAAGTAATGCATTGGTCTTAAACAGAGAAATAATTATTAAATTGTTACCCAAATACCATAACACACCAGAACAATTAACTAATTACAAATAATCATTCTTCCAACCTGAAATTACTACAAGAATTCAATTATTCTAGTCCTAAGCTCTTAAATCAAATCCAACAACAATACCCTAGTCAAACTCATTAAAACAGAAAAATGATTTAGGGATGAAATTAAAACTGCACTAGGATTGAAATATAGCTAGCTATCTGTCCACAAATTTGATATATGACATCAATCTAGAAAACTTGCATGTACGGGGAAAAAGGTTCACCTCGAAACCTCCAAAGTCTGCCCAATCATCGTCATCATTCTGAAAAAGATACACATATATATATATAAACGTTACACTTACACGTTACAATTCATTCTCGATATTGTCCACGCATTTCGATTACGAGTTGAAAAGTTCTACACGAAGACCGCAAAAATCTTCCCTTACAGTACCTCTTCATTTCCCGCTGATGAACCAAAATCAGCCCATGTATTTCCATCCATCATAAAATCTAGTCTTCAGCTCGCCATTAACCAGAAAATTTAAAAGATCAAACCAAATTCAACAGGAACTGAAATGTAGCAACACTTTTCGGCCAGGCGTTCCAAACTTCTCCCATGAGACATCAGTCTCGCGTGGTCATGTGATCGAATGTCTTTGGCGCCATTTTAAACGTGTTTAATGCACACTGTATTTTGATTTGCATTTTAAAAACTCTGTTTTATTATTGTAAATTTCAACGGAGAAGTTCTTATTTTACCAGATAGCCCTTACTATCTCTAGTACTTGAATATTTTAATAGCTTTTTTGTCTAAGAAGATCTAGGTTTTATAGATATTATTGGGAAGAAACCCGAAGTAACATCATGGCGCGAAAGCGAAGATTATCATCAGATGGCGAAGAAGAAGCAGAAGTCAATCAAGAAACGCAGGGGGAATCACCTCAACCCAAGAAAAAACGAATTTCATCAGTTAGAAGTGTAGCACACGAGGGAAGTATGGAAGAAGATACTTTCAACTGCTCGCAAGCTCCAGATTTTCCAGTTTTGTCGGTAAGAATACATATATATTTTGAAATAGTGAACAAAACGAAAGTAGAGTAAACTAACTCACATACTGGTCCCACATTAGCAGATTATAGCGATTACACTAACATGCATCTTAAATAACACATTTATTAAAGGTGTGGTGGAAATCAGAGAGGTATTCGAAAACTATTGAGCCTGATTATCAGCACAGCGGTTAAAACTTTTAGCTGACATATATTTGTTCTAAAGGTATCAGTTTAACAAACAGATTCCAAGTTGCCGTGCGTCTGTTCAGTAATTGATCACTGATGACATCAAAATGTGGTAAGAACAAAAAAGTGACACACGAGGTGCAGCCAAGTGTGTCACTGATGTTCTTACCACATTTTGACATCCTCTGTGATTTATTACTGAACAAAAAAATTTAATGTGCGGCAACTTGGAATCTATTTGTTTTATATAATAAAGAATTAAAAAAAAGTTTTAATGATGATGTCATCTATATGTCTGTCCTCCAATAGATCATAAGTGAGAATCAATCAGAATGTGTGCATAACTGAGCTTATTATATAAACTCTTCTCTATTTAATTAGCCACTTTATTTCCTTGAAAATACTTCCACAAAGTGTCCTTTTCCATTTATTTGAATGGAAAAATTTAAAACTTACCAAGAGTCCTTCAAAAGAAGTGGAGTAATGCTGTAAGTGTTTCTCCTTATAGAAAAGGAGTGATGAAGAATTTTCAAACTTTCCAAGCAGGGTTATTCAAATCATTGCCTTTTTATTTTGAATTCTAGTTTTTTTTTCAATGATAAGCACCTCATTAGGTGCTGATTAGGTTCTGTTAACATTCATTTTATAACTTTGCAGTCAGAGGCTGAAGTTGGAATTATTGAGAAGGTGACATTAGTGAATTTCATGTGCCATACCATGCTGGAAGTGCCTCTTGGACCAAATGTGAACTTTATCATTGGACGAAACGGAAGTAAGTGCTTTCGAAACAAGACCAATTGTTGATCACTCTTACTTTATAGTGAAAACCAAGTGTAGCAGTGGTGTGAATTTATTATAACCAGCCAGCGACTAGTTGACCTATTACAGTGTTCTCCCCCATTTAAGCATGACATGCAAAGGGAATTTTTAAATAATAAGGCAGTCTTTCACCTGTTGAGTTTTTAAGAATTTAAAATGATTTTAGGCAATAATGAGAGGTACTACCATTCTTTTGTTGGTTTATTAGTTGCAAATAGAAGATTTGAGAACCAATTGGTTATCTTTCAAACAGTCCAGAAAGGAAGAAAAGGTTGGATTTTGATTTTTCCATGATCTATTTTCAAGGTGGTAAGAGTGCCATTATGACAGCTTTAGTAGTAGGATTAGGTGGAAAGGCCACCACTACCAATAGAGGAAATTCTCTCAAAGGATTCATAAAAGATAAGTGCAGGTGAGAAATTTCTTTAATCTCAATGCAAACAGAATAATCAGACTCACATTTACCCGGTTTCTGTGGAATTCCCACATGCCTTTGCCTGGTTGTTGCTAAGCTCTGGCTGCCAGCAAAATTCGTCAGATGCAATCTTTGCACCACCTCACTTGAAATTTCAGCTGGTAGCATTAAAATTCCTAGCTACAACCCTGCCTTTGGGGACTCTGGCATCCCTCAACAACCTCTGCTCTATCATTTTATGTGACAATGACCAAAGGTATATGAATCAGTCAAAGTCATGTTTATCAAATGATGAAGTACTTAGGAGTTGCCATAGAGGATAGTGGAGCCCAAAACTCCAACTGTGTGCAACAAATAACCTTGAAAAACTTATGAGTTGCATCCAGCTAGGCATCATCACACTGCTAGCTTGAGGAAGACTGTACTGTATGTTCTTATCCAATACTTGCCAAACTGGTGAAAGGGGAGGGGATTGTTGTAGCAATTTCAACAGTTTTGTGACCTTAACAGCTTTTGCTAAGACATGGGGCTGACATGGGAAGACAGAGTAAATGTTACATGACAGGCCTGTCCAGCATGGTCTAAATTATTTTAAACCAAATTAAGTAGTTTGGTCAGTTATATTAAGTCATTTTTTTGTGTCTTAGTTACGCCCAAGTCTCAATCAAGCTACGAAACAGAGGACAGGATGCATACAAACCAGATGATTATGGAGAGTCTATAACAGTGGAAAGAAGAATCAGTAGTGATGGGAGTGGATCCTATAAGCTCAAATCGCATGACGGTACAGAAATAAATAATTATCAGGCACATTTTTGCTACTGTAAACAGGGGCTCACAAATATCTTTGATATTTTTTTGTTTCAGGTAAATTAATATCACAGAAAAAGGATGAACTTAATCACATTCTCGACCAATTCAACATTCAGGTAAACTGAAATTGGGACTTCACTTAACCTTTGACTCCTAAGAGTGACTAGCAGCTAATTTCTCATTACAATATTTCCCCTGAATGAAACATTAAGATCATGAGAATATAGGAAATGATCTCCAACACAAGCAGCTCTTGATTGTTAGGCAACTTCCCCTGTCAGAAGATGATTAATTTCAATTGTGTACCAGGTTGATAACCCAGTATCAGTGTTGAATCAAGACACAAGTAGAAATTTTCTGAACTCTTCAGATCCCAAAGACAAATACAAGGTATGTGTTTTTGAACTTGTACAGGTAATTGTAGATTGTAGTAAATTTATCATTGCTATTGATTTGATTTGAGAAAGAGATAGATTTCAGAGAAGACATCAATTTGTAGCCTGGTATTCAACTATTTTTTTTTCTTGTTTGTTAGTTTTTCCTTAAAGCCACCCAACTGGAGCAAATGAGTACAGATTATGAGATGATTATTGAACAGCAAGATATCATAAAAAATACCCTGGACAGAAAACAAGAGGTACATACATACCACATGGTTAACCTTACATGTAATTACCTTTGAAAATACAGTGCTTGGAAACAAAAATCACATCATTTCAACTCATTGCAGACCCTTCCAGCTATGCAGCATCAAGTAAAGGAACTAGAAGATAAATACAAAGATATTGCACAATTGAAAAATATGAAAGAGCAGGTTGAAGATCTAAAGAAAGAGAGAGTCTGGGCAGAAGTTTTTGAAACTGAAAAGGTACACTGTTTGCAGAATTACAGGATTACAATATCACAAAAATTTCAAGATCAGATCCCTATTGTATTATTGAGTCATAACTGGTGCAACCCTCAGAAAGTTTGCTCTATGTAGCTATTTTACTCTTGTTAATTGTTAATTTTTTCTTCTTCATAATCTTGTCCTTATATTGAACCAACTCCAACACTTCCAGAAGTGGTTTAAATGTAACTTTTCATATTTTCAATATGTTTTATAAAATAATTCAAATAGTACGTGCGCTCTGATTGGCCATAAAACCATTTTACATGAGTGTATGTAAACACGGTTTTCATTCCTCTTTCATTAGTTATTTTATAAAAGAAATGTAAAATGGTTTCTGTGTTTACATAGCCTGATGTAAACATGGAAACCATTTTACATTTCTTCAATCTAGTAGAGAAATGTGGAGAATATACAAATCTATTATCTGTTGTCCCATCAACCTCTGACATCCCCCAAATTGGAACGTTCTTGTTTTGTGTGTTAGTGTGCATGTTGTAAGTACCACAGTGTTCCCAATGATGAGATCATCCTTGCGCACTCAGGACTAGCATTGTACACTTGTGCATTTGTTAGTGTGCCGACAACTAAGGGACCCACTTTGCTGCAGTGTTAGCAAGGTGGGCTGAGGGAACAATGACAGCAATGTGCTGAATTACAACAAGACTAGTGAAGACCTGTGATTAAAATGTGCTCTCTTGTTGTACTCTAGCAACTTGGTCCCCTAGCAAGAGAAGAAGAAAGTCAGAAGGCAAGGTTGCCAAGATATGAAGAAAGAGTTACAACTTGCCAGGTATAATGTATGCAAATTGTTTCACATTGCCTCGATATGCAATTGATACTGGAAAATCCTCTTCTTGAATATTGAAGTTTTAATAACTAACGAAGAAAGTCCGAAGAGTGTTTTTTCTGCAGTTAAAATGAAAACCTTTTTTCCATAAATCAGTTGTTTCTTAGGACTTACAACCATGAGCAGGAAAGAGGTGTCTGTCTGGAACCTTTTATTTGTGAATTAGCTGTTTGGACATTTTTATTTACATTATTACAATCTGAGATTTATGGATTATTTCATTAAAGAAAGAAATAAGAAACTTGGAAGAAGAGTGGGCCGAAGTTAATCAGCAGTTCAATTCCATCACTCAAGAGGCCAAACAGTTGAATGGAGAACAAGCTGCTATATGCAATGAACTTAAACAAAAGAAAAACCTTTACAGAGAAAAACAGGTGTGATTCCATTGTTAATGCATTTTTTTTATGGTATTACACCTTTATTTTGCCTTGTTTAGATTTAGGCTGTTACAACTACGTAGATAGATCAGCACTGAACATTCAGAAATTAGTAACCTAGAAAATGGCAAAATAACAGTGACAAGATATTAAGAATTTTCTCAATTCTGGTAACCAAATCTCATGTATGTTACCCAAAAATAGGCAAATGCTTGCTTTCATATATTTTCTGAAGGCTTGAATATGCATTTATTTCAGTCCAGACTACGAAAGTTGAAGCAGGAGAAGAACACATCAGAAAATGATCAAAAGCAGTTGATGGAGAAAATTGAGGAAATCAGACAAACGTAAGTGCTTAGGGGGTTCCCACTTGAAGGCTGTGTTGTGAGATCTCTTGAGTGCCATTCCAGTGTCTATTACTTAATGTTTCTTGGGCAACTTACTTGACTTTGAAAGGGAAAATTTAGGAAATAAAGCAAAGGTACCTGTATAGGGAGTTCCCAATTTAGGAATGTGCTGTAGCACCTAAGTGCCACTCCAGTGCCTTACTTTTTTTCTTGCCTGTTCAACTCTGCTTTTATCAGAGCCTTTTCAAGAGCTGTGCACCCTAAATATCCAAGATAAGAACCCTCAAGCACACAGTGATGCTTCAAAGAGCACAATTTTGTAATCCATTATGTAGTGAATCTCAAAATTTTGGCTAATTGGACATCACAACATACTCCTGGTAATTGATGTTATTATTTACCTCAAACATGATAATTCTGTTCATGTAGTTGATACATGGAGTTTTTGTTTAATTTGTTATGTCTTTTTTACAGAGCTATGCGTGATCTAGAATCTGAGAGGAGGCAAAGACAAGACGCTCTTCAGCAAAAAAGAGATGAGTTCAAAGCACTGGAAAGCCAGTTGTCAATGACAAATCATCACAGAGGACAGCTGGAACAAGCTATCAGCAGAGCAAAAGAAAGAACTTACCAGCTGAGGTAAGCTAACAAGTAACTTGTTATATCCATGGGAGGTTTGTAGTAGTAAACTGTTAATGGTTATGGTAAAAATTAGTGTGACTGTCAATTGTTACACTGTAACTGAACCACACAGGCAGATTTTGAAAAGTTATGGAACATGTAATATCAAGTCAAGCTGTTTTTTTCTAGTAAGAAAGGATCACTGCCTTGGCTCAGTAATAGTACAAGTCATGTTTAAGTGCATAGCACTACGCCTATGATGAAGTATTTTTAGCAAAAAGGAAATTCTTTCCATTCCTTTCTGTCACAAGCCAGGATATCTCTGTTATGAAGAATTTGTAGGATTGTTATTGTGGGGTTTTTGGATTGGCTGTTCTTTATTTTTTGCGGTAATAAATTTTTTTCATTTATGAAATCCCTGACATTTATGCAGGGTATTAATTCTTGCAGTTTGTTAGAGGGAAAAGTAACCTTCAGCATTTAGTACTTGTTGAATTTAAAGCACATACAATCAGAAAATCCACAAAAAAGTGATGCTCAGGCTTAGCAAAACTTTCATATTGCATGGCCCATTTTCCTTTTTTTGTTAGGTGTATATTTAGAATAAACCTCTTTTACCAATCTTTCTCTGCAGGACAGATGTAAATGATGCAACTCATAGAGCTGATGCAATTCAGAGACAATTAAGAGATCTTCAAGGAAGCCGTAACAACAAACTCAAACTATTTGGGTCTTGGGTACCTGATCTTCTCCAAAGAGTGGAGCAGGCAGAACGGAGAGGAAAGTTTCATCAAAAACCTGTTGGCCCCATTGGTAACACACTTTTTTTTTCTATATTTTTTCTTTCAATATGTTTTTTTATTATCAGTCAGAAGAATTCAAATCTTTGCTTGAACTAAAATCAAAATTCAAGAAATCAGAATATTTCATAAATTTTGATTTTGTGGTGATCAAGTAACACATTTAGTCTCTAGTTTCTCTCAACTAAGGGATTCTAGAATTGATTCTTAACTGAAACTACATTTAGTACAAGATATTTACTTAAGTTTTTTGTAATTTAAGGAGCTCATCTAACCTTGAAGGATCAGAAGTGGGCTTTAGCAGTGGAATCCTGCATCAAGAAGTTTGGTTGGGCATTCTGTTGTCATGACAGTCATGACCAGCAAGTTCTCCGCCAGCTTTTCCAGCAAGTGTGTGGAAAAGATAACATACCCACCATAATTGTCAGCAGGTTTCAGGTTTGTCTGAGAAAGTTATTTTGTCTTTTAACTCATTGCTGAGGGATCATATTGGTGAGGGTGCCTTGGAGTGGTGTTGTAGGGCAGAAGGATAAATTTGTTAGTGTCCTCCACAAGGCAATGTCCTGCAGGATGTCTCAGTTGAAAAATAAAACTTACTTATATTCACCTTTAGGAAGGAGAGGGATAAGAACCCAAATAGTTTTGCTCGACAGTGTAATATGGAGAGTAATGTAAACACAAAAAATGGCTGGATCTTAACAACAGAGGTTTTAAGTTACTAGAGCCATTAGGAACCACAGTTATATGACATCAGTTAGAAAATAATCATTCTTCTTTGTTATTTTTGTGTACCTTTGTGGACTATAGTGGTGGTTTCTCATAATTCTGTTTTGTTGTTTCATTTCAGAATGAGGTTCATGATGTTTCTGCTAATGTAAGAGAAATACATCAATTGTAACTAATAACTACTTGTGGACAGTTATTTTGGTTTCTTCCTTTTCTGTGGGTGATCCATTGACCTGAGAACATTTCTATGTCAATCTTTGGTTATTAAACAATCCTTAAGTTTTCTTCTAAATGAGTATCTTAAATCTCCATCTTACAGGCAAAATTTGCCCTTGAGAGCACCCACACATACCTGTACCATAAATTACTAAGAGCAGTTAAAAAATTATTGGCCATGATTTCTGACATAAAAAAATTAATAACTTGAATTATCATCTTTGATTTAATTCAGAAACCCAGATGTGAGTTTCCTACCATTTTAGACATGCTGATTATTGACAATCCGGTTGTTACAAACTGTCTGATTGATCAGGTAAGCAGAACTGTCAGTACATTTTTTGGATGTACTTAGTTTAGCAATTGTGTGATCAGTTCATTTCCACATTGTTCAGGTGGAAGTATAATCCTGGCTTCCTCTCTGAAAATAACAATCACTGCAGATCTTTCTCACAAGTCACTGATACTTTCACTCTCAGGTTGCCATAGAGTCCGTTTTACTCATCGAAGACCCCAAAGTAGCACGTCAAGTTATGTTTCAACGCCCTCCTGCAAAAGCTAGAATGGTAAGTTTGGATATCCTGTTTTCTCCAGCTTAGACCCCCGTCTAATCATGTGAATGAGTCTTTGCTCAAAAGAGCACACTTTTTACAGCCTAGATCTGATATATGCCTATGACGACAGCAAGTTTTGCAATTGAAACCTATCTCACTTTGAAATGTACAGTGTACCAGTACATCTCTGAGGTGCTAAAGAGAGGTTCTGATCACACAGGGCTAAATATAGGTTTGGCCTTTTATGCTCAAGTTTTTGAAATCTACAAAAGTAACATAATGGTCTTACTGGGTGCAGAATTAACCCTCTCAAAAGTTATAATCAATTTATGAAGAATCTATTGTGTAACATTTCAGGCTTATGCCATGAATGGAGATCAACTGCTTGGTGGAAAAACGGCCAGATCATATGCATCCATGATGGATAAAGCCAGATACTTACAGAAGGACATTGAGGTAGAGATCAGGTAGGTCAGAAATTTATTTGCACTCAATGTACATGACACACTAAAGTTTTCCATTAAGTGTTGATATGATTTTCTGTAAGGAAGTACTGGAACTGATTTTTCTCCAAGCTTGTATAAGAAAATTTAAAGATGATTTTGGAGACCCGAGCCAGTTCTTAACTTGCTTGCTTTTAAAAGTGGAAGTGCAAGTTTTGCAAAATGGTCTTAAAAACACTGAAAATTGCAAGTGGAAGTGTGAGAACCAATTTTCCTTCTCACTCTTATGCTCACACTCATGTTGAAGCCATCGTCATAGTAATTAAGATCCATTATACTTGAGTCACTGTTGGAAACTTAGCCTTGGAAGATGGTTGTCTTGTCAAGCCATTTAATGAGATCAACCAGAGGTGGTTGGATAGTGTGCACAAATGTTGCAACCTTTGCATTTTTCAACCCTTGCAAACAGGGGGCTTTGTGGTGAATTTATTGTTTATTTGTTTGTTTTACTTTGTTTTGCTTTTTCAGACAGTTAGAGCTGGATCTTCAACACAAACAACAGCACCGTCAGCAGTGCCAAAGAGACTTGGAGGAAGTTGACAGAATGATCAGAGACAATGGGGTGAGTCAGTGATTAGTTTGTCTGGTCTTGAGCTTGTGAAGGTTTTCATCATGTAACAAAAAAACTGTGCTTTAACTGGCTTTATATCAGCAAAAAAAATTGAAGGCTCTTGTTATCACTATTCCTTAGCCTAAATATGATTATTAACTAACACTTAATTGAGTAAACAGTTCTCAAAAAGAAAACTCATTTAACAGGCCTTACAGTAGTGTGATAGCTTAAGGAAATAAACTGCTCTTGAAATAACTGTCCCTCATGCCCTGCATAACATTTTCAAACACTTTGGTTAGTATATAGGTCCCCAAATAGCTTTCTGATATAAGTTTCCTTGGCATTGAAAATTTGTTTTTACACATCCTTGTAAGCAGTCAGCTGCAGTGATGGAAACTTTTTCCATCTTCCCAAGGATTTCCACTGGTTGAGCTTAAACTGCATAAACTCATTTTTAGATGAATTTACATAGTTATCAATTTTGCTAGATGCAGAAAACAATTCTATTTATGTGCATATTTTCCTATTGTGTCATAGAAAGAGCTTCACAAGGCAAAACAGAAAGCATTTCGTGAGCAGGAATTGGTCAACAAAGCCCTTGGTGTGAGTATGGTTTTGAAATAACTGTTTGCTAATTAAAATTCTATTAAGAGATTTTTTAAATTTAATGTTGCAAGATTATTTCCTTTTTAAAGAAATTTAAAGCAAACTGTTTTATTTGTACTTGCACTGTGAACAAATTACATCCTTGATTTTACAAAAGTATAGCATTTCACTCTAACTATAGGAAATAAAAGAGCTTGAAAATTATGAAGAGGAGGACCTTCCAGATGTCACCACATTGGTAAGTTGGTCTTCTTTCTTAAAGGCTTTCTTGTCTAAGTAAGGCTTGAGTGATTTCAGGCCTAAATTTTTGTATTCTGTTTGACTATCATTGTTTTCCAACAGAGTAATTGTTGTTGATTTATCTGTTTTTTCCAGGAGGAAGAGGTTGAGCATTACACTCAGCAGTTGGACGATTTGGGGAAACAGGTTATGTTACACATCCAGTGAATGATAATGTCATAAACTGTTTACTGAGTTTCCATTTGAACCCATGATAGTGTGACTTTTTTCATATTAAAAATGAATCCAACTGGGACCTGGCGTCTGCCTCTCTGTGAGCTTGTTATGGTGCTTGGATTGGTCCAGAACTAAACCCCTTGTGATGCCTTGCAGAGGGTGACACACCTATCTAATGCCACATTCATGCCAACACCTCTGAAAGCTTTACCTTCAACAAGTTTTCTGTGGCATTGGAAGGGGAAACATTTGATAGGTCCACCTCTCAAAGAACAGAAATACAATTTTTTTGAACAAAAAAGACTTTTTGAGAAATATCTTGTCAAGCTCAAACATTTGTTTTAGGGTAGATTTTAGGGTAGATTTTAGGATAGACCTTAACAGGTTTTTCTATTGCAGACTGCTGAAGTTGAAGGAGAGTTAGAACAAGCACACACTGAACTGAACAAACAACAATTGAAGGAGGCAGAACACAAGGAGAAAATACAAAATCTCTTAGACAAGGCTGAACCATTAAGAGTGAGTACAAATTTTGTTTAATATGTCAAGTTAGACTAAAATTTTTTTGAGTTTGTCATTTACCATGTGATAAAATCGTCTTCATCACTAACTATCCTTGCTCCCTCAATTTTTGCTTTATTCTTTCCATTTTGGTGATTTTCTATCTATTGTGTGTAAACAATAGTCTAAAGTGACTAGCACCTAACTTCTCCTTACAATATCACCCCTGAGTTGCACATTAAGGTCATGAGAATACAGGAAATGATCAACAACTAAATAAGCTCTTGTTGTTAAACAAGTTCTCCTCATCAGTGTCTCAGGAAATGTACAGAAAATGTTATGGAGAACATGCATACTGATTTTACAAGTTAAGAGGATGGCTTGATTCTTTAAGCAATTTTCAATTGGAGAGTTGAAAGTAATTGGTGATTGTTTTGGTTTTCCATTAGTTCAGTCTTTTATTGGTGTAAAAAAAAAAAACTTGTGCCATCCTATTGATCAATCATACACTACACAAAACAAAAACTATATGAGACTTGGTTGCCTGCATTTTCCCATGTTATTGATGGTTTGTCTATTTTTACTTTAAGTACTCACTTCCTGATGTCTGTTGTGATTGCAATGTACTTTGGTTTAAAGTTTTTCAAAAGTCAATTGAAAACTGCTCCATGGGCTAAGAAAAGAGTCAAGTAAAACCATACCAATTTTTTCCTGGATTATCAAAGTATGAATAGCCAACGCTTGACATTACCTGAGAGAGGTCAGTTATCAATGTCTTATTTTCCTTGCACAACTAATAAGACTCAACAAAATAGTATTGAAGTGGAGATTGAGACAAAGAAGAGCCACAAGAAACACTTTGAAACAAAGGTGAAGGAACTACAGGATACCATCAGAAAAGCAGAGAGGGAACATGAAAAGATGAAAAAACTTGTCAGGGTAAGGACAAGCACTGTCAGGGCTATTGTCTTTTGATCTTGGACATGACAGCTTATTTTCACAATGCTTTCCTACACCTGGGAGGAATTGCATTTATTTGATATTGACCAGTTTGCCAACGTCTTAGGTCACTTACCTAACATCTCTAAAGTTGTTTCGCTAATGTCTCCTTTTAGTTTTGTAAGTGAAATGACCTATGGGACATTTGCAAACTGCCATGAGACATTAGGGAAATGACCCAGGCTGTAAAACATTAACGAACTGGTTATTAGAAAAACAACTTGTAGGCAAAATGTTTGCTTAGGATTAGGGTTAGGGTTAAGTGTCTAGCATGAATGAGCATCCCTTCTGCAACAAATAGTAACTCACATACTTGATACATGCAAAAAAGACCAGGATTAGCCTTTTTTTGTCAATTCATAACTGTTACTTGTACATGCAGCTATTTGAGGACATCTTGATACTGGTAATCTTATAAATCTTATTGTGGGTAGCTCTTGGTGATATTCTTTTGTCATGTTCTATAACTATTGATTTCTTCAGCACCAGAGTAACAAGATTCAATGTTTGTTTTATACCAAACGTGTAATGACCCCCCTAGCTTTACTGATGCATTGTAAAAGAGTGCATTTTTCTGTTTTTAAGACTATTGTTTGTCATTATTCAGGTGAAGACTCAACAAGCCAGCGAGTTTTGTGAACAAGTTACAACAAAAAGACCAGTGAAAAGTCTTGAAACAGAGATCATTCAAAAAACCAAACGGATACAGACAGAAGAACGAAAGTACACACACTTTTTAAACCTTGTGTCATGATGGGCAAAATATTTTTTTCTCTATATTTCTGATGCAAATGAACTGAATAGTTGCTTGTACCCTTTTTCTCAGAGCAATGTAGAGATTTAAATAAGTATCAGCAAACTTTAATACTATTCTATCATATCAATATAAATTTGATCAAATGCTAAGTGGACTGGCATACCATTCATGGCAGAGGGGGTGGTAGTAAAATTTCTCCTAGTTGTTACATGCTGTCATGGTTTCAGTAACAGCCAGTTACTGGCAGTCTATCACCGTCCATACAACCTCTTACCACTGTCTTTTGAGCCTGAATCTTTTGTGTTTGGGTTATGCCTTTGGGCCCCCATTTTAGATACAGCCAGCTATTACACCATTGTCAGCTGATAGTTATAAAAATCCCTGAATAAACAGCAGTTGAATGGGCCCCCAGCTTCCTTCTCCTTACTCTCATGTGAGGGTTGTTCATGATTTTTTTTTGTCTTCTTTTCCTTCGCCCTCTCCCAGCAAGGGCAGACATGAGGATATAACAAGAGATTACTTTGAAGCAAAGAAACGGTATGAAGGTATTATGGAGTCATTGAAGAATCTAAAAAGATACAACAGGGTGAGTTTCCTCCTCTGAATTGTACAGTTTTCCTCTTCAGGAATAGTTAATTCCAGAAGTGATTAACATGTAACTTCTCCCAATATTATCCATACATTATATAGCAAGCAAGCAGTGAGAATACTTATACTTATCACATAGAAATTGCTTGTTTGATCTAACAGCAAATTTTGTGACTAATTCACAAAGAAATGTGAAATAAATTATCACTTCACAACTGGCTATATTTGGATTTGTAGGGAGTAATCTGTAATCTATATGATAAGCTGAATTATGCACATATTTTGATTGGTTCTTATGATCTGTTAGAGGACAGATGCATAGCTGGTGTTATCATCAACAGTTTGTTGCTTTTTTAAGAAAAAAATATACACAACAAAATCAAATAGATTTCATGTCTGTTCATTAATAGATCACAGAAGACATCAGAATGTGCCAAGAAAATCAGTGATGCACCTGGTGTATCACTGATGCTCTTACTACATTTTGACATCCTCTGTGATCTGTTACTCAACAGAATCTATTTGTCAAATGAAGTCGTTTAAATTAATGTTAGCAATATCGGTGTAGCTAATTAGTAAGGAAAAGTAGTTATATGGCAATACTTTGATATTTTGATCATATCACTTTTCCTCCATACTTGTAGCGCCTGAAGGCAGTCATGGAGCAGAGAGCTAAAGCATTCATAAATTACAGACATTACATTGCTATTCGTGCCAAGTTCTTCTTCACGATGATGCTCTCTCAGAGAGGTTACAGTGGTAAGATGGCTTTTGATCACGGAAGTGAATCGCTAAGCCTTCAGGTTGGTTAATTTTTATGATTTCTAATTTTCTTCACCTTTTTTATTGAACTTGTATAACAAGGTTTTTTATATGAAGGCTCCGCTTCATGCCTTGCTGTAAGAGCCTTGCATGTATGGGAATTGATGGGCTAATTGTCATGTGACACAAGAGAACAAACTGAAGCAAGGAAATCAACCTACAAATAAAAACACTGTTTGAATGTGTGAGCATGATTTGTGTGGGAGTGATAGAGTCAATCACAACATCATTGCAAAACTGGCCAAACAACTTTTGGCCCACACATATTTTGAATAATTTTCAGTTGACTGTCAACAGTAATCTGCTTTGGTTTTTTACTAAACTTTGCTCTGTGATTGGTCCAGAAAACTCACACCATCCTCTCCACCAATCAGATGCAAAACTAAAAAGAATCATGTTCACATTTTCTCACACTTCAAGCACCTTGCCTGTTTTCACTTTGAGTTCTCATTAGCTAATGATAATATAAACCTTTGTTCTAATTGGTAGTCAATATTACTTTAATCAATTTGGGGTTTTCAACACAATTGTAAACAGCTATAACATTTTACTACAAAACAACTCTGCATTAGGCTGTGATGATGTCAATGCCCCTGACAACAGCTCTCCACTCAACCAGATGATGATACCGTGATCAAATCAGCCACTTTTACAAGCTTCATGATAAAAAAAATGGGTTGAGATAAAGAATTTGTTCAACGTTAGGCTTCAGAATACTAAACATTTTCCGAATTTTTATAGGTAAATGTTGAACAGGGCACCAAACGGGTTGCCAAAGATACCCGTTCATTATCTGGAGGGGAGCGATCATTTTCCACAGTTTCATTTATCATGGCCCTATGGGAAGCAATGGAGTCGCCTTTTCGATGTCTGGATGAATTTGATGTCTTCATGGTGGGTGATTTACAAAGCAAATGGTTCTTTCTACTTATTTTGGGTATTTGATTTGTAAAATAAATTAAGGTCATTCTCTTCAGTAAACTTCCCCATTAAGGCCATCTTGGAGAGGGAGCAAAGTGGTCATAGTTGTCAAATGCTGTAGATGTTTGGAAAACTTCTGCCAATCAGTTTGCTGCTTGCAATTAAACATGTAGTGTAATAAAAAGCAGGTTTTTTCCTGAATAAATAGTATTCATTTTCTGACATTCAGGACATGGTAAACAGACGGATTAGCATGGAAATGATGCTAAAAGTTGCTAAAGAACAACAAGAAAGGCAGTTCATTCTTCTTACACCCCAGGATATGAGGTAAGATTTCTGAAACATTATTAAGTTTTTACAAATGCTATTTGGTCCTGTAACCATTCCAAAGGTAGTCTCAGTCAATCAGTCTTTATTTTCTCACTGTAACTAGTTGGTTGTATACTATGAAAATGTTCGTTTCCTTTAATTTTTTTTTACACTTCCTGTTTCATTTCTTCCAGTGCCATTGGAAGCAGCACAAAAGTAAAAATATTCAGACTTCTTGATCCTGAAAGAGGACAGACTACATTAGACTTTCCTCCTGCCAAGGCTTGAAATACATCTTACAGTTACTGTAACACTGTTACAGTTTCTTTTGTTACACAAATTGCCAATCAATTATATTGAAAGAAGAATGGAAAGCCCACAATTTTGGACAGTTAATGTTAGTCTTTCAATCACAGGTTGACTGGTAGATGACAAGAATAATGATAGCAAAATATTATGACCAGAGATTTTGTTGGAGCAAAAATCATCTTCTAAAATTGTATTTGTGACAAATGTTAGTAAATTAAGAACAAGGATTTGCAAATGACAAATTTTATTGAAATTCTGTGGTAGATGTTAGTGCATGTGATGAATTCATGAAGGTTGAATATTTATTTTATTCTGAATTTACTTGTACATAAGTTTTTTAAATGACAATACACACCAGTAGTAAAGAGATGAAGATAATTTTGCCATAGTTTAAAAAAGAGAAATCAGACCACTGCAGTTGTTTGAAAGTTGACATTGTTTTGTTGGGAATTGTAACAAGTCAAGAGAGGTTTCTGAACATCTCGTCCACCAACTGAATGACTAATAAATGAAACAGTTTTGAACCAGCATTTTGATTGACTTTGTTTATTATTACAATAAAATACCATTTGTGCACTAATAAATAAACAGTGTAAGATGCTAAAGGTGCAGTATCTGTTTGGGGTCTTACATGATAATTTGGTTCCATCAACTGAAATTGGAAAGAGATTCTAAAGCTTTTGAAACTCCCTACCATAGCTAATTTACATCATCAACTAATTTGATAAAACCAAAACCAAAACCAAATTTATGTATAAGTCTGTGTGATCAGCGTTTTGGGGTGGGGAAGTCATGAAACTCAATTAACTTTCTTCTCTACCTTATCTGCTTTCCTATCAACCAACTCCCCTTCCCCCACCCCCCCCCCCAAAAAAAAAAAAAAAAAAAAAAAAAAAAAAAGACGTCTGAAAGGAGCTGTGATTTCAAAGGAAGAGTAATAAAACTGAGTCCCAGGGATGTCTGTAAAACTGCTTCTGCTTTAACTTAATTATTGAACTAACTACTTTTTTACTTACTTTACTTTTTAAAATACATTTTTCAAATGAAGATATTGGGCCCCAAAACTATAAGAATAACTCTCAATTTTAGTTACTGTACATTTATATGGAAAAAAATTAAAATTTATTTCAATTTAGTCAGCCTAAGTGGATGAGTGGATTCAAAGATTATCAAAATAAAATAAAGTTGGTTTGAGTTAAAGTTCATCTTTTATCTCAACTTGGGGAGAATAGTTTGATTCCACTTGATCCTCTATTATATCTTCAATCTTAGCCAATTCATTTTCAACAACACTCTCCACCTATCAAAATATGAGAAAAACAACAAATGTCAGGCAATAAACTAAAGGTAAGATGGAAAGGGTTGAAAGAAATATAAATTTGAAGTACTTGTCACAAATGTAGAAAGAAAAAAAAAACTTTTCCTCACTCCAATTTATTTAACAAAAAATTTCAATTTAACCCTTTTAACTCCCAGAAGTGATTAAAATCTAACTTCTCCCTGCAATATCCATACATTATCTAGCAAACAGGTAATGAGAATACTCAAACATATTAAGTAGAAGTTGTTGTCTTGATCTAACAACAAATTCCTGTTACTAATTTAAAAGGAAATATGTTGTAGCTGCAGGGGGAATTGACTGTCAGATCTTGGAAGTTAAGGGGTTAAGAGGAAAACAGTATTGCAAGAAATGAGAATATTGAAACTAGCCATACTATAACTGTAATACTTCCTTGAAGTGTCACTCAATTAAGTCAAGGACAGGTGAGGTTGATGAAGACTGAAAATAAACTTACTGAAGTATCCTCTTCCAATAGTTTGAAATCATGTTTTGAAAACAACCCATCCTTGTCTTTGTCTAATACTTGAAATATCTAAGGAGAGAGATTCTGACTTAGGAATAACCATGCTATTGCCTATAACAGAAACATTTCCCATAACATAGGAGAGCAAAAAAAGGCTTGATTTGAAGCTTATGGGTTACTAATTTGATAACCAGAGAAGATACTTCACCCCCCTGATAAACAAGTTCTGTTTACACCCCCAAGAGCAACACCCTTCCACCCTTTAGATCCTAAAACGAATATTCATATTCCCCACACTCTAATCTTCACATTTTCTACAGCAATAACAAGGAGAGTTTGTTTGACAATCAGGAGCTTCTTAAATTGGTAATCATTTCCTTTATCCTTATGATCTTTACATTTGTTTCGAGGGAAATCCTGTAACGAGAAATTAGAAGCCAGTCACTCCTATGAATCAATAGCAGAGTTTATACTGCCTTTAAAGATTCTTTTAGGAGTTGATACTGACTAAATGGCAAGGTCTTGTTTGTTCATCACTGGAATGAACCTTCTTGGATAGACAGTAACTTCCTTATTCTAACCTTCCTAGCCACAGCTGACAGCTTGTCATTCCACTCAAAAGGCTCAACACCAACAATGGCAGACTCCTGAGAGAAAAAAGCATCCATTTCAAATCTTCAATTAAGGAACACCCACCTAATATAAGCTCTTCATTTCTTTTTTCTTATTTTAAAACATATAACCTAAATTATCAAAATTTCACATTAACCACCAACAATCTGTTTGGTAATGGTTATCATCTCCTAACCAATTACGAGCCCTGAGAATCTGGTGCGACTTATATTTCTATATAGAAAGTCATCCTTTTGTTGATAATAACTTTTGAACAAATATCAACCCTGACATGAGTATCCGTATCTGCTATACTTTTCTCTGTTCACTTCCTTCGCTGTTGACAAGGATAATTTTGTGTTACAATCAAAGTTTCTAAAGGTGGTGACCATTTCCTTTACTTTCATAAAATAAATGAATGATTCAGCTGTATTACATAACTGTATGGAGAAATTAGAAGCTGGTCACTCCTAGGGTTTAAAGGTTAGTAACAAATCCACCCCAGAGGCTTACTAGTCAGAGTGAAAGCCTACATACTGTTTTCAATTTGTCTTCAAACTCCCTAAAACCAACTTGACCATTGGCAATCAGTTCACTCATGTATTTCCTGAAGAAAAATTTGAAAGAAAATTAATCAGCTGAGAAACCTTTTGATTCATTTATACTACATGTATAATAGGGAGAAAGTTTCTAAAGAAACTATAATAGTGCTGCATCTATGGGGGGTATAAAAAGATAATTTAGTTTTTTCAACTGTGTTGATAAATGTAAATTGGCCTCCGTAAAGAGTTTCTAAAGTTGTAGTTTCAAGATTTGGCCCTTCATCAGAGCAATTTATCAGAGGCCTGAGTGAATATTTATGTCTGACAAATATGTATCTAAATATAGTCAGTTATCAAATCATTCCAAAGTTGATCCATGATTGATCAAAGTTCAGTAGATAGTCAGTTGATAGTGGCTAATGTGTGGTCAACTGTAAATACCTCTTGCATGAGCCAAATGTATCCAAATGTATGTGGTTAAAAAATTATAGGTACATTTGTACTTTAGCAAACTTTCACTTACATAAAACCCTCTTGCTCTTGGGTATTGCTTGCCTCTTGTTCAAGAGAAGAGAACTTAAAATTGTCCAATGTCTGGTTGGGTTCCATATCACAATCTTGTGGAACAAAGTCAGGTATGTGTTTCCACCAAACATTCACTGCTATGTTACGATCATATGACCGTACCTGGTGATACCTAAGGTTAATCACATGAAATATTACAATGTATGATTATTTGTACACCTGATAATATCAATCAATACCGATGTTCATCTCCGAGATTTTCTTTGAATCATAAAAACCCATTTTAATTGTTAACCCTTGGAGCTTCCCAACTATAACTCTAAAAATTCCAATTTCATGTGAACAATATTCTTTTCTTTAACATATTGTCATTCATACAAGAATCCTAAGAATTCCCTCCACTTGTAGACTTTCTGATGACCCTCCTTAGGGCAGTTGACCAGCATTCAAGCTACATGGCTTATTCAGCCATAGCTTTCCCCCTTTCAGCAGCATGAAGCTTAGTCAGCAATACTCTTTAAAGTACTTTTTCATGCCAGAAACCACACAGCTTTAAAGATACTTATAAAAGCCAACTTAAAGTCATTAAAAAGCACTGCAAAATTACATTATTCAAATGAGCAAATCTCACCATTTGTAAGGAATGAACAGACAATCACCAGGTTTCATTGTCACATTGAAATACTCTACATCTTTCAAACTGGGATACTTAACAAAATCAACGCTGAAAAAAGTTACAGCAATTGTTAACCCTTTAAGACCAAGACAGAATTTCTCCTTACAATATCAATATAATATCAAGCAGACAAGTGATGAGAATCAAGAAAAACATTAATTAGGGGATTATTAGTTGATCCAATACCAAATTCTCAAAACTAACATCACAAGAACTATATGACATACAGTAGGGAGAATTACTAATGAGATCTTCAGAGATAAGGGATAAATATTTCATTTATTAACATTGAAAAGGTTATGCTTATGTCACAGTTATGCTACCCAGGGCCTCCCTTTCATGTTCAACCTTGGTCATATAAAAAATATTGCCAGACTTGTAAAAAAAATTCAGACCAATAAAGAAGTAACTTAATTTCTTTGAAATTAATCATCGATCAGTCAAACATTTGTTTTCAAAGCTATCCATTGCACTTCTCCTCTTTCTCTTTTGCCAAACAAAAATACCTTGCAAAATATGCAAGGAAATTTTTAGCACGGTATAGACAGTTCCATATCCAGTTGCCAAATATGAGCCAGCAAGTTGCTTTAAAGTCACAAAAACACTCATGTGAAAACTCCAACCAACAAACATGTAGGAAATATACCACTTAACAACAAAAACAGTCATGGACTTCAAAATAATATTGTTAATATCTTACCGATCAACATCTACGCCAGAATAGCCACCAGATGGGAAATCTATAGGAACCTTGACAATCAAGGAAACAAAAGCCTTTTACCAATATTGCATGGTGAAATCCTTATAAAAGAGAAATATTGACTAGTATATAGCCTGAAAGCATCATGATGACTATACACTCACTGTAAATTGTTAAAAGCTAATGTAGAGTTCAGGGACCAGGTGTTTGAAAGACATTTGGCATTAATACAGGTTGGATTAAAAGAAGTGAAACTTGGTCTTAATAAGACCTTTGTAACTGTTCTAATTAAGGTAAATACCTCTCAAGCTTTCATCTCAGAGTGAGTTAAACCAAAATGTCACAATAATTGTTCTAACCCTGGAATAGGTAACAATCTTTTTTTGAACAAAACAACTAAAAGAAAAACAAAATGGCTGTCAAGCACACCTGTTTCTTGTACTTTTTGTAGTCTATAAATAAAAGCTCCTTGGTGCCACTGAATAAACAGTTGATGTTGTCAACATCGTCGTTATGTAAGACTGACTTTGTGCCACCACTACTGAACCACATCACCTGGAGAGTTAAAACAACATGGGAAAAGGGCTGAACAAACACACAAAATGATTAACAGAAGAATAACACAAAACACAAAAAAGGGACAAAATCAATGAAGAAATCTGCAGGTGTTAGAAACTTGTAAAATTCAGACCCTTTCAAAGAGACTTAATTTTGAGATAAAAATGTATGATCCAGGCTTAGTTTTTTTCTAAGAAGGCGTCAATTTTATCAGTGAATTTAATACATTGGAACAATGACTAACCGTGTCGATTAACTTGTCCTTCACAATATCATTACATAAGAGTGGTGGAGGCAATGTTACATCTTTCCTGCATTAAAATGGACAGCACTTGAGGTGTAGGAAAAGTTACAAGCTGAGACAATGCCCAAATTATTTTTAACAGTGTTAAGATACTATTTTATTATTAAACTATACCATTTTTGGTTGGCTATATGTTATGAAATGATAGATTCAGTGTTTGAATTATCCGTAAAACCCTACTGATTTCTGTCAAGTATTCAAACTCAACAACTCCTGATACATTACATCCTATGCAACTTGGATATTAAGCTGGTTTTCTCTTCCTTCAAGATCGGCAACTTGGTTGGTGTGAAAGACCCTGTCCCTGACATTCACATGTGGTTTATAAGTTTGTATGTGCTGGTTGCAATGCCTGTTACATTGGTGAAACATGCCGGCAATTTTCCACATGTGTTAGAGAGCACTTAGTCAGTGATAGGGCCTCTCACTTTTTCAGGCATCTGCATGATTCTGCATATGTAGCGCTTTGTGTTCAGCAGGTAGCTTCTATGTTTTGGATCACACCACTACCAGTTTTCAACTCAAGATAAAAGAAGCTATTCATACTCAAAGGGAACAACCATCCTTGAATCAACAATTACACTATGTAAATTTAAAACTATCCTTTTAATTCTCACACTTTCATGCTTCGCCTCTTTCTTGTTGTCACCATTATTTTATCACAATTCAACTTCCAACGCTTTGTACATTAATTAACTGAAGATGACAGAAGATTCTGCCGAAACATGTATTACAGAGTTAAAAGTCTCATCACTTTCTTTAAATTCTTTACTTGCCTGCACCCTTAAGAAGGATAACTATGCAATCTAAATCATGCTGTCAACACAGGATATTTAATAGTGCTTCAGTCCACTTTTTTGCTGAACAGCAATTGTTGAAACTGTGAAATTAATAGCTGACTTGATCTTGCGATAAGAACGTGATAACATCTGCATCATCTGCAGACTTCAATCTCAATTCAGAATCTTTTGAAATAAGGAGTTTTACAAAGGTTGTGAAATGCATAAATATAAGCAAACATATTCAATGGAACACCTGACATATCCTCAACTCATGTTTGTTCTAAGGGGCAGGCACAGATCTCATTAAGCAAAAGATAATGCATGGCCGTTCAAAAGTTCTCTAGTGATGAAGAAAGAAATCTCTAAAAAATACATTGTATCATTAGGCATAAGACCACAATATTTTCAACTCAGAATACTCAGGACCAGGCCATATGCGATTTTTCCTGTTTAAATGTGAGTTTAAATTACGCATGAAATTTTAAATTATATTTAAATATAGTTAAATTACAGTCTTTCGGTCTCTACCTCTACTACTTCAAGCAAATCCATATAAAGGGGTGAATTTATTAACTGAGAACGTTATAACATACCAAAATTGTATCCTTTTTTACCCAGAAATCATTATAAGGTCTTTAAGACAATGTGTCAGCTGTATGTGAAATCATCAAGTTAAACCGAGGATACAGTTTTAAAATCTTAAAAACTAATACACCATTTAAATGTATTTTACGATCAACACCGCCGAAGAAAATTGTGCAAATAAACAATCTATTGTTTTTAATCCACCTCTGGTAAGTTTAACAAAGTAACAACGAAATTTACTTACTGAAGGAAAGGAGGGACACCATTAACCATGTAAATATCCTCTTTTCTGTACGTTGACACAAACTCCTTGAAGCTCACATCGTAGGCAGGGAATGTTCGAATCTCTTTCTTTCTTTGTTCTGCAGTAACATTAAAATCGTTTGATTCGGGTAAAGAAAGGAAATATTCGTCTGTCCATTTGGTCAAGGCCGGCGAGATTTTTGCTCCTCCTCGTATCAAGACAGGCTTTATGGGGGATACGTAGTTTTTAAAAAACTCCATAGGAGTTAAGAAGTCATTGATAACTTCAAGAGAGTGTTGTACATTACGGGATCCGAGCGGCTCCAAGTGACCTGGAGGTGCACTAAAATCCGTTGAAGAAACTTCTTCTAACGAGAGTTCTGCTACGGGAATCAGTGAGAATTGTAAATAAATCATGAAAAGAAAGTGTGAAAGGGAATTTCTTCTCCCCATGATGTTGTGTATCCACTTCGGCTGTGCTCACGTTTTGTTTTCATGCACAGATGGTTGGTAAGATTACGTTCTTGCCTTCATATAAGAATGGGCATAGAATGACGTCACGCGATATCGCTAGGGAGGAAGTTTCTATATTTACAGCAAATGCTGAAATTTGCATCTAAAGAATTTATTCTATAATTCGAGTTATTGTCGTCATTATAAATGTAGATAAAGCGAATATTGAAAAACAAAATAAGACACCCTCTACAGGGCTCTTTGATGTGATAATATTATATCGCAGAACACAGCCTCTGTTAAGATATGTATCGATCCGTCTGTTTTTCCCTATGTTTTACATACTTAATCGTCCCAGTTAATTCGTAAAGTTCTGTTTAATTTAAGCAGCTTATTGCTGAGTATATCAAAGGGCTACTTTAAAAGCCATTTATTCAACTTCCTTCCTATATCAGTGCATATTGAGTTCAGTTCAAACCACAAATTTACAATGAACTTATTTGGCTTGAAAGTTGCGTTTATTTTGAACAGTCAATCATGTAGCAGATTTTACTTAAGATCACACGACATACGCTAGCCACTCCCTAAACTGGTGCACTAGAAGAAAGTGGACCTCAACGGAATTTTTTTCAGCCTTTTCAACTTGATATTATATAGCACAACCCAAGGCCATAATATTTTAGGCAACAAAACACGCACGAATGATAAGGCTTTCTTGATGTTGATTTCAAAAACATCTAGTTTACTGATAAAAATAGTTCCATTCCGATCATGAATAAAAAAGTGACGTGAGTTGGAAGAAATTCGACTTCAAAAGAACCTTGATGTTCATCTGTTGTTTTATTTGACTTTTTTAGATTAAAGACTGCGCCGCTAATTTGACGGCCTACAAAACAGGCGTGGAGAAAATTTTCCCAATGGATTATGTTGCTTTTAAAAACAGCTGGTTTATTGACGAAGACGGCTTAATTCCGGAATTGCGTAAAAAACATGAAGAAAAAAACATCTGATGTTGAGTTGTGTACTTGAAATGTTGAATGTCCTTTTGCGCTTCTTTTTCCGAGTTGCTTTCATATTTACTCCTTCTAAAATTTGTTTGTTGCTTATTTTCTTACCCGCCACAACGACAGAACTTTTCTCTGGGATATCAGACAATGCCAGAAGAAATGTAGAAGTTTTTAAAGCTTAAGAGATGCAAATTAGATATAAATCACACGCGCAGATTTCGACAGCCTAGGTATCAAATAATGGTCTTTGGAAACTTGGCTGCCAGTGGGTAACACCTTGTGACACATAATTTCCGCTGGTAGAGGGAGGTGTGAAAAAGCCGCACGACTGTTTTCAACCGGCTCGTTAGTTTAGTGTCTGCAATAAACAAAGAGTTCACGGAGGAGTAAATTAACCGCTTCTCTCGAAGTTGAACGTGGGTAAAAAAGAAAATTCATTTTGGTGATCATAAAAACTATGAACAAGAGGTACATCATAGCAAGTCTACAACAAATTTACTATCTCACGTTACTATAGATGATTCTTAAGATTTTTTGGGTCTCGAATAAAGCTCCACTCGTGAAATTGTGTATTACTTGAAATGAATAACTTTTTTTCTATACTCGAGTCTTTCTCGACGTCCTTAGAAGTCACCCAATGAAGAAAAAATGAATATGAAATCCATTCCAGTATCATTAAATAAAGAAAGACTGACATATTTGAGATGATCTTTAACTTCGAGGAATAGCAACGATAGCCACTGAAAACTGGGTAGTTCTGGAGACAATAGAACATCATGTACTGAGTTCACAATTAACGTCGATTCTTCGGATGATGAGTAGAGATGATTGAAATAGCCAGCTGGACAATGAGTGAGGAACATTGCAATATCAGAACCCTTAAGCTGATATTATACTTGGTCCAAAAGGACGTCGTGAACGTTTTTTTCTCCTTGTACCTTGAAATTGGACGTCAAATTTTAGGCAAAATTTTGAGAAGTCGCTAAAGAATTGTCAAAGAACATGCACAAAATTCCCATGATCTGTTGTTTTATTCAGAATTAAAATTCTACAGCCCCCGCATGGAGAATATCGCAACACGGAACAAGATACGTGCAAGTTACTGTAAGTGCATTTACGTATGTATTCTTTATATGGTAAAAAAAAAGTTTTAACCCACAATTAACATATCACCTTGTTGTCGGAACTTCAGTGTGACAGCCTTCAGTTTTGGAGTTTGAATAGTATTTTCAGTATCAAAGCTTAAAGAAGCCGCAAAAACAATTTCCAATTAATACGCAAAACCTTCACACTATCTTTGTTTCATTCAAAGCGTCAAATTTTATCATATGCTTTTAACGGCCCCCGAAAGCAATGTGAAGCAAGGGGTGACAAGCACAGTGGAAGACAACTACGTGACAAATATTTTCAATTTTTTCATTACGGTTTTCTATCCTTCTCCTTTTAGTTCTAGAAAGGAGCAACGTTAAAAATACGAACGTGATTTGAAAGCCTGTTTACACTTTCTCTTCAATGCCATACAACTGAGACTCTGCATTGCCAGTACTGTATCCCTCTAAGAATTTTTTGTGCCATTCCGCTGGATAACTGCATTCCTTCACTGCAGGCACGTCACTCATGGCCGCGCACCAAGCTGAGAGTACTGGGAACTTACCCAAGTCAGTCTTAAAGTGGTCAGTCAATAGATAGAGCCGTTCAAGCCATGGCCATATGAGATAGTCTGCCATGCTGGGACTTGAACCTGGTAAATAAGAAATATAATAATAATTTTGAACAAGGGATTTCTCTTCAGACTATCAGCTCTATTTGCCTGATTCCTTTACAGGTTGTGGCGGAAAAAGGGTAGTTTTTTCTAATCCTGTCTCCCTGAATCCTTCCTGTACAATTTATTTGTGTGAGTTCCTGGTATGAAACTAGTTGAAGACTGAAAGATCAACATGAAGAAATAAACATTTCAGAGAAAAGAAATAAATAAGCCTTGGGGCTCATTAGAAAATTAATGTAAAAACCTCATGAAAACTGGGAAACCCTGGCCTTCACATACAGATGGGAGAAGGATATTATATAATTTTTTTTTTATTTTTCAGACAATTAACCAAATTGTCATGTTACCAGTTTCCTCTAGCATCGGAAGAACAGGCAATATACTTAAACCTATCTGAATCAAAATAATTGACAAGAGCTCACCTCCAATAAATTTTGTATTCCTCTCTTTGAGTTCTTTTTCTAATGCAGCCAGTTGCTTGTATAGTTCCTCTTTGGCATCATCACCACCCCGTATAGATTTGTAAAAGGCAGATGTGAGCTGCAAGGCATAAAATCAAGTAATTGGCGTGGATTTTATCAACCAGGAAGTAATAAATTTATTTATGACACAAATGACATGGCATTGAATTGAGGATCAGTTTTTGTTCCAAAACTCTGTAGCTTCCAGGGCTGCCTCTGAATCTGAAGAAACATTCTATAAGGAGTGGGTAAGAATGAATGTGTACCTTATTACACAGAACTTCAACCAGTAATCGTTGCTTGTGTTTTTCAAATGGATCCTTCGGAAACAAATTTGTCTTTCCTGGATACATATCTTCTAGGAAATCTGAAAGATGACAAATGACTTGATTTTCAGTTTAACCCCAATATTTTATGAATTTTCATGTTTGGGTAGCCAGTCATTTAAAAAGGTAGCCAGTTTTTGTGGAAGTCTTTTGCGTGGAAAAAAAATAAAAAAATAAAGGTCTAACAACAGACATGGGTTTTTTTCACCTCATTGTACAGGAATCTGCAACTTAGGATGAAAATGTGACATTTTGTAAATTTTGACTACAATTTAGACTACTTTGGTTTAAAGCTTTCCTTGCTGGACTGGGTCCATCAAATTTCAATCCGGGGCAGAACCAGTGGGCTTTGGGATTTTAGTAAATCAAACTTGAACCCTTCCTCCTCAGAAGAAATCATTCATAAACAGGAAAATATTTTATGATGCCTAATTTCAGAGGGAACTGGTCGAGTCAAAAAGGAAAGATTGATATTTTGGATCTCAAGCAGATGAGTCCGGTTGCCCAAATACTATTGCCTGGAGAAAATTCAGCGATTTGTTCTACGTACAGTTCCGTATTAGGTCACATGACATCCGAGTTGTTACATTGCCAAGCACTTGCCATGAAAAACAGTACCGTTATCGGAAAAACATATTAACTCCTCTAAATAACGTTCTAAGTAATTATTCTGAAAAGAGAAGTGAAGACAAGTAACAACAATCGCACATGGATCGAGAAGTTGCAATGGTTTGACTATAAATATACGGTTTTCAAGTTACTCCTGAAATCCAGGCCATGAAAGAATTTTCTTATTTGGCCCGTACACAAGATTTCAAAACCTTGTCCCTTACCACAGCATATTGCAGACTCGTAAATAACCTTTCCACCAGGCAGCTCAATCACTGGGACCTTCCCAACGGGGTTCAGCTCGAAAAACCATTCTGGTTTGTCTTTCAAGTTGATGTTCACACACTCGTGCTCAATCCCTTTTGCTGCAAGCACTAGTCGTGTTCTCTACAAATATGGAATAGACAATCGCTGAGTATATTTCGCAGAATGTGTTACAAGTACCCCGAATAGAAAACCAACGAGAAAGAAGGCAGATGAAATAAATACTGAAGCTGGCCTTTCACAACTATGGCTATCAAGTTTAATACAGCACGCACAGAACGTCAAAATGTTTACCTGTGCGTAAGGACAAAATCGCATACTGTAGAGGCGGAGGCCATCTGTTTTTGAGACAGGCTTTTCGGATCCTTTAGAAAAGTGAGTCATTTTAGTCCACAGAACGATAGCTCACAGAGTACGTTTGCTTTCGAAATGAGTTTGCACCGTCACTGCACAGTCACTGCGCAGTCACTGCACAGTCACTGCGCAGTCACTGCACAGTCACTGCGCAGTCCCTACACAGTCATCAGTCACGCATTTTAGAGTCACGCACGCTTGAGATCACGTCACTTATCATACTTCTCTACTTAGAGTTACATGCGACTGACCAGTAAAGATAAGCAATTAACAAACGATCTTATTCTTCTTTTTATCGACTATTTTGCCCGATGGTGAGTTAATTACTTGACACTCGTACCGTAGTCAAGTTTTTGGAAGTAGTTATACACCATACTGAAGCGATCCATGCACAAGATGGGTGAGAGATCCTACAACACTATTGCACGTCCAATTAGCTAATAGCGACTTAAGATCCAGTTTGGATCTCTTAAAGGATTTTTTGCCAACACATTTCCACTCCTCGTGACGGTTACTTACCACTATTGCCGACTCATACAAGACCTTTCCACCAGGAAGCTCTATAACGGGGACCTTGCCAAGCGGATTCATTAAAAAAAAAAAACCAATCTGGCCTAGACATGAAGTTATGTTTAAACATTCGTACACGATTCCTTTTGCTGCAAGCATAAGTCGCGCTCTCTGCACACAAATCATTCATCATGCATTAGCGGAAAAATGCAAAACAAACGAAAAGCTGACAAATTTGCAGAAGGGGTCCGCCTGGTAGTCATACCTTAACGTCTTACCAGCTTGTGGGAGGGGGGTTATTTCACCAAGGGGTTTCATGATTAGAAGTTATCTCGATTATCAAAGATGGGGGAGGGAAAAACCAAGTCTAAAACCTCTTCTCGGCAAAGCCTTTTAGCTCGTGTAACAGAACGTTCATTGATGAGATGACTTGTTCAAAGAAGTATCGAAAGGACAGTGAACGTAATTGACGTATACGGAAGTGGCAAGACTGATAAGATGATAGAACCCTCGCTAGTTTCCGCTGCAAGATGTAGGAGGCGCTTGATACATTTTTCATCGTATACTCTTCCTTACTAACTTTTTTCCCTCTGTTTTCAGCACATTAGATTTTCAATGTGTGTATCCACACTTATTCCAAGTAATAGTCCTACATTTGGAATTTCTAGTCGTTCCCAGCCTACCATCGTAAAAATGCAAAGGACAGCAGCTTTCATGGCTTACTGACCGTTATGGAATGATTTACATACAATGATACACAGCAACGACTCAACTTCTACGCTGGTGGTAACATCGTTTACTAAGAGTATATTCTCAACCTTGTTACTGAATATGCGATTGTTTCTTTAGTTTTAATTTCTCTCGTTTCGTACACAGCTATACGATCATTAATAAACACAGAATCCTTTCTACATTGTTGGTATCTCTAGGATCGTGTTTAACATTTGTGTTTCAGGCTTTTCATTCGAGACCAACAAGCTGTGCATCTGGATTTTTCGCTTTGTAACCTTCATAGAACTTTTTGTGCCATTCTGCCGGAACAGTGCACTCCTTTACAGCAGGCACTTCACTCATGGCCGCACACCAGGCTGAGAGCACTGGGAAGCCCTTCAGGAGATCAGTTATTAGATAGAGTCGTTCAATCCATGGCCACATGAGGTAGTCTGCCATGCTGGGACTTGAACCTGTTACAAGAAAGCCGGAATGTATGCATTTTTATTATGTGTGATACTTTTCCCCAACATTCCAATACTCAAATTAACCAAACACCCAGTTTTCTTCTTATGTTTCTAGGGTCCTACATCTTGCCATGTGTCTAATGTGTTTTTTAATGTAAAAATCTCCAAGCACAATTCAGTGGATTTTTGTTTTAAAAGGAAAAGACTATAAAAACTGGGATAACTTTTTTATTATTGTACACCACACAAGTGAATAGTACTTTTCACATGTGCTGATTGGCTAGTTTGCAAGTGACTGGCAAGAACTGAAGAGACAAAATCATGTGTCAAGAGTTTAGTTTTGGACCATTTTTTCAGAATAATGACAAAAATAAACTAATTTTTCATTTTCCGTGTGGTATGAATGTGAAACAATTATTTACCCTTGTGTCAGTGAAACTGGCAGATACAGATTGATAAATATTGATCTGTGTGAGTTTAATTGCCTTTGTTGTCAATTTTCCAGAAGAAAAATTTTACTCTGGAAATATATACCTGCCAAATTAGACTGGATACTTAGCATTGTTAAATGAAAAAATGTTTGGACTTCAGTTGAAAATGTAGGGGGATCTTTCAGCCACATTTAGAAATTGTCAGAAGGACTTCTGCAGTAAAGTTCAGAAGTTTTTGGATTTTCATTAGAAATTCAAGAAATATATTCTAATCACACTCTTCTGACATAAGAAAAAGTTGTCAGGTGTAGTTTATTTCATGACCCACCTCCAACAAATTTTTTTCCATTCAGTTCTTTTTCAAATGCAGTCAGATGTTTATTTAGTTCTGCCACTGTTTCAGGACTTCCGTCACCCAGCATCTCTTTATAATAAGCAGGAATCAACTAAAAAAAATAATACATATGCCAATCATTCCCAATAACTAAATTAAAAAATTCTGCCACCTGCCATTTGCCATGTCCAAGTCTTTGCTATGTGATTCAAACTTAGTACCATTTATTATATAAAACAGCTTTAATAAAGATCAATCATACCTTGCTTCCCAAAACTTCAACCATTATTCTCTGCTTGTGTTTTTCAACTAGATCTTTAGGAAATAGATGTTCCTTCTCTGGATAAAAATCCTCCAAAAATTCTAAGTAAACAAAATTAACAAGGAGTTGACAAAGAGTCTGAAGAAAGTTCAGCTTGAGAAAAAGTTAGAACTAAAAAGGGCTTGCTCCTTAAATATTAGGTGAGAATGAAAGGGCTACATTTATGATTATTTGGCCTATCATGTTATCTCTATGAAAAGTTCCAAAAGGTTTTGTGAAGTGAAGCAGGAGAAACTTTAGAAAACTGTTGAAGGAATGAATGAATGAAAACTTAATTAACGTGTCAATGTTTTTAGCTATAGATTAGCTACAGATTAGCTAATTGGGAACACCAATTAGTTTACCAATGGTTGCCGAGATTGGCCACACAAGTTCACAGTCGGAAATTTTAAACCATGCAGAGTTTCTATGAGAGCTTCAGAGTTTCCTACAATTTTTTGGCAAATCAAATTTGGACCGTTTTTTCGATCGGTTCTGCAATCATAGGCCGGAAAGTGAGATGAGAATCGTGCGTTCCTTTAGCGTCTTTCTCATTAATTAAACACTAAGGAGCGCGAAACAAAAGCAACAACAGCAACAAAAAACATTTTACCAACCGCAGCATATCGCAGATTCATAAAGAACCTTTCCATCAGGCAGTTCGATCACTGGGACAGCTCCAGCTGGGTTCATTTCGATAAACCATTCTGGTTTATCCATCAAATTGACGTTCACACATTCGTACTCGATTCCTTTTGCTGCTAACACAAGTCGTGCTCTCTGCAAATAAATCACCAGGATGAATACAACTCAAACTACAATGAAGTATGGAAATGATGGCTTATTACGGAAGCTTGCTAGAATGTGCCAAACGATCGAAAATAAAGACAAGCACCAAACAAAAAACACAAAACACGATGATGTGCCGCGCACGCAAACAAGTGAATGAAACAGTCGTAAAAGAAACATGCAAAGCGCCTACGAACTAAGTTGCCTCAGACACGATGTACTTTACCTGTGCAAATGGACAGAATCTCATACTGTAAAGGCGAAGGCTCTCGCCTTTCAGCGCCGGCTTGTCAGATCCTTTCGAAAAGTGAGCCATTTCTCCACGAAAAAAAAAGCAAACTCAACTCTTATAACAGTCACGGTGCGACTATAAATTTTAGCAGCGTCACACTGACGGCCCAGTATTGGTTACTTTCATATTGAGACAGCTGACCTGATGAGTCACGCTATATTTTTGTTCAGTCGAGTCACGACTGAAATCGTTCTTTGCAATATATTGGTAGGATCGAACACAATTTCCCCAGCGAACGTTTCATCATTTTTCTCACGATATAGAACCATTATTGTGGACGAAGGCGTTCCAACTGCCACAGAGTTAGTCTTTGTTCGACGCGACTTGAGCTGGACGCGAGCTAATCCAAAGGAAGAGGATCTAGCCGAATTGTCCAGTAACTTGCCCATTGACAATGGGCATTGACAATGGGCATTGACAATGGGCAAGGACAAGACCACAGAGTTTTCTTTCGGGTGTGATTCATGTATTTTGACCGTTCAATTCTTCTTATACGATGCGAAGGGGTGGGGAGGGGGAGGGGGAGGGGGAGGGGGAGGGAAACGGTTACAGTCAAACCTGTCTTAAGCGGCACCGTATTCCTGATGGCAAATTTGGACAGTTTTCAAGTGGTTTAACTTCAAAGATGTCTCTAAGTTATCTGATTTATTTTACCATCACTAAAGTATACTTCTTATAGTTCCTGAAAAAGAATTTTCAGGGGGTTAACTTTAGTGAATGGGTGGAATTCAAGAAGAAAAAGGGTGTGGTCCTTCGCCCCAAAAATTGCTCTAAAGACAGAGATTTATTATTTTACCGTAGGTTTTGGAATACAATTAGTAGAAAACACGATTTTTCACCGCAGTGAGCTCTCCCATTATGCATATCAACTGTTTCATGCCCGAAATTATTAAATTTTCCACGACGTGAAATGTGACATGGGCTAATAATGAGGCTAGAGAAAATAATAGTAACTTCATTCACTCTACTTTTTTTCTGTATATCTTTTTACGAAAATTTTTTTTTCTAACGTGTTCTTCACTATGAGCCAAAACATTAATTAATCACTTCGTCGACTGTCGCAGTTGCCTTTAATTCCTCTTCAGCTTTCGTAAAGTTCTTCTCCAGGGCATTTGTGTCAACTGATCACTTCTCTTAAAACCATTGCTATCAGGATACATTCAATGTTGTGTCCGTATCTTCCTTCTCGAAATCTTTGATTGCCTCTCCGCCGCTGTGTCCAAGTTTACTCAGAAATGACTTAAACGAAGATCTACAGCACAATGCAAAAAGACAAAAATAATGAAACTTGATCCTAATAATGCAAGGGATTCGTAAGAAATAAAGTTTTTCCATAAAGTATTTAAGAGTAATTAGCCTGTGTACAGTCACCCCTACTCTTCAAAAGAAAATTGGAGGGTGGGGTGGGGGGTGGGGGGGTGGGGAGGCGCGGCTGTACACTATGAGTAATCAACTTACCTCAATTGCATATCAGTTCCCACGCCCCTCTTCTGTTCGAGCTGTATCACAGCCTGTTTACAGACGGGTATCAACGCCGTGACGAGGTCTGAGTCGAAGGGGACAAGTGTTTCAAGTGTTTTAAATACTAAACCCTGAAAAAAGAAGAGTAGTGCGTAAGGTTTTACTACATCAGTTAAAAAATGCGCGGAAATGAAATGTCGACAAACGTCAGTAACAGGCAAAAACATTCAAATTTTTCCTTTCATCAGCTTCCAGTTAGTGAACCCTTTCACCCTAAGAGTGACTGGCATCTTATTTCCCCGTACAATATTACCCCTGAATCAAACATTAAGGTCACGAGAGTAAAAGAAACGATTACCAACAAAAGGGTCTCCTGACTGTTAAACAAATTCCCCTCGTCAGGACCTTAGCAAATGTATACAGAATAGTAAGGAGAATATGCCTACTGATCATGATTGAACCCGTGACACCCACAGCTGATAAGAAAAGCCTTATCATAAAAGAAACAAATGGAAAATAGCACGCTATGTTTGTTATTTTTCCTACGTAGTTGTTATTTTTGTCCATAGCTGTAATCTCAGACAATCTCACCTGGTACAGAGTGATTTTACTGTACAAGAAATTTCTTAAGTGAGGCAAAAGAACTTCCCTGAAAAAACAAAGAAATCACCTCAAAATGTCAACATTACCCCTAAATACACAAACTTTTTAATCCTTAAAAAAAAAAAAAAAAAGAAACGTCCGTTAAGGGAACAAAAAGTTTATTCTTTACCTGGAGTTCATTTCCGGCGTTTTCGTACAAGCTCCAACCATCAAACGTAAGATTTCAGTGGCTGAAATGAAAGAAGAAACGAAAGGAGATTCACTATATATGCCTGTTTAAAAATTCACCCGTCAGCAACTATTCCCATTTGCCACAACATGTATCACACTTCTCCATCCGCAGCCATTATTTTTCTTATTTACTTTATTTTATGTAACCGGGAAAACGATCAGTAAAAGGTTTCACTATCTTTTCAAAATTGTAACAGCTCTATTGCATCATATTTTTCAGTAATGTCTAAATGTCTTGATGTCTGATGTTCGCCTCCTCAAATCTAAACATGCAAACAATGAGTACATTAAGAAAAGATACTGAGAACCGCAAGTTTTTTTTCAGTTTTTAACTGGCTTTTGTCACCCTCTATAAATAAAGCTGATATATATTTAGTATTATCAACTGGGTTGATAACGGAAATTGGCCACCTTAAAGAGTTTAAAGGCTAACATTTCAAACGTTAGCCCTTCGCCAGCTCTGACGAAGGGCCTGTTAGACAATCCCCTGTTATCCACCGACGCAGTATCACAGTTTCTTTGGAAACTTACCACCTTGATACATACATACATGCATATTACAAAGATAAAAATTTCATTACTTTAGCCTATATCGACAAGAGCTCAAGAGCTCTTTTTTAAATATTCACCTTCCCCTCCCCTCCTCTCCCCTCCCTTCCCCCCACACCAGAAAAAAACAAAAACAACCTTACTTTAGGATTCACAGCATGCATTCGACATTCCGTGGTCCAGCTCGGGGGTGACTACATCACGAGAAACTATTTTACTTCATCTCAAGTGTATTAAACAAGAAGATAACAACCCAATTACCATTATGTTTGAAATCCTTTACCTTGCCTTCTTATCTCGGGGGGTTCGTTTCCCGCGGTAAACTGATTACACGTTAGTAAACAAAACATGATAGATTCCAGCAAAACTGGGGTGTTTCTGCAATGGAAAAATGAGAAAAATTATCCATTTTGTTCTCCGTTTAGCTGGCTACGATTTCCTTCCCTGAATTTATCTGTTCGATCCTTAAAGGAGAAGAAGATTAAATTTGACATATTTCCTCGCCGTCACTTTCACGCGCACAGGGTCTAAAATGTTTCAGACTAGTTCCTGGTTTGCCAATGGACCGATCTAGATTGTGTGCATTCCAACCTCGTCTTCAGAGGTCATGTGAGGGGGATGGAGGGAGGGAAGGAAGGGTTTCTTTGTCCACAATGAATTCTAGGAAAGTGACTTTTCGAAACGATTGAGCACACAGCCCCTTTAAGTTTTCATTCGTTTCAGTCGCTGCCCCTTTAAAAACAGAGCATATTGAAACGAACCCGTTTCATTGTGAAACTTATTGTCCATAAGAAAGGAAAATGAGGCATTAATCAAAAAGATAATTGTAAACAAGAATGTCTACAAATCAGTTGCTAGTACCTTGCTGTCTCAGAAGAACAGAGCGTTTTCCTAAATAACTGCTCCAAAAAGGACAAAGTCTGAAAAAAAAGGTCGCAAACCGAATAGTTAAACAACAATCCTTTGATATCATTTCTTTTAAAGTTTACCTTATAGGAACTTATCAATAACAACATTTGAATAAGGAACTTACTGTCGCTAGATTCGCAGGCTGCTGTGGAAGGCACAAGAAATTCTCTTGAATGATCTCCACGACGAATTGGCGGAATTCGCTACAGTGAAAAAATAGAACGATTTTATAGAACGAAAGCATTAACAACATTCTTGGAACTTACACCTTCTAAAAAAAGTTGTTGATCTTTATGTACATTCGCAAGTCTAAACACTGGACAGAATATTCCCATTATTTTTTCTATGTTTCAGAATTTCCATTGTGCTTCTCGCATGGGAGCAATTTTCATTTATTGTAGACAATAAGGATTGCAAGGGGTTTTCTTCACTACGCTCTGTGATTGGACAAGCACACTCACGACGCATTCTTATCCAATCAGATGTAAAACTAACACCAATCGAAACTTGATCCTTCGCGTATTCCCGCCCTTCTGACAATTTGGCGGGAATGTTACTTGCTTTCATTTTAAGTTCTCACAAGCTCCCTGATGACAATTTCCTTTGCTCAGATTAGCCATTGTTAATGACTTAGTTTGGTTTTACGACACTCAAGTTCGTAATGGCAATCGCTAAGAAAAGATTACAAAGACTTCATAATTTTTCGCGAATGCAGAATGGAAGCCTTGTGAGTGCAATGAGTGTCTTTCATAAATGATGTAAAGAAATGAGCTATTTATAGCTTCCTTCCTGTTTCACAAACCTGTTCTCAGGTGCAGGATCGGTTAAACATGATCCTTTGAGAACTACCTGTGGAAAGTCCATAGAGAGAGCACTCAGAATTATTGTTGTGCATGACGTTTGCGATAACAGCTGAAGGTAAAAGTTAAACATTATTTTGTTCACTTCTCCTTCAGTCCAAATATCAATTCAGAAGAAATAAAAAGAAAGGAAAAAAAATACCATTCGCCGTGAATGAGAAGGAAAGAAAATACGCTACAATATGTGGCCTCCTTTTTGTGACGTTCAAAATCGCGTCGAACTTGCGGGAAACCAGCTAGTTTGGTGAGATTCAAAACCACCGAGGGAAGCATATACTCAAAACAAAAAAGGAAAATTCAGAACAGATAAAATTACAACAAATTGCAACCTACCAACTTGGAAAATATAAGTTTTATGATTCAAGATGGAAGCTCTTTAAAGTTTCCTTGCCGTAATTGTCATGCCTAAACTTTCTGTCATCATTCCGCGGTGATATGCATGCAAAAAACATCTAATAATATCGGAAAAAAATTGAATATGTAACAACCCATAGATAGTAAATGAGCAAGTTAACATACCAGAAAAGGATTCTTAGTCGGAATATTGGCCGCCTGAGAGGACGAAGGCAAAATCTGTGACAAAAAATAATTTCAACAAATTGAAAAATTACTTCTAAAAGCTAAGTCAGTCTAGAATGTAAGGGCGAGGAGTCAAATTGCTTTGGTTGGCTGAAAAATTTAAAGTCCAATACTACACCATTGACGTTCTCGTCGGTTGTTGCAACAACCATAAAGGACCGCGAAGATTTGAAAATTGCGATGTAAGAAGTATCAAAAATATTCCATTTTAATAACTGCAGTGCTCAACACTTTTTCTCTAGCCTGGGCGAACAAACTTTCTTTAGCGCGTTCTTTCGGTTGAATGAAAGTTGCTCTTACCTGGTTGAAAAGCCGAAAGTACGAGATGAATATTTGTTTAATCTTTCTCCGTATAAATTCATCTCTCTTGAAATCTAGGCAGGCAAGACCCTGTAGAAACTGCGGAAAAAAAAACACAATTATAAACTGCGAATGTTTAAAATACCTCACGTAGCCAACCATGGGAACTCAAGCGCACGACAACGAGACTCAGTCAAGATTGTATTTGATTGTTTGCGAGTTTTCTTGACCAATCACGGTGGGAAGTAGAGAAAAACCAATGAAATCTCAAATTTCTTTCGGTACTAAATTGGGAATTACTCGAATACTTTGATCCAAATACCTGATGTAAGTGTGCTTTGATACACTGCATGACCAAAGGTGCAACAGGTTTCTTGCTGTTAGGGAGTGGGAGAACAAATTGGTCAACCAACCGAGGAAAAAGACATCTGGGTTGAGTCTGAAAATAATAAAGAGAGATTGCACAGAAGACGAAAGTCATTCAACCTTCAAATAAGGTTAATAGCAACTTTGATTGCGCGAAAAGATCTGTAAAATTTCAAGTTATTCTAAAAAACGGTACTAACGCCTTACCCGGCTGTAAATGATCTTATAACAATGCTTGGTCAGAAGTCCAGCAACATGATATGCAATCCTATCAAAAAACATATAAATAGTCTCACCACTGATTACCTCACACATTTTTACCTTAACATTTTACCTAAACTGATCATAATATTAAATGGAACCACCTTGAAATTATAGCAAGTACAAGAACATACAGATTTTCAAATGAAGAGACTTTGTTGATTCGTGACTCACAGCCAGCCTTTCATGAAAATGTTCGCAGAGAAAAGCTTTTACGCTATTCGTTGTTTGTTCACATTTTAAGTTACTGGTAATCATTTTAACGATCACTTCTAAAGACGTGTTTTGAAAATACGATCCGTCAATATTTAAAAACCATGTATCAGTGGAATGCGTGTCTGTGGTAAAACCTCTTTCGTCGTGGTTGTCACAGCAGAGTGCCTTTTATTTCAATAAAGACTAAGGAGCTTGGAGGTCCACAACTGCGCATGCCCGGAGCTTTTCCCAGGTATTTTTGTAGCATATGGGGCAGGTAGTATTATCGTTACTTACCTCAGTAGATTCGCAGGTCCAACATCTTTTAGCACGTGGTCAACATACTTGATGACGTCACCCAGGTATCTCTGCACTGTCTCGCGGAACTGGATTGAGTCGTCAAACTTTGTCTGTAGACATAGTGGAAACAGTTATGTATTCGTCTGGGAAATTCCGCGTTGGGCAAAAATTATTAATTTTAGTAATTCCAGAAGTTTCCACAATTCATAAGTAAGATAGTTAACTGTTCTTTTGTCAATAACTATGGGGCCGCATGCCGATTAAACGTCATGGGACCTAAATTTATAGTAATCACGACAGCCAATCAAAATAAAGCTAAACATCACCAAGAGCCAATCGGGCTCAAGCGCGGGAAAGAGCCGCTGAACATATTGTCATTGGTTTGGGTTCTGTTTCTGATTGGTTGAAAAAGTGTCACGAGTTTTCTTAATGAACAACACAACGTAGGAAAATAAAACAAATGCAATAGGTGGTTATTTTCGATACTCAGTTGAAAATTTCTCCGTAAGCTAAGTTTTACTTACCAGTGATGCGTGATGACGCCCTAGCGCAACAATAAATAGCTGCAACGATGTTTCACTACTTTCACCAGTTCCGAATCCAGGCTATAAGAAGCACAAGTATGTATTAAAACCTCTCACTGAATAAGCACAATTGAAGGTCTATGTCTTTCTTGATTAGTTTCCTGAGGAAAAAACCCTGCGCCCCCACTGTAAAAATCGCGCGCGGAAGTTACGAGTGCCTGATATCAAATCACAAACGGTTTTACTAGCCTTTCCGTACAAAACATAGGAGAAGTGCACTTGCACGCAAAAATTCGCTAAGTGGATCTTCCTCTTCCGTTTACAAGGGCAAGAGCCATAGTCAGTCTTGCCAGACCTGATAATGGAGCGCTCTTAGATTACTAATCGGTCACGTCATAGGACCACTTCCAAAACTCAGCGCGAAAATCTCGAAAAGAACACGATTGGATGCCAATTACATAGCTTTTGGGACTGTCCTCGTCTACAATATCGAGGTTTGAGTGATATCACCGTTCTTGTTGTATCCAAAAAGAAAAAAGCGCATCTTTGCGACCTGTTACCGCAATGGCAGTGAAGTTAAGTTAGTGGTATTACCTGGCCCCTCAGTAGCTTCTCCAGCTCGGGTAATTTACCCACTGCCCTGTGAGACAAAAGAAACAGAAAACGATTACAAAGAACTCAACACGTACATTATAATTAAAGGGAAATTTTTCAAAATGTTAAAAATTCATCCTTTGGTTGAGTTGAACACCATATTTTAAGATTTTACTTTATTTTTTATCACCTTCATTTCACTTCGATAACATGGGGAAAGGTCGCTAAGTTTCTCTAAGCAGGGTTTCATGTAGAAAACCCTTAAAATAATATCAATTTTAGTATGAAGTACAAACAGACTACAACATAAAATGTGTAGCTAAACTCGAAAACACACGGAATCCCTCCGAAATTGGACGGAACCTTCCGAAATTTGACATAACCATCCCAAATCAGACGGAACCCTCCGAAATTATACAGAACCCTCCGAAATCAGATGGAAGGTGCCAAATCAGATGGAACTCTACGAAGTCAGACGGAACCCTCCAAAATTAGATGGAACCCTGCGAAATCAGACGGAACCCTACGAAATCAGACGAAACCCTCCGAAATTGGACAGAACAATCCAAAATTAGTCAGAACCCTTCAAAATTATTCGGAATCCTCCGATATTAGAAGGAACCCTCCGAAATAAGACGAAGGGCTCCAAAATCAGTAGGAACTCTTTGAAATTAAATGAAGCCCTCCAAAATTAGACGGAACCCTTCGAAATTAGACGAAAACCTCTACAATTAGAAGGAACCCGCCAAAATCAGACGGAACCCTCCGAAATTAGACGGAATCCTCCAAAATTTAGACGGAATCCTCCAAAATTTAGACGGAATCCTCCAAAATTTGGACGGAATCCTCCGTAATTAGACGAACCCTCCGAAAATCTCACGGAAACGTTGGATGTTACACTGAACCCTCTGAAATCAGAGAACCGTCTGAAATTGGATGATAACATTCAATGTTAGACGAAATCGTCCAAAACTAAAAGGAACTGTCGGAAATCGGACGAAGCTGGGGGGATTGAACGGGCTTACTTTATTTCTATCGCACTAGTGACACAAGTTAAAGGTGTTTCTAATCACAAATTCTTCCTCATGTGACAAACTCACGGAGGGAGGGAGGGGTGGGGTACCTGGTTAGTTCTGTTAATCCTTCATGAGAGGGTGGTAGCTGCAACAGACATCTAAACCACGCGTGGATTATGTCTCTTTCCATGTTCTCTGCTTGAATTGCCGTCGTTGCCGAAGGACAGGGTAAAATGTGACATAGGAATCGACAACAAAAGCTGCAACCAATAATATTACACACATCTGCGTTTAATTCAAGACATTCATTCTCCTGTCTCATTCTCCTCTCACAATCACTATGGTAGTTGGCTGTGAAAATGTTTCGGTAGACCACGATGAGTCTCTCCTTTTTGGCGAAGTCCGTCGCGCGAGCCCAAAAAACATCAGCGAAAAAAAAAGGAATTGTTGTTATTGCGCCGCGTTCACACTCGAACTCCTAGAGTTCCACGAAGTGCGCCATTAAACAACACTTTTTTTTCACCCAATATTTTGGACTCGCATGACAGACTTTAGGCGAGAAAGAGGGACTTCTCTAAGTATAATTTAACAGGTGATCGAAGACAATTTTTAGTTAGAGTAGTTTTGAATTCTACATACCTTGCGGACATTTCGTCTTTAATACCAAGATCCCGTAACAGACTGGTAAACGTCACCCCAGTTGTGCCAGTGACTTCCTCAGGATATCTTAAACATACGCGTAAAACACAGAGTAGTGAAACTACGGCAAAATTACTAAAACGAGGGCATCAAGTAAGCAGTAACTTATCCGAAACTGCACTGGTTTTCCTTTATTGCCCTGTTTTCATTTGCATAATCCTAACAAGAATAGCCTCTGGTCGTGAAACACACGTGGTTTGGCGTGTGCGGCGGGTTGCATAGTCAAATACTTGGCACATTTGAAGAAATTTTCGAATTTCATGGTTACTTTTTGGAATCTAGAAACACTTTCAGTGTCGTAATTTAACGTAAATTCTTTATGGCGGAGATAAAGATATATGCTCTCTGTAGCAAGCTTTTGGTTTCTCTTTCTTACGTGGCGTTATTGATCTAGAAAACTCGTGAGATCTTTTCACATTGGGCATGAAAAGGAATTTTCAAAAAATGACGTCATTATTAAGCGTTCATTCACAAGTTGTGGTGGACCTCAATTAAAATCTACTATCGAACACTAAAGGTGTTTCAATAAATTTTTCATAAGCAGCTGCCGACGACGTAATAGGCGGCTGTGCCATAAGCAAAACTCAAACGCGAGAGGTCCCTCACAGACTAAACAAGCGGCGGTAAGAGGCCTTGCAGGCAGCGGTAGACAGCTGATACCCCGGCTTTTATTGAAACACCTGTCTCTGATGATATCATTTCACAATGCCCACCGATTTAGCAGGCGCTTACTACCTGTCGAGAGCAGAGAGTGTAAAGCCGGCCAACGTGTCAGCTAAGGGACTGGGTACCGACTGGATACACAGACCGTCAGATGTTAGGTTCCTCACGTGACTAAACACGTGCTTCCACATCACACTGACAGCGTCTAGATAACAAAAAAAACCACTTGAATGCGAGTAACGTGTGACAGGTGTTGGACTAGTATACTACGCTATACAATGTTGTTTGGAAAAAGGCAAACTAGTTAACCATTACCTAGGATCTATCCCGGATAGAAAAGCTACAAAAAGAGTCTCGTTACTGCATCAGCGCACCAATCTCTACTAGTCACCATGACACAACAACTTGACAACCACAACAACAACAAAAACGTAACAAGTACCTGAGAATCCTGGTCTACCCCCGTACTTTTGCCTACAAAAAAAGTAAAATGCGTAAATTGATGGCAGGTTCCATTTCAAGCAAAAGAAAATTACTTATCTGCTAGAGAACGACTCGTGTCCGTAAAGAAGTAAAAGCAATTGTTACATTTCACCCGTACGTTAATGACGCCAGAGTGGTCTGTACAAAGCTCAGCAAGTATCGGAGTTCATTGTCACGACACGAATGTAAAAGGTATTGAAATCCATCAGCTGAAAAAAAAAGAACAAACGAACAAACAATCAAACAAAGACGAGGGAGATCAGAGAACTCCAACAACGAATTTTATTTTCAGGGCAAAAAGATACTTTACGTTGAAGAAAAAAATTAAAAAACATGCAAGCCCACTGAGGTTAATCGGCTTCTCTTACTCTATGCCGTTCGGCCTTACTTGCTAATAAGTTTTCGCTGTTTTAGTTCACATGAGAGATTAAAAGTGAACGCGAAACAAAAAAAAAAAGAAACTTGTAAAAACTCAATCTCCATCAGCAGTCCTCAAAGAAAATCTCACACGTATTCAAATTCCAAATTACTTACCAATCAGTTTACTTTCAGACAAGTCCTGTTTATTTTTGTGTTCGAACACATCCTGTGTACTGTCCAGATATAGTGTGATCAACTGCCAGCAGTTTTTTTGATGAGTTTTATCTCGAGAGGAATTCGTGTATTCCCTAAAAGAAACAACAGCTTCTATATTTATCCCAAAACAATTATGTTGATAAACAATTTTTCTAATACAAAAAAAAGAGATAAATTTTATCCGTATTTCCAAGCTTATGAAGGAAACATTAACATTGATTGACTGACTGATTGACTGATTGATCGATTGATTGACGAGATTGGCATTCTCACCTCGCAACCGTGACAAAACTGTACGACAATCTTTCCGCCAAGTATCCAAAATCCACATTCTTCTCCTTGTAAATGAGCATCAAGGCAAAAAGCCCTGATTATGTAGAGAAAACAAATAGTATGATAGCTGATAATTATTACAAAATACACAACTAGTCTAAATTACAACCTCTCCTTGTCTTTCACCTTTCTTCCTTTTACGTTTCATTCTTAATATCCTCACCTTTCCAGACACTAATTTTCTTTTCCTGGGCCATCTTGTGAAAGTCCAGCAAGTCAAGAAACGAACACATCTTGTGCGCCTGTGCAAGAAAAGATATTTGTGACTTCTTCGAGTAATTTTAGGCGTTAATCAACGAGGAGAACAAACTCGATCCCAGCAGAGTCTATGCTCCTCCATATCCACCCATCTGTCCATATGGAACCCTTCCTAGGACCCCCACCATGGAATATCCAACGACCAGAACCTATCATTCAGCGCCAATTTTTCTCCCCCGTTCAATTTACGTTCCGTTCTTTTATGACAACCTGCGCAACAAGAAGAGTTTCGAATTCCAATGTTGTTATATGCTTAATAACTTTCACTTGTTCATATCAACATAGCCATTTAGAATAAAATAGTACGCCTACAGAGGCATACCATAACTTACTACATCTTCTAGGTCAGCTACACAGGAAAGAGTAAGAAAAAGAGTGATAAAATGATGAAGTCCTGTGATGTTCAACTCCTCCATACGGCGCTTATGGAACTTTGAGTAGAATCTAAAGATAAAATAGAAACGTACTGCTTCATAATAGTCTGCCAATCGCAGATAATACATATATTTCTCATGATTGACAATTTAATGACCAAATGCAGAAAATGCGAACGAACTTAACGAAGTAAAGTGCAGAAAAAAAAAGATCGAAGGTGTCTGTTCCTTTTCTACCTGCCCTTCATCTGTTTCCAGGCCTGTAATGATCCACTCTTAAGTAATTTGGTGAGGTGAACTGACACCAGCCGTAAGAAGAGAGTGAAACTGGATTCATGCTCTGGAACAACACTGCTAGAAACAAAACGCTACAGTTAATAAATCAAATCGCCTTTATTCCATGTTACCTTAAAGTAGCCTTCGAGATTACATCTCAATTTCTGAGTAGTCTGGTTCAAAGAAAGATTCAGCGATAATTTTTGGTTTTCCTTTGAAAACTTTCATTGAGTCTTCCTTTGAAATGATTTGTTCTTAACTTAAAAGGTCAACGAATATGACACCGAATGTAATATAGACGGTGATGAGCGGCAAAGTATAACAAATGGAAAGAAACTTTAAAACTAAGATCAACTTGCAATCCTCGTTATTTGCTGTAATAACTCACCCTTGATGTGAAGCCTTAGACCTGTTCAAACACTGCTCCGTCCACTGAAGAGAAGATAAGCTGAAAGAAGGTAGAAACAGGTCAGATGCGCTTTATGGAATCGCACTTTGAGTGTAACGCTTTAGCTTTCTCAGAGAAGAAAAGTTATTATGAGAAAAAAGGGCCATCGGTAGCGAGTGTCTGAGGGATAAGTGAGCTGAAGCACACATGTTTATCAGCGAAACGCAAACACCAGTTGAAGTTAAGCGTTTTCTCTTTCTTTGGTGCTTGATATAAATTGCCCACAAACGTTTACATCAAAATGCCAATATACGGGTTGTTTAACCGATAAGTTGCCAAATTTCCCGATATTGAAGACACACAACAGCCGTCCAGTCACTCGATAGTATGTTTTTTTGTAGAAATACAGGGTAGTCAAGAATTTGTGGATATAATGTCGGAAGTCTCTGCGGAAAGAAAATATAGCTGCTGACCGGAGTAGATCCATACCTGACAAGACCAAAGCCATGCATAGATTGCTCAGGAACGTGAAATGAATTGTTCTTAAGAAAAAAGAAGGAGAGAGAGTAAATATAAAAATGTTCATGGGTAAAAAAAAAACTAATTAAACAAACCTGCAATATATGAAGGAGAGAAAATTTTAAGCTGCAGTTATATTTACTACAGCAAGATTCATTGATAAGCGTGAGTGAAAAATATGATAAGTTTCTGTTTGTCGTACGTCTCTCTACAAAAACTGAAATGGCAGTTTTAAAACAAGTACAAGTAGACTCGTCAGCATAATTGAAGATGTAATTTGTCCTTAAAAATTGCACTTTCCAAGAAAAACTTCCTCACATGAGCGCAGCACAAAACTGGGCCTACCAATCTCTTGTGAAAGAAATCCCAAAGCCACAGAATAAGATCAGAATTTGCTGACCAATGATAAGACAACGAAACACAGCAGCGAAGGGAGACGCGGCAGCGGGATTCTTCATGACTCTCCTGTAACAAAACAGTTGGGAACGTTATTGATGTAACTAAATTTAGCATCGCATAATCGATAGCAGGTTTTTTAACAAGGAATTATCACCTTGTTGTTTAGAAGAGATGCTTTGAGTAGATCTTGGGCAAGCACCCAGTTTCCAGGAACACAACTCTATCAAGAAAAAGGAAGAAAGTTATTGTAAAAAGGCAGGTGATTCATCTCTTTGTAATTACTTAAAATTGAGGAGCGCATTTCGATTGAGTGCCTTAAAAGCAAAACTATTGCAGTCACAATGGCCAAAAAAAAAGAAACGCACACATTGCAAATCTGAAATTTAAGAGGAAAGAAGCAAACTACCTTTAGCGCATGAAAAGGCGAGCGATAAAGTCACGTTTAGTTTCAGTTTTGCGACTGATTGATTAAGAGGTTAGCGCTAGTTTTCTTGATAAATCATACAGTGTAGCGAAGCAATACCTATGCAATTGAAAATGGCTGTAACAGAGTCGCAGATACAAGTCTCTATCCTTCTCTGTATGATATATGTCAAGACGCATAAGAATAAGTATAGTGAACAAGACTGACTAAAAACCAATCGGATGATGGAAGTCTGCACTTCTGTCAAATTCATCAGAATCAAAGCTCGCCCGTCACACAGCACTCCGTAACGTGAAGGTTAGCGTGGCGTCATGGCGTTAATGCATGCATGCCTTAGTTGACGGTTAAGTACTGTGCTGACTGTGGTGTATGACGTAAGTCTTCACGCTGTCGCTCGTCAGCCTCGTTTTCATGTATCACGTTCGAGTCGACATATTATGGGAAAATAAATCTCTGTTAAGTTTCCTTCACGTCTTCAAGACTTTAATCCGACGCTATACGCTACACTAACTCGTCATACCCCCACCAGCCTTGTTACCTTTTTCCTTTGGGAGTACACCCCTTTGTCTGTAAACCAGTAAAGTGGGGACAAATGCGTCAAAAGCCACCAACAGAAATTAACAGGCGTCTTCACTGTGAAATCTGGAGGAGCTGAAAGATCCAATCCACATAAAAAAAAGGTTGGTAAATGAAGAGCTTTTGTGAGTGGTGTCGGGCCAAATTGAAAATAACTTTAGAGGTTTATCAGAACGATAGCAATTGTCGAGAGAAGCCAAAGAAAACACCAAAAGAGTTTATCACTGGTATCAGTTTTGCATCTGATTGGTTGAGAAGATCGCGCAAGTTTCTCTTATCAGTCACAGAGTGTTTTGAGGTAAAACTAATAAATCTACGTCACTTCCTGCACCTTAATGGAAAAAGCTCTATAATAAGAAATAATCGCTTGCTATAACTACGGACTAATGAAAACTCAACTGTAAAGGATCTACCAAAATCTACTTATACCTACCACAGGACTGGGCCCAGGGCTGCACGGTAGAGTCCTGACTGTCGGGCTCAGACTCCTTGGGATAAAGAATCTCTGACATGATGGAAGAAACCGCTGACCAGAATGACTGAAAAAACAGAGATGCGCTAAAAAGATCTGCGCTAGGAGTTTTTATCAAAATTTTTCAGCCACCATGTTGAACAACAGTCTTCCGACTACAATGTGTGATCAGCAATGATTATCTACTGAAGAAGTCACTCATACCTCGAGATCTGTTTTGGTGCTTAGATGATCCATCAAATGGATCAACATGATCCACAGTTCACCCACGCAGCCACAGGGAAATGGACATACTTGAAGAACGTTTGACTGGTTTTCCTGTCAAATAAAACACACAACCTGTTTGCGTCGCTGTCAGACAAGCCAGAATGGATACTTTTGCTTCATTATCGTCCGTGATTGGTCCAGGAAACTCGCACCACCCTCTCAAGTAATCAGATGCAAGACTAATACTCGACTCGGTCACTCCCGTTTTCCCGCCCATTTCATTGTCACTATCTCATCTCATTTCATCGTCATTATCTCATCTCATCATCTCAATTAGGCTGGTAAAAGCCGGTTAGGCAACACACCAACCATTGGCAAAATGCAAAAGTAAAAATTACATGCTACAATAAGTACAATACAGAATAAAAAAAATTACCAAACCAATTGACACGCTCTTATTGAGAAAACGAACCAAGGTAATTCTTAAATTCGACAAGAGACGTAATATCAGGCATACCAGGGAGGAGCCTCCAGCAGTTTGCTTGATTTTACTTTAGTTCTTTTAGTTATATTTGCCTTTAATCTGATTGGCTTTGGTGAATTAGGTTAGTTTCGAAGATCAACCAAAATGTATTTCAAATTAGCAGAAACATAGACTTTTCTCGAATATCCAGGTACACACCTTGTTATAAATGGAAACAGCTAACGCTATCAGGTCCCAAAGGAATGAAAATGTATATCTTTTCAGGCTGTTAATCACGTCAACAAATTGATCTGAAGAAAAACTGTCGGACTGACCTGAAATAAAAATTACCAAGGGCTCGTTACACATACATAATGGTGACTGCAGACTGTGGGACCAAGCCCGGCTAATCAACCACGATCCAATAACTTGCCTGAAACCAGCACTAAAGAAATCAATTCTGCTTGAAACTAATTATTGTATTTACTGAAATAGTTCGGCAGGTCGAATTCAAAACTTTTGCTCGTAGCTTTTTAATTAAAATACAGAATCTGAAAGTAAAATTTGCAGTGAAACCTGGCCGCATTATGGCTAATGAAAACAAGCAAGTTTTTCAACATGAAAATTAGAGAAGAAACTGTTCAAGATATGTTTTATGAATGAACGACAACCGAATTCACAGGAACATAAAGATTGCTCTGGGTAAAGGCGTCCGTAAACTCAGCTGTTGTAACTCATGTGGCCTTTCACTCAACGCATCGGAAAGGATATCAGAACAAGCTCTTAATAGTTCACGACAATGTAATTTCTGAGGCTTGCTTCACTGCGATGACCGGAGATCGCCATGATGAGCTAGGATCGCAGTTGTTCTGACACCGTGATTTGTAAAAATTCTTAAAAGTTATGCCAGTTTGTTTATAATTTTCATCGTTCCTGTTTTGTTCTGTTAAGGTTTTGAACACGAAACTATATAAGAGTGTTTGCTGTGTGTGAGCTTGATAACTGTACGCACTTAATTGACAAACTAACTGAACGTGAAAACCTACAAAACTCGGACAGTCCGTTTCGTTTTGTCTTTGGTGATTTTCGTCTCTGCTCATGCTATAATTTCGTCAAATACGGCGCTTGGCATGTCTACAAACTTTTGTTTAGTTCTTCTGTTGCTACTTGACGGCCCGCTTGTTCAAAAAGTTTACTTTTAATGAACAAAAAAAAAAAAAGCTGGAGAGAAATTTGGGAATTAGTCGGACATTGTACAAATTGGCAGATGGCGTGACAGCTTTACCTCAGCACTGTGTTTTGTAATCTGATAAAACACGCTCTTTCAGCCAACGACAGCACGCATTATATCAGAACTTTATCATAATTATCATTATCATCATCATCACAACTATCCCATTCTTTCTCATTATCAGCATGACCATTTTTATTATGTACTATCATTTTCAAAAAGAGCAAGTTACATAAATATTTGAGAACAAATAACACGCGTAGTACCGAAGGTACATTTGTTATCTCTCGTAAGACAAAATAATCTCATATTATCTGTCCAGTGCAAATAAAAACTGCCGCCGGCTGGAAGAGACAGGAATTTAAATCGTTCACTCCCAAGATTTAGACATAAATTCCCCTCGAGCTCGAGGCACTTCTAAGTCTACTATTTCAGAGAGCCGCAGATTTCGATAGTCCACACATGGAACCCGGCGTCTTCAAAAGACTCTCGAACCGTCCATCTCTGTTTTTATCAAACGTTTGGGCTTTCTAGTGAAAACGAATATGCATCAAGAAGCAAGAGTTTTCAAATAACAACGATATTGTATGCTTCGTGTTTAAACTATGATTGGGTAATGCGAAATACGCTGTAAGCACCGCGGATATAAAATTAAGTGACCATAATTCAATTTAACAATTAGATTACAAATGTGCGAATTCATAAATTATTAGTCATGCAACGAAACCTCACATAACCCACTTTTGGAAATACAAAAAAGCCTCTTACACTTTGAAACTTGTAAAATTTCATGAATTAGTCTTAACCTGACTTTGCTGTAACACGTCCACGGAACTGATGTTTTTGGCAATTGATCGGTATTTGTTTGCCACGTAACTATTTTTATACATGTATAGTGGGCTAACAAGATCATTTGCTCATGGTCCAAAATTGACGAAGAATAAATAGCTTTAGTAAAGTGTGAATGTATTTAGCACATCTGTGCTAATTGGAGAGTCTGTCAATGCTAGACAGTAAACAAATCGAGTAATAGGAAAGTATTTCTTTCAAATCAAAACTGTTAAGAGACAAATCACGGCTCCTTTTTTCTCTTTTTTTTAATTCTTTCCAAAGTGGCCATTTGGCCACCTGACTTCATAACGAGGTCGCCAGAAATAATATCTTAGTAGTGCTCTACTTTTCAGGCGGTAACCGGTACTATCTACCGCCAGTAGTACCTCTTATCACCGTCTAAAACCTCTTGGAATTCCTGAAAATTTAACAGGAGAAATGATTGCTCCACCAGTTTGAAGATTTATTGCACATGTCGCATTTAAAGTAAGGGACAAAATATTTTAGTCGAAAATTCTCAGAAAAAAAAGACAAAGTGTTGATAATGTTGAATGCTAAAGGTTATCTCATTTTAACTTTAAGCTGAAACACCAAGAAATTAATACGTTACAGCTTGCAACATGACTGCCGAACGCAGTTCGTTAAATTGGTGACTTTCACTGCAAATTTGGCCGCCCATATGCGGCTACCGATTGTGTGAAAAAGGGAGGCGTAGGGCGGAACTCATCACAAGAGCCTACTTGCAGCCTAAACAGACAGGGCGGTAAGAAGTCTTGTAAGTGGTGATAGACCGCCGGTAACCGCTTTAATTGAAACCCCTGAGAGCTTACTAGCAGTGGCGCGCAAAACGGTCGTAGGTTAGAACACTGGCTATGTTGAAGGCTATGAATTCGAACTGACCGAGAAACAGATCCACTTGAAAGGCAAAGAAGAGGATTGGAACAAAGGAACTCCAGATTTAACACATACGCCCTAAACCACTCGACCACCCGCCGCCTGCTCCTAAGAACCTAAAAACAGACATCTGATTAAATGGCTGAGAAGAAAAGCCTACACATTTTGAAAAAGTTCGCGGCATTGATGACAGAATCAACATGAATTACAGGATAAGCCGATGAGACTGACCAGAATGGGGCGTCTGCAAATACAACGCCATTAGTGCAACAACCGTCCGCCCTCTCATTTAAATTAATTTGCATCTAAACTTCTTTTGATAAATGACGTGCAAATCTAATATTTTGACAAAAAATAAAAAACATACCAGACAAGCACACAAGACTGAAAAAAACACAAATCAGAAAGGAAAACAGAAACATGCAACTTCATCCGAGGAAGTTGGACGGAATGGGATCAGAACGTTCGTGCCCGTAGACGTTCCTGTCTGCAGAAAATCGCTGAAGAGAAAAAAAAGCACTGTCTGAAGGAAAAAAGAGAATGTCTGTTGGCGTTAACTGTTAAATAAAGTTTGCTGTGGTGACCTTAACTTCAAACAACAAAGGAGCTCCTGACAAAAAGATATTTGGATTTATTGTTTCGTAGCATAGAAAATGAAGTTAAGAAACTTTAAAAAAAAACCCTTTATTAGTGACGAAAAAGGAAGGGGTTAGGAGTTAAATGGTTAGTTTATGCAAACTTACATGAATGGAATGGCTAGTACCAGCCATTGAAAGGAGAATCGACATGAGAAATTTGAGGAACAGGGCACTGACAGACAAATACCGTACAGAACAGAGAATAAATCAATATCGTTATTGAAAACCTGGCATTCCACATTCCTATTATCTCGTCACTCACGATACATTATTTGCCTTCCTGGATGCAGACGGAGATAAAAGACTCACGCGACGAAGCTTAAATGCGGCTGTGTTGTGCTGAATACACTCGCCATAGCCTAAGGGTGTCTCAAGCGATGCGATATGATTTGAAATGATCTCTATTTACCGTCATTGACCTCTTACCGGATAAAAACTGCTCTAAGCTCATAGGCGCTATACTAATGTAAAATATCGGGATAAAAACGAATTTTTAAGGTTCGCTCATATACAGGCAAAACAGTAGACATAGGACGAAGTATTTCAGAATCATTCTACAAATAGGATCAGGGCTACAAAGCTTACGCACACCATAGGATCTCCTGGAATCATCTTTAAATGATATATCATTGACTTCTAAATTATTTTTCTTTTCACAACAAAATTGATTTGTGTGATAAGGAGCCTGTGCTCCTGGTGAGATGGACAAAGAAGAGTTGGTGTATTAGGCGTCCAGGGGTGATTTTGCTACTGCAGTTGTTTCTTTTTTCCGATAAAACATCATTTGTGGTTGTCTTGAGTAGTTTAACAATAAAAGACTTGGGAGAGAGCCTATAACGACGATTTAAAATTTTACTTTGAAAATGCTCCAACTTAGAAGTTCAATTTATTTTCCATGATATCCGAAGATCTAAGAATACTCTCTCAGTCACTTGAAACTCCCGAACGAGTCTGAATAGTTTGTATTTGCGCAACTGTACAAAGGCATCACTTGCTTCATCCTTCACACCCTGGAGTGATTGAGACTTGTAACTTGTCTTCTAACAGAGAGCTGGGGTGGTATCTATATATATGACAACAAATTCTTTTCACTTCACTATGGGGAAATGTAAAAGGATTGGAAGGGGAAAGTAACTAATCCGATCTTGGGATTTAAAGGATTACGTGTATTTACTAAGCGCATCATTCTTAGGATGATAGAGCTTAAATTGTATCAGAACCCCTAAATATTTTGTAATCATTTGCAAGAGAGAGGAAACGTTAGAGCGAATTTAATTTTTTCATAATTTTTCTTATCTACAATGTAAGGTCACGAAACACCAAGGTCGATAGGAATGCGTTTACGCAATAGTCCAACATATGGCTTCTCAATTGTACAACAATCCAAAACAAATCTTACGCATGATAACATAGCACAATGTGTTAACAATTCTAGAAAACGGAAAGAGCACTTAAAGACAAAAACATCCGGATTTCATTGCCGGTGGAAGTTTACTTTGATATCACCGAAATTTGTCAACTGTTTACAGAATAGTAAAATGAACTCTACACAAGATGACCCTAATTTATAGAGGTGGAGGACATTTGGTGCCTCACAAGACGCAATTTTGCCTAGTGATCAGGGAAAAAGTGAAGTGAAGCAACTTGAGTTCCTGTCCATTGCACTCTTTCAAGTTGTTATAAAACAGTAAAGATAACAAAAATAAATCAACATTTTAAGGTGGCGCCCGATGTCGAAGAATTCATAAGCTATTGCTTCAGCTAAATCATTTGAGTTTGTTAAAATTCCTCATCAGAACGGGACTTGAAATGGCAGATACGAAAACTTTCTGATACGATATTTTGTGAAAGGCTTTCCCGCCTCTGCATTGCTAATTTAGAGGGCGTGGTTTTACCACTTTCTACTGTTGTTGTTCCTTTTTGGTGATATTCAAGACACGTGGAGATCGTCTCATGAAAAACATGAGTATTATCTGCACAGAAATGGAAAATATTTACCTCTTTCCTCCGTAAAAATCAAAACAATTTGAAACAAATGTAATTTAACGATTACGATTTAAGAATTATAAACTTATTAATTTCTGTCAAACGAAAGAATCATAATTGGAAAAAACGTCCTTAGAGGAATGTTTCAACAAAATGCAAAGTTGGCAAGGTAGCAACTTTCTGATGAAGATTTGTAGTAAGAAAGCCATCATCAAAATGTTTTCTTTGAAATCATTCAGTGTCAGCAGATGTTTCATAGCAAAAGCATCATAGCAGATGTTTCATAACAAAAGAAAGAATTTTAAGCTTGTCACAAATGAAGCCTTGAAATACTGCTACCATGCGACGGGCAACCTGGAAACTTCTTCCATCTGTAAGCTTCCTGTGAACAATCTTTTTCTAACGAGATCACTGGAGGGATTCCTTCTCAATGTGCCTAAGCAGAATTTACAAGCTAATCCTGAAAATCTTGTCTTGTAAAGCCACTACCTTCGAATACAGAGCAAATGACAGACAGGTAAAAAATTTACGTCATGTTCTGTGCGATCCACAAACAACCTTTCACCAAGAACACGCAGACACCTCATTAGGGTAATTAATGAATACAACGGCAATGAAATGGAAACTGATAGGTCAGTCGCCTTTTTAACCGGGCTGAATTAAAAATTAATAAAAAGCAGTCCTGACGAGACACAAGGTGATAAACAACGACAAGTTATTAAGTTTTTCCTTCTTTCACCATCACGACGAACGAATTACCTGATCCGATCACGGTGAAATTGAATCAGCTGGAAGAGAGCCGAGGATCGAAAAATTCGCGAGCCACGACAAAATTACTTTCTGTTTTCGTATTAAGACAAAAATTAGCCTTGTAGTTCTTGTGTTACGACTCTCGAGTTTTCTGAAAACTCAATGTCCCAAACTGCAATCAAACCTCAATAGGTGAAGGCGATAAAATAGGCGTAAATTGACCCGAAATATCGCACATTGTGCTTCAATTAGCGAAAGTTCCAAAATGCTTCTATTTTTACACGTTTTTACAAACAAACTATAAAATAAACTGTTAACAAAGATTCTTTACTGCGTCAGACATGGAGAGCTGTTTCCAAAATGGGGAACACGCAGTAACCAAAGAAAGCGTAATGCTTTAAAAAGCAACAAATCCTTTCATTAATTCAATTACTCATTTGCGTAAAAAGGAAGCTAGTGCTTTAATCCGAGTTAAAGTAATTCGCGGTTTCCGATATTGCGGATCAGGCAAAGAGAACTATAACAACCAGGTGTAAAACAAATAAACGCCCCAAATGGGACGAAATTGTTCCTCATGGTCACGATCACGCCCTTGTCGTAAGGTGGACATCCTTTCATTAGCCAACAAAGAACCCCATACTTCTAACAAGTCAAGAGTATCCGATTGCCGAGCCATAGGTCTTAAGGTTATCTTGAATAGGATATCTATCCAATTTCCGCCCTGCGGAGATATAAACACGTCCAAGGAGCTGAACAGCACACACGAACAAAGTTCCGCTGATAGAAAGGTTCGCTTCTTAGGCAGAGAACATCGTTGACATCACTTCGACTATTGGTAAGTTTTCAGTAGTCACAAGTCGATGGTAAAAATTATTTCGCCTGGACCGGTGTAAACCAAAGGTAAAGGCGTATTTACTCGATTATATAACTTAATAAAAAACTTCGTGTCAGACAGAACAGAACGTCAGTTCTAAAAGTTGAGTGTTACGTAGAGATGACAACATTGTGGAAGTCTTCGAAAAGTGTTCCAGGGTTTTGAAACAACTAAAATGTCTACTTTGCCGATAGGAGCAGAGTTGTTTTCAGATCTAAAAATGAGACGTTTAATCCTTTTTCGTTAAAAAAAATGTGATCATGCTAGGTTATAATTAGACGAACAAAGACGCGACTATGTTTAAAGTGGCCCTCGCTGTAATTCACCAAATCCGAGGTATTTTTAACATTTCTCACTCTAACAGCCCCTATCAGCCAAGCTTAAAGTAACTGATGTTAAATAGCGACATTCAGTGTACCACATCACTTGACTTGTAACTAGAAATCCAACAGGGAGAAATAATTCTTCCCACTGAGACTGCAAATAGCATAGGGGCCACTGCGGCACTGTTATAACAGCCTAAACGGGGGTAAACTGGACTGTCATAGTAAGTGAGGTACAAAGCAAAGTTGTCATCTCGTTATGGTATGTTTTTCAATGAAAATATTAACTTCCTGCCAGAATTCTATTATATTTGAAAATACGTTAACAACTTTGTGTACATCGCATACCATAGCCTCAATCTTACATGCTGAAAAGGTGAAACAAATCTCTCCCTTATATGTTGTGAAAATCCACAACTGAGCATTCTTAAACGGATATTAAGTAATCTGCGACGGTCCGCTAATAGTGCTTTGAACTTTCCATTTTCGTCCAGCGTTTCTAAATTAATCACGCAGTTCTAAAATAAGGTAACACTTTCATATTTAGGGCTCTTGCCTCAAAACTGAAAAAATAGAAAAACAAAGGCAACAAAAAGTTACTAAAGGTCCTTGGTTTTTAAACTTAGGGTGATTCTTCATCCTTTTCGAGTTGGTTGCGGCTTTAGTTAAATACGATATCAAATTTTGGTTAAAAAAAAAACAATAAAAATTAACACAGCGTTCCCACAACCCTTGTCTCTATAGTCACTGCTGATACGTCCAAATGACAGTCCAGCTGTAGTTACTAAAGCATAAGGAAACGTAAATCAGATATACCAGTTAGAAGCTCGCCCTTCTGCAGTTATCGGTGACTACGTAGTCTCCTTGAAACAATATCTTTTTATCACTCACTTTAATGCTGTTTCCCCGATCCTCCGTCATCAAATTAATGAGGATGAAGATTAAAGTTCAGCCAGATTTAAAAAAAAACAATTTTAAAAATGCACGGATAACGATTGTATATCACTTTTAAGTAAGATTGCACACCCGTGCTTAACTAGGAATATGATCTCTGCCCCTTTCAGCTAATAAAAAAGTCTCTTACATAATTGAGTTTTATTCTAATAGACATTTTGCAAAATGAATCACTCGACTTCAACAAGATAGGTAACAACATGTACTCGAAAAGATAGATGATTTTAGATTTTACAACGCTAAATTCTTGGTTCATTTTTTACATATCTTTTCTGGCTTGGAATTTGTACCAAAGAAATGTCAAAAGGTATTGAATTTTGGCGCTTGAAGAGTACTGAATGACAATTTTTTTTTCGACAAAATCGAATATCTGCGATGAATTCACCAAGGGGCGAAACCATGAATTGAATTGCATATATATAATCTAGTGTGAAGGTCTACGCGTGTGGCATAAACATGCATTCAGAGTGCAAGAAATTCCGATTATATTTTTAGGTGATATGGGCTACAAAATAAACACTAAGAATATGCATGCCTGACCTTAACCTGTTAAACAAACACGCTCTCACGGAGCAATTTTCAACAAGTATCGACAATATACAGGAATGGCATCTGTTTTACTCCTCTGCGGTTTGCGCCACCATCTCAACCGATTACATGCCAAACTAAAACCCACTACTGACTAAGTCACTCACGTTTAACAACATTGCTTTTGTTTTAAGACAAGATGGCTGTTGCAGGGATTGGCATGATGATCATCTCCATAGCAACCAAGATATATACCGACCCCCATGGCCAAGGACTCACCATCTACAGGCCTGACTGTCCTCCCGGGTATTGCATGCTTGGAGATTACGCGCAGGAAGGGGACATCAGCAAGCCCAATCCCAGTGTCATGGTGTGCATCAAAATAAAACACACAAAATTCTTCGCCAAAGCCAAGGGCTTTGTCCAAGTATGGAGTAGCGAGGGACCTGGTAGCGGACGCGGATACAGTGGTGATAGCGACGATGAGGGGTCCAGCGATGGAAATAATGGCTCGGGTTCTGGTCACAATGGAGTGTTGGCATTTTGGAAACCAAAAGTTCCAAATCTGAACTATGTTGCGCTGGGTCATCTAGCGACAACGAGTTACGATCCACCCTCAGTCGGAAACGTGTGCATCGTACACAGGCTTATGGTCGATCAAGGAATTCCGGGTCGTCGCGTATGGAGAGAGGAGTCCGGTATGGCCAGCTTGTGGTCTCTGGCTCCCAGTTATTCATATGTAAACTTGGGCCTGTTCTTAAGCAGCGACTCCAAATCTGCGCCTCACATCTCAGATTTCTGGTCCTTGATACCCGAGGTTATTCCAGCTCCTTTCAACGCTTCATTGTCAATTAAAAAGCTCAACAAAGACGAGCTTGCGCTCATTTACAGAGGTCAAGAGTGTGAGGAGTCCAAGCGTCTCAGCGTGTATCTTCCCCAAGCTCCAATCGGGTATTCGCCTCTGGGACACTATGCAGAGCGCGGCTACGGTCGAGCAGGTCAGGGAGCGAAAGTGCTTGTTGTAAAAGAGAAAGGAAACAAAGGTCTCCTAATGCATCCGATCACTTACCAAGAACTCTGGAGGTCAGATGCCAAGAATAACAATACTAAGGTAGCAGTATGGCGACCAGTGCCACCTCCAGGATACTTCTGCCTCGGTCACGTTTTGGGCCTCGGCTTGGAGGCGCCGCCCACTAACGCCATTGTGTGCCTTCACTGGAGCGTTATTGCAAGGGGTTGGCCTGAGCGAAGTAAAAAGGTGTGGTGGAACACGTGTTCGCAAAAGAAGGAAGCAACTATCTGGCAAGTTCCTGGACTCGGCGACTGCCTCAGTGCTGACACGTTTGTGATTCATCGTGGCCTTAACAGTCCTCACTGGGAAGAACTCCTTTTCCACTGCTTCTATCTGAATAGAGTGTCGGTCAGATAGGAGAGAAACGTGCGCAAAAGAACCTGTCCAATTCTTTTCTGATTTAGTTCTATCGTTCCGCAAAGTTTTCGTTCCCACATTTCACATTTTCAGCCCCTAGTAAGATGGCTGTCAATCATATCTTACGGTTGACTAACTCTTTCAGGGAGCACGCAGGCAACATTACAGCATTTGTCACGCAAAAATAACGCATACTGGAAGAAAAACTGTGCAACGAATGAGAACAAATTTCAGAAAGAAGAGCAGTTCTAAGAATTTTTGATTTAACAGTTTTTATGACCTAGTAAAAATCCAGTGGCTCGTAGGAATTAAGTTAACAGTGGAGAATTCAAATTAGCTAAATATATTTTGCAGTCTTAATGACTAAGAGAGAAATTCATAGGCTCGTAGGAATTAACCTTACAGAGGAGAAATAAATTAAAAATAGAGATTCTGACTCGACGTATTCTCAAGATTATGTTCAAAGTTCGTAGAGTGCAAGAATTCCCCTCGCTCAACACTAGCTCCTGCTGTCTCTAATCATCGGAGTTAATGAATGAACATACAACTGGCATGGTTCTCTTGCGGTTCATAAACAAGAAATACGAAGCATCAAGTACATTCTCTGACTCCCTTGATTCCATAGGTAATTCTCTCATTTAATTGCTTACATTACCTTATAAATTACACAGGAGAATCTGGCGCTCTATCAACCTTAAACTGATAAGTTTGTCTGTTCTCATCGCCTGTTTGCGAATAATGTATTGGAGAAGTTTCGTGTGAGTCACTTCTGCGAGGTTAATGTTATTCCTTAAAGAGGTCTTACATGGAAAAGCCGGGACTGAACATAAATCTCATCATTGAATTGTAATTACTTCAACCTCGAAATTTCTCTTCCTATACCTTTCCTTAGAAGTATCTGCAAAATTTTTAGAAGGAACAAATGACAGAAAAACACCGATCTTTTACGCGAGGTTCGTATTCACTCGAACTCTTGAAATTCCATGACTTGTCATGACTTTTTTAACGATTTTCTCCTTCGTTTTTCATGGCATAACATAAGAGCGGACCCCTGATGAAGGCACTAGACAGGAGTGTCGAAACGTTGGGTCTATGAATCGTACAGGGATGTAGCTAAAGTTTTTAACAGGCGGGAATCTTGCAATGATAGGCGGGTATTTGGGCCGAAGGCCCACTCTAGCGTACCCTTGGCACGCTATACCTAGATTTGAAGGTGTAAACAAATTAAATAAATAAATAACAATCTTCTGACAACATTTAAAAACATTTTGGAGAAAGAAGTAGTGCTTCACAGCCGGGTAATTTTCCCGGCTTCCGGCTATTATCTACATCCCTGATCGTAACTTCTTCGGTTACATTCGTTAAATCTGTAAACCAGAGTAGCATCAAAACATGTCTGATTGTCCACCTAGTTGCCATGTGAACTTTAATATAAGAGCAGATGTTTCCTAAAATGATGTTAAAATGGTCATTCAGTGACAATATTCTCTGTGTTACTTTTGTTAGAAAAATAATTTTCACTTTCTTCTTTTTGATTTTCCACGACCCACATTTCCGCGATTTCTCCTACTTAAAAAAATTTAAATTGAATAATTCCATGGCTGTCTAGACTTTCCGTGACTCGTACACCCCTGATCTAAGTTCTGTAGCATAAATACACTACATAAACCCTTTTATTTTGGTTATTCTTGTTTTCAAAGTTTGCCAAGTGATTTAATAGAGCATAACTTTGAACACACCGACACGTGTTCTAAACCAGTCACAGAAAGAAGGTCAATTCTCCAAACGATAACCATATCATTTTACCAAGGCAAATCGAAAAAGGAAACGTGAGCGTTTCTCAAGATAACAGAAGCTTGTTGACATGCTTTGCAAGTAAAAAATCAACGTTTGCCAATCTACATGTTTAATTGTATATGTTAATTTTCCAGCGCATCCTTTGTATCGTTAAAATAGCATTTTGTGACAGTCCAACGAACCGTAAACGAAAAAATAATGAAAATTAGCATAAACGGCATTAGTCTGATACAGGACCAATTTACATTGGCCATGTTCCTCCTGTGGTTTGGAGTGCGAAGAAACTGAGGATTTACGAACACTTTCAACAATTCTAGGAAATTCTTGCTTAAAGCGCTTACCAAGTAAGAACGAAACACTGAAACAAATAGCCGTAAAGCCAGTTATTTCCATTATGCGAACACTACGCAATAACAAGCATGCGCATCAGTCATGTGATTTCATGTTGAAAACAAATTTAACCACATGGACAAGATCACTAAGCGCATTAGAAACGTTTTCTAAAATGAAGTAAAGTTAACTCTGGTTTTCCTTCAACACGCATAAATCTTTCGCCTTTTACTAAAGATTTCCGTGGAGGAGAACAATTGAATGAGTCTATAGACTAATTTTTCGTAGCCCTGCCTTGCGGCGGGGCCCCTAATCAAATAAGATTAATAATATCCCTTACCTTGCTTGGTAAAGATCAAACATAATGTTTGAATGGCTGCCCAGTTTAGCTCTAGATGGAGATGAAATAAGTGTCCTCCGCCTTTTAAACGCACAGGACCAATTGAATTCACTGGGTTTATCATAGTAAAAGAACTGGGAAGCGAAGAAAACCGGCCGAGAAACAGTGATAAATCTTCCAGTTGTTTGGTAAGTTTTGACGGCAGAAGAAACCACTCGCGGAGAAGAGTGTTACTTGGGACGGAATCTTGGGTTGCGTGGAGATGCCTGTGGACAAACCAAAAATATATTTATATCGATTCGAATCAAAACTAATGACTAAGACTAATGTACCGTTACAAAGGAAAAAAGTTTTCAAAGTCAACAAAGACTATTTCGAAGGCCAACAAACATGGGGAAAAGCGTGCGAGACACGTGAAAACGAGCGCGCCAGTCACGCAAACAACGCACAATTCGTGTACTACCAAAATGCACAGAAAATTTCTCTCACTTGTGTGCAAAATGCAACAGGAATGCACAGAATTCACTGCACAGTCTTCGAAGCTCAACACAGCGGGAGTGCACATCATCTGATAAAAAAAAAGACATAATTAGCTTATTTCTTTCCACATAACAATCTTCTAAAAAGTTTCTTCATGCTGAGCTGTGGAAACCACAATAAGCTGCACCTGCAATAGCTTCTTGGCTTAAGTGCTGACTTAACCCTGTTACTTTTAAGGAACATAACACAATAACTTCCACCAAATCTAAAAGTCGGGCTTTTGGCTGAGAGTCTGGTGTACACTGACCACTAAGCTAATGCATCTGTAAATTTTGCAAAAAATTATATGCAAGAAACTGAATTCAAATGGTTTGTCTGAAAAGCAACCCTGATTTTGCTATTCCTGAAATTTTTTGGAAATAAAAAGGCTTGTTTCCAAATAGCAAGTGAGCTCCTTCTGTTGCACTAACTCACAGGAACTGAAACAATAAGTTGGAAGTATAAACTTTGTTCCACCATAAAGAATCATTTACCAGATAAAGTTGTGATGCTTCCATCATTTTCCAACCGAAAAACTTGCTGCCTAGAAAGTTGCAATAAAAGAAACATTTATATCTCTGTGTTAATCTGTTAATCATAACAGTAGACAATCCACAATATCTGTGATGTACTGTGACATTCAGTAGCCAACAGACAAAGTGCAACTTAATTCATTCTCAGTGGGAAAGTAAATTTTTGGAGTTTTGATCTCATTCAGAAGCAGCAAAGCATTTTGAAATGAGGGGGTTTGTCGCACACCAAGTAAAGTGTGTACCCATACCCAATTTTCTCAAAATGTCTCTGCATAGAGTTCTTGGCAAAAACAAAATTCTTTGCAATTTTCATACCATTCAGTGTGTCCACAGTTGATTTCCCAAAATTTATTAGGTAGTTATTAATAAAATTCCAATAATTACATATTATTTTACTGAGCACAATCCTGATGAAAAAAATTAATTTGTTTTTTAAGAATAAAGTCACTGATTGTTTTGTCCAACCCCTTGAAGTTATTGGTGATGATAACAATATATCTAAATGGAGACTCTAATTAAAAATTAAAACTTCTCATTAAAATTTTCTTGTATCAACTCCAAAGTACAGCTTTCTCCAGTGTCATTCAAAGCAACAAATCTAAATAAATGATAAATTACCTCAGCATGAAGAATAATGTTTCCATTTGATGAAGGAGAACACTGCCTGAGACAAATGTGGCTCCAAACAACTTGACAATCTGGTTTGAGAATAGTCCTGGATAAGGATCTTCATGATGCAGAACTCTTCAAATATAAAAAGGAGAGACTTTATCGTCTGTCCACATGGAACTTATCAAGGGCAAGATTGAGATTTGCACTATTGCAGTATTGCTCACTTCTTTGTAGTATTTTGGTGAAAAAAAATCTCCCATGGCAGTCTCAAATCCTGAATTGTATTAAAGCCCCTGTATATACCAAAACAACATTATCTGCACTGATGTGGTTCCTTGTTCAGTGGACACATGCAAAATGACCCTGATAAGAGATTTCAATAATAGTTTGCCAGCCAAAAATTCACAAACTGGTGATCAGAATTTTTATCAGTTTTTGCTAAACAAATTGAAACATTTGTAGTCACAATTATATAATTTCTAGTTTTCAATTTCACTATTTAGAGTGCCTCTAGATTGACTGATATAAATCCAAACCCAAAGTAATCACAACAGCCAATCAGAAGACGGGATGAAGTATTAAGTTTTCACAGAGAGAGCAAAACCATTTAGCAATCCTGGATTACTTTTAACATCCAGTTTAAAATTGCTTTATCTGTGTTACTTTGCAAACATCAACCAAAACTCATATTTTACAGACTCAATCCCTTGTAGCCTTAAAACAGGAAAAAAGGTTATAGGATAAAATACTCACGCACTAAATACACCAGTAGTTAGGTAACCATTTTGGCAGAGTGCCTCTTTAATTCTGTTTGATGAGATACGACCACTGCAGTTTAACTCCGCTGGTTTTCTACTCACAGAAGCTGGGAGTATCATAAAAAAGGAAAAACACAATCCATAAGCACAACAGGATAGTGGCTTTAAACTTAGGAAGGAGAGATCTCTGAATAACCCCGTATTATTCGAAAACAAAATCCTAGTCCCAAAGGCAAGCTATTTTTTCCGCCACTGTTTTCTTTATCCAAGAACTGTGTACATAATGAAGTATGGGGTTGTACAGAAATCTTGCCCAAAAGAATACTAACTGAGGAGTTCTCAAAGGCTGACGCAAATGACACAGACACAAGGTTTGATAACTCATGATATCATACAGAAACCAAATCCAATAATTGTTTTATTATACATTTTTTAAACGATCTGCAAAAGAAGACACTTTTCTCTGAGTTTGCAAAAGTTTAAGAACACTACACGGACACGGGGCTTGGAAACTAGGCAGCTTTTGAACACAACATGAAAACCCAATATCTGTTGCAGATCTTGGGTTCAAAATGCTATTGTATCTTGACTGTATGTTCTTGACCAATCAGAGTTTTCATAGTAAGTCTAATGTATAATTATTTTAATTACGAGCCCGAAAAGAGAAATTTGCTTTTTGTTGTTAGTGAAAATTCCCGCTTAGTTTTAAGATGTCACCTTTTAGAGACTCTTTCTCCATTAAAAATCATCTGTGTTCATAAGAAAACTGTAAAAGCAATGAAATCTTAGCAAACGAACAGGGTTGAAATTTTCGCTGTGAAAGATTTCCGCATAACCCTCCAATAATCTAAAAAAGAAGCACGTAGTCCCAAAGGTAATCTAGTTATAATGTTCTCGCCATTTTTTATTTAAGAACTGCATGCATAATGAAGTATGGGACTGAGCAGAAATTTTGCGTTCCCCTGTGGACAGTAAACAGAAGGCAAAATCACCCCGCTCACTGGTTGTCAAGCTGAAGAAGCCCGAGTTTCGTCCTCGTAAGAGGGGTGGAAATTTTAAGCCCGGTGATAAAGATCTCAGTTACTAATACCGCGATTTCCGTAAACGGGCTGACCCGCCATATTGTATGGATGCTTCCAAATTTTCACGAAGGTGAGAATCGTTAGGCGGGATCTCAATAATCTCGCAGTCCCATTTGACAGCGCTCATATGGGAACGCTCCTAAGCTAAAATTGAATTCAAACCCTACCAACTGCATGTGTTTTGGGAGACTTGTCGATAGAGGTTCTTCGACGTTTCGCTGATGGTTCCTCGTGGACCTCACTTGGATCGAAGAATTCATCAAATTCTAGACTATCTGGCCATTCCGAAAGATCTTGCAAATCGGCTACACTGAAGTCAAATTCCATCATGTTCGGATTTTCTTTCCCACCGCGAACAACAAATTACCCGCCATTTCTGATTGTCTTTGTGTTACCCAGTCCTCTTCGCCAGGCCTTTTCGATCTTGGCGGGTCACAATGACGTTTCCTTTGTTTAACATGTTTGCTGTTTCTTTGTTATTTTGGAAACATTAACCTAGCAAGAACAGCTGTTTTCGAGAGCATGTTTTATTCCTCAAGTAAGACAAAAATAAAGGCGAAAAGAGATAATGTAAAGTAGATTCCGCTTGTGTAGCCTCGCAAAGAAATCTTTTTTCGGTGTAGGGGTCAGAGGCGGGGGCTTTGAATGATCATAGCTCTTCGATATGTTACGCAAGAACACGCTTTCGGTAACCTCCTGTTACTAAATGTAATTGAAAATGGTTTCGTATCGTATAAGATTTAATCAAAGGCGATCAAAGGAATTAATACACACTTTACCTAATCGCCTCACATACAATTTCTCGAATTAAAATTTCAGCTCTCGTGTCTTTTAAGTTTTCCAACCAATTACAAAGGCAATGGCGCGCCCGAAAACAAAACGAGAGAATGATGAGTTCCGAGTACTTCTTTCAATTAGTGTCATGGTCATTGTGCAAGACGGAAGAGTATATTTCTTAGGTCAAGAATTTCTAAAGGATAGGAGACTTAAGAGTCACAGCAGTGCTGATGTCTCACGCAGATCTACGTATTTGTTCGGACAAAATGTCTATGAACGTTTCCGCCCCGATAGGTTCTTCCACAGCTCAACCCAGTCCCTTCCTACAGCGTCTCGCTTCACATTCCCTCATCCCACCCACTCTCCTTTGAAACTGTTTTTTTTATTTTCCATCAATGCAATGTCACGCAACGCTCATCTCTACGGGAGGCGGCGCTGGATAACATCCCAGCGGTTGCGAAGGTGACTTCTACTTAAGTCTCATTCCTTAGTAGAGGCGGTACAAAACACAACAGATTGACAGGTATTTTCCTCCTTTATTAGCTTCCTTTTTAAACACTAATGCAGAAAGTACAGGAAAGTATCAAGGAACTCACTTGGACAATGTAACAAACTGTGCGTCACGAATGATCCTTCTCCCTGCGTATGAAGAAGAGCAAAAACGTTACACAATCACCCCCTTCATTGCCTCCACACTCCCCTTACAACTGCGCCCGATAAAGACCACACCCTTATCCGGTCACTTAGAAGGGAAGCTCAAAACTTTGCATCGCGACTAAAAACGAACTTGACCTCCAAAGTGGAGTTCTATTCACCAAGTTTGAAATAGTTCTAACCGGAAAAAATTCCTGTTAGTTAAATCGAGAACGTAGGGAGTATCTGAGTGGTCCCGTTCGTATAAAAAAGAATGGACCTCCCAATCTATAATACACGATTGCAGCCTTGTGCGATTGCAACATTTTATAACGTAGACAACTGGCCCACTTTTTAATAAACACGACTCTCTACTATTCGCAATACCTTGCTGTCGGATTAATCCGCGCTACTTCAAAACTTAACACTACTGAAGCACCGATTTCGCCCCGCGCACCACTTATATACACTGCACGAAAGATAACGACTCTTCTTGGTAAATACCCTCTATCTTGTCGATAATTATGAGCCAAACGTCTTGGTACAAGGACCTCATTTCAAACGCACCACCTTCATTAGAAAGTTAGCTTCCCAATAAGACTATGCTTGTACACAAGCATAATACAGTAACAAATCATGGGAACTAAGGGAACAACATGCTAATGATAGGCTGGGGGAATCGCCTTGACCCCACCCCAAAATTCAACACAATCTTTTCTAGCAAAACTCTGGAAACTTACTCGGTAAACACGAAAACCTATCCCCCACCTATTTCACAAGATACAAAAAAAATAAATTTGAGAGGAAACTGAAAGGGGTGGTCAACTGTCTAATTAACAAAACTCAATCCTCCTCCACAAGAACAGACAATAGGGCAATAACAAGAAATTCCAAGAATTAGCTCGTCTGAATGTTTTGGTTAGATGATGGAAAGACTAGGAACAACTCAGTCAACTGTAACAAGCGATATTGTGGCAGAATGTGCAAACATGATCTGCAATGAACCTTCCAAACAAAGTCACAGGAACATGGGACAAAAATTAGTTTCCCTTCCCTGACATAATACATATTGCATACAATATTTTATGCTTTAGTTGAAAGATCTATGAAAGTGAGGGGCAAAGGTGAAATTACCCAATATGGTGGTTTTTGAGCAATATGTGGAGGCATGCACAAAAAAATATATCTTCAGTATGTACTTGTGTAAGGCACATGCAGCATCCATGGAAAAAAGGTCCCAAGAAAAAAAAAGTATATAATTTCTCACTGCACAGTTAACAAAATAACTAACAGGAATTACAAAATCAGTTCTGAGGTCTGCAAGAAAACTGAGCATTCTATTGCAGCCCCTTCCTTGGCTCACTGGGGTTGACTTAAGCCAATGCAGTTTTTCTCAGAGTCAAAGGTGTCCTCCCACCCTTTAGTGACATTTGCATTAGTATTCCAGAATATTTGTTGCAGAAAATTAGCATTTAGAGTATGAATTTCCTAAAACAAATTACAGCCCCCCCCCCCCAAAAAAAAAGGATGAATCTTATGGTCAACATTAATTGGCGATTGACAATGTACCTAGAAGAAATTAATGAACCACCCAGAGGAAAAAAAAAGGATGAATCAAAGTAACACAAAAGTGACAAGATAAACAACAACAACTACAACAAACAAACAAACAAACAAACAAAAATAGAATAAAGAGACCTGTCAGGTCTCAATACTCACCTTCCCATGTCAAGAAATGTACGATTCTCACTTTTCAATCAAGATTGATTTTCAGTTTTATCAACTTTGGGTGAATTCAATGGGAATTTTTTTGAACAATCAATAACTTGACACTTACATTTTAGCCAGCCTTTTCTTGCTAGGCCATTTTAGATCATGTGTTTTATTAGCAGTTTTAATTCTTTTCATAACGACTTCAATCAAACAACTTTACAAGCCCAAACAGTATGGTTGCCTTCTGATGACCAAATCACAATGAACATTCAATAAGCAAAAGGCATTGCCATTTCAACTTCCAAAAGCAATCTGTCATTTAACTTAAAAAAAACTAATAGCAATGAACTTTACTATGCTAAAAAGCAGAAATAATCAGTACAGTGGTTCCATATCACCTAAAAGTTGCTACATCCAAAAGCAATCAGCATAGTTTATATTGAACTAAAAGAATCTAAAAACTCTTTCAAGAGAGCTGTGTCCAATCACATGTAAAAATAAAATGCCTCAGGTATTGGTGCCACACAGATCAAATTGTTTAACTGCTTCCAAACTGAATCATCAACAAGACAAGTCTAGAACAAGCCAAACAGCTCTATTTACAGAATGTTGAATTTCCCTCATTTCAAACTTAAAAACCGAAACAGACAAAGAAAGGCCGTGTAATAGGTTGCCAAATCAGAATCAGTTGTAAGCCAAAATATCTCCCACTGGTCTACCATCCTTGCCAGCTACTGTCGCTATACCACTCCTGGTTTGATCCTTGGTTACCATAACCACCTTCGTTGTACAGTGGCTGTTGAGCGATTGGCTGGCTTCCCCATCCTCCTCCTGACTGGTTCTGACCCATGTATCTGCGTTTGGTCTCAGGGTACTCAACTGTTGCCTGAGCATCAGCACCATACTTCCTTTTACCAGGGGCAACACCTCCTCCACCTCTGGGTCCACCCCTTGGAGGACCACCTCTTCCACCACGGGGTGGACCACCACGGGGACCTCCTCTTCCCCCTCGTTCACCACCTCTTCCTGTAAAGCCACCACGACCTCCACGGGGAGGTGGGCCACTGCGCCCACGAGGACCACCTCTTGGATTCTCACTGTAGCGATCATAGCCACCATAACCACCATATCCACTGCCACTACTACCACCACCATAGTAATCATCATAACAGTTGTCACTGTAACTCCTATCACCATAACCTCCACTGGAACCATAGCCATACCCATCACCTTCGTAGTAATCTTCATAACCTCTTTCGTATCCATCACTGTATCCGCCATACCCATCTCCACCACCATATCCCCCACCATACCCTCCACGGCCACGACCACGCCCAGGAGGGCCTCCACCTCGTGGACCTCCACGGGATCCTCGAGCACCAGCATTCATGGAACCATATCCAGACTGCCCCGCACGCTTCCTGTCCTTGTTCGCTGGCTGAGGCTTGGCCAGAGACACCTCTAGTGTTACTCCATCCATCGTAGAATTGTTTGTTGCTTCTATAGCCTTAATTGCATTTTCACGTTCCACAAAATGGATAAAGGCATAATCTTTGAGTTTCTTAACTCTTTCAATTGTGCCAAATTCTTCAAACTTTTCCTTCAGCTGCTCTTCAGTGACATTTGGGGTCACATTTCTGACATAAACAACTTTAACCTGCAAACCATAATCATTAATTTCACATGAATACATAAATAATAAGCAATGGGAAAAACTTACACAAGAGGAGACAAAAACCAAAATACCCAAAGCAATAAAAAATGTCATTAAACAGAAATAATGACAGGCAAAGAATATGAATCTTTCAAAAAATATGAAATTATTCAACCCAACAACCTTTGGAGACAAACAGTTCATATTCTACTTACACTCTCAGTGTAAGCAACATTCTCAAGGAAATATAAATTTCTTTGCATCATCTCAAACAGTGATGCCATTCTTAAGATGACAAATTTCGAGGTAAAGGTCCCTAAAAGTGTGTTACAGTTTGGCCTTACCCCTTCAGAGACATGGGCTTCTTACTGTGATTGACTACATGTAAAATTATTCTAACTTGTATCCCCTGACAACTATACAAAACTGGACCAATGAAAAATATATTGCTTTTCTGCATAACAATCATCAAGATTCTCTCACTCAACAGCAAAACCAAGTTTTCTTGTTTTGCACAAAAGTTTAAATTTCCATTAGTGCCTCATGCCAGAATTTTTTGTAAAGGAACTCTTGTGCCAGTGCCTTTTTAAGAGTCAATGGAACTCCTATCTAGCAAGCTTGCCTGAACAATATGCAACAAAGAGAAAAAGAGAAATCTTGACCACTTTGCATTTGAATTCCTTTCCTCTCTTCCACCCAACACACCCTGGCTACACTAGCACTTGTGCCTTTAGTTTAAAAGAAAAATATTTCCTAGAGATTCAAATCTAAAAAAATGCATAATAACCTTGGACATGACATCTGCATCAGGTTCTTCCTGTGGGTCTGCCCAGTCAACAGTTGGGGTAATATTACCCCACACTTTCACTCTCCCACTAGAGAGTCTTCGCCGAGCAAGAGATGCTGCCTGGTGAGATTCATACTCTAGGAAAGCAAATCCCCTGTTTCTGGACTTGTTTTCTGCTGACATGTACACAATAACTTCAGTCAGTCCTGTTGTAGCTTGACTGAACTCTTCCTGGATCTCCTGTTTATTCTTGTTCTTGGGTATAGAGCCCACAAACAAACGGTTGTTTGCTACAGAAAGGCAAACTCCAAGCCTTCTGCCAGGCCTGATTTCTTTATTGTCTAGCCTCTTGGTGGCATCTTGTGCCTCATCTTTAGAAGAATATGTACAAAAGCCATAGCCTCGGTTCTGACCTGAGAGAGGGTCTATCATAAGTCTAAAGTCATAGATTTTGCCACACTCCTCCAAAACAGGAATAAGTTCATCTTCAAAGCAGTCTCTGGGGATCTTGCCAACAAACACTTGGCAGCAAACTTTCTGTGGATCCAATGAAAAAATATACAAATATTTAATTATATAATGTATACCAATTTTGGCTACTAGTAAGCTTAATGAAAAATTTCATCTCATTTTAACCTGTGCATTTTACAGATAATAATATATAAAAAAAGGAAGCTGAATAAATTTCAGTACTAGTTCACTAGCATCCACTCTGCTGATAACCAAAGTCAATTCTTCAACGTGCTATGATCGGTTTGCCAACTTACACGAATTCTTTTATCTCTCTTTTAAGGTACGTTCGCACATTTTATCAAAAATAAAAAACAAAAAAAAAAAAAAAAAAAAAAAAAAAATATATATATATATATATATATATATATATATATATAGAGAGAGAGAGAGGGGGGTAACTGAGCATCCATGCAACAGATACTTGAAAAAACAGTATGTGACGAGTCAGTTTACCAATATGTTTTCCATCTGCCTAACAAGTTCGTTGCTCGACAGTTTAATCTAGCTATTAACGGCAGACCGAAAATCACAAACAAACTTCTTGCGATTGAAGGGTGGAAAGAAAATTCTTCACGACGAAAAAGTTTAGTTTATAAATGATTACTGAATTCCGTTAATCGTTAACAATATCTACGATTGACTATTGAGATCTTATAGTCGGCGAAGCAGACAAAACTCGTCGGCAATGTGACCCGAGTGGTCAACCAAGAGGAAGTCGGCGAACTAGCACGCCGGCTAAACGACCATAGACCGTATTGTCTACTAAATTATGGCAAGCGCGACTGAAATTATTTATTAAATTACCTCGCTGCCTGTCCCAGGAGGAGGACCTTCCCAGTTTGGCGGTGGGCCACCATATTTCCGTTGTCCAGTAGTGATATCCAAAGTGTACCCTGTGCTGTCAAGCAAAGCTTTGATCTTCTCTTCGTCAGGGCCACTCAAGGTTTCGTTTCCGGGTGTTTGTCCGTGAGCCTTCTGTCGGTTTTTCTCGCGATATGTCTTCATTACTCCACAGAGGAAAGCACTCTTGTTTTGCACATGAGACAGATCGCTGTTTCCGAACTGCTCTAACACTTCAAGGGCGCCATCTTCGTTGAATTCTCGTAAAGCATCTAAAGCTCTGTCATCCAGTTCGGCGGGAAGCAACGCACCCGTAGCAAAGATCGCACTGACTCGCTGAGCCACTCGAAGGCTCAACCCTTGGCCCACAAGTGTCTGCGCGTCTTCTGATAGTTCTTGCGTTGATTCCATCGCAAGTTCGATTTGTAAAATTACTGTCACAGCGTTAAGAATCTTCGATGCTTGGACGCCCAGACAACGTGGTCTGCGAACGTGTTTGAATGATATCTGTGGGGTGGACCTCAAGAGTAAACAGGTTCCTTCAATCGATATCCACTCGGTTGTAACTTCGGCTGTCGGTTCAAACTAAGACAGAGCCTGGGGCATTTCGAATTTTAACAGTGATCACAAGCCCAAGCTCCAGCTGTGAGATGATCATCTCGCGAAGTACCAGTCACAGCGAAATTATAAGAGTTTTTATGGGAATATTTACGACCGCTCTTAGGAAGTAAAAATTCAGTCAAATTCTCAATAAAAACACGTCACCTTACTTCCACAGTGCATCGCTTGTTGTCTAACCGCTTACTTTGTTGCAACGAGGTTATTTTCGCGAGTTTTCCATTTCTAGATTTCCCACTAAAAGTTGTTTTCTTCTATAGATAAACTTAGATTCTGAAACAATGAGTAACGTGAAGTCCACAACCCAAGTTAGAGCTGTAGAGCGATTTTCATACAAACGAATACAGGGGTTAAAATACAAAACAGTATTTAACAATGGATATTCTCAAGGGATACCTCCGCCCAAAAAACGTTCAACAAAATTAGCCATGTCGCAGTTTTACGTTGGCTCCCGATCGGTGCAATATTCCTTGGAATTATTGCCGTAGTGAAAAACGCCGAATCCAGGTTTGATTCCTGTTGCAGTGGAGCGAAGAGTGAAAACAATCACCTCGTTCGTGGTAAATGTTTCCACCTATACCGGAAGCAGTACCAAATACGGTGTTTCTGTCTGTGGCTTCGTGATCATCAATTTCGTCACTTACAATTTTTGCTACATACCCCCAAATAGTGGGACCTACAGTCGATCAACCGTCGTCAAGCACTCGTAACGGTAATCCTGAAAACCAGTCGCGCGACAAAGGGAACCAAACACCAACTGGATACAAGCTTTTCATTGTTTACTGCTGTCAACTTTTCACAAAACTTGTATTAGGAGTTTTTTTCATAATCCTATTAACTCAGTCACTTTATCCTTTGAAGTTTTCCCTACATATCACTGTTATGTAAACTCTGGAATCAATTATCCAAGGAATTTATCTGACACCACCCGACACAGTAATTTTCACGATGTCACAATCAAAGAGCGGAAAATGAACCCTTTTAGATGTACGTTGTCCTTGTGGTGAATGGAATTTTTGGAAATGTCGTTTTCATTGAAACCGTCTACATTTTGTTGCAGGCGTGGGTAGAAAAGAATTTCATGCAGAACTCAAACTTTCTAAGAATTCATCTTAAGCCCACACCTAACAAGTCACATCAAGTCACACCTGACAAGTCACATCAAGTCACACAAATCACACCTGACAAGTCACATCAAGTCACACCAGACAAGTCACGTCAAGTCACGCAAGTCACACCTGATAAGTCACATCAAAAGCAGGAAGACAGTGCTCTTTCTCACCGCTCACCCGACCGTCAAACTGGTGCGTTTAAACATGAACAACAATTCTGTTTCATTCCCAAGTTAAAGGAGTAGCACACTGTGCCAAGTTCATTGCTTAGCCAGCCCTTTCTGATGATTCAGTTGACACAAAAACGTTTTTTATTTTGGGAATTCCTTTATTTGTAATAATATCATTTCCTTTCTCAAAAACATCAAAGAGGTCTTCACCTCTAAAGACTCATAAATTTGTTTCCCACGAGACTGCTTTCTACAATTATCCACATAAGTGAAAATCGTAATTTCTCCCTCTTTCAGTGGAGTTTACGTTGTCTACCTTGTTTTAAACAACGTTTGATGGCTTTTTCCTCTGCCACACGTCATAGTTACGGGAATACAATGGCGCATTCTAGCTGCCGGATCCGGCTTCCATCACCGCTCCATCGCTACCGAAGCGAGAGCAGACATGGTTTAAGTTACACTGGCACCAAACGTGCAAACCAGCCCTCTTTAAGTGAGCCTGGCTTGGGTTCCGAAACCATATCTTCCCACGAGAAGAGGGTCTGGCCCGCCCACTAAGTTCCTGTTTTTCTGTGATAATGTTTCTAGAAAGCTAATTTCGCGTTAACAAACAAACAAAAAAACAAGTAGAGAAAAGCTACAAAAAAGATTAACTGAAAGAACGTCACAAGCCATTAGACATCAGTACGCACACAAATTACCAAACAAAATAAACGGATCCACTGAGTCGCACGGATGAAAAAGAAAGAAAGAAAGATTCTTTCAATACTGAAAACGCCGTGAATGTAACTACCTGCAAAAGAAAGTAATCCACCGTAAAAACATTTATCATTAATACCTCATTGAGCGCTACCCTTTGATTCAAGTCGGACATGATGCTTACTGTGAAACCTAAAGGCTGGTTTCTACTGGCGACGGAATCGACCTTGTGAAAACTGGAAATCGGAGTCCGAAGAATTAGAACGGTTTCATTTTCTTCCGATTCCGACTATGACTCCGACGCTTATGAAAATTAGATTGTCGGAGTCGAAAGCAGAAGCGGAAAAACCTATCAAACAAATTGCCAGTTCTCAGGCCCTCTCACTGGAGTTTTCCGCTTACGACTCTGACAAGAGCAAGGAGTCGTAAGCGCCATCGACATTTTCCTTCCTTTACTGTCGGTTTGATTTTCATGGCTCGTATCAATCTGCGCTTCTGATTTAGGCTCCGACTCTGACTTCATCGTGAGTGAAAACCAGCCTAAAGCCTTCCGCATACCATAATATGATTTTACACGAATGACAGCCAACTGTAGCCCGTAATTAACACTGCACTACGCGAGGGATATTCCTCGCATACCATTTTTGGTGGGAACCGATACCGGCTAAGTTCATCCAGCACAGGTGAGAAGCCAACTGTCTGTGCTGACACTTAAATGATCTCCTACTTTGCTAGAGATTGTTACGAGGGATTTTCACTGCACAATCGAACGTTTTTTGGCGTTCGTGACACCCGGTATCCATAGTGTTAGACTACTAGAATCTCTCTTCCCTCCTTTGATATAGAAGGACGTGTCCCTTAAAGATAACAGCATCGTAGAGGAGAACAGTCGGTCCTTCGTTCCTGTCCAACTCTGTCAAGTCCCGTCACAGTAAATTGTCTCTAAAGCGAATAAGAATAAACAACAATGAAAAAAGAAAAAAAAAACGGACAACAAGTGGTCAACTATAGTGAAAGCTCCATACAAACGCCCCCTCAGCACCGGTTCTACCAGATATAAAGATTACACGAGTCTTTTTCGACTAGAAGCAAAACTTGTATCTTTGAAGAAAAAAAAGTTCCCTACATCGGTATCTCGAAAGAGGGGCTGTCTTGTACTTTTCTTTGGAAGTGAAGGGATACGGTGCATGTCCATCACTGATTTTCAAGTGAGAAATTCTCGAGACAAGGCTTAACTAAGTAGTAAACCTCCCATAAAAATCTCAGTTTACGTTCAGCACCGAAGTCGGTCGAAACACTCCAATTCTGACATGAGGGAAACTCTTGGGAACAAATTGTAGTTGACTAAGTAACCTTCACTTGAAGTGTCTCAATTTCCAGCCTAAGGCTATGTTCGTTTTGCAGGAACTGGCGCGAAAACAAATGCGGCAGCGTCGAAACCTTCTCTAATCCCCCCCCCCCCTCGCGCACACACGTCTCTTTTATTAGGAGAGAGTTGATTGATGAGACCGGACGATGCGCGCATCAGGACAATTCCTATTCAAGAACTTAGTCCCAGGCTACTTGCTCCCAATACAACGAATTTCAGCCTTACGATGCGTGCGGAAGTTTTTCAAGCTAGGTGTTTACGCTTGGCTAGAAATAAGAGACGATCATTTCTCTTGTTCTAACCAATGTTCACGATGTTCGGTTCATACTGCCACGAGTTTCATTTGGCTAAAGTTAACCTGAGGTAACAGGTCATTTTCTTCTCTAGGCCCACTCGCGACATAATTTCATACGAACTCGCTTGATCATCAAAAATGACTTCAATTAAAAACTAGAGCGAAAATATTCGCATAAGTCGTGAAGATAAAGTTTTCTGTTATTCTTCTGAAGCGTTGGCGATGGGATTGATGTAAGAGTGAGTCTAGGTTCACTTTTGACGTTTCCAGTTGCCTTACCCGGCATGCTTAAACTTAAAATTTGGTATTTAGTACAGGACAGTCCGAGTTAGAGAGGAGCCTAAACACTAGAATTTTCAAATACAACTTGACAGTATCAATCACACCCTCTGCACTCACTTGTAGCATTGATTGATGAGGTCTCAAGAGTAAAATAAGTCCAAAAAGAAACCTTAAGTGGCTCACTCATGCTGCGTAGTCCTTTTCTGGTTGAAATTGTTGACCCCCTTTCCCCACCCCACCCTACTAATGCAACAAAGTTTGAAGTGTTCTTAAGTCACACCAATAAATGCCACACAGACTTGGCTCTAGGCTACTAACACAAGTATCACAATATTGCACTTACCACAATGGCCTGCCAGCGTCGTACCTCAACTGGAAATTGTCACATTTTTTATAAGAAATTTCCAGTCACCATTTCACAATTTTTTTTCATACAATTTTTGACACAATTCCTTTTGGACCTTCTCAACTTCAGATATAATTTATCCATGGTTTTTGCTCATAAAATTTTCTGATGCAATTTCAACATTATATTATTTTTGTTTCAAAGTTCATTTCTATCTTTTGACTACAACTGCAATTTCCCACAGAATTTCTTCTTCATTTTGGAGACAGAATGACAACATACAATTTATACCCAGCTGGTTTTACTGGCTAATTTTGAATAAGCAATTTTATTTAAGTTCAAGATTATATGATTGTTAAACAAACCCACTCGATCAATCATTGGATTGCAGATCTTCTTTAGATGTCTATTTCTAAGTCTACCGGTATTTTTGAACAATACTTGAAGTTTTATTTACTAAGTTCAAAAGAATGAAGATTAAAATGTAAAAATTTGAATTTGAAAAGCAGAACTAGACAAGGCTCATAGACTTTGGGAAGAACTACGAATGTTTATATGAAACACCACAGATTTTGCAACACAATCTCCTCTTTTACCTAGTAACTCAAGATCAAAAAAGATAGTTGATTCCTTAAGTTTTGAACTCAGTCAGATTATGAAAGAATTTCTTCTTTTTTGCTAAAAAACAAAATGATACAGAGAATGTAACATCGAAAAAGCCTTTTCCCTTTATGTTTGATGCAGCATCCAAACCAATCAGAGAAAGAAATGATTGGGCTCCAAACAAAATGATGACACAATTGGATCAATTCAACATGAATCTGGTTGGACAAGTTGAATGGCTGCCAATCAGCAAATACAGGATCACTTCACCATCCCTGCTGCTGCGACCAGGAGTCTTGGTACCACTGTTGATCACCCTGGTCACTGTAGTTGTAGTCACCACCCCACTCTTGCTGGGAGTCCTGCTGCCCATACTGATGGTTGTAATCAATGTACTGCCTCTTAGGTTCTGAGTAGCCACCAGCTGAGCCTTGATAAGCACCATCACCACCAAACTTACGCTTCTGCGCACCATAGCCACCATCACCTCCACCTCTGCCACCCCTTCCTCTAGGAGGACCACCACGTCCACCCCTGCCTCCACGACCAAAGCCACCACCGCCACTGCTGCCACGAGGTCCACCTCTGCTTGGCCCACCTGGACCACCACGGGAACGTGACCCCCTCGGCCCACCTCTTGAGCCACCTTGGCTGTAGTAACCTCCTCCACCATATCCTTCATTTCCATACCCACCACCATAACCACCACCATACCCACCTCCTCCATAGCTACCATCGTCATAATAGCTGTCATAATTGCTTCCACTATCATAACCTCCATATTGGCCATACCCACCACTGTTATCATACCCTTGGTCATATCCCCCTCGGCCACGACCTCGCCCTCTGGGTGCTCCACCTCTTAGTTGGTTTCCACGAGGACCTTGCCCCATTCCAGGGCCTCCTCTTCGCCTACTGTCCCTGTTTGCTGGTTGTGGTTTTGCTAGGGACACACTTATAGAAATGTCATCCCACATCTGTTGGTCTAGTGCGTTTATCGCATTCAATGCATCCTCGCGTTCTGTGAAGTGAACAAAGGCATAATCTTTGAGCTTTTTAACTCTTTCTACAGTTCCAAACTGGCCAAACTCTTCTTGTAGTTTCTCTTCTGTGATGACAGGTGACAGGTTTCGGACATACACCACCTTCACCTATACAAGGGATTGAGAGAGTTAAGAGGTCAGGCATGTTTCATCTCTTTAACAGCTACAAAAGTAAAAAATTTAAACCATGGTTAAGTTAAAATGAAATCATATCTTCTTCTGCCATGGAGAAAACATCTCATCCACCAGTACTTTGCTTTGAATTTTTTTTTTTATTGTTCTTACTAAAGACAATGGCTCTTCTAAAAACTGAACAACTTCTCCATGAATCACTAAAACAATGCTTGAAATATGCAGGCTTAAAATTTAGCAGAATTTTTTTTCTTTCTGGTAACCAGGGACTGATGAGACAATCTAAATTAAGAATCATTACAGAAAGTTACTGATTTTCAATTTTTTTTATAAAATGTTCCTTGTGATCATAGAAAAAAGATTTTCACCTGATATAAAAACAAAATTACCTTTGATTGATTACTAAGTAGCCAAATTCATTTTCATATACTAACCTTTGCCATAACTTCATCATTAGGCTCTTCCTGTGGATCAGCCCACTCAACCTTGGCCACAGCCATTCCCCAGACATAAACCTTACCACTCTGAAGCCGTCGCTTTGCCAGTGCAGCTGCTTTGTGGCTTTCATACTCTAAGAATGCAAAGCCTCTGTTTTTGCCTTTTTGCTCTGAAGACAAGTAAACAATGACATCGGTTAAATCAGAGGTGACTCTTCCAAATTCCTCCAAAATTTCTTCCTTGGTCTTGCTCTTTGGAATGGATCCAACAAAGAGACGGTTGTTTGCCACTGAAATGCAGACTCCTAACTTCTTGCCAGGTCGAATTTCCTTATTGTCAAGTTTCTTGACTGCACTCTGTGCACCAGCTTTAGTTGCATATGTACAGAATCCATAGCCTCTATTAAGTCCAGATTCAGGTTCCATCATGAGACGGAAGTCATAAATCTGACCACATTCTTCGAGGAGTGGGATTACTTCATCTTCAAAGCAGTCACGTGGGATCTTCCCAACAAAAACCTGACAGCAGCCTTTCTGTAGGACAATAATTTTGCAAATAGATCAGTTTCACTTCACTCATGTAAGTCATTTGAACTTGTTTGGTTTGATTGAGTTTGTCAAAAAAGGAAGTTTGCTGAGAAATTCCCTCCATTATGAGTTATTTGAATTTGTTCGGTTTGATTTTATCTTGTCATAAAGGAGATCTGCAGTGATCTGCAGGCAACCATCTTTAAAAAATGATTTCATAACCATTTGTATATGTCATTAAAGGAAATTTCATGCAGCCATTCATTTAACAGGTTTATCCTTATAATATGGCCTTACATGTGTTATGTCCTCTCTTTTAGGTATTTTTCTTGGATGCATGTTCCAGTATAATTCCTTATTTAGTGAGTCTTCAAAATCAACCGAGCTTTCATAACTCACAAATATTAAATAATTTGTGTGAATAAACTCACTAGCATGCTTATAACTTGAAAATTAATATAACTTCTCACTAAATTATCCAAATCTTTAAAAAATTACCGATGATGATTTTATTTTTTCAAGCGAATAATTGAATCCAAGAGGGTAATGTTTGCTAGAACCCGATTGAATTATCTCAAATACATGCAGCTACAAATATTTCATCGACATAGACAGTTAGACTTACATCATGCTTCAATTCCAAGTAAGGCTAGGTACCTTCGGTATTAGAAAAATAATTTTACTTACTTCACTACCACCTGTCCCGGGTACAGGACCTTCCCAGTTAGGTGGTGGACCTCCATATTTCCTCTGTCCCGAGGTGATATCTAACGTATAACCAGTTCTCTCTAATAAAGCTTTTATCTTCCCTTCGTCGGCTTTACTGGGCGCTCCCTGGTTGCTAGAGGTATCAGCGCCTGTCGTAGAAGACTTTGTGACGTAGGTTTTCATCACTCCGCAAAGGAAAGCGCTCTTATTTTGCACATGAGATAAGTCACTGTTCGCAAATTGATCTAACACTTCCAAAGCGCCGTCTTGATTGAATTCGCGAAGAGCTTCGAACGCTCTGTCATCGAGTTCTTCAGGAGAAAGAATCCCCAAAGCAAAGATTTCAGAAACACGTTGAGCAACGCTCTCGCTGAGTCCTTGGTTAACGAGCATTTGAGGCTCCATCTTATCGATTAAAAAAGTTACAAACAGGGTTCAGATGAACTGCATAGAAAGTCTAGACACAAAAACGTTATATTTCACAGCAGCGTCGGCTAACAGTTAATAGCACGCTTGCTTAAGGAAAACGTGTTGTCTCTGTAAGGGGTGGACGCTTACTTCTGGCAGGGGTGGCGAGCAAGAATTCCTCCCCACCCTCCCATAGATAGTAACTGTCTTGTTTCCAACCGAGGCTGTCGCCTGTGGATTTGTAAGTAATATTTTATCGCTTTTCTCTTCTAGGGTTTCTTTTTCAGTTTTACTCTTTGTTTGTTTGTTTTTTTTTTCCACAATAGCAGTTTTCCTTGTAAGTGAATTTCCACACATAGGGATCCAAAGAGCCACAAACAAAAAATTGTGAGAACTCAAAAAGCTGTGGTAAATGTCATTTTTTAGCCTACTTCAAATGGAGAGCCTGGTTGGGCTTCCTGTTCATTCTTTTCTTCTCTCTTTTTTTAAGTTTATATTTAAGATTTCATAAATCAAAGTTATTTCTGGATTTTTTCTTACATATGTTTTGTTTAAAATAATACTGAAAAACACTAAGATCTATTTGGGCAGAAATATTTCCTGTACCATTTTTAGTCTGGCATTTTAATGAAAACCAAATGAAAACCATATTTCTCCAAAGAAAGAATTATTATACCTATTACCACTTCTAGATGTAAGCTGCAAGCTATAACCTTTCCTTTCGTACACTACAAAAAAAAATTCTGACTATGAAAAGGATATTCACAGTGATGAACACTACTTAAGCAATAGTGAAAATAAGGCCTTAACTTTAAAGTTCATGCCTTAAGGGATTTGAACCTATGACCTCTGCAATACCACTGCAGTGCTCTACCAACTGAGCTAACAAGCCAACTCAGAGCTGGTCATTATGTTGGTTCGAAATAAAGAAGGTCTCCAAGATGATCTAGAATGTATGGATATTTCAAAAGTGACAATTAAATATTTTCTTCAAACCAAATAAACAGAGGCATAATGCTATCTTCAGGCTTCTTATTAACATTTCATGATCTTATTACTTCTTTGTAAATACCCAAAATGACAATAAATAATTGGTATGCTAAGTAGTCTGATTGTCGAGGTAGGAGTACTGTAGTCCCTAAAAGGATTGTTGCTAGCAATAATGATGGATGCTTCTACAACCTGAGAGGTCATCAATCATTAGATTCACCTAAAAGACTTAATAATAAATAATCATCTGGATTACAAAAGCTGTTTTCCAGACTATAAAATTAGTCTTCTATTCTAAAACCATATCAAGCAAAGCTTCTGAGAACAGTTAATTTAAACTAGGAAATCATCAGGTGGAAGAAGTTCAGGTATTTCGTTAAAACCTGGTATCAAAAACTTCCACAAATTCTCTCTACGATATAGTAGAAGTTTACGAAACAACAATTTCTTTCTTTGCAAGCACCTCTCTAATAAAATGTTCGTAAACCATTCTTTACAAGTTAAATTTTGACAGGTCTTTAAAAAGTCGATCATGGACATGTCTACAATGAGAAGAAAAGTGTGAAAGCAACACATCATCAAGATAAAAGTAAAGAGGAAGCTCACAACAAGGAACATTACGGCATAGTCTCCCAGTTCACCGCAAATTCCAACTTTGTAGGAAGGTGAATCAGAAGGGTAATCTAGCATGCAAACCACAAACGGTGCATAAGTACAGTACGCAGCGAACAAAAGCCCTAAGAAACAGTACACCAGGAACAGGTAAAAGTGAGCGTAGTTATTCAGTCCAACGCAGTTATTGGTAAACGGACAATGATGCGACATAGACATCACACAAGAGTTACATGAACTACAGTGATGAGTCCCTTTGTCACGCACACGAGTACACTTTGTACAAAACTTTAACGATTCCAGATGGATATCTGTGTCTTCTTCGAGCTCTTGTCGTGTTTCTGGATAGCCTGGTGAAACAATCATCGCCGCCAAGTAATTGAATACCATATTAAGCCAAAGATAGCAAGCGATGACGATGTAGCCCACACCTTTGAAAGACGAGTAGGGGTTATCAACTTCTACGGGCAAACTCTTTAAGAAGAAGAACCAAATTGCAGAAGCAAATATAAAAAGAACAGGTGTAATCTGCAATCCTTTTAGAAGCCTATACAGCCAAGTTTTTCTTGATCCACGAGGGAATAGAGTTTGTAAACTGCTGATGATAAAAACGCCCTGAATAAGTCCAACAGACAAGATCATAATCCAAACAAATGCCATCTTGGCCAAGATCACGCGAGTGAAACTGGGAACGAGTTTATTTCCGGGTAACGTCTTCGTTTAGAGATCAACATGGCGTTCGTTGTGATTGCACTGAGCGCCAGTATGGCTGTCGTTGTTGTAGGCGCTTTCATCTTCCAGATCCTTCCAAGGCTGTTTCCAAAACTTAAGACATTATTGCCCTCGCAAGCTACGATCAGCTACCTGCAGATTGTGCCCATAAGCTTTATTTTTCCAACTCTTATGTGGCTGTTCTTCTCAATTTACGTCCACGCTCACGTTCCCGGGGACGCATTCTCCTCGTTGCTAGGGTGGTGGCACACCTTTTTCACATGTTACATGATGACTAACGCTGTTTTCTATTACTACATGACCGTCTTCGTTTGCCCGGGGTATCCTCAACACCAGGACGCCTACACTCGAGACAGATGTTTCGTGAAAAGCTACCAAATTTGTGTCAAGTGTCGACGGGTTCGAAATGCTGGAACTCATCACTGCAGCTGGTGTCACACTTGCGTCGAGATGATGTGTCACCATTGTCCTTTCACTAACAACTGCATCGGCCGCCGGAATTACATCTACTATTACACGTTCTTGGCATATGCGTTCTTTGGTTTGTTGTATGCAAGTTACCTTGCCTACTTTCCGTTTTCGAATTGTCTCTCTGGATATGCTATGAAGAAATTCAAAGAGACTCTGCTTAGCATGCCTCACTTGAGTGTCCTCAATCGCTACTCACCTCGTTCTCAATCAGCGAAATCGATGTGGGATACTTTTAACAGTATGGAAGTTGGCGAAGGCTGTGAAGAAATTCAGGATTACGCCGTCTTGTTTGCCCCCACAGTTGCAATCACCGTATTCCTTGGAGCATTATTTTTCTTCCAGTCGTTCCTTCTCCTCGCAGACATGTCGATAGTCGATTTCTACGACTCTCTCTCCAAGGCCTCTTCATTTCAAGAGCTTCTTCGAATTTGGTATGTCAGCATTTTCAAGCGAAAGAAGTATCGTTTTATGCAGTTGATCCAGAACAAAAAAAGTCAATGGTGGAGATTTTTCGTCCCTTGCCCCACCGATGTGGAGAATGACTTACCTCCCAAGGACTTGTAAAGGATGGATTTTGTCAAAGGGAAGGGGAACTCTCTCAAACTGAATGCAATCAACAAAAAATCATGGGATAGAGAGGGATCATTATGAAAGTAGTTGTTTTCTTTCTCATTTTAACTGAAAGGGAAGTTTGTTCCTTCTCCCTACACCCTACATGTAGATGTATGCATTTTCAATTCTCACTGAACCCCTCAACTCCAATGATCTAATCATTAATTCTCCCCATTTTCTTCCACACATTTACTTGTGAATTAGTTACAAGGATTTGTTATTAGGTTCAGAAAATAACTTACACCTGATAAATTTGAGCATTCTCATTACCTGTTTGCTGGATAATGAATGGATATTAGAAGGAGAAGTTACATGTTAATCACTTCTGAGAGTTAAAGGGTTAAGTAACACATCTCCTTTTCAGGTTATTTTCCTCATCAATTTATCTCCAAGCTGTCTTGCATTAAATTTTTTTCACTAATATCATCAGATCAGAAAGATTTTTAGTGCAGCCATGTCAGGAAATACTTTCATTTATGAGATCCTATGGATTAATTAGATGGAATTGATACACCCTGACTTGGACCAGGATCTCCTTTTGTTTCCTCGTGTTCTCTGTAGCACTGTAACCTCTTTCAAGATAGGGAAACCATTTCAGAAAATCAGAGTTTTGTTTAATGGACTGGTGGAATTAACTTATCTCAAGTCCTAGACTAACATTGCTTCCCTCTTTGTCTCTTTTTTGTCTTGATGTAACCTTGCAACTTTTTCCAGAATACAGCATGAGAGAAAGGCTAAATATACTGCTTGTCTTCTTGTAAGCATGCAAGTCATTGGTTTTTGTCTCTCTCAAAGTTTCCAGGATTAATATTTTTACTTTAAAGTTATCTTCAAGTGTTGACTGCAAAGTAAATGGTACTTCTTGCTGTTCTGGTTTTCTGGAAAGTTGATAATTAAGGTAATCTCCTAATGCATCTATTTGGCTGTTGTATTTAAGTCTCCTATATAGTTGTATTTTTGTAACTCATTCTTGTCTCTAGCCTGTCTTGCTTATTTAAGGCTTGATAGTATATTCTGTCATAACCTTTTGGAAGATATTTTTATTTTGAAACAGTACTGAAGCTCCCTCAGATGTCAAGAAAGATTAGAATAGTTTGCTACCCTTTGAAAAAATAAGTTAAAACTCTTTATCTAGAGGTCAAACTTAGATCAGTGTAATGCAATCCTTGGAATAAGGTAGTTTTTCTCCCCTTTTGGCAGGGAGGATGATGGAGTTGAATGACATCTTGTTGAACTAAATAATCATAATATATTGCACTGTTTTTGCAAGTTCTATGCTTGAAATAGAAATCGAAATTGAAAGTTTTACAAAATATTTTTTAATATGTTATTTATTGCACATGAATTTGTGTTTAAAGCATATGAGAAGTGTGGTATAACAGAAAGGTTTAACAAAGATGCTGTTTATATCGTAACACTTCCTATGAAATGTTTGTTTTCCTAAGTTATCACAAATTTTAAGTGTTGTAGAATTTATGCAGTAACTCTTGTAAGGAAGGTTTACTGGGTATCTTTAAATTAAATTATGCTGTGTGAAAAAGCACTTAGTAAATAAATCATTCACTTTATGTGTGACATTGGGTTCAGTAATGTACTCTTCTTTCAAAGATCAGTCATTTTCAATAGGATTATGGAGAAATTTCCTATTTCCTTCAGCCAGGGGTTTCAATAAAGTTTTCCATAAGTAGCTGTTGATAGTGAGAGGCTGTTCTGCAAGGTGAAAATCAAACAAGAGAGCCTGCTTACAGGCTAAACAGGGTGAGAGGTCATATGGGTGGTGGTCCATGCAGCTTCACTTCGACTCTTTATGATAAGAAATATGGTTGCCAGCTGTTTCATACCCATGGTAATTTCATACCCAGTCAATTTGTACCCAGCTTGGTTGTTTCGTACCCAAACTAATAAAGTATTTTTTCCACGTTGACAATTGGAGAACAAAACATCACACTTACACAAGCTGTTATTTTCAAAAAAAAAGTCACTAGTGTAAACAATGGACTTTTTTTTTTTTAAATATCACACTCCTTTTATGCAGTAATTTTTAAATTTGTCAAGATCACATGTATACATAACATATTTTTTGTTTGTATCTTACTCACTTACCTCTACTGAATTGTGTGTATGGTGTTTTGAATAAATATATGAATCAATCAGCAGCTTGGATACGAACAAACTCAAACTTGGGTATGAAACAACTGAGTACAAAATGACCAGATACCTCAAATATCACTTCAAAATTCATATTTTCACAACTATCCACCTCAAATCTCTGGCTCTAGCAGCAAACATTTCAATTCCATTTGAAAGGCATAACCCATCTCATAAAAAAAAAATTGGTCTTAAGATGTAGAAAAGAAGAAAGAAATGTACCCGCAGAAAATACTTTACATCCATAGTTGTTCCCATAAATACGACATCCACAAATGATCAACTTTTATCAGTACACAAGTAGCAACAGAACCATGTCAATGTTAAACTGTTGACAGTTGTTTCATTGGTACACAAATAAAGTTGTCACATTATTCATATTCAGATGTTCTGAGCCAAACATGGTTTAAGTTTTACGTCCAAGTGTTATGTACTCCTAGGATCATGATATTTAATTATGCATACATGAAATAGCTCAAACATTATTACCTACAACACAATAAATATTTAAAATGCATCAAATGACACAAATATTTCTACAATGATAAGGAAATTTTTTACCAATACTCCTATATTATCATTAAAGGAAAATGATACTGTCATGTAAACCTTGCAGCTTACATATGGTGCAATTAAATTGCTGTACATATGTAAAAAGTCTCACAACAAATGACTGGCAAATTAACAAATGTTATACTTCCAATTTTACTTCATCACTGAAGACCATGCAACTCCTCCAGTCAAAGTTTCTTGATGGAATAACACTATCACTTAAAAGCTGTTGGCATATCACAAATTTAAGAGTGCAAACTGCTGACACATTCTTGTCTATATATAGTACCAAATTGAGTACAGACTGGTGTGTACATGGTAAAAAGACCTATCTTACAAATTATTTCTCAAAGAAATATGTATTTCAAATTTTTTCTTGTTTATTGCTTGCTTTCTTTGTTAATTGTTTCCATTCTTTAACATCTTGCTTCTCTTTGGTTTATTTTTGCCCCAACAAAAATTTTATCCTCAGATTTACTCAGTTTCAAGACAGTTCCTATATAATTTACAAATACAACAACAACGGCTACAACAACTAAAATTGAAATGAAGTACCAGTAAATCTCTCAGGAATGATCAAAGGGAAATTTCTCCCTATAATGTTGATACCCTTTCAAGCAGAAAGGTATTGGGGTTATAGCTTGACTAACACCAAATTCTCAGAGCTCAACTTACAAGAAATTTATAGCAAACAGAGCAAAGAATCGTTAATTAGATCTCATGAGTGATTGTGATGTTCCTTATTTGTTCAAGTAAAAAAGGTGTGAATACTGCTGTAGTATGTTGTCAGCTAGTGCAATCCTCTAAACCATATTTTCTGCTGAGAATGTTCACTGTTTGATCATAGGCACTAGAAAGAAACAAAAATAGCTCTGTAAGTTTAAAATGCCCAATAGATAGTAAAATGGACTTTTCATTTAACTTTTTACCTCTTGGAGTGACTAGTGTCTTATTTCTCCTCATAATGTCACCTCTGAATCAAACATGAAGGTCACATGAATAAACAAAATGACCACCAACTAAAGAAGCTCTTGATTGCCAAACAAATTCTCCTTGTCAGCACATTAGGAAATATATAGAGCACAGTATGGAGAATATACATACTGATGTTAGGGTGTAATGGGTTAAGGATAAAATGGTTGTTATTTCGCAACCCCTTGACAATAATTTCGTGGAAAAGGTTGTGGTTATTCATCGTGGTGAATAACAATAAAAGCTAAGTTTTTCGTTTGTCTCATGATGTAGTCACGTGTGATTTTACCCTTGACAATAGCTTGCATGGTAGCTCTGTACACTCAAATTAAATTAGTTTACTGATACGTTGAAATCAGGGAAACATGGTTGCAATAGATATTTAAAGCATGACTGTGACCAGCAAAGCAGTAATCAGAGATTCAAGTTTCTGTTCCATTACCTGCCTTCTCTGATGATAGAAAACTTGCCGTGAACTGACAAATTAACAACAGTTGAACCTTTGCGACACTGCTCAGTCAATCCTAACACTCCACCATCAAGAATTAAATCTAGTTTTGGCCAAATTTCTTTAAATTCCTGAAACAAACAGGTATCAAAAATTAAGTACTCCCAAGAGTGACCAAGACAGAATTTGTCCTTAAAACAACCCTACAATATCAAGAAGACAAGAAATTAGATTTTAAAAAAAATTGTCCTGATAGGGATTATTAGTTGATCCAATACCAAATTCCTGAACTAGCAACATGACAGTTGTATGACAGACAGTAAGGATAATCACTAATGATTTCTGGGAGTGAGAGGGTTATTGGTTTTCTATACAAGGAAACATATGAATGATAAAATTATCAAACTACTAATTCTGATTGTAGCTTTTACTGATTTTCTTTCCCAGCCCAGCCAACTTTACATTGGTTGGGCTGAGTTGCCCAAATACTAATTATCCTTTTTCTTGGGTTACTTGTATGGCATAACATTTTCCAGGTGGTAAAACCTGGATTAGCACTTATCACATTTTTAACTTCTTGGGCAAGCCCTATGCATAGAATTACCATACCTCAATTTTCAAACTGCTTTGTCCCACAGTGCTCACATTTGCGCTGGTCAAAGCAAGTGGTTCTTCACATGCTAAACTCAATTGCCGCACAAAATCATGATCAGGAATTCTGATTCCAACAAGTCTTGTTGTTGGATTTAACCCAGGATTTAACTGATCAGTCCTTTCAAATACTAATGTCACAGGCCCAGGAAGCAAGTCTTGAAGAATTTCTTTACTCACAGTCACTTTTCCCCATCTGAAAATCCAAAAGAAATTAAGTAAACTGCTATGTGATCATGGGAATAACAAAATTCAGCTACAGAAAGCAAGGATTTCAGATGCAATGCTGATCAGCTATCTGGGATCTTTTAGTCAGCCTGTATACAGCAATCCTTGAGGACAGCCATGTTAACATTCTGTAGCGAAGGAATTCACCTCTACAAGAAAGATCATTGAATTCTTCTAGAAAGACCCCTGAATATTTAGTAACTGAACTTGCTATAGAGGGAAATAGGTATTTTTGCTAAAAACAATTTTATAGTTAGTGTCTGTCAAATAAAGTGCATTTATAAGAAACATTTCCTGTGGCTGGGGCTAAACCAGATCAACTTAACCTCATGTAAACATAAAGATCCCTGGTTTCCCAGCTGCAAAATTACTTTAGCAACCTTTTTTATCTTGCCAATAAACAATAAACAAGTGTTGACAAGAAGAGTAAGACTGCATCTGAAATAATGACCTGCATTGTATATAAAAAAGACCGTGGGCAATCAACAAGTAGTTCAATCAATAAGTATAAGAAAAAAAGCTTCCATTTTTCTTTGGTTGTCAAATTCTGTGAATTTTTCTGGAACATGGTTGTTGTTTTCCACCACCTCTGATTCAGAGGTTGCTTTTAAAATCATGCAGATGCAGTCATACAGTCACAGCATTAACTACTTTGTTCTTTAAAAGACAAATAATTTTCAGTTATCTGGCATGATTTCACTGATTTAGACTTAGTGAAAAGTGATATCTTAGAACTTCTGGAGCACCCCATGATCTTTACAAACCCTGTCAAACAATTAATGAAACAATCAGTCACTCAATCAATCATTGTAGAGGTTAGCAAAGAGGGATCCTGATTCCATGTGCTTTAAACAGTACTTCCACAGCACAAATTTAAAAGGGGAAACCTTAAATCTCACTTTTCTTTGCCTTTTCATAAAATCCATGCATCATGCATTAATTTTGGGCTTAAACCCTTTGCTGCCCTCAGAAAATATCAACTTCCTTGAATCATCCAATTGTTTAATTCCTACCCACAGGACAAATCTACTGGTCCCCTATACAATGTGTTGAAACTCCTGAATTGTTTTAGGGATGGCTGTGCTTAGATTAACTTTTTTAAAGCACTCTGTAATCAAAGGCATCATTTTAGCAGCTCAGGGTCTTAGGAAATGACAGATAGTCCATCAGTAGATCTTACTTATATACATCTTCCAAGTTCCCAACACATATTGCAACTGGCTTCTCTTCATGTCGCCTCTTGATTTCATACAACTTAGTGACTGCTTCAGTGGACTGCGCCAAGGCTGCTACCCCATAGATGGTATCAGTTGGAATAGCAATCACGTTACCACTCTTAAGTGACTTGACAGAAGCGTTGATGATACTTTCGAGATTTGGAGCATTGTCTACAACAAAAATTTCATAACTAAGCCGAATTGAAAAGATCTTGGCTATCATTTCTAGATAAATTTTAGGCTGTTTTATTGTTTCTTACAATTTCGGTGACGTTAAGGAAGAAAGAAGTGTGTTTCTCTGATATCAACTACGTACAATACTTTACAAACATTCTTCATAAGCTCACCTTCACGCCCAGCAACTTCAGGTCGCTTTTCGATTGCTGTGAGAGAAATTTTTACAATTTTTGCCGACGTATTCATGATGAAAAGTCGCAAGTCGAGAATTTAAAGTCCTCTTTTCCACAAAAATATGCACTGAACTTGGAAAACACTAACAGACTTGGAATGGTGCCCCTACGAAGCTTAGTTGCACGTGTCTGCCATATTTGTATCCGATGTTGTGTGTTAGGAAGCTGGAAACCAGTGCAGTACCCAGGCCTCCTCTGTCGCTTTATCAGGGGCTCTAACGCCTTCCGCGTCCCTTCTACCTTAAAGTTTGTTGAGACGTTTCTTATCCTTTTGATTAGTTTTCATGATTAAGAATACTTGATATTTTTGTTGACCTCTGATTGCACTTTAAAGATTGATGTATCGAGTCTGTAGATCTCGTTCCTGGTTTGTGTCTGACAAATTAAGTTCTTTATTGGAAAAATCAATCCGGCATTGTTAAATGACTTTTGCATACAAGTGTACAGAGATCAATACAAGTAATCTAAGAGTGGCATAAAACGGAGCGAAGCGCAGAAAAGTGTTGGTGCAAAACTTACAACAACTTGCGATCGTGATAATAAATTACCTTATACGACTTAGACCGCCTAGTTTATTCCAATCGGGATAGTTTCGCCTATCATACCAACATGTTTTGTTTTCCTTTCCTGCCTTATTATTCTCCAATTCCATATCTATGTGTATAAGTAGGAATTACAATGCCTCCTCCTCAGCTTTCTGGCCTCTGGACCAGAAACTCCGCGGGAGCAATAGCGAGCGCACTTACCATCTCATTTTTTCAGTACTACCCCGATACAACTCTCGGGCTACTTTCTACTCCCAAGAGAGTCGTAGAGTTACGAGGGTGAAGGCGAGGAGAGGGGAGGGTGGGTAAGGGGAGGTAGCTCAAGTGCATAAAGTTGGCCAGGCTAACAATTTTATTCATATAGTATTAATATGTCTTCAACAATACATTTTCATTAGACTTCATTTCAATTATTACTTCTTGTGTTCCATTTTAATTATACTTAATGCTAAAAAAAACATTCAATTAATTTTAGTAAATCCTGGTTTAATATTGGAACTACACTTTGTGCTTGTTGAACAAAACCACCTCCTAAACGATTGCCTTCCCTTCTATTGCACGTTTTATAAATATGAAAGCATTTTGCTTTCTTATATAAAAAAAAAAACTGCTGCAAAGAAAGGTTTACGAACTTCTAACCTTATTCCGCGGGCTATTAGGGGAAATCCCTGGGAACTAAGGTTATGAACCTCAGGTACCACGTACCCTGCTTCAATTGCATGGACCTGTGTGTCAAGGCTGAACGCGGGGCTAACGCGACGTAAGAAGGAAAACTAAAGAAACATTCATTACATACTTCGGAGTAAAATAGAAATCATATCTGATGGATGAAAATTAAAGGTTGCTAGAGAAGTTAAAAATTTGTGTGTTTAAAAACAGTTGCTATTCGTTTTATTACGAGTGTAAAACAGGGAAAATTCTAAGTCCTTAGGACCACGAGCAATTGATTTCCAGACCCTCGGATTTGGATCAGAGAGCTGTAGAGGACATAGGAACAGCGTACTGCATACAGGTAAGATCAGCTTTTTCGAAGGCGTCTTGTGTTTAGATAAGAATTCCCAACTCGGTCGTTGAATGAAGAATAAACTTTTTCACCTTTTTACTTAACCCATTACCGTCGATTTTTTAAACTTTCAAACTAATCTTAACGCATTTATTAAGCTAAGGTATTTGAAACTCGATTGACACTGATCCTAAGTCACCTGGGTATTCAAACGTTTAAATGCGGTGATCATGCTTCGAACAACTCAGATCTCAAATACTAAATATTTAGACGCGTTCACGTGTCGTGGTTTTCTGTGTTGAATTTTCCAAACATGGTACGTAATTTTAAACATCTTGAACAACTCACAGCTGCTTAAATGATTTCCTCCAACGAATCAAGTGATCGGCGGCCACTCTGTAAGGCGTCATGGGTAGAGCAATGATTATCGTCAAGAGATCGACGATTTAGAGGCGACCCATCCTCGTGCCTTGGTGAAGATGCACTGTCATTTTCTGGTGGGATCTTGTTCTCTAATGTCTTTCTTCTTCTTCCTGCTACGCTTCTATTCAGCAACCCTGCTTTCGGTTTCTTCTCTCTGGTAATTTGCTCTTTTGCCGACTTCGATTCAGTGGTAGAAAGTCCAGTTGGATTTGATGAAGGCACAGGTTTAGCAGTCTGAGTATCCTTCACACTACAACTTATCTTGAGTCCAGAGCTGCGCTTTTCCTTGGCTCGTTCAACACCAACGTGCTCCTGTATCAGAGATATTTTTACGCCTTCCACGGATGAATCGCGTTTTAAGGGTGCCTTGATTGTGGCAGGTTGCAAGCGAGATCTCAGTAATAAACTGTCTGGCGATTTTGAGGACTCTGTGTTATCTTGAATTTCCACAAGCCTACCTAATGTGTTATTTATACTTTTCAACAGTTCTCTACCTCCCGATGTGGCGACTGAATGGCGTTTACTCGGAAATCGCCTTTCAGTGGACGGAGAATAGTAAACATTCCGCCGCGGTTGCGCATGTCTATTTTCAATTCCATTGTGCTGCGCGTGATCACCGCGTGATCTCGCTTCGTGAGCACGTGTCACAGAGTCTTCCTTTTCTTCCTGAGGCTTTATCGCTGTCAATTGGCAGCATAGCCCGTAAGGTGGCAGTGACGGAGAATCTCTGTTTCTCTGCTTTGCATCCGTAGAAGACATGGTTGAATTGAAGTGGAAGGGACTGGGAACATGTTGTCTTTGCTGAGTAGTTCCCAGGTTCCTGGGCGGTAGAAAGGTCTGAGGAAGGGAAAACCGTCTGTGGTTAAATTTTACCTGTGAAAATTAAAAGAAAAGTATGAAAGACCACAATTTTCTTTTTGCTGAATTTTACCAGAATTTCACCGCACCCTAGGAATAAGGGGTTGGTGAATGAGTCTTAAAATTGGAGTACTGCGTTGAAAAAAAATTGTCGTCTTTTTAACGAAAAATTTCTGGAAAAATTTCTGGCTTAACATCTAAATGTAAGATTTCTCGAACGTTACCATTTTTTGACTTTACACCCTTCGACTACTTTGTGAAAGCGAAAGTTAAATCGTTTTTTCGATAGGTAGGGGAAATAAAGCCTGCAAATTACCTTTTCAGGAAATTCCATTTTCATCGGTTGCAGCGGGATAGAAATAATCTTGGCATTAATAGGAGAAACTTTGCCTATAGATGGCGTATTTGGAGCCGAAAGCCTTGGAGAAATTCTCCCCTGGGGCGCAACAGACTTTGTTTCAGAAATGCGTCGCGAGGAATTTTCATGATTATTGACAGTACTCTCTTTTCCTTCTTGCTCGTTTCTCTCGTCTAAATCTACCGTGGCAGATTTCTTGCCCGTCTCGGCTTTGCTTTCAACCGAAATATGCGACAGCCGGCGACCATTCACTGCCATGACTTGTACTGAAGAGTAATTGCAGGAATCCTTTCTGGAGATTTCAATCCCGCCGTCACTTAGTACGCTACAGGTTCTATCTTTCTGTTCAGAAGAATTATCTTCGTCGATTTCATTGATAGATTTCTCTGAAATTGGATCATCTTCATGTAAACTTTTGGGGTTTTCTGCAAGCTCTTCATCCAATTTAGACAAGTTCTCCTTGCTTGGAGAAGAAAGTTGCTCCCGTCCTGCACAGGGAAGCGCTAACTTCTCTGACTCTGGCTTTGTTTCATCCGGAGTAGTTTGCTTTTTATCATTAAAATCACAAGCGTTTACGGTCGTAACTGCAAATTCGCGTCTCTTTTTAGACGAATTCCTAATTTCTAACTCTGGCGTGGCTGTTGAGGAATTGCGAACGGGCTTCGAGTTAAATGTGACGTCATTCATCACATGCTCAGCTTCTCCCGGGTGTTTGACATAATATCTTTTAAGTTTTCTTTGTAGAAGGTGATAGACAGTTGATGTAGCAGTAGATCTGTAAGGAGAAAAATAAAAAATATGTGAAGCGCATGTTTCTGTCACAAAGGGTTATTAAAGACAAGAACCTCTATATTTCAGCTTCCCTGCGCGAACAGTGCAATAGTTCAACTCTGGTTAGGGCGTGGTTTGAGTACATTTTGATTAACTGTCATGGAACCAAAACGAAAGGAAACACAGTGGTCGATCAAGTTAAAGATAAAGATCACAAGGAGCCAGTGAAAGCGCAAAATAAATTTCAGCGACTCCTCTCAGAAGCGCGGGAAAACGATAATAGCCAAGTTACGATTGGTTGAAAGTTTACATCTGATTGGTTAAGAGAGAGGCGCGAGTTTTCTTAAACCAATTACGAAGATTAACCAAAGAGCGGTTTACAGCCTCGCTCTGAGAGTTCTCCGATTGCTCTCCATTCGTTTTCGACCCAAATTACTAAACAGAGAGTCATCTCCTGGATATGCGACTGCAAAAATCCAATTTAATCGATTAATATCTCTTTATTGATCACCTATTTTTCACAACTGCATCCACTATTTCTTGCTGTTTGAACTCCATCTTGTCAACCATATGTCTAACGATATTCTTGTCTAGCTCTTCGGGCTGCGGGTAATTCGGGAACACAATCGGGATTATGGGACCATCAAATCCCTTCTGCAACCACTCGTGGTTAAGGACCTCATCCAATGTAATCCGATTTTCGCGGCTGAACGTCAGTAAACGCTGGACAAGATCTTTGCACGCTACCAACGGGAAATGCAAAAGTGTAAAAAATGTGTCGACGAATCGTGATTTTTTGGCAAGCAGAAAAAAAAATTACCCAACGATATCAAAAAAAGATAAAGAAAGGGAAATAATAAATTTATAACTTACACGATGACAAATGATCTGGAATTGGATTCATGTCATTTTTTTTCATTTTATTATACAGAGTGTTTATGTGGAACGGCTCGGCCGAGTAGGGAAGTTTTCCTGTCAGCATGGCATACATGTTGACCCCGCTGGAAGAAAAACAAATATGTACGTTGTAGCATTAAGAAAGATGGTGAGTTTTTTTAGCTTGTAAATGAAATTTACTCCAGGTTACTTTTTAATTTTTACTAGGGACACTTCCCCTTTTCACCTTTCTCAATTCATATCATATAGATGTTCTAGTTTTAAATGCAGACAGACAGCAAAGATCACCGCGTGCAACCGAAATCTGGAGATGTTTACGCGATTGGAATCCAAGAATAAGGATGTTTCACAGCAGGAAACCCTTCGGATGTCATTGATGTTGACAAGTAAAAATAAGCTATTCACACTTTTGCGGGCTAAGGAGTTCAGTTGAAAAATACGTTTTTGTAAACAACTCGCGCGCGTTTTCATGTTTCACCAAAATTTTTCTTGAAAACTATAGCTAAAATAATAATGCCTACTTGCCATAGAAAAAAAAAAACTAAAAAAAATTGGCCCGCGAAGGTCTACCGTATCCTTAAGAGACTAATTAAAAATGTTGGAGTGAATAAAAATTCAATGGTACTTACATGCTCCAAACGTCCACCTCAGGCCCATACGGTTTGTGTCCCAAGATCTCTGGAGCAGCATAAGCTGGAGAGCCGCACTGGGTCTTAAGGAATTCTTTTGTGCTTTGACCGTCAGGTGAGGACACAAACAGTGTGTTACTGAGACCAAAATCTACAAGGAAAAATAACTAAATAGTTTAAGAGAGAACTACATCACCCCTGTGGGGAACGTGGTTACCCTAGCACGCTGAGACCGAGAAGTCCTGGTTCTGAAACACTGAGGACTGGGCAGAGTAATTGTGTGTTCTTGGACAAGATTATTTATTTCACAATGTCTCTCTCCACCCTGGAGAGTACATGTAGCACAGGGTACTAGTGAACTACCATAGAAATTTGAAAACAAGCACAAGGAAGTTTCATGCCACAGAAACCAGAATAAGCTCCGGCTGAAAATGGCCTCTTGCTACATTAACTACACCCCTGTATGCTCCCGTTAATAATAGAGTAATATTAAATGTGAATTAAGTTTACCTATGATCTTGATATTATAGTCGTCATCCAAAAGTAAGTTTTCAACTTTCAAGTCCCTGCAGAGAGAAAAGCGCTTTTAATATCTCTTGCTCGATGATAAAGCTTTTAAGCTGACTTCTGTTTGATTGTCGTTTGTTGAAGATTAAGGAGGAATTTTTGAACGCGGCAATTGAGCTGCGACCAAAACGTCAAATATATTTTCCGCACTAACCTGTGGAGAATTCCTCCCTGATGTAGATAATGCACAGCCGACACAATTTGCCGAATAAATTTTCTAACTTCCACCTCGCCAAGTTTTCTTCGGTAACAAATGTAATCCATAAGATCTCCTCCGGCTGCAATCTCTGTGATTAAGTAGTATCTAAAAATCAAAAAGTCTACAGTTTTAACATTTTAAATACTGAAAGATTTATTCTAATTGTCCAGTACTTCATTTCGCAAAACATACACCGCTCAGTACAAAGCACAAATCCCATCATTAAAACTACAGGAAAAGTCTCGTTCCAATATTGAAAGTCGGAAAGGAAACGATACAGTGAAATGCTGCGTGAGCTAACAAGCCTTGCAAGACCTTACTAGTTCTTCTCTTTTAAATTGCTGCGAAATAGCCTGAAAGTACTTTAGATCGCTTATCCTCCAATGCATAAAGAGCATAAAATCCGACTACAGATTGTTCACGTTTTGATTTGGAATTTAACTCCACTTCCGCTTGATATGCTTTATTACGTACGAGAAGTTAGGATAAGATGATTCACCGAAGTAAATTTTCGTGTAAAGGAATCAGACTGTCAACTAAGTCTCATTCACAATGGGACAGAATTACTTGGTAAGCTGCTAATTGTAAACCAAAGAGTATAAAATATTTAAACAAGCTAATCTTTGCATGCACTCATCTAAAATTAAAGGATTACAAAAGTCTAGACAAGGAATCTGATTACGTGCGATAAAACGGGCAAAATCTACCTCATTAAACCCAGAATAGAACTTACAAGAAGTACATTAAGTTTTAAATACAAGAATATCGGGATAATGTTTTGCCAAAATCTAAGTCGTCTCACCAGATTAGTTAAAATTACCTGTGTTCCGTTTCTACGACTTCCAGAAGTTGAACAATGTTTGGATGGCGAATCATTTGCATAATTTTCGCTTCTCGCCTCATGTTCCTGGCCACGTATTTGTCTTGATGGGCTAGCTTCTTGTCGATTATCTTAACAGCAACCTACAAGTGATGAACATATCAAACAAAGTTAAGAAATCGTGAATTGCTAGGATTTTTCTAACTGTATAAGCTTTGAATATTTTACACAGATAACACCGATCCCACCACCTTAGCTTTCAATGGTTTTTGCAGGATAAAATCATTATGGAAACTTCTGCTACCATTAGATTGGACGCTTGTCGGTAACCATTTATAATCCTGGGCAGAGAGAGGTATTGTGATTATACATTGTTTTTCCTTAAGACATAGCAAAAGAACCCGAAAATTGACCCTGGCTGGAAACCGGACATTTCTACTAAGTCCAGCACAACGATTACTATAAGGTCACCAACATGTTTCTCCATGTTCGAACCCAAGGAAATATAAGTTTCTTAACTCTTTTATTCATCGTTTCCTTTATTACAAAAAAAAAACTTAGGAAAACGAAGAGCCCTTGGAGGAAAATATTCCCACAGCTCCAACCTGGATCAAAGTAACTTATCCCCAGAAATGCCTTCGGAGCTTCACATTTTTCATCCGAGTTCCTAGATTAACGTGGCTGTCAAGTCCTCGGAAATCCAATATTACAACCGGCTTTGGACCGCAGCGCCGGTCAAACAGTTACAAAGCTAATGGTTTTAAAATATTTCTAACACTTTCCGACTGACGGGCTAACAATGAAAGTAACGTTCTCGAAGAAGGATGGGACCAGTTATTTAATGGACCGTAAAAAATTTCCTACGAATTTCTCAGAACTTGCAATTTTGATCTCTTTAACATAATTTTTGAACCGCATTGGGGTTTCTCTCTCTCTATTTTTACCAAATTGTCTCAAAGTCTTATTTGTTTATGACGTAACAAAACCTAGTGTATTTATACTGTACTTGGGATACACTAACACTAACCCGAAAATTCTGGAAACAGCGGATCTGAGGTATAACTGCAGCGGATACAGAGTTAACAGTGAAGAGTAAAGCTAAGAAGACCAACGAACTACTTTAACTACGCTTACAGGAGCCACGCACGCCTGTCAACAAGTTTTTCATCTATGAAAAAAAAAACCAAACAAAACAACGAGGGAATGTCGCGGCCTTGCTTTCGTTCAGGAATTTGAAGACTCAGCTTTCGTCATATCCGAAGCACGAACCATTCATTTACGATAAAGCATATCAACTTTACAGGAATTCAAAATAAATCAGTGACACTTCAACATCCTGATTAAACACGATTAAAGGTTGGTCCTTTTGAAGGGGCTGACAGCTTTTGAAATCCAGACAGAATGAGTACACCTTTTGCAAAATGGTTCCTGCCCATCCTAGGGTCACGGTAATTGAAGGTAAAAAAAAAAAAAGGAAAAAAAAAAGAACCTCCGGTATTCATCATAAAATTCCCTCATCATGTTTAGCGTTTACTTCTGGCGGTCGACTCTGATCGATGATATGATGAGTTCCGCGAGGGTGGTCGAAAAATCAATCTCTACTGCAGACAATAGTCCTTCTCAGGACTACGCTCACCTGGACGATCACATAAGAAACTCAAATGTTACTCCCGGGTTCAAACCACCAACTGTATAATAAGTAAACAGTTAACTTCATTTGAAACTAAGATATTTCTTTTGCCCTTAAAAAGAACAACTTTTTCCAAAGCCTCCAGTTGGGCAGATATGCCAGATATTTTAATTGTAAGCTTTAGTCCTACTTCTTTTGTATTCAACATTTAAGCAATCAAGATATAACTTTCTGGAAACTTTCAAATTATTTCCATTAAATAACGAAAATCGAGTTTGCATTTCTCTCTTGAGTCTTTCTTCAGTTTATCTCCTTAGAAGCAAAATAAGACTGATTCAGTTCCAAGCAAAAACTAAAAATAATTATAGAAACTATACGTGATTTTCGGCGGTTTCTCTCTTTGCTTAGTTCCATTAACCACTTCAAAATGCCACAAAGAGCGGTATTCGATCTTGATTAGCCAGACTGGCGGCTCAATATGTCCGGAAACCGAATCTGCATTTGTGGTTTGCCGAATTTCTGCACGTGGAGGAAGGTCGCGTGGGTCAAAAACGCGACATTTTACATTTCGCCAGCGACACTCTTTTTGGAGATCGTTCTTAACATTTTTTTTTCCTTAACTCGAAGTAATTAATATCCAAAGTATTGTACGACTACCCTTGTCAAATTACTTCATACCAAGCAATCGTTCGAGCGATGTTTGATAAAAAACTTACACATTTCATTTGTAAAGATATCCATAAATATCTACCTGATCCCAAGTTCGCGCGCAGTTGTGAGAAATTCAGTGTGAATTGCAAATCCAATTAAGACCATTCACAAGCACAGCTTGAATGCAATGCATTCTTTTATACTTCTATATTTTTTTCGATTGACGGAGCTCAAAACGATTCAATTACTTCAAGCAAAATAAAAGTTCTATCTAATCTTGCTGCACCATATGGAAGACAATTTTTAGATTTCTGGTTCAGAGGTCAACTTTATACAACATAGTCTATCGCAACAGAAGGCAATCAAAGAGTATTAACCCGATACACAATTTGAAATTGCTACTATCAATTGATGTCCAGGCTATTTTTTCATTGAGGGAAATCACTTTGTTATACCTGTTCGGATCGATTATTTGACGATCATCAAACCAAACGATAAAATTCCACTGCCGATGAATCGCGTGTAAAATCTACAACCAAAACAATAGCTTCGACGATATTTCATTTGTCAAAGACATCAGTTTATACACAGGACAACCTTAAGTGCTATATAATTACTCTTTAAACTTACTATTCTTTTACAAGAACAACCTTTTCCTTCCTGAATATAATCGTTATCATAATTACTACAGTCACAAGAGTAAAGCCAATATCCAATTTTGAACCAAATTGCATCACGACATGATGCGCAGTTTGCCGACAGTTTTTAAAATAAAATTTTTTCTTTCTGGTTCCGCGCTATGCACACAGCAAGATAATGACTATCACTCGCTGAGTGATTTGAGAAGCTGCTTCTTCTGAATAAGGAGAAGTAAACTATGGTTGAGGCGTGATAAATCTCAACTGTAAATATAACACATGACTTTAGCATGCTGCTACCGCAACAGCGGGCAATATCAAGGAGTCACGGATGAATTTGTTCAGTTTTTTTTTTCCACGAAAATGTCATTAGAAGAGCGTAGATTATCTTTAAATATCTCATTTGTCTCAGGAGCTTGGAGTAGAGGAGAGAGAAAGTTCAAGAAAGTTTATCGTAACTCGATGATTGATATAAGCACGTGAAAGAAGAGCAAAATAGAAGACAAGTGCTGGAAATCACAGTGGACACTATTGAATCTTGAAATATTATGAACTCTGTCTGGATAATTAAAGTAACTTCATAATTTAATATCAAGCGACATCATAAGTTGAATTTTTCAGCTATGGTAGGAAAACAAATGGAAAACGAAAGCAAAATGTTTTAAAAAAGCATAAGCATATTGATTTGATTTTTGCATATGGAAAATTTGCATAAAGTCGCAACAGATATTTTTTTCTCTCTCTCACTGAGACACTCTTACTGTTTGCAAATATGAACTAATATTTCCGACAGATTTCGCGCACGGCAACAGAATTTTGCGATGTCTTTACAAAAAAAATTATTTTTTAATTATTGCATTCCAAATCTTTCAAGCGTAATTAGAGTAGAAAGTCCCACAACATAATCCGCAGTTGTTTGCTAGTCCTGCATTACGAGGTTTATCGAAGAGTTCCAAGTAGCTTAAACACATAATTGAACGGAAATATAAATATTCGCCTAAAAATGGAACATAATGAAAGTATTCTAAATTTACCACCACGCTAGGTCTCCCAACTGTTGCAATTACAGGTTTAGCTCGCCGCGAAGTTTAAGCCTTGAGGCCGGCTCTATTTTGATTTTTGGTGTTGGAATAGATTACCTCGCAGACATCCTGATTTCCTACCTTTTCTCCCGTCAAGACATGAAACCCCTGCTTTACTCGCGCGAATGATCCTTCGCCAATGGTTTTTCCAAGCAGATAATTGCCAATGCGCTTACATTTCAAATATTTTTGAAGTTCCTCTTTCGGGACTTGAGCGACTCCTGCGGGTAAAAATCCGTTCACTTGATCGCGGGCCGAATCGTCGTCGATTTCCATGTGATCTCGTTGTGTTGGAGGCATATCACTCATCAACGTCTAATTTGCTCTCTCCTATGACGCTGAAGCAAGCGCTAGAGATAATCATAAGGCAAAAATCCTTTTAGGTTTAGTTCGGAAACCAAAATCTTCCATCATTCCATGGATTTCTCACGTTCAAAAGTTCAATGTAAAATGAGATCGAGAGAATGTTTGCCAACTGTCAACTTGTGACATGCGAAAAATTTTAAATACTCAAGATGATTCGTCCATCACTCCAAGTTAATTTGTTCGTAATAAACACAAGGTTAACAATTGAAATCTGATCAAGCGGCTCTGTGCCAGCCCGTGGATTGATGTGTCACTCAAGTAACATCATGATCGCGCGCGCGCACGATTAATATAAAGCACTTAGCGCGCGAGACATTCCTTGAACATCTTTTCAGATCTACGAAAGACAACGGAACAATGAAAGCTATTAAATTACCGTTTTTAGCTATAAGAACAAACAACCCTATTGCGTGTCTCGATTGCCCTTCGAGAAATCGAGTAAGGCGCACACATCAGCCATGAATCGAACGACTTTTCTTGCGTTGGTTGGCTTAATATCTGTGTATGGAACCGACGCCTTTCTTCCACCCGAGGAAGTTTCGCTCTCTCCCAAGACTTGGTTCCAACGAGATCTCCAGAGGTTAGAGGAGCTTTCTCTTTATAACTCACAGCGACGTCCCAAACCATTGGCTTTTAGCAGTGGGAAGGGGTTGGTGGCTGGAAGTGGAAATGCCCTTGCAGTCCATGCTGGAAAAGAGGCTCTCAAAAAAGGAGGCAATGCGATGGATGCGTGCTTGACGACTGCTCTCACAGGTAGGCAGTTTATACACACAAGTGGTTGATGAAACACTCATAAAAAGTTAGGTACAAATCATAACCATCCTTATACAAATTTTTCTAACAATTTTTTCGCTTCATAGTTTAAAAAAGTTCTTTTTGGGACTTAAAATTTGGTCTATGCGCTTACCTGTTAGCTGAGTGCATTTGATCCGGAGATGAGATTTTGAGATCCGTGTTTCTTGCGCCATAAAACATTTTGTGTTCACTTAGGATCTCTCTAAAGAGGCTTAGCTATGAGAGGATTAGTTAATTGTTCGGTACACTACTTACTTACCCAACGTTAAGTCTGTCTGTCTTCATTTCTGCACGAAGTAAAACCTAATTGTTATCTTTTGACAAAGTCAGTACTCAGAGAAATTTAAAGACTTGTGGGCGATTTTTTTTTTTTTTTTTTTTTTTTTTGCTGTTTTGCAACATGGATTAAACAAAACAGAGATTGTTTGAATTTGAGAAATATTTCAGATAAGAGTCTGACGCACTTTGATCGATGGCTAAGAGCTACAGGCCGCTGTAAAGCACGTATATATGTACACTTAGAGACACTTGACCAGATAAGAACAGTAAAACGTCAAAAGTTATCACGTTTTAACGAAATCATTTTCCCGTGAGTTTCCACTTGCCGGCATCACTTGGTTTTTCCCCCACACAAAGATATTATTGTCAAAGCGTAGATCTTTGTGGTGATGGCTTAAGTATTTTGTGGTTTGGAGTTAACAAATGATGAAACAGTCTCTTACAGGGGAATCTAAGTAATAAAAAAGAATAACGATGACTCTGTTTTATCTCACGTGTTTTTTGGACCGAGAAAAGTTTCAAACATCTGCAGCGTTGTTCCTTTACTCTAAAGCACATTATGTTCCTGCAATGGTAATTAGAAATAAAAGACAAGAACCTTGAAGATAATTTTCTAAGCTGGAATTTTCTCGTGATTTCTTTTATCATTAGAACGTAAACGCAATTACAATTAAACAGACCACTGATCGAAGTAAATTGATTTCCTGGGCGTTATATAACTTAAATGATATCTGATTGATCAATCTGCAAGATTTAATTACAATCTCCGATGATAATTTGCAAAACACATTCACGAGTCGTTGTCATACATCTCGGTGTTATATAACAAACAACAAATATTTACTGTGGATTGCCCTCGTCTCTGGACACGAGACACTCACCCTTCAATAGAGAATCAATTTTCCTCACTGTCGCCACACATTTTCAGTTACTGCAGCTGGTTACCGAGGGATCGTGGTAGAGGATAAAAGTGAGCATCGTGGTTCTTAAACATGATAGAGTTTGGATAAATGAGAGTAAGCTGGGTTTTAATAACTTTTTCTACCAGACAAGTAATTTTTGTAAGCGGAGGTAGACTGCCAGTAACCAGCCTTTGTTAAAACCTCACATTTAGGATAAAAGACAAGAAAATCTAAGTTTTCCTCGGAATCCGGAAAAACTGAAGACCGGAACAAAATTTGCAACTGTGTTGGGCAGTAGCGACCAGAAATAAGGATTGATGAGTTGCAAACTTGATCATTTAAATCCGGTTGAGAGGAAATGAAGTTAAGTCGCAAATTTTCAATTATTTATTTTTTCTCGTTATTTGGAGTTTCTGAAAACTGTTGTCGTTAATTGGAAGGAAACTCCTTAAAAATTGGTTCGCAAGGACAAACACCAAAGTTAAAAACTTTAACAAAACTTAAACGAACTGAGATTATTAACCCTGATTCCAAAAGCAAAGGATGGGGTGACGGCGAATGTTACCTTTCTTGGTATTACAAATTGCCTTTAAACCCGTGATCGTGCAAGGGTTTTTTTGTTTTTTTGTCGTTGTTTTTTTTTCCAGTTTCAGCCCTTTGACACGATGAATAAATTATCGTGTCAAGGGAACTTTATCGTAGTTATATCACCAGTTCATTAGTAAGATCATCATTCCTCAACTTCTGCAGATTGGCTCTGGTAACTCCATCTCGTGACTAGATGTCAACGATTTCTCTGAGATCCCCAAAAACACGCAACATCTTTTGCAGATATTTTTCTCAGTGAAAATTGCATTTAGAAATACAAGTCGACTTAACGGCTTTTGCACATGGTCCTCTATGCTGGTCTTATTTAATAATAACTGAAATTGAGGTTCGGCGCTGAGGACGGTCATGTCTCCTTAATTCTAGCCTACGGAAGCTACTTTAAATGTACAGTTTTACATGGACTTTTTCTGAGTCACGTCGTCTTCAGTCTAAAAGAACCAATCTGGGACTGATTAGCTAGAATATTTGCAATGTGATACTAAACGATGGTACTTACGCGGCAGATTGTTTCGATTAGACGCAAATAGGGACCAAAATAAAGTGACATAAGAAAGAATCAGTTAAAAATGTTGTCTCCGCTCGATTTACTTGTTGCTTCAAAGAGACACGCGAATATTGTGCGCTTTGTACAAACAGAGGTCTTTTTTCTCTGAGGTCAGTAGCGTGGGTGAAATCTGTTTCTGGTGACAGTTTTTGGAAAGGCGTTTCTCACGAAAGATAATCGATAACACGGTGACGATGAGATATATCGTTTCGTTTGATTCCTGGCTAATGACATGATTACTCAGCGGTGGCCTTCACTTTCTCAGTAATTAACGACCTTTAATTTATATGAAATAAATACACTCTCGAGAAAGACATCGAGGAATTTATCCGTTTATAAAAAGAAACCAACCATAGATGGGGGATCCCAATCAAAAACCAGTTCATGTCCAAGAAGAGTTCTCTTTAAAGAGGCACAAAAGTATGGGCCGTGCCACAGAGTGCTTTCAGCCCCCTGTTGGCTTAAATTTGCACCTAGGACAGGAACATGTGGGTTTGAAATCAGAAACTTAGCAACATTTTTCACTTTCGGGAATAAAGACGCAACTTTATTCAAGCAGTTCAACCGGGGAACGACAGATTTGCTAATATCACAGAGAATAGCGAAATCAATTCAAAACTGAGCAACAGGATCGAAGGATACACACTAATTCTTTAACTTAGAAAAGTGCCATATTTGATTGATTAAGACTTGCAAGATTATCTGATACACAATTTTTGTAAGAGGTATCATCGACTAAATTTCTGCTCGGTGCGTAATTTCGTGGACACGACTTTCTGAGCTAAGAGCAGGCTTTATCTCGAGCATTACGGTACTCAAGATGATTTTGCCGGATTAAGGACCAGATTTCATGTGCAGAGCATGGCTGGAAGCAGGAGAGCATAAGTTCTCACAAATCGGACGCAGTCAAGTGACGAACAGATAAGCGTTCTTTGTCATTGATTTTTCCATCTACCAGCCAACTCCCCGGTTTCGTTCCCACCAAAAGCTAAATTTCGTTTGCTGTTATGTGAAGCTTTGTCAGTGAATTTCACTGCTCTTCTAAGAGGTTTAAAATGGTTCCTTGCATTATCCATTTTGACAGCTGTATATGTGGACACCAGATATTTTGCATTCGATGTGCATTTGTCAAAAGCCTGCCTTATCAAACTGAAGTTTAATTAGGATCATGAGTAAGGACAGATGAACTTTCATTTCCAATCATCGGATTTTTCTTGTAGCCAAATGTACCAGCTGATTATTTTTTAAGTCTCATCGTTGAAAGAAAAGATTCCAAAGCAGTGACCGACATCAAATTTCCAGTACTTTTCATAGGTTTGATTCCTCTCACACTGTAAACACGTTGACGAGTATAGCTGCAAACCCGTGGCTATTCCGTAATCATCCCGTAACCATCATGCTACACAACGGGCACTTGGAGGCATCATTGTCTCTCATATCAGTGAAACCAGTCAAGAGTTTTATTGCCTTTTAGACCAGTTCTCTCTGGTCCGGTCCGGTCTCTTCAGGCTGCTAGCGCGAGCCCATTTTCTGGACAGCGGTTGGTAATCAAGCTTTATTATGATTCAGGTTTTCATCTACAATTTAATATTGTTTCATTTTCTACAGAGATCACTCTTGCAGCTGGATCACACGTGTCTTATGCCGGAGCAGCCAACATTTTGTACTATGACAGCTCTACTGGGGTCACTTACAACCTAGATGCAGGCTGGAACAAGCCTTACTACGTAGACCCTGCCCAGATTCCTGAACATCATTCCGAGCTCGGTAACGGAGCCGCCGTTCTAGTGCCAGGTCTCGTCGCAGGCGTCTCTACGGCCTCAGAGAAGTTTGGTTTATTTCCGTTGTCTAAACTGTTGCAACCGGCGTTGTACTTTGCCACCAGAGGATTCAAACTCCCCTCTGACCTGGCAGAGGAGATGAGCAAAAACTATAATCAGAGAGGCCTCCTGCGCACCAAGGAAGGTATGGCGTTTGGTTTGAAGCGATTTGTACAGGCGAGACGATCTAGTTGTTCCTCTCTTAGTGAACGGTGTACTTAAGCGGTCAAGTGACCTTTCATAAGATACCAAAAAGAGAAGGACCCTTACCTTGGCAAGACGTTTTAAGCTATTTACAGTTTTGTTCGTAATTCATTTGAGCAAGGAACAGGACGTGCATATCCAGGCTGTATCTTCATGTGGGAGAATTTTTTCATCTGTTGAATTGAGACCGACAAAGTAGGGAACCCAAATACTCACAGCTGCAAATTGTACCTGCATCTATAAACTAGGACTTTTTGTAAAACTTTATCAGTTTAAAGTAAACTGATATCTTGTAAATTATCTTCGAAAAGAAAAGAACAAAAAGAGAGAAGGTCAGCCACAACTTATATTGATGTCGTGTCCTGTAGGAGGGGGGCATTGGGATTTTCGATTTTTGCTGTTTTGGCTATTTTCAAGATCGGTTTTTCGGTTTTTGTGCCAAAACACTTCGGTTTTTCGGTTTTGGTGTTCATTGCGGTTTGCTGATTTTCCATATTTTAGCATTTGGTTTTCGGTTTTCGCGAAAAATATTAACGAGTTTTCAGATTTGATATTCGATGCGGTTTTAGGTTTTCATATTTGACCTATTTGGGTTCCGCTTTCTCTTCATTGATCTCGAATGGCAGCTAAACGCAAATGTTATCGAGAGAAATGTGTGACAAACCAATTAAAATATCGTAGGGATCCCTAGGTAGCCTACGTGTAGCCGTACCCCCTCCAAGGTTGGGGGGGAGGGGAGGGTACGGTTTTCTCGTTGGGTACGGCTTAGCACAGAACATTGCCAGAGTTTCTTTATCAATGCCACCTCGAAGTTGGTGACCAAGTTACAGGCCACACGTGACTGATTGATTCAACATTCCAATAGAATCTCCAAACTTTCAGGTCTTAGTTCGCAAATGGAAATGTTAGAGCTATAGCTTTTTGCGACTGCAAAATTGCAATCATATAGAGGACTTTTGTGCGAATTTCCTTAATTCAATTAGGCTCCATCACCAGCTGCTGAGTCCGCAAAGACTGCGATCGAGGTCCTCGAGAGAGCAACTGTTAATTTAAGCAGATACTAGAAGATACGAATGCCAAGTCCGTGGCATTCATAAATCCTGTAATGAAATAAGTGTAATTAACTCTGTATGCTCCACTTGGCAGCACTGTATCGGATCGATCAGGGTTTTAACAACTGGGATGTAAAAATGTATCGGTTTTGACAGTTTTGCAGGCGGTTTTCGGTTTTGATCGAATTTTTTTTCGGTTTTTCGGTTTTGGATGATTTTTTCTACGGTTTTGCGGTTTCTAATAGGCCCCACTACCCCCTCCTGTAGTACAACCTTTATAATTGGTTTATAATGACTGACATTTCTTCCTTTATAGGAAAAAATACTTTCACTAACCCCAAAACAAAGAAAGTCTACAAAGCTGGCGAACGATTCAGGCAACTTAAGTTGGGAAAATTTCTTAAACGCCTCTCCAGATATGGAAAGGAATACTTCTACCGTGGTCCCTGGGCTGAAGAAATGGTTGAGACGGTTCAACGTCACGAAGGCTACATTACGATGGAAGACATGACTCAGTATAAGGTGACATCACCTGAGCCCACGAGAACTTTGTACCGAAAGCATCACGTGGTGACGACAGGCGCGGAATTGGGAGGCGCTGAGCTGGTTGAAAAGTTAAATTTAATGCAATTGGCAGGAATCGGAGAATCAACCGACTCTTACCTTACAAACGCCACGAAACTGTTCTGGCTAGCTTCCATAACACGTCTTAGTTCGTTTGTTACCTTTTTCGCACAAGAAGTTCCTAATGGGAAACAACTGCTCAAAGATCATCTTGGAATAACTGCCGATTACTCTTATCGGAAAACAAAGGACTCTGCTGAGGAGCTATGGGACAAAATCGCCTCATTCGAGAAGATGAAAGATGTCAACGACGTCATGCGAGAATTGCTGGCAAGTGTTGAGATGGACATGGAACAGCATCGGCGCGGCTCGTCTGGCGTAGTCGCAGTGGACAGTGCTGGCAACGTTTGCTCGCTCTCGCATGGCACCGATGGTGACGCTTGGGGAACAGGCTTGTTTGTGCATGGAGTAAGTCTCCCCAGCTCTGGAATTGCATTGAAGACGCAAGTAAAGAGGACCAATAATGGTGGAAGAATAACGTCGGGATTCCAACCTGTGATTATCTTTAAAAAGGAAACTCGGCAAGTCGATGAATTTGGCAGAAGGCTCAGACGAGACATTTCTGCAGCAACGAAGAACAAAAAGCGACTTGCCTCTAGGAGGAAAGGTTTCTCAAACCTCCAGAAGAACTGGGGAGAAGAGCCACAAAAACTAGTGGTTTTCAAAACATACAATAAAGTCAGATCTCAATTGTTCCATCAATCGCAAAGAGACAAGTCAGAAAAACGTTATCAGTTTGGACGCGAAGAGGAGCCTGTAGATGAACTTGAAGAAAAAGAATATCCAGATGTTGATTCTAATTTCCGAACCAACGAGATACCTTCCGATTCCAATGAACCAAATTATGAAAGAGAGAGAACGGATCTACCCATGGAGGTCAATGATAAATTGAAGTCGCCAATGCATATTGAGCCATACGTTCCACCAACTGAAGAACTCGAGGAGTTTGAGAAACCACATCTTAGATTACATCGTCATCACCCCAACGAAGAAGAAGATTCTGATATCAATGCAATTCCTAAGATCAGCCAGGGAGAAGAAGAAAGAGAAGAAAGTGAAAAGGAAAAGGAGGAGAGAGAAGAAAGCGATAAGGAAGAGGAAATCATAGAAAGAGGACGGAAAACTGAAGACGAAGAGTCTCAAGAGAAGGACGGCTTTAACAAAGAAGTCAAAGAATTTCCGCATCTTGGAATTCCCGACATGTGGAAATCAGGGAGTCTTCCTGACAAAGAAGCCACCTCCATGCTGCACTCTGGCCCCTTGGTGCCCGTGTTAGCTCTGACTTCCACCGGTCCCTCTCAATCATTTGTTATTCCGCAGTATTTAACAAACATTTTGGACAGTGGAATGAATCCTAAGGCAGCTCTGGAAGCTCCAACATTTCTGACTCCGAGTCCTCATTCTTTCCAGCAGGATATTCAAGTGGAAAAGTTTACCATTGAAGATCATGTCTTGATGGACGTTACCGAGTTCGGACAACCCGTGTCTGAGGTGGATTCTCAGACCACTGAGGAAATGGCTGGAAATGGAGCGGCTCTTACAGTTAAGGACGGCAGGAAAATGCTTGGCTGTACACATCCATCCAAGGCCGGCTTCGCAGAGGGGGTCTCGGCACTAGAAGGCTGGTGAAGGATTCGCCAATCTGGAGTAGTCTCGTGTCATCAAAGGCAGAATGCCTCTCTTTCGATATTTAAGTCGTATCATTAATACTTTTCTTCTCGAAACTTATGATACTAAGTAGGACCAGCTCAACTTTTTTTCGGGGTAGAAATAAATAGCCAGACCTTGAAGGTATTCGCCTGACGGCATTTTACTATTGCGACTGCCTATCATCTTACTGACGATCGTTTGGCATTTAGAACATTGAACAGCTAAGAAGTGAAAGAAAATAACAGAGAAACCGTAAGAAAGTTCATAAAATCCTTAATTTAAATTTGCAATGATTTCTGAAAAGTCAGCAAACTTGCACTACGTGGGGTATATTTTGACTTCAGTTTTTTCTAATTTCTTATTTTTTTTGTACGATTTAGAGCAAACATTTCATAGAACCTTTTTTGTAAGCTCTTTACGTCACCATTAGTCAAAGCTGAGTATCAAGGTCAGCCTGATTTGCAGACGCAGAGTAGTTTCTTCCAGTTTCCCAGGGAAAAAGGAAGGCCAAAACAAGATAATGCATTTGTAATGCTGTCCAAAAAAGTGGTCGAGGGACTCGCTCGTTTAAGTAAAATCGTTAATGAAAAATGCTTCTTAGCCTTCTTTTTTTAAGATTGAAACCCACAATTAAAAATACCTTAATAAAATTAGTACCGCAATTGTCTTCATTTTACGTTGCGATCAACAGCGTAGATCGATCTACCATAATAATTATTTAAAAGCTGATTAATACCAAACAGACTTGACGCGCTTCTTAGTTAAATGGGATGTGCAAAATGAGAAAATGACCAGAAATCCAATTATTGTGTAACATTATCCCCCAAGCATTAATTTAAAAAAAAGGGTTTCTGTGATTTTGGCTAATACGGAGAGCTATTGGTTGTGGAAGCTTCGCCTAAAACATCATGGAGATTTCATGTGGGCAATGTAATCTCCCCTTCAGATAATTTAAGAAATTGAAACTGGATGTGTTCTATTCCAAACATTTGGGGAATTGTTTTAGAAATTCAGTGGAACAACCTCTAATTGTTAACTCTTTATTGATGACATTCTTGTGAGGTTACAAGGAAAAACGGCACGCTCATTTTTAACTTTTGAACTTTTCACCCTCTGAGGGCATCACTAAATGACTACAGTTAAACGAACGACGTCAGCAAGGCTCTTTCGTTACAGTCGTATCACTTTCTTGATAAGCCAATAATTAGATCTAACTACTTAGCATAATCTATGCTTCGCTTTTCCATTTCACGAGAATTGAGAAATACTTTCCCCGAAGCCTAGGACTTGCCATTAAGACTAGTTACGAGAGGCTGACAGGCCGTGCTAGGACTTTTGTCAATTGCGCACTTAGGCGAAAAACAGTCTTTCAGTCAGTTAGTCGAATGGTAACTTATCAATTACTCAATCGATTAATCATCTAATCCTATTATCTTAAGTTTCAGAGCTACTCAGATGAAAAAAATTGGGTAGTTAGAACATGCTCATCCGAAGGATTTTTTTACATCGTCAAATTTACGATATGACGCTTGTTGGGTCGTTTTACCCATGCAGTAATGTCAATAGGATTTCTCAGCAAAGTTTACACAAACTTATAGACAAAGCTATCGATGTTGTATTTTTTGTTTTTCCAGTAATTAGCAAACACAAGGTATTGCTCGCCTTCATGAACGAAGGCGTGCACTCCTCGAGCACCCTGTGTTTCCAAATCTTGGTAGTGAGTGAACTGTGCGCCAGAAGCTTTGTACACAAATGATTTGCCTTCGTTATAATTGGCAACAGCGAGGAACACGTCACCATTCACTTCAAACAGGCATAGCTCCATGGCAAAACGAGTTGGAATGTCTTGAAACAAGGTAAATTTTGAGCCATCCCATTTAAAGAGAGGTGATTTTGTGCTGTGAGAACTTGCGAATCCGAGAAAGACATGGTCACCAACTTGAAAGAACTTGGTACTAAAAGAACCGCGGGCCATCATTGTTTGAAACTTTAGAAAGTGACCTCCTGACCACTTATATATGGTAGATTCCGCGTCATGGTTTCCCTGAGGGCTACGTTGGTTGGCGAAGACAAGATATGTGTCGTTAGCGATCACAATTGAATCACAAGCCACTCCTCCATGTGTTGGAAAGTTCTGGTATTTTTCAAATCTTCCTCTTTTCCATTTATATAGTGAAGAGTCAACTGAATGAGTGCTTCTATCATGAAATTCTGCAACAGCCAAGTAATGGTCTCCATCGATCGAGAAAAACTTAAAGCCAGACCCACCATTGGTTGGAAACATCTGGAACACTTCAAACCGATGTCTACTCCACTTGTAAATGATTGAGTTCAGTTTCCAGCTAGTTACGCTGTCCTCTCGGTTTGCGATGGCCATGTAATGCTCTTTATCGATCATAAAGTGTTCGATGTAATAACCACCGCGGGCTGCCAGCGTCTGGTTTTTAATAAATTGCCCGTTCTTTATCTCAAAAACAAGAGACTCCGCTTCATGGCCAGCATTGTCCCCATAGTAGCTTGCAAATACCAGAAATTGGTCATTACCGATCCAAAACGATTTGACATCTGATACTCCTGTTGTGGGAATTTCTTTGAATTTCTCAAAGAAGTGAAGGCCTTGTCGACACTTCGTTTCTACAAGTGAATGGTAAAGATTACTGAATTACATGCTGTGAAATCATTGCAAGTGACCGGATCACATAAATATAAAACATAAACACCTTTATTTTGACACGATAAGAGTTAAAGCCTCAAAGTTTGAGGGGTCGTGTTTGCTACTGAACTAAAATACATTACTTGAAGTATATACATATATAATGCTAAATACAGAGCTAAGAACAAAGAATTAATCTAGGACGTTAGAATATTAATTCAACAACACCGCTGTCACAGAAACAATTTCAAATAAGCCCGAAACAAAGTTTTTAGCTAAGGGGACTTGTCTGATCGGTTTTTGGACTGACTGGGAAGGGCTAAATTCAAACGAACCAAAAAAAAAAATCCAGAAAACCGGGAAAAAGACGAGCGAAGATAGCGAAGAAACGATTTAAAAGAATAGATGAATTTTAAAAAGTACTTGGTGAAGCCATGACTAATGAAGACGTTAAATGCACATGCACTTCAAAATAAATAATTGAATCAATCCTCGAAGCTGACCTTTATCGGGGCGTGTCAGCTGCTTAGATCGCTGAAATAGGAATCATAAAATGGTTCTTTTAAACAGAGGCATAAACAGAACTGTAAAAGTAATTGAAAAATTATGGAAGTAAAAAAAGGAAAAGAAATAAATAAAGAGAAAAACGGATAAAAAAGTGAATGAATAACGTAATCATATACGCCATTGAAGTAAAAGCGTAGCGTACCTTTTTAAATACAGGTGAAGAGAACACACACATTTAAAAGTACAACTAACTTGTGTGAAGGACTTAACCCTAAATGTCACTCTAGATATTTTGTTATAAAACTAGTTCAGGTTCCTTTCATTTCTGAACAGGCACGCATTGTTGGCATTTATACTTCGTAATAACAGAGGTATGTTATAGTGGAGAAAGATCACATGATGTTGGTATGCGGCATTTTCTGCGCTCTAAATTAAGAAAAATGATGAAAATATGAATTTCTTACCTTTCTGAGTGTTCCTAATTCTTGAGTTAGCTTTTCCAGCTTTGACTTGATCGCCTCAAGTTCCTGGAAAACAAGGTCACGAGCCGGTCTGTCAACTGTTAATTGATTTCTCTTTAATCGCAGAGGCAAAGTAAATTTCGCGACTAGATTTTGTAATTTCTAATAAAAGATACTTCACGAATTTATTCTTACTCATCGGAATTTTTTACAAGGGTGCCGCCCAGTTCCATCTCAGAGCCGGCAAAAGATGTTATTTTCCACACCCGTTTTTAGAGTTGAACTCTGGAATTTGTAACTTGATTTGCGATCTTTGTAGCACAATTGAACCAGTATTAGTACCAAATAATATCTTCCCAAAGTTCACCTCGAACGATATTTTGGTTACTTTTTTTTAAGAGTTATTCATTTAGAAGTAAAAAGACAAATACGTTGATAAGTTTTTTGAACGGCCAAATCTATACCCTTGTTCAGACTACAACGGCTTAACTGACCATTTCCCTTTGGAGCGACAAGAACCCGCCCTCCATGGGATTGCGCATTACACGAACTTTCGGCAGTCAATGAAAAATTACATTTTTTCACAATACACGAAGGTTGAATATCAAAGAAAATTGTAATGTTAAAAAATGCGAGTGCAATTTTTTTTCTCTCTATTTATCATCAGCCACTCTCAGGCAGAGTTTTATCAGCTCCAAGTGCAAAAGAAGGTACTGCTTTTACATACTTGTACATCGCATACTCCCGGTTCGCCTTTCTGGCCAACTGTCCCTTGATCACCTTGGTCACCCTGCTCGAACAAACAAACTGATCAGACGGTACGCAAAGAACAATCAAACGAGACCCACAAATAGACACAAAGCTAGATATGTTGACCTAATGGCTCATTACACATGCATTACCACACAGAAAATTGAACAATCAAATGAATAGGTAAGCGAATACATAGATAGATAGATAGATAGCGAAGTAGGCAGTAATCGGGATTCACAATTGGAACGAAGTAAAACAACGGGATAACTGTGGATAAATATTGTAAACAGAAGTTCTGCGACGTTACATTACGGACTTGCTCGGGAGCCTCTTAGTATTAGGAAAGAACCACATGAATTAAGCCAATTTTACAAAATAGCCAAGAATCTTACTCCACGTTATCTAACTGAACTATTGCCCAAAATATCTACTGAACGTACACATTTCCGTCTCAGATCAAGAGAAAACTTGGCGAATCGGTGAAACGCATTTTCTTGTATTGCCCAAGGTATGTCGCTCAACGCAACGTCCTTACCTCTACTGCTAATATTCTTGGTGAAACATGGTCATCGAGCAGCGATGCAAGGAAACTAATTTTTTATTGTATGATGTTGGGTCTGTAAATTACGACATCAACTGTACTTTTTTTCGCGAAGTATGAAAGTTTATAAATAATACTAATCAGTAGCCATTGTTTAATTGTCTTAACCCTTTAACTCCCATGAGTGACCAAGAGATAATTTCTCCTTACAATAGCAATACAATATCAATCAGTGTTGAGAGTAAAGAAAAATATCAATTTGGGAATAATTAGTTGATCCAATACTGAATTCTCTGAACTAACATTACAAGAATTATATGGTTGATAGTAAGGAGAATTGCAAATTTGATCTGGGACTTAGAGGGTTAAATGATATATCCCCAGCTTGGTAAGTTAAACTGGATCTTATCACATTTGGTGTGTTGTTTGTGTGTCTGTTGAGGTGTGAGCCTGAATAGATTGAATCAAAATTTGTAATATTGTAATCCCCATCGTTAAGCCGAGGTGCTTTTGGGGAAAACAATCAAAAGTATGTTTAAATTAAAAAAATCTCTAACCTTGACACCATCCCTTCCACTCAAGCCATCTCTTCCTACGAGAGGAAAAACATTTCACCATAATCATTATCAAGCTGTTTGTCCTTGAATTTGATTGGCACTTTTATGTTAATATAATAAACAAGAGAGAGAGGAGATGAAATCAGAAATCAAATGAAAAAGCGAATTGTAATGTTTATTTATTACATATATAGGTATCTTGAACTGACTGACGTATCACACTACAAATGAATAAAAGGAGTAAGCTTCTGAAGAAACTGTGGTGCTGCATGCGTCGGTGGGAGAGTATAACAGGGTAGTTAAGTATTAACAACTGAGTTGATTACGTAAATTGGCCACCATAAAGAGTTTCAAAGCTGACGTTTCGAGCGTTAGCCCTTCATCATAGCGAGTGGAGGAATTGTGAGTTGTGTGTGTGTGTGTATATATATGCAGAAAATGGAGCTACGCTGTGCTATTGGTGGGAACACTGTGACGAAAAAACAAGAATAAAATTAGTTGAATGAAAAGCGCTCTTTGATACCCTGACATTGTGTCTATCACATTACAGCTTTTTAACACGAAAAAAGGAAACTTACCATCACGCCCATCCCTTCCATGGCAACCACAGGAAACCTAATTTAAACAGAAGAGTTGCGTAATTTATGGTTTATTTTTTTACATTGCATTGGTGGGATAACCAATCATTAAGAGTAAATATGTATCGCCATTTTACAAAAGGAAATCGTGTGTGGTCTTGTGAAGGAAGTTTTCAATAACTTTTGCTTATTGTGTTCTATCCCGACAGCCTTTGGAGGTCTTGAATTTGAAAGCACGTGGGAAGCTCTAAACAGCTCATGCTCTTTTTTTACTTGCGGTCAAATGTCACTTTTTTTCATGAGGGGGGTAAATTTTATTCTGCCAAACGCAAGGGGCGTGGCATACCTTTTTAAGTGGAATGCGCACGCAAGTGCAAACAAATCGAGTGCGATTCGACCCAGAAAAATTATGTCTTTATAAGCACGGAAAGCTGTCTGTTAACACTTTCTAGGGTGAAGTTCCCGGCATAAATAAAATTGATACGAAATGTCTCAAATTTAGTAAATCTTAATACAATTAATTCCTCATGAAAGAAAACATTGGGCCACCTCCTTGTGTTAGAAGTTTTTAAATGTTTGCTGAGATAAACACGTGCTCTCCTGCGTGTATGGTCGCGACAACCCTAGATAACGGTACAATTGTGGTCATAATAACATCTGGATGGTAGGCGTAAATGACTCCTTTGATAAAGTGCATGGACTCGAGAGATTGAATGAAAAAAATCAGGCGAGGAAAATGTCTGCCTTTCTTTCACTTTTAAGCGTCAGTTCAAGGTTTTTGTAAAGATGGTCTCTTTCTCAATAAACCTTGTATTTAATCCATTTGTGCGAAACCAGTCATATGGCGATGGACCTTTTCTGAAAATATTTCTGCCAAGAGATTCAGAATTGAGCACACATTCATCAACTGTGTTTGCCGAACATAGTGACATATCTCTTCATACCTTTACCGACTCACCATCCTTATACAAACGTTGCGTTCTAACGAAGCGAGGTGTGCAGTGTTAACAACTCATGAAATGCGCCTTTTAGATCAAAGGAACCCATCAGTCTCCATTCTCTCAGTTGCAAAAATAAGAATGATTTTACAACTTTGTTCACCACTGAATTTGAGGTCGGAATAGATAGTTCCAGATACTCGAGGTTATTCACGGCTGATAGACAAATGAGACCAATTTTGGCCGGCCGTGTGTTAGGAAAAGGAACAACAGAAGGATTGCAAGAGGCATGGTCTCAGAGACTTAAGCTTCACCATGAAAGTTATTGAATGTTCATTACAATCAATTCATTAACTAGACTTACTTGAGATTGTAATTTTGCGTTCACAGTGAAGTAAAGAAAGGTACAGCACAACAAATGTACCAACTGGAAACGCTCCATGTTCGGACCCTGTCTTTGTCACTCTGGCTCGTAATGTTAGATGCTCTTTGAAAGGTTTTTTTTTGTGCTTTTTGAAAGAAAAAGGTATTGACAAGAGGTCTTTAACCTCACCAGTTATCAAATGCGTAGTAAGCAAAGATAGGCTTCTTGCCAAAGGCTGCTTTCCCTCTAAAAGCGTAATCAAATTTGTTGCGATATTAAGCAAGACAAGGGTTTTCAAGGTGCTATCGAGCGATAAGGGACAATTCATTCCCGATACCTAATCTATACCATACTTCCAAGTTTCTTTAGGATGACGAATGAATCTATACCTTCCCGCACTTTTGGCGCAAAGTCGCAATGGGAAGTCAGTATCAATAGCACATTTTTTTGCCGACGCCTGTTTTTCAAACTCATACTTTGTAGACTAGTTCTTTTTTTCCGCGCGAAAAAAAACCGTCATCATAATTTTTCAGGCACTCGTTTGACAGCAATAAAAGCAAAGACTGTAAACAAACTGAGCACGTCCACTTGTGGAATTTAGAAGAGGCTGTCACAATTCGGAAACTCATCACGACAACTCAAACCTAAATAACTTCGGAAATCGAATTCATACATTAAATACTTTCTAAATATAAAAGAAAAATTAAATAACTATTTACTAAATAACCAAATGTTTCATAACACAAGGTTTCTAAAATGTGTAATCGAGTCAGATTTTTTTTAATGCATTCATCTTCGCAAAAAGCATGAATTTCTGCAGTTGTGACATTCTGTATGAAAATTACCTTGGTTTGATTAAAAAAGAGAATATTTCCTTTATTGCTTTACTTCCAATGGCCGTGTGAATAAAGAGAGAATTCATCAGTCGTCTCGTTTTTCAACTTTATTTCTTGAAGAAGACAGAACGGTTAGAAACAAATTCAGTTTCTCAAGTTAGAGTAGCAAATAATTAGGCGTGTTATGGTGGCTTGATCTGGTATCACGTTTATCACCAAACGGAGAATTCTTGTGTGGCGGATAATCAGGAATTGGTCTACGAACTGTATTTGGACATTGTTTCAAGCTAGATTTGCTTGAAGACGGATAACAAGTCAAATCTGTCTCGTCGACGTTTCTGAGAGAAGCTTCATTCACTCTCAGCTTAAATCGACACGTGCCGATAAGTAGGAGCGGGGAAGGGGGCTTTTCATCGATATTTCCATTCCTCTCCTGGCACCACCTCCTTAGGTTTCGAACGCTCCTTCACCATACACAACAGAGACCCGAGTGAATGTGTATCTTAGTTGCCAACAGTGATCTCCAGTTGCGGTCTTTAATCATGGGCGCCCATTTAGAATATGTCACAATAATCCTACTGCGATGTCGAAGTCAGCTCAAGCTTTCTCTTCTTACAATCCACGAACTATCATTGGCTGTAAGGTTGTTTCCAGGCCCCAGCACTGCTACTGCATTGGGAACGTCTGAGGAGGCCAAGTACCTAAAACGAACATACCATTATCAACAGGACAACACGTAAAACATGTCGGATAACCTATATGAAACTTGCGATACTCACGTGCGTGCCACGTGAATGACGTCATCTCTGGTCACGTTAAACAGCCGGTCTCTGTTTGCCTGGCGCATTTCATCTGTCACACCTTGAGTAAAGTACAGCATGCCTCGGTTGCTTGGTGATACTGGTTTGTCGACCTGAGAGGATATGAGTGCATTAGAATCAGCTGGAGTTATCCAGTGAATACCACTCGATAAACATTTCATTTACTGTAACTGATTTTCTGATTGGTCGGCCTGAACAGACCATGAAGATAAATAAGTCACGAAAGTTTCTGCGAATGCTCTTGAAGTAAAGTCGTATCTGATGCTTACCTCGGCAAAAACAGAAAGCTTTGCTTCCTCAATGTCTTGGTCTGTAAACTTTCCCTTAAGTGTCCACTGAATGGAGTCCTCAAAGGCTGACAGCGTACCTTCAAAATTAGGATCTCTGCAAAAAAAAAAAGCGCCGTCAATTAGGTAGAGGTAAAAAGACTGAAGAGTTTATGGAGATTGTATGAAATTTATGGAGGGCTAAATAACGAAAAGCAGACCTTGCAAATTTATAACTACTGCTGTAGAGTCTTCGCTAGAAGCTATCGCTTCTCACTAAAAAAAAGATCATTTACAACGATCACCTGCCCCAATCCTTTGTAAAGCGGTCTGTCTAAATAAGCAACGTAAGCACACCTCACAAAACACGCACAGGTTTACCTGTAGGAGTAGAATGAGAAGATACCGCCTCCCATCTTAGCACCACTGCCATACGCTCCACCTTTCTCCCTGAAAGACAGAAACAAAATAATAAACATCACACCGAATTTTCTTGATTGTACCTGCAGAAATTTGAGCCACGTTTTATGATCGGGACACAAGAAGCTACTAGCCACTTCGAAAGGTCTGTGCGATGAACCGCTTCGACGCGTACTTCTTCGAAACAAGTCGGTGAAACTAATTGTACGGACGCAATCAGCCCTTCAATTCAAACCAATCTGAGTGTGCTTGAAGTCTTAAGGGGGACGAAATTCTGTCTCAGAAACAGACTTTCGAAATAATCTCCACTTCACAAAAAAGAAAATTGCTGCTGCTCCTTAGATCCAAAACTTTGAGATTTCCTACAAGAAAGAACTTCAGACAGGATTGTAGAAACAGACGTGGGTAGAAACTGCATAAAAATATAATGAACAAAACTTTCTGTTCAAAATATCTGCGATGGTTGTTTTTACATCAGTTTGTTGGCGGTTTAAAACTGTACCTTATTTCGCGGTGAAGAAACTTCGCCGAGAGGAGTTTGGCCAGAATTCTTAATCTAGATAGAGTGAAAGTGAAGCAAGATAAGGTAAAAGGTAAGTAAAAAGAGCGCGTAGACAAGTAAACGTAGAGGTTCAGTTTGGACCGGGTTAATAAGAAAGAGGGCTGGACACTATGAAACAAACTATTGCTATAGTGCGACATAGGAACTTCCAACTAAACCTATGAATGAAATCCCGGAAAGTGTTCCAAAAAGCTATCCGGTTCATACAGTCGCCTGTGTAAATTCGACGGCCAATAATAGGGTAACTTTTTCCTCAAAATCGTTACTGTTTCGCAAATTCATTCACCTTTTTAGATCTCTAAACTTTCTAAAGATCTACTTATACCCTAAGAGTGGAAAAAAAGTCCAGTTCTTGCCAGTTGTCTTTCCGCGTAAACGTTGCTTGAAATCTTTTTTTTAAACCAGCACTTCTGACACTTGAATTAACGAGGAACATAAATCTCGGACTTACTTAGGATGGTCCTCATGTGTGTAGGGCACTGTGGGTAGGCACCTGCTTATGTAATTCACTGGGAGAGGTACCTCATAATGGGTCTTCACTGCAGATGGCGTGTAGTCTGGGTGCTATAAAAAACAACCCTGTTGTTAGGCCAATGTTCTCCGATACACTGTCCAGCAAAGAGGTGATTCGAATAAAAAACTCATTGACTGATATCTGATATACTGATAACATCAAATTTTCTTAGTTCATTTACATGGAAATTTACGGCTGTTAGAAAAGAGAATTACACTTCAGATATAGGGAGTTTATGGGTTGAATGAAAGCTAAAGCAGTGATGACTCAGGGAACTCTTCTTTAGTGAAGAGTTCCCATGATCTTTTTTGGCCTAAAATCTACATTTGATCACGCAATCGCCATCTTTGTTTTTGTGCTGAGCACATGTACTTTTGCCGAATAATTCAAGACTTGCAGCTCCTTCCTGGCTCAAAATCTGCTTTACTCCAGTCTATTTTAGAAGCATACCTGAACATGAGACGACTCTTCGAATAAACTACTGGACAGCGAATCACAGAAACCTTCCAAAGCATTTTCCACTGCTTGTCGTTCTTGAGCTGTTGTGTTAACTGCGCATCTGAAGGTAAACACAACTCGGTCTGCATCAACTACGCGAGGGACTCTAAAAATCGCCTTTACAATCTATCGCGGCAACAGAAGTACAAACTCAGGAGACGAAAACGTAAAGGTCTGTACTCGAGCGGACCATCCAGCCAGAACGCATTACGGTTTCCATAGCATGAAGCGACTAGGAGCATTACTCCCCCCCCCCCCATGAGATGTCAGTCCATCGCAAGGTTACCCACCAGCATTTCATCAGGCTACGCTGTTTATACTCCTGGGTGTAGAGGCACTATGAAAATGTTTTGCTCAAGAACACAACACATTAATCTAGGCCACCTTGTCTCCCACGAGGAAATGTAAAGGCGTTTTGTCAATTATTTCTTACCTGAATTGTGTACCTTCCAACACCTCAATTGCTATGGAGCTGAATTTCTCTATAATTGGTTTCAGGTCCTCCATTTCAGCCATGTTCTTCATAAACAGGACCTGAAGCGAATCGAAACAGACATATGTTGTCCCAAATGATGCCAAGAATCTCACTGTTTCATTTTTTTCGCAGTAGAGTTATCTTTATTTCCAAATCGTCAAACACTTGCTAGTTCGTACCCGTGCGTATGAACAAGAAATTCATTGTAAGATACATACCTGGGAAAGTCCTGAAAACTGCTCACTAAGGTGTGCCGCGGGAGACAGGGAACTAGAGGCGAGTGCCATCGCATACAAGTGTCCCGAGTGAGCAACAGACATCGCCAAGTCTGAGGCAAGCATATTAATGAGCGTGCGCAGACGTTCAAGGTCGTTTAAAGTAGGTCTGCAATAAATTTTGGACAAAAGTAACCAAAGTGTCTACTTCTCATCATAACATTAAGGCAGGACTTTAAATTTGAAGCGCAAACCTGGAAAATATTTCTCCCCACAAGTAAAACATGTGAGGGAGGTTCTTGTCAAGACAGTGAGAGGAAAAGGAAAGACCCTGTTCAAACGCTTTCATGTCACTATGGTGAGAGGACACGTGTGTTGATAGGCCCATGCCTCCTGTTCTCATCTCTATCAGCTGGGACAGTTCACGGTAGCTGAGGTTACCAGCACCCATTCTACAACCAAGAGAAGTTTCTAGTTAGAAAAAAAATACACACACACATAGTCGTCACTTCACGAACTTCGCCTACACATCGCGTTTATACAAGAAAGACGAAAGTGTTAGTTGACAGTGTGACATCATTGAAGTACTCACTTGGTTAAAATGAAGCAGAAGAGAGGCAGGTATTGCCGTAAATCCTCGGGTATATCGGTAATGCTGGAAATTGCGCGAAAATATGTAATCCCATTGGTGGGTTGTTCACAATACTGCACAGGGACCCCAGCTGGAAGCAGAACACACGTCACAATAATTTTAGTTCCAGATTCTACCTGTATTGTGTATGGTGTAAGTGGTTCCTTACTTACAAAAATACCTTAACACAACCTAGAGTCATATTGTTTCAAACTTACCGGATATATAATGTTCTAACTTAACTGGCTTAACTTCAGAATCAATATCTGTAAATAAAAAAACGATTGGAAAAAAATGATTGTCAACTTATAGATGAGTAAGTCAGGAAATTTTCTTAACACTTAACAGAAATAAACAAATGAAAAGAACCACTTGCCAGAAATCGCCATCTTCGGTAGACAGGACACATCTTCAACAGTATTCTGTTGTTCAGCCAGTTCAATACCTGACAATGAGCAAACAAAGAGGATGTGAGCCACTACACTCGACTCGGAAAATAAATTATGAAGGGGGTGAGATGTGGAGGCCACTGAACTGACTTTGAATTAAACTTTTGGTTATGGCAGGCCGTTGTTCATCTTTGTTGTCTTCTCCCGTTCTTCAACTGTGGGCTGAGAACCTCTTCAGTAGCTGGAGGAACAAGATGTCAAACCCCACAGAAGTCGCTATGGGGTGATGGCTTTTACGGCTAATGGTTCAAATTTTGGCCATTTTACGCTTAATGGGTAAGCCCCCCCCGTATAATGATTTGAAAAGATACGCATACCTTTTTGATAAATGTTCCTTTTATCGTCTTCAGATAAACAACTAACTTTACTTTGTAACTTTTCTTTTTCTTTCTTGTTCAGTTCTGCCTCATACTCTGGCTGTTAAAAAGTTAGAAAGAAAGCAAAATTTGAAACTTGAAAAAGTTCTAAAGATCTCTGGCTGTTAATCTGCGTCTATTGATGAACTTGTATCACTGAAAAACACTTCAACCGTACAAAGAAATGAAAATATCAGGGAAAAAAAATGCTGATTAAATTTTTTCTCCAGTTTTAATTTTGTGAACATCTATGAGTATATATGTTACCTACTCACAAAAACATTAGTTTCCAGTGAATGAGCTGAAAAACACATTTCCCGAAGCAGTAAGATGGCAACATTACCGCAAAATCGTTTATTGAAATTCTCTATGAGTGAGTATTCTTGCAGGTTTTATCAACGATGAGGTCGGTTGATAAAGCGCCACCAAAGCGGTACTTACATCAGGATTCATAACAAGTGTCAGGCAATGTGGGTTATCCTTAAAACACTCCTTCACTTTTTCTTGTAGAAATGGTCCGTTTGCTAGTTTTTCCTGAAAGCAAATTAAACTATCAAATGTTGTTGAAATTGTAGGGGAACTGAAACGATCAATTAAAGGAAAAAAACGAAAAAATCGAAAGATAGGAACTTTAGAAGAAGAAAGATGGTAAATTTGTTTCGCACACGGCGCCATACATACCTTAAACAGCTGTACATGGTCATTAATCAGCAAATATTCTGATGGATCGGCACCGTGATTCCATGCTGACATTATTCCCTGAACGAAACATAACATTACGAAGTCTTAATTAACAAATTAATCAAGTTACCTGGGGCATTTCGGTACACATACAACAAAACAACAACAACAACAAACAAACAAACAACAGACAACAACGATAAAAAGAGACATCTGATTACATGTAGCAGGATAAATAGCGTACGGTTTGAAAAAGGAAGTACATCCAAACCCAGCCCTACTGATTCTTAAAGTACAACTCGTTCCAGTTCTTTCAATTTCGATTTAGTTGAGCCAAAAAGAACTAGAACTAGTATCAGAAGCGCAATAATAAGAGAGAACAGGTTCAAAATTCCTTTGCAATAACAACAATAGTTACCTGCTACCAAAACATGAACACACTATCCTGACTCAGTTCATAATATCATGGAAAACATACAAAGTATCAAACATTCAACCGTTTTACTCCCAGCATCAAAATAGCAATTCTCCTCACAGTCATAATTGCTCTCCCAATGATTCTAGCAGTGAGAATTTGGTGTAAAATCAACCTTAGATCCCCTTGTTACTATTTCTTTTCCTTCTCTACATCTTTCTGTTTTGAAAATGTGCTGATATTTTAAAAGAAAATAATTTTTTATATGTATATATTTGCCACCAGAGAACCAAATACCATACTATATAGTTTGGAGAGTAACAGCAAGGAAGCCCCCAAGGAACCATGGGGCTTATAAAGTATACCGTAAGCTTCCTCAACTAGTAACACATTACTTACAGAAATGGAGCAACAGTGGTGAAACATGTAAAGTATATAATGAAAATAACTTACAACACAAAAATAGCAAAAAAGAAAGTAATGAAGGGAAAGCAAAATCTGAGGAAAAACCTTTTTTTTGGTCCATTGCAGGTTGGAGTAACAGGGCTATCACAATATTTACCGTGATGAGTCCCAGTCCAAAGTTACTGCTCTGATGTTTTGTTGCTAGCTCCACCCTGTGAAGAGCTGCTTCCACCCTCTCAGATGGAAAACCTTCCCTGCAAACAACGCACAGGTATGTTGGTGCACATATCATGTACTTTTGACTGAGTTTGGTTGGGCCTGATGGGAAAATGTTTGGCCCTCAGTCATGATGAAAATTTTGTACAGCTTAAATAGGACTTGTTGACATTAGCAAGTGGTCCCAAAACAAAATGGTCAAGAAAAAGTTCAAAGCTCTTAGCAAGTCTCTTGGCTTATTAGTTTGGGGGTGAGGGTTTAATTTCAGTCAATCTTGTGCTTTTTAAAGCTATACACTCTTTATGATTTACTTACTCAATAACTTGATCAAATGTCTTGTGAATTTGTTCAACAACCATTGCATAGTCATCTTTCTTGATGCCTTGAAGACCAATTGAAAATGAAGCATCTCTTGTTCCATTATCAAACCTTTGAGAAATCCACCACATAATATTAAAAATCTCTTTTTTTAAAAATAGAATCATATCTATGTTGCATCACACAACAATAACTAAATGCAAGGCACTGAACATTTATAATGAACAGCCAGAAGAAAATCATTCTTCTAATTACAGCTGAAAACATTATAGACAGACATATTTTTTAAAATATCTTGGCTACAAATAAGAGTGAACTTGTTAGCATTTTAAATTCCAAGATCTTACCCTCAATTCTCATTTCTAGTAGCTACAGATTTCCTTGATAAGTAATTACAAGAATTTGTTGCAGGATAACATATTATTACAACTTAAACATTACTGACTTCCCAGCACTTGCAACATGCTCATAGAAAACTTTTAAGTTTAAAAACTTATCAACAAAACAGCAATGATAATAAATGCTTCTTTTAATAAGCTCCGCATACGCTCAATCCAGTTTACTTCCTAATGTAAAGACTTGTGTTTAAGTGTTTACTGGTTCACCTTCTGTATTTTGAACTCCACTACCACACCACTCTAATCAGCATGTTCAACTAAAGTTTTAAGTGGTCCCCCCTAGGGGCTGTTAACTCAACTTACCCTGCTCCTGGTGAGTAATCTGAGCCAATGTTTGGTGCGATAAGGGAATTGTAGAATGGTGAGTTTGGACCACTCATTAAAAGCGAAGATAAAATGACCATGGAGAAATTATCAAATGCATCTGTGGTTCTGTGGATAGGACAATATCATAATGGGTATTCAGGAGGATGGAATTAATATCAAGTCAACTTCAAATTATATTTCATGGTTTTTATTACAGAATGTGTTAGCACGTGAAAGATGTATAATGAAAGGAAAAAATTCTAAAAATCTAAATAGATAGTACCTCAGGTCATCAAAATTTAGCTGAAGAATTCTGTGTAATAAGCCAAGAATTTTCAGTCTTGATTACTAGTGTGCACTCTATCAAGTGGCTCTCTCTACTGAGAGGCACAATAATTTGCTTATAATAAAGTAAGCAACATGTACCTCTCATAGATATAACATATCTAGAAAATAGGCCGAGTCTGTTTAAGTGAAACAACAATGCATTTTTATGACTTGTTTTCAGGTGTTCAGGTCTCTTTCAGATGACTTCTCTTGTAAACTCACAAGTATTTTCTTAGATCAACAAACACTCCTTGATCAAGACCAGGACTTAACAAACCTTCCTGTTAAATAATTTAGTCCCACTGTAGTTTGCTTGTCAGGATTTGCAGCCATTGGATCAACAGGGCAGGTTACATGTTTTTCTCGCTAAAAAACACAAAAATATCATAATCAAATATTAGTGACAAAGTAACTGTTAACAACAAAATAGGAAAAAAATACATTCTCACTCTTTGGTTATGAACCAGCAGCACTAAACTTAGCTGCTCTATTCTGCACCTATAAACATTTAAAAATACTGGTTGGAGGAATTATTTACAAATGATGGAATAAAGGATAAGAACAACAGAAAGAAAGGAAAATTGGAAAATGAAATGGTTTAAAAGAATGGCTGAACAATAATTGTCTTAAGAAGGAGCCAAAAAAGTTGATAGAATGATATATGCAACAATCTATTCACATTGCAGAAAACTAGAAGCACCCCCCTTACATAACGATCACACTACGAAATCAATTTATAGCAACTCTCCTCTTGCAATAATTAAATTTTTCATCATTGATACTTACAGGTTTTAACCAGCGTTGTTCATGTGGAATATCTGTTGTTACAGAGATCTTGTCAAAATGGCGTAAAACTTTAGTCTCAATATTTTCTAGATTTTTCTCTAGGGGGAGGTCTCCATAGGTATAGAACCTGGAAATTCATAATTGTTACAATGATTAGTTTTTCATCAATTATTTATGCTATCCTTAATGAAAAAAAAAAAAGTAAAATTGCCACAGACTTCAAGTGATAGTGTTCAGCTACATTTTAAAACCTTTTCACTTCCAAGATCTCATTGGTAATTCTCCTTACTGTCTCACATGCAATTCTTAAAATGTTAGTTGGGAGAATTTGATATTAGATCAACCAATAATTCCCTTGTCAATATTTTTCCCTTTATTCTTAACACTTGTCTCCTTGTTATTGTATTGATGTTGTAAAGAGAGATTTCACCTTGGTCACTCACGGAAGTTAAAATGGTAACTATTTCAACAAAGTCAAAAAAATTCATTACATCAAATAATAAGTTTTAAAGATGATGACATGCAAAACAACCAGCAACTGAGAAGACTACCAAATTGAATAAGAAAAAACTAAGGAAGGAAGATATACTGCAGTCCATTTGGATATTAAAAATACATTGTACCTGGAGTTACTGGGATGATAGTGTGAGGCATGAAAATCTTTTAACTGTTGCCACTAATAAAAGTCAAAAAGAGAGATCAAAGAATGTCATACTTGCACCATGGTAAGTGCACCACAGATAGCCAGCTACACCCTCACATTAATTGACTAACTAATTATAACATTCCATCCACCTGAAAATGACTAATCCCTTAATAGCATAGAGTTGCCATTATGATTAAATGGCATTTTCGTTGGTAAGCCCTAAAAAGAGTCAAGAACTGTGATACAGGATGGGAATAACAGTAAACTGTAAATTATACTTACTGTGAGGTCAGGAACACACAGTGGATCCCCTCCACTATTGTTGCTATATGTGTGACTGGGTAATAAGTTGCTTTGGGCATGATGAACAAATAACGACTCTGGTGTCGACTAAAGAAATAAGAAATCAATTTTTTATTCAGTATTTAATTCCTTTCCAGAAAAAAGTTGCACAGCAGCTCCCCAGTTAGAATAGTTTACTAATTTAGACACACAGTTACTAATTATTTATCTATTCATTCATTCATTCATTCATTCATTCAGACTTCACTTGTTTCTTTTAATTACCTGCTTAATTAAGGGTTTGCAATCTCATTCATCTCAGTCAGTCAAACATTCAATCAGTCAGTTAGACAGCCAGTCAGTCAGTCCATAAATCGATCAATCAGTCCCTAAGTCTGACAAAAGGGGTAAGTTTCTAAAGAAACTGTGGTGCTGCGTCGGTGGGAGAATATAGCAGGTAATTTAGTGTTAACAACTGGGTTGAAAATGTAAATTAGCCACTGTAAAGGGTAAAAAAGCTGACGTTTCGAGCGTTAGCCCTTCGTCAGAGCGATTAGAGGAATTGTGGGTTGTGTGTGGATTTATATGTAGGAAGTGGAGCTACGCCATTGGTGGGAATGTGGTGACGAGAAAACAGGAATAAATTAGTTGAATGATGTTGAATCCGTGGGGATTAAGGGTGCCGATTTGGAATATAAATTTTTGTTCTAGTGTTTTACGGCTTTCCGAACTGCCTAGATGTAAGGAAAGGCCGCAAACTGCCATATGCTGTTTAGAATGATAAGGTAGATTAAAGTGTCTAGCGACTGGTTTGGATGCGTCCTTGTCATTTCTTTCCACATCGCGAAGGTGTTCTCGGAATCGGTCACCCAGTCGTCTCCCTGTTTCGCCGATGTATAACTTATTGCAATAAGTGCAAGTTATGCAGTAAATAACATTGGCGGAGGTACACGTAAAGTGATCAAAGATCTTAATGGATCTTTTGGGTCCCGATATTTTCTCTACGTTGTGAATGAAAGGACAAGTTTTGCATCGTGAGCGAGCGCATTTAAAAGTTCCAGATTGGTCATAGGTTTGAAATGAACTCCTGACTAAAAAGTTGCCTATGTTTTTGTAAAAGATAGTGCCAGTCTCTGAATCGTTTTGGAGTAATTTAAAATTTTTAAGAATGATAGATCTAACTAAAAATTTATAATTTTATATTCCAAATCGGCACCCTTAATCCCCACGGAATCAACGAGCGCACATCATTCAACTAATTTATTCCTGTTTTCTCGTCACCACATTCCCACCAATGGCGTAGCTCCACTTCCTACATATAAATCCACACACAACCCACAATTCCTCTAATCGCTCTGACGAAGGGCTAACGCTCGAAACGTCAGCTTTTTTACCCTTTACGGTGGCTAATTTACGTTTTCAACCCAGTTGTTAACACTAAATTACCTTAGTCTGACAGTTGACCAGTAGGTCAGTCTGTTAGTCAGCCAGTCAATTAGCTGATAAGTAAGCCAGTCCACCAGTTAATCATTCCGTCAATCTTGCCCTTGTTTCACTCATACAGATAAGCTAACCATTCAGTCCTTTTCAAATCACTCACTCACTCACTTACTGGACACATGTACGCCTCACTCACTCACTGGACACATGTACATCTCACTTACTCACTGGACACATGTACATCTCACTCACTCACTGGGCACATGTACACCTCACTCACTCACTGGACACATGTACACCTCACTCACTCGCTGGACACATGTACACCTCACTCACTCGCTGGACACATGTACATCTCACTCACTCACTGAACACAAGTATTCCCCTCTTACCATGGCACCCTTCATTTCATTGAAAACCACTCCCTTAAAGATCAATGGTGAATCTGGATTGGCCAAATCTTCAGGCTCTAGCCGCCAACCTTCTTGCCTGGTAAAGCAACAGCATTTTTTCCCACTTAATACACTGTATCACAAACTCAAATGCTGCAGAAATTAAGGGGATCATTAGTGTGTGTGAGATAGTTAAGCTTAAAAAATTACCACTGCTCAAAAGAGAGGTCTTCTTTGCACAAAAGTTACATTGTACATGTACCATCAACTCAAGGTAATACACCTTTAAATATGTTCAAGTATATTTATTTAACACTGGGTGAGGACAATGTTCCCTGGCTAAGCAGATGAGAGAAGTAATGGCCAAATGATTTGGACTCCAAAACAAAACCTCCAGGATTAAGCCCAAGCCAAGGTCACCTCTATCAAGGACACTTCAACCCCACAGTGTCTCTTGTCGCTCAGGTATATAAATGATTACCTGTGAGCTAAACAGAAACCCATTGAAATGCTGTTATTAACCTGCAAAGGACAAGAATTCTCCCAAGGGGAGAGTAGCTACTTCTCATTGTTTCATGCTATGGAACTGGGATAAGGTTGAGTGGTGTGTGCACCACAATTAACCACTGCCTTAAAATCATAGATATGGGATTACAAATTTAAAGTATCATTATTTCTTTAATTTCTGTCAAACTGACCTGAAATCTTGCTCTCTTAGTTGTGGAAAGAAGGCTGCATCCAGGTAAACAGAGAGCAAATTCTCAAAGTCTTTTGGGTTTTGAGTTGAGAAAGGATACATGGTGAAGTCACTGGCTGAAAAGGAGAGAAAAGATTTAACAGGACACTTACAGTATTACATAATTTATTTCCACTCCTCCTTGCATGATTATTGCAGTTAAGAGGTTGAGTATTATCATGCAAAATTAAAGTTTATAATGATGAAGCAAAATTCCCCAAACATATCAATCAGGAGATTAACTTTGTGATGCATTTTGCACATGTCTGGCTTTTGGAAACTTAGGTGTCCAGAAGGAATATGCAGTGCACTCCCAAATAATAGTACTAACTTTAATTCATAATCATAAATTGATTGCTTTCCAAAGGTTATGGGAAGAGAAATGCTTGTAAATCCTTCCATATCTCTGGCTAGAGGTTTTCATGTTATTCATCAGTTGATTCATTTTAACATGAGAGCTTTAACATATAATTACAGAATGTTAAAAAAGTACCCAATCATTAGAGTTAATTGACAATTATCATATTTCTCCTGAGCAAAAAAACCCAGTGATAACATCTTATTTGAAATGATAACTTGGCTCAAAATTTATCATCTCTCATCAGCTCCACACCATAATCCAAGCCTAGCTGTGTGTGGGCCATATGCCACATACCAACCTAGTAAGTTGCCTACCTAGTTATAAAGTATCAGAAGGTCTCATGGTATAAGAGCAACAGCCATTGAGATTATAATTTATTTAGATCCTGAGGGGATCTCTTAGAATTTTCTCTACAACACTCTGTTACCTGTGAAGGCATTCATGAAGGTAGAGAGGGATCTGTTAAGCATCTTGAAGAATGGATCCCTGACTGGGTAGCTCTGTGAGCCACACAGAGCTGTGTGCTCCAGAATATGGGAAACCCCTGTGCTGTCCATTGGAGTAGTCCTGAATGCAACACTGCAATAAAGAGGAATATTATTCTCAGATGTGTCCCCAGAAGGCACCTTTATTTCAATTTAATCCTTTTTGGCACATGCATTAAGTCTCTACATTATCTTGTTTAATACTGTGGTGTAAAACGTTAAGCTTTGCTTGGCTTGGCTTGGCTTGGCTTGGCTAGACTGTACTACACCACACTACACAGAGCTGGAATAATATTTATTTATTGATGGGCAAGGAGGACAACAAGGGGTAAGAGCTAATCAAGTGAAAAGCTAAGCAAAGTTACCAAACCCACATGGAAGTTAGCAACAGTAACCCAACTCATAAAAAAAAAAACTGACACTTCAAAAATACTGTTTAGTTAGTAAGTCATTATCATTTGTACCCAAAAACATTATTGGCATCATCTCTCGCAATATGTAAATGCTGGGCTCCTGTGTTATTGTGTGTCAGTTGGACAGACACTAGGAACAGTTCAGGTACTGGCACAACCTGAGAAAATAAAGATAAGAAAATTTATAATTTAAAGGGCATGTAAACCCAAAAAACGTTCATTTTCTTTTCACATAGATGTTTAGTAAATATATCAAGTACACCAAAGGTACCATTCGTTTATTCTCAAAAGTCCATTTTCACTTTGTAAAAGCTCTTCCAAATTCGAAACATTCGCCATCTTGAATGGCGCCATCTTTCCTGTGACGTCACGGGTGGACTCTCCAAAGTCTCGTTTTATAATCGCGTGAGGCACGAAGGAGTCTTTTCTACAGCCGTTGTTTGCTGGTCTCGTCATGATTTTTTTACTTACAGTTTGCTTCAATATATTCAATTTTTTCGTAATGGTGAAGCGTTGTGTCGTCCAGTTTTGTACTGATTCAAACAAAACTGGGCATACAATCTAAATATTTCCAAATGACGCAAATTTGAAGCGACAATTTGTGAAATTTGTTCAAGTGAAAATAGCCAATTTCGTAGAGCCGTTCGAACGTTCTGTTGTTTGTAGCAGTCATTTTTCTTCCTGGTGCTGTACCGACGATTCAGGCCTCACCAGAAGCAAATTATTCGAAGTATAAAACGACCCATACAGTCGGCAGACGACGAGGATTCAGAAGTGGCCGACCGAACTGAGAAAGAAGTTGAGCTCTTCAAAAGTTAGAGGTCAACAGAGAACGTACAAAATCGATTTACATGAAAACGTTTCGTTAATTAAACAACAATAGCTTTATTGGTTCTCTAAAAACATCTTTTTTCTCATCTAATGAAATATTATGGGGGAGCCAGTTGTTCCGGAGCCAGCGCTGAGCCCGTAAAAGACACTGACATGTCTGAACCTTTGCCTGAATTCGAAACACGTATCAAAGAAAGAGAATTCGTTGATATCAGTGTGTAATAACGTGATCTGGAATTTTGTCGGTTCGATACAAAGAATTCTATACAGGATCCCATAATCAACCCTTATGTTCTATAAGAAAATCCAAGCCAGCCCCACTTGGTGCTTCCTTTGAGAAACCCTGCAGAGAAACAACAGAAGAATTTGTGTCACGGTTTTCACAGCAGTGAAAATACATTCAAAGGTCAGTAGGACAATATTCATCATTTTGAGTACAACTTAAAAGATCCTGATTTCAGCTTGCAAAACTATCTTTTCAATATTTCAAATCGAAGCAAACACAAACAGGGTTGGATAATTATGAAGGCCACACAAGGAAATGTACATGATACAACTTGTTTATCGATGGAAATGCTTCTGAGATGAAGGATATTGTTTACCGCACAAGATAGCACAGCGACCCTAAAGTGTTTGCCGAGATATCCCCAACACCAACGAACAAGCTATCTGTAGGCAATTTAGCGAAATTTCCTGTCAGGAAAGAAGCGAAAAACAGCTAGCTCTAGTACTGTATTATTAAATCAATGGCAGAAACAACTCAAGTAAATCGATCTCAAAATGTAACAAAACAGATGAAACAGAAAATATTTAGCTTAGTCGTTTTCGGTGTGTGATTATCTGTGCTTTGCTGCTGCCTGTACGCGTGCTGGCCGTCTCCAGCACCCAGAAATCGAGGCAAATTGACTGAAAACCTGGATGCTCAGTGATACAACTTATCTGGGTTTCAGGCCATTTTGCCACAATTGCCCGATTTCCGTACAACAAACACTTTCATGAGTTGTCGGCATTGGTTGCCAAGTTCTACACTCGCACCTTTGATAATTTTATATAAAACACTTTCAGAAGCTCAAGTTAAAAAAAATTCCGTTGCATTCCTTTAGATTGTACCCTCGCTTTATTGCATTTTCATGTTAAATACAAATAAATCACAAAGTAAATTAAATACCAGTCTGAGTTTCGAGGCGGTTGCATCGCTGTCGACACGTTCTGTACTGTCTTCGTGCGGATCGCCGGTGAACCCTACACGGCTCATATTGTTAAGGGCGTGGCCCAGACTCTCCTGAAGATTCTGGATTATCCCCAGTGCTGTCATGTACTAAGCTTAAGGCATTCGAGTCGCTATCTTCTGAAAAAACATCTTCCGAACTACCGCTACTTACACGAACTCCCACACCAGTTCTACTGGGGAATATGTGTTGCGCAATATTTTGGTTCCACCGCTTACGTCACGACTTCTCGCTATTGTTTTTACCGGAAATGGAATTTCAGTTGAAAATGCCGATTTTCTCCTAAAATAAGTCGAATTGGACAAAACTAATTTCAAATTCGTTTTCTACGCCACTTTTTACATAGTATAAGAAAAACATGTATTTTTGGGTTTACATGCCCTTTAACTTAGCCCAGCTATTCAGAGGGCAGATAATGCCAGCTAACGGATAAATGGCTATTCATATCTTGGGCAAGGTGTGCTGCACTATCTAGTAAACAGCAATTTTTCCAGTGGACAGTGTTATCCTCCCTTCCAAAAACTAGGGCCTAATTATTGAGTAACAACAAAGGTGTGAAACCTTTTCTTCCATTCAATATCATGAAATGTCATTTCACAATACATTAGCGACACTTTCTTACTCCCTGTGACTATGTCATTTTGGTTTAGTTTGATCTTAATTTTAATCACCTTTTCAACATGGCAGAAAATCACCTAAATATACATGCTACTACCATGCAAAATGTTATGAATTAGTAATGATATGGTGATGGCAATTACTATTACTACAAATTCAATAGGTTTGTAATGTCTTATCCAGTTAATTGATCACCATACTTTTGAAAAGTTGAATCAATATCAGTATCTGGGCAACTTTCCACCTACCCCTTCCCTAACCCAACATTAAGCCTAAGTTGTTATCAATAGACTGTTGTTGGGTTAGGGGAGGGGTAGGTGGGCAGTTGCACAGATACTGATATTGATCTGAAAAGTTTTGTGAAAACTCTGGCCATTATGTGTATCATCTGAACTTGACCATGTTATTTAATCGTAAAATACCTTGTTGACTGTATATCCATGTATTCTGTCCCCTGGTTTCAGCTGACCTGTCCAAAGAAATAATTCAGTCAATAATATTGCATCAGGACTATAAATCACCATGTGTTCCAAGCAGGTCTAGAACTTACTTGCAGCATCTAAAGAGTTGCATTTCTTGCTCTCTTCTTTCAGTGCACAAAGACCACGCTTCAAAGCAGACCTGTTATTGCAACAAGATTAGAAAACATTTGAACCTTTGACCCCCCCCCTTGAGTGACAAGCATGTAATTTCTCCCTACAATATCTACCCTGAATCACGTATTTTGGTCACGAGAATAAAGAATATGATCGCCATTTAAAGCTGTTGAATGTTAACCAAATTCTCTTTGTCGGCACCTTAGGAAATGTATGGAGAACGATAGGGAGAATAGGCATATAATCACATAACAAATTGATGCAAATTTGCACGCGGGGGCACAAAAACCTGTGCCCAATTTAGTAAATTTTTCCTTAACTTTCAGCTGATTCACAGTTAAAACAGCATGAGCAAAAAGCCGATTCAGAGGTCAGCTAAGGCTTGAATGACTCCGTGGATAATACTTCAAAGATATGTAGAGGTAAATGTGTATCCATAAGAAAAGTGACGCAAGAGGGAAGTTTATGTTTATCAAAAATTGCGCAGTCAGCACGCATGTTTTAACAGATACGATAGGTAAAACTATCTGTCTTACCATTTGCACTGCCGTGATAATTTATTCCATTGCGGGGGAAGAAGGTGACGGTTAGCTCTCCACATTCTTTAATTTTCAGGTACTTAAATTCACAGGATGTTTCAGACCATCTCCATCAAACATTATATGATGTAACTTCCTCACGATTAATACTGAATAACCAGCATAGCCCACTGACTAAGTATCCAGGCCTGACGGTTGTGAAAAATATTATGTGTGAGCCCACAGTAAATCACACGGACAGCAGTATGTCGTTTTAGACAACGGACACTCTAGTGGCGTTGAGTCGGTGAAAAGTGTCAAACAAAATGAGCTAGTTTTCGTCAATTTTCGCCATATTCTGGATACGATCAAGTTAGAAAATACTTCTACCCCTCTTGAGGAAGCATGGCTTACAGGGATGGCGCGGTAAGACTTTCTAAAATAATCTGAATTTAACCATGAGGGATCAGCGTCCTTCCATATCCTCGGCATGTGGCTTTTGACTCCTCTTGGTTTGTTTATTTTCACTACATCCGTTGCTGAAAAGAAATTGTGGTGGAGCTGATCTTGTCGATTTATGGCCGTTTCCAATGGGCTAAATTAAAAAGTTATTTTAGTCCGTTGAGCTAAATTATGAGAGCGTGGAGCAGAATTTTAATCGACAACCGTACTGTACATAGTTAGTCTGACATCACAAACGCAAGGATTTAGTTTGAAATTACCTCCACGATTTTACTTTGATCTTTCGAAACTACTAGCTATCTGCAGGGCGTTGATAATAAGACTTATTATTTTTAATAAATTGTGGGTATACTCACTTTCACGTAAGTGGATAATCACGTTAAGTTGCATATCGTGTTGTAGTTTAAAATGAATTTACCATCGAATTTATTTTAATTAAGTTTAATTTCTTTTTTCCCTTTGTTCAAGGAGCACTATCATAATCTTGAAACAAATGTACTTACAAATAAAACTATTTTTTCATCATTTTGACCTGGAATTATCTAAAACTACATCATATGTTATTTAGAAAGGAAAAGTTTTGAAATTTAGTCATTTGCCTTTCATCACAAAAAAGGTTGCCAATTCATTGCACAGAATTATATTGCAAACTGTTCAGTACATTAGATCAGATTAGAAATAAATGGGTTTAAAACCTTTTGCCTTCAAAGTACACAGCACAAAATAGTTGTCTGTGATATTTGGGAGAAGTAGTTTAACTTGTTCACACAATGTTGGCATGATATTGCACCAAATGTTAGCACAAGTTGAGATAACTTTATTTTTATTGGAAACAAGTTTTCACATGTTTTCTTATTTCTTTTTCTCTCTTCATTTTAGTCAACTCCTCCATATATGTCTGGGCACAGTTACAGAGGCTTTGGGGTTGACTCCCCTCACAGAGCAAGCATCCGCTCCACATCATCATTTCCAGGGGCAAGTGGATCAGTTTCTTCCTTTCATGACAATCTTAGAGCATCTCCAAGAGGAACTGTTCCTCAGACTAATAGCAGAGGTAATGTGTTGTTTTAGTCATTTTAGACAGTGTACAACATTTGTTTGAAATATATGTTGTAGACAGACTACAAGCAGTCCCAGTCCTAGAGAGAGCACAATTTGAAAGCAAGAGCCACAAACCTGCTCAGGATTTGCTGGAAGACAACTGCTATCAAGTCTTCTCTTGCCACATTCTACATATGCAAGTATTTGTGAGCTGTACAGCTGACTGCAAGAGCCTTTTATGCTCTTTAACCCTTTAAATTCCAAGAGCTGATTTTAAATTCTCCCCCTAGCTGCTACACATCTCCTAGTACATTAGTTACAAGAATTTGGTGTCAGATCAAGATAACAATTTCTACCTGATCAGTTTGAGAAATCTTCTTACCTGTTTGCTGGATAATGTACGGATATTGTAGAGAGAATTTACATGTTTATCTGGGAGAAAGGGTTAAGAGTTAAATTGTCATTAGCAAGTTATTTCTTTCAATGTTTATTTATTTCTTTTTTTTAAATACTGATAAATTGTTTACTTCATACTTTATTCAAACAGCTGTTGTGTCAGCCCTGAAGGGACTGCAAGAAAAGATTCGTAAACTTGAGCTGGAGAGAGCAGATGCAGAAGACAATCTGAAGAAATTAGCTGCTGAATCAAGACATTACAAGGATGTGCTGCAAAAAGAACTCACTGTCCGTGAATCTTCACAAGGAGTTATTTCAAAGCAAAATAAACGTAGGTTACAGCTTCATTTAACATCCAGCATAAATACCTTGCAATACCTGAGGTCTGTACTGAAAGTTGCAGACTGGTTTTTTTTCTTGGCATTTTAATGTGTGTGGCCAGAGTTTAAGGCACAGGGGCTATAAGTCAATGAAGAAAAAATGAGAGTTCATGACTAGAAATGACAGAACAAGAAAGTGTGGAAATTGAATTATTTTGAAGGAAAAAAAAATCAACTTTGGCCCCCTAGGTTTCACGCCACAAATATTCAAAGTAGTTGAAAATTTGCTCATCAGAAGCAATTGTACAGGACAGATTTGCCTCATAAATTTCAAAAAGCCTTGATTAAATTATTTTTAAGAAAAATAAAAACTTCTGTTTTAGTACTTCAATTGAATCATTTATGTGTGTGTTGCTACATATTTTAGAGTTAGAAGATGACCTTCAAGGTGCAGAAGCTCGATGTAATTTATTGGAGAAACAGTTAGACTATATGCGTAAGATGGTTCAAACTGCTGAAACTGACCGAGATCAGGCATTACAAAGGTCAGCAATGGTTGCTAAACAGGCTGCCCAGCAAACCTCTGATGATATGAGAGGACAGTTTGAGAAACTAGCTGGGCTTGAAAGGGAGCACATGAAGTTAACTGCATCACATTCTATAGCTGAGGTGAGCTTTTGGAAGCCTGTATAGAGACATCTGCCATGTTTCTTGCTCAGGAGATGATTGCATGCAGTATTTTTTTGGGAAATTTGTTGTTTTCTTTTATGGTTTTCTTTGTTTCAACTTTCTATAGACATGTCTTGTTCTTGCCCAAACTGTACAAGTCTTTTTTCTTTAAATAGTGCAAAGTTGTTGAGAAGTTAAAGAAAAAGAATACCCATTGACTTGACTCACTTGTGTCTTTCTGTAAGGTCAAAACAGGCAATCCAGAGTTGGCAGAATGGGTTTCATCATGTGCATATACAGTTGCTGTGTAATAAAAAGATGCTGTGAATGAATATTCTATGAGTGTTCACTGTCCATTTCCCTTTAATTTCCCCTTGCATTTCTCAGCACAATTCACATGGTTCCATGTTCAAAAATTGTTGTGAAATTAAATTTCTTTGTTATCACTGCAATAGAAGTCTGACCTATGGTTTTATCTCATTTGCAGAGTAAAATTAGGGAATTGGAAGAACAACTAAGAGAGGAGGTCCATCAAAGAAAACTGGTGGAGAATAAAACCGCAGAGGTTGTTAGTAATCATCATTATAGCAATGTGTTGATACAGAAAGTAATCTGGATTAGCAGTAGTTTTGTTTAACTTCGCTCCGTGATTGGTCTAGAAAACTTAAGCCACCATCTCAACCAATCAGATGCAAAACTAAAACCAATCACGACTTAATTGGTTACCCGCGTTTTCCCGCGCTTTAGGCAGTTTGGTCGGTTTTACTTTGAGCGCTCATTGGCTTTCAAAGATTTTCTCCTCTCTTCTGATTAGCCGGTGTGATTACTTTTGTTTTGGATTTACGACACTCAATCGAAAAGCGCTCTAATCATAGTTGCAACATGTTAAAATTAAACATATCATGGAGGAGCTGTAGCCTAATGGTTAGACGTGAGATGAAAATAATCGGTGACTAAATTTGGAGAGAAAATCGCCAATTTGGCGATCTGTTTACGGCGATCTCCTACCTTCCCTATTTTTCCGGCGACCAAAACCTCTTTTTTTTTTCGGGGGACTATTTTACGACTTTAGGTCGAGAAATAGCGACTTCGAAAAGGAGATAGCTGATCACGAGAAAGCTAACACAAGAAAGCACACTGTACAAAATTAAAAGCAAACTTGTTTCTCTTCCAGCTGGAATCAGTCGCAGAAACTAACAGAATACTTATGAACATGGCCTCGCCACAACGAACAAAGCCAAAGAAAAAGAAGCGAAAGGTAACTCTCACTTGCGTTATTTGTGGTAGTTAAAATTTTTTTTTCTATGTGTAAAGTAGACGAGTGTTGTTATATTCATTTCAGCCTCCAAGACCTAAACCAAGAAAATCAAATCAGCCTGTTAAACCTTCGGATCACTACCATTTAAATTTAGGAAATATTCCATTTGTCGTCGGCCAGGTATGTGACAATGTTGAATTCCTTTAAAACTTAGGTTAGACCAAAAAAATGGGGAGCAAAGTGATCAGAATAGCCAATCAGAACAGAGATCAGCAAGGAACCAATGAGAACTTAAAGCTACGGCTCAAGCGCGGGAAAATGCGAGTTACCAAGTTATGCTTGGATCTAGTGTAGCATCTAAATGGTCGAGAAGACTTTTGAAATTACACCCAATTTCGTAAAAGCACACTTATTTGGTATTGATGCAGTGATCATTTTAAGATCCAAGTATGGTGGGAATTCGAAGAAGTCGCGTGGAAATTAGTTCTTTGGATGGGAAGGATAATAACACCGAACGGAGTGACATTTCTTTCTCTCTCATCTTCTCTTTTATGGTTTTTTTTCTTTTTGGTGATAGTCGACTACAAAATCACACTCTCTTGGAGCTAATGTACAGACTGTGCTATCTTTAATGAAAGCCCATAACCCAGCGCTGTGTCACGCTGCTGCACGACGGGCTCCGAAAAGACTCCCGCAAAGTGCGGGTTCAGCGAGTGCCAGTGATTCAGATAACGCTTTCGAGGGGCTTCTCCTTGGACTACAGGATGAGTTTGGACACATCACTTTGTGCGTACTAATCAGTATTTTCGCCTAACTTAGTTTTTTATGTAAGCCATTTAAATTAAAGTATATGAGACGCGTTAAAGGTATTAGGGCTACTACAGCCTCGTCTCCAGGACGAAGTCGTGTTGTGTTCACAGTTTTGCACTTTTTGAATTATTGTTCAACGAAGAAACCCTAGATAAATAAAATGGTAAATCGAATAAAGAGGAAGTCCACAAGGCTATGAGAGCTCAAAGTCAAAAAACGAGGAAGGATTTTTTTTAAGTCTATGGTATACAAATTATAATATACAAGTTGTAAGCGAAACTCGCTGGAAAAAAAGGCTCGACAAACTAAAGTTAATCCCTTTTTTATGTGCTGTGTATCATTTGCAGCGAGCATCGAGAACTTTCTCGTCAAATACAAGAATCCGACGATCCAAGAATACAAGAAGATCTCAGAAGAGAGCTTGAAAACTTAGAAGCTCGAATGGAAGCAAAAGGAGAACAAATCGCAATGGTCCGACGACAGCAAGAGGAAGCGAAACGACAGCGCAAGAAGCAGAAGACAAAAGCAGCGGTAAGACCTAAGAGCGCGAGCGCTGTCCTACCGGCGAGTGGTGGCGAAGTAGAAGTTGTGACAACTGTTAAAACGAAACCTGCTCGAACTGGAGGCACAGTGAAAGATACTTTATCAGTCTATAAAGGGATGAAGACGCTTCAAACTTCGCTTGGAAAGAATCAATATCATTGGGACTAGCCAAGCGGATATTTCCTGTCCGAAGGGTGGAGGGAAAAGGTTGTTTAGGTGGGAATAAATATACTTGTGGGAGGGTAGGGTTATATTAGATAGATAGGTAAAAGAGAAAGTTTTTCAAACAGAAGACTTAAAGTGTTCAGACATGATACGTGTGGAACTTGCAAGGAGTAAAGAACAGAAAAAAGAGACAGTGTGACAATCCGATCATTGATTTGTTTTTATCAAGATCTTTACTGACTTGCCCATGAAATTCTTCAAATTTAAAATAAAGAGAATGTGGAAAGATGACTGGGAGAACTGACGTTTTAATATCTTAACTCAAAAGTATAATGCCTCATTGTACTTTGACTGAACACTGAACAAACATGTGGAGACTGGCAGTTATTTATATATATATATATTGTATGGTTTTCCTTCGTAAGAAGATTTGTAATTATGTACATGGAACAAACTTATTCTGAACTCTTCAATAAAAGTAGGATCTCATGCGTCTAGTACTTTGTCGACAGAAGTATTGTGCGACCCATGTATCCTTGACGTTTTCACAGCTCAATAAGATCTTGCGGTCGGTTAAACTGTTCCAGCAAGTCAGTTTGTGAAGACGAGCGAAGGAAAAAACTAGCGGGGACTAAGAAGAGGGGAAAAAGGTCTTTCTCGCCTCGCCTTGCCTCAATGCGTCTCCTTTAGCTTCTCCTTAATGTTACACTTTTACAAACGCTATTGATGTTTAAGGGTAGGGTAATTTAATATTATCAACTGAGTTGATAACTTAAATTGGCCACCGTAAAAGAGTTACGAAGAACGAAGGACTAACGCTCGAAACGTCAGCTTTGAAACTCTTTGCGGTGGCTAATTTACGTTTCCAACTCAGTTGATAATACCAAATTACATTTATTCAAATATGTTGGAGCATAACCTGTTTCTCAGACGGTTCAGGGCCGCCCGTTCAACTTCCTTCTTCCTTGTCGGGGCGAGAAGGGTGTAAAGCGAGCAATTTAGTCAATTACACAGAGCATGATTCGAACGCGCTCGCAATAGGCGCGCATATATGAAAGGCAGTGATAGTTCATACTTTCAATAAAGCGAAGCAAACTTCTTTGTCTTCCTAGCTGAATTGTTATTCAAATATTTACGCTCTTCATAAGGTCTTGCCAAACATATTCAAGAGATCTTAAGTCTTTCACAAAGGAACTCATAAATTTTGAACACAATACGAAGGAAATCCCAAAGTCTCACAGCATTCTACGGACACAAGCGACACGATTACTGGCGATCGATAACATTCGAATAACATGCAATCACAGCGAAAAGAAAAGAGAGAATTTGAAAGTGTGAAGACACAATTCGCAAAACAATGTGTAAAGATACGAAAGCCGTTTGCTTAAGTTTACTAACTTTGTTAATGCATTGTGGAATGGAGCTATGTGGTAGTTTTGCTGAATGTCAGTTTTAATGACTGAATGATTGAACATGTTAGAATGTGCTGTGAGTGCCGTCCAAAAATGGTATCCAGTGATTCCTGTGGGTAAGTTCACAGTTGATTGCGTTTATTTCGTCATGTGTGGATACTTTTGTTTGACATTTTTCATCGTTCTCAGAGCACGGCTCTAGCGTGAACATGCCTTCAACTTATCTTTGACATTCTCGTCACTGTTCCGTTACTTTCGTTGAAACATCTTTATAGGCTACAGGAATTTAACAACTATTCAGGTTTTCTTCGGCCGTATAGTTCCTAGATTATTACGCCAGTAAAGCGAGTTTCAATTGTTGGTACTAATGACTGGTAAGAGTGCACGAAAACAACATTGATCTAAATTATGGCGATTTATTTAACAATGTTTTATAAAAACATCCTGATCTGAAATCACGGCCTCGGTCAGCAACCTGTCGAAGAGGGATCAAAAGATCTCATCATGTCACTAAGATAGAATCGGGTAAATCTTTTCCAGGCGTTTTGTTAGTACCGAACGGCTTCCGAGAAAAAAATTGGAAAGAGGTTTGGAACGCGACCTGTACGAAAACTCCTTCATTTGGCTCTGCGCTGCTATCGCTCACCCTAAACTAAATGCCTGAACCAAACTGGAAACATGTGATTCGCAGACCCTCACAAGCCAGACAGGGACCGTTATTTAAATGACAATCAACTAATCGACATCGTTAGTCAAGACGCCGACACCTTTGGTGAACTTGCCGACACTACTTGTCAACACGCCGACAACTTCACCAAATATTTACACCTTCTTTGCGCCAAACTGTAATTGAGGTATGAATAGTGTCAGTAAACCGAAGTGGCCAAAGACGACTGTCGGCGAGTTGACATGTCGGGGAAGTGACCGAGTGCAAAGCTCAACATTTTCGAGCTATCAGCTGCATAAAGTTTAACGTGCGGTACTTTGAATAAGAAAGACCCAATACAACTCTTGACCAGGCACTCGGAAAACACACTTTACATGAATCTCACGGTGCCTCTCTCCACCATCAGGAAACTAGCAAAGACACTTGTCTTTCATAGGGATTAAATTGTCATATTTTAATATTAAGGTGCATATGATAACAATATATTGATATAACTCAATGATATATGTATTTAGCATTTCATACCGTTTGCTTTAGTAGATCTCAGTATAGGTGGGTAAAGTATTTAGATACTTAATATATATTTTATTTCGCAAGAGAATATATCCTCTTGCATTTTGATATTCCTAACATACCTTTTATTTGATTAATACTTGGTTTCTTTAGTTCCTTTGATTCATTTTTTATTTTCTGATATATTGACACGGGTTTTCTCTGGCTGGAACACCAGGAATAACTTCGGCGTTGATCCATCGATTGATCGAATCAGTAGTGGGGAGGGGGGAGGTAATCACCGGTGACTACATGTGGATTCCTGTCCGGAGAAATGAGTAATACTCGTACACATAATCATATCGTATTGCCAAAACTGTAATAAGCTCAGCTGGTTATGGATCAATCACTGCGCTCTTAAGACTCGGCTAGATCCATTCGTTACTCAACTACGGTTATTGGTGCCGTTCGCTGATGAGGGGTACGAGAGGAGGCTTGCTGGCTTATCATGAATCACGCATTAATATATCGCCTATCATTTGAGCAGTAAGCAACTTTTCGTGTACGTTTATTAGCTTAATAAGCTACGAATAATGTTAGTCTCGTACCCAGACCTTCAACGGCGAAGCATTATCAAGCATTTCCAAGCATTTCTTTACATTCCAGTTACAGTTACACGGTAGGATCTGGGTACGAGATTACTTCTAAAGGAGAGTCTCTAAAGGAGAGTCACTAAAGGAGGAGTTGGGCCGGTCAAAACCTGACTTCGTGAGGCCTGGCTCTCTATATTTATCAGAAGCTTCTATCATCGCTTTTTCTATGAGTAAAGGACTGGGTAAAGTCATTGGAAGGGTCTCTGAAGCCTCTAAGATCACCACAGTCTCTACTTCGACTTGTGTGAGGGGCGCTGATTGCTACAAGCCTAGGTGACTAGGTCAATGATTGGAAAAAAATAACCACAGATGTCAATTAATCAATTTCTGACCACTTCTGTGTTCCTGACAGAACGGATAAATAAAGAAAAGAAGAAATAATGTATGAAAGAAGGAGATGAATAAACGACCTGCATTAAAGAAATAAATGAAAGATAAACTATAATAAAATAAGAGATTACCAGTTCCGTAACATAATCAACTGCCTGGAACGAACCCGACGTGACCGTCCAGCATTGACTTGCGACACATCTTTCGCCAACAAGAAACGGAAATGATATCATCTTAAGAAGATGAAGCGAAGCGAACTATTTTACTCAATAACTTCCATTCCATATATCAGAATTTTTATTACTCCCATATATCAGAATGTTTATTATGTGTTACTACAGATCGCTAACGACAGGAAATAAACCTGTTTGATTACAACTCACAGATACGTTAGTAATTTTCCAGCGGATTAATTCGGATGAACTGCTTCAGGGGTGAGGCATAGAACATTTATTTTCTGAGAGCATTTACTGACGTACAGTCATGCAAATTTTGCGCAATACAATTCAAAAGGGTAATTGCAATCGATCATGTGCTCGAGCAGTTTTTAATGCTTTTCATTTTGGTGAAACTTTCCCCTGAGACTTGAAGTTTCAAAGGTCAGAAATTGTGCACCTATGACTAAAAATTAACTTAGAAAAACAAGAAGTCATCTCACAGAACTAAACGGTACTAAAGAAAAAATAATTCCCGCGACCCTCTCCTCCGGTGACGAAATGAAGGAATCTGTGCGTGACATCACGCATTTTGCAACCGTTCAAGCGGCTAAAAATGCTAAAGAGGTTAATTCCCATAAATTTTTAATGACTGAAAAAGACGGAAGAGTGTCTTTTACAGTCGGTACAACACAGTGACGAATAAGCTTGTCGGCTACTTATGGAATGATCTCTCGTCTGAGGAGTATATTGATATCGAGAAGTTTGTTTACAACTCTATTCAAGTGATTTGTTTTCGTTGAGGATTGTGTGGTTGGCCGAAAACATCGCCAATAGTGCATTGTTTGATCGCTTTGTTTGAAGCGGTTTATTTGAAAGTTACACGCCATTGAATTCTATCTTCATAGGGAAACTGTTAATTCTTCTCTTTTAAACTGTACCAAAGGTAGAATTGAGGGGAGATTTCGCTTATTCCGACGGTAAGTAGTTTCATTTGCAAGATTTTAAGCGATCAATGATAGCGGGATATCGCCTTTCGTATCATTTAGATTTTTGCGGCATGGCCATGCTGTGCTAAGCGTCTCTTTAGTATGGAGCTATTTTTTTTCCAGAACATTCTCCAGATAATTTTGTCGTTTATATATTGGCTCGTCTTTTCTCATTTTGTCTGTCCCTTTTCACTCTATCGAAACTGTTTCAGTCTTTCTTGTCCAAACGATCTGTCATGGCCGCAAATGTTGATGTTTGTGGTTACCATGCCGAAAAAAGCACTTAGAAGTCGACAAGTCGCGATCTTTTCGGTGATTTACAACATTCTTCCTAAATGTGAAATCTATAAATAAGGCAAGAAACATTTTCTCAGAAAATATATTTCTAGCTTTAAAATCCGCTTTGAAGGGAAAACAGCTCAGCAAATCGAATGGTGGCCTAAAAGCTTCTTTTTTCCAGCTGTCAAAAATTGAATAGCCAGTCTTGCTTCCCGTGGTTTAAACTTCTCCCGATAAAAAACCAACAGCCATGAAATTTTTAGACTTCGCCTCCAACAATTCGCTGGAAATGTAATCACTTAAACTCTACTTCGACTTAGTTGTTTTAAAAAATGTAATGAATAGCCTACTAACTTTCAACAGTTCAAAAGCGCCTACGTGTACAAGCTGTTTTCATTTCCGCATTCACCCGGACATAATTAAATTTCTTTCAACTCTTGTAATCCCGTGGTTGTAAGCCATGTGTGGTTATGTTTGTACACAGATTATCTTTCGATTATTCTTGAAAGTGGGTTTTCAATTTCTGTTTGTTGTGCTTAGAACTGTATTTGTCCAATCGAATTGGAGAATAATGAAGCTTGCTGTCAAACACAAAAGTTCATCATCTATTAGATTCAGTTGTGACAGCTAATTTATTCATAAAGTGAAGATTTAATTACTATTCGCCATTAAAAGCTAACAGTGGGTAAAAATTTATCCTGCTGTGTTTCTTGGTTTTATATAAATCCAAACAATCTAAAAATAAAAATGTGGGAGGTATTTAAAGGGAACTTGATCAAGGCAGTCAAAATATTTTAACATGTAAATGAGTTAAAAAGTGAACAGAAAATGTGAGTTTTAAAGACTTTATACCTTCCTCTGTCCTGCTTGTCTTAATTGGAAGCTCCCTGTATCAGTTGGGTAGCTTTACTCACTGGTGGTAATAGTGAAGAGCGACGATTTAACCTGAGTTGAATTAAACTAGGTGAAACAATTGAAGGTGTAAGAGTCAGTTTGACTGAACCATTTTAATGAAAATAACTTTACTTGGTTTGTACTCTTTAGATCTTATGTCTACCTCACGGTACAGCCCTACAGAGAGTAGTTACTGGTCATCACCTAGATTGAAAATACCTATTAAGGCTGTTAACCTTGACTTGAATCACAATGTCGCAGTTTCACAAGCAACAGCACCCAGCAAGTCTCTGAGTGAATCATCTTCTCCCCAGCTCTGGCACAAAGGTACTCAACACTTCCTCTCATTTGTAGGATATGAAAGTGTTAAAACAGAGAGTAATGCATATAAATTGTAAAAACATTTTGTAGAACATTATTTTTAGTTTTTTAATAATTATATATTTGAAATAGTGTGAGATATTTGTATGATAGCATTATATGAACATCATCAATTTGTATTAAAAACTTCCTGTCATATATATTAAACATTTGCTTCTCATATGGTGCATAAAATTAAATTTTGCGAGACACTACTTCGAGTTAAATTTGCAGAATGGCAGTGTTATTAAATGCTTAGTATGATCTTGAATTTATGATAATAATCAAACAAAATGTTTCCCAATAAAATAGCTGTGGCTCACTTCAATTATCACTTATGAAAATTATACTCAAAGTATGATGATTGTTTTGAATTTTTTCGGTTTTGTTTCCAGTTTCAAACACAGATCATGTCGAAGTTCAAAGACTTCCTGAAAAAAACCAACCAGCTCACAGTGGTTCATTAAAAACAAGACAGAAACATATGACAAGAAAATACAGTGATAGTACTGAGCTAGCAGAGCTATTGGCTGAACACCAAGGGCGGCAATTAAGGAGTATGCAGAGTATTAACACTGGAATACAGCAGCCTTGGGGATCAAGCTCAAGACCTAATGAACTTCACATTCAAACAAATGCCTGTGACAATGGATTTACTGGCTACACCGGACAAATGCCATTAAATAATGGAACAGTGATCCAAGCAAGTCATACTATGCCCACAGGTGAAGTTTTGCAGTAAGACTAAATCTTTGTACTTTAATAGAGGCTATATAAGATTGTTAAAACCACCAGCACCAATTTTTCTATTTTAGAAAGGCAGCGTTAAAATTAACATGCAAACTCATAGGTTCACAACCAAACTTACTCATTAAATAGTGCTGTTGTCAATCAGTATTGGTACTAACAAAGCAGAAGCAACCAAATTAAATAAAAATAACCAAGAATCTAGTCTCTAGAACCTTCTGAACATTTTGCTTTGTGAACACATTTTGAATAACCTGTTATGCATCTCCATTGCTGATAAGTTTATATGTTACAGAAAAGTGCCATAACTATTTTAGTTTCTGTTTTTATAGGGATGTCAGTCCCATCAACCAGGTCTACAATTTCATCTGGATACTCTGCACCCCATGGTCACATCACAAATGCTTTAACCTCACATCGACATAGCCCCCTTAATCTGATTGGAGAGGGTTACACAAGCTCATCAAGCTCACCTTCTAGATCCATTAGCCCATCCAGTGAGGACAATGACAAGTGGAGCTCATACCTGAGAGCAAAAGATGAGCTTATTGGACAAAAAGATCAGATAATAGATAGGTAGAGTACTTCTTTAGATTCTGTTTCACAAATTGTAGTAAGTTTGTTGTACACACATCATGGTGGACAACATGAAAAAAAGAAATGTATGTCTTTCAGCAGATGGAAAAGATAATAAAAATTTCCACTAGAAAGTTTGAATTACAGAAATGTAGTGACTGATTGATTAAAAAATGTATCAGTTTTGAAAAGTTCCTGAAAGAGGTAGAAGAGCATCTGATTTCAGACTGGACTGAAATGTGACCTGTCTGTGGTCCAGCATAATGTGCATGAAAATCTACAAAGCACAGTAATTGGGTGAGGTTATCTACAATATACTTACTTCAGAAGTGTACACCAAGTTTTTTTTTTTTTTGAGACTTGATCTCAGCATAGTAGGCAAAACCCATTGCAATGCTGGCCATGATTACTAAAATTATTACTGTGCAAGTATATGGGGCCACCTTATGCTCTAAAATGCATGGTGAAAAATAAAGGAATAAATAGTTAACTTCATGTAAATCAATAGCTCTGAGACAAGTCATTCATGCATTTGAATTTTGTCTTTGCTGTATAATATCATGATTAGCCATAGGACATTTGGTTGATATTTCAATAGATTTTAAAGAAGGATTTTAAATAAATAGGTCTATTTTTTAATTGAAGAAAGTGTTGAATTGTATTTTCTGATAAATTTCAGAATTCTGCCATACAAGTTTAATCAAATGTTGATTCTTTTTTAATGTTTTAGACAAAAGCAGAGTATATTTCAACTTCAACAGCAGCTAATGCTTCAAACAAATTCAGCCATTCATCAAGCTGTGCCAACTCATTACCATGTTAGCCGAACTCAGAGCACAGGAGACAGCAGTTCATTGTCTTTAAAGCTACAAGAAAGTCAGTATGAGAATGCTCAACTAAGAGCACTTTTGTCAGAGAAGGACTCATCTCTTGACAAAGCTCAGAAAAAACTTGGGTGAGATTTACAGATGTGTTGTGTCCTTTTTGAACGTTTCTAGTACATATGTAATTAGCAATAGTATGCACTTACCCATTGTCAAAAACTTTTACTGACTGATTTACTAACAAGTGACTGATTGCAGGGTTGAAAAACTGCTGACTGCCTGGAGAACTTGGAACTTACATGAAATATAACTTACCCTTTACTATTTAAAAATTAGGAAACTGTAAAAGCTTGAGGTGTTGATGTTTATCTCCTGCATCAACAATCCACACAGCTTAAGAATGTTACATGTACCTAAACAGCGGTTTGTTTTGTTGATTTAATAATGTTACATGACCAGCGCTTTGTTTTGTTGAAGAACTGCTGACCAATTCATATTGTGTCTGACTTGCAGAGAAACAGAATATTTGATGAAAAATATGGAGGCCAGCGTGAAGGATTCAGCTGCTTCAAATAGACAGGAACTCGAACTACAGAAACAAAAGGTAAATAAGTTGAAACATTTCCGTAACAATCAGCCGTAGACGTGATTATAAAACGTTTGGGAAAGATATCAAGTTTCAGCCAAAGTTTCTGTAACTTTGAAGTTTGAGCAAAGACCATGTACAAATAGTTTCGGGTTTACTTGAAAAGCGTTCTTTACCTCCATGAATAGGCGATTAAACAAGAAAAAGCTCAGGCAGAGCTGACAAGTAAACTGGAACAGTTAGAAGAAGAAAAGTTAAAGCTCAAGTAAGTTATTTCTTACACATCGTGTTTAATAACCCCAGTGTTCTTACCTGTATGTGACAATTGTCTTTGTGTGGAGAGTTTTTCGCAATCGGTTTCCCTGCTCAAGGCTCATTCAAAACAGTTGTAACGGTTGTACTTGTGATATTCTCCTGTCCAATACCCCTATCCCTGGCGTTTGGATTAGGGTGTGTAGTTTAATGATTTTCTGAAGTACATAGATACTCTTTCCGATTAAAATGGTGAACGAAGTGTAGAGAAGAAGGGATCAAACAACCACGGAGGTTCCTACGAACTCTTTAAAAAACTTCTTTCCAACTTGAAGTATCTGTGTAGGTGCTTTCTTTACTCTTCACCACTGTTGCCCTTTCAAAGAAGTAAGAAGCAATTTTTTACAGTCAAGATTGTGCCTCTTAATTATTTAACAATCGACAAGTTTTCGTAGTTACTCCGATATGAAAGAGCGATTAAACCCGGGATTTCCTGCCTACCCCCTGTAACTTACCACTTGGATTCTCTGCATACACACCAATGTTTGTGCTTATTCTTGTGATCCTCCGCTGACCTCCCAGATCTCATGTTCATCTTCAGGATTTCCTCCCTAATTTGTGACGATTCTAGGGATCCCCTTCACTCCAACCAAAATTCCTGCTTATTACTTTAATTCCCCGCTTACCATTCAGATCTCGTACTTATCCTGTGGATTTTCAAGTTACACCCTTGTCCATTTAAACTACTCCCTTTTTTTTGGTTCATTTCATTATCTAAGGATCAATATTGACTCTAAAAGTCTTCTAATAGAAAACACTGAAACTATTACGGCTCACATGGGATCCAATCGCTCTGACGAAGGGCTAACGCTCGAAACGTCAGCTTTTTACCCTTTTACGGTGGCTAATTTACGTTTTCAACTCAGTTGTTAACACTAAATTACCTGCTATACTCTCCCACCGACGCAGCACCACAGTTTCTTTAGAAACTTACCCCTTTATTCAAGCTAGCTGACAGATGTGTTTCTTTTCTGTTCCTTTTGTGTGTGTGTGTTCTTGATAGGAGAGAAAAGCAGAGTTTGGAGCGGTATCTGAAGGAAGTGCCTACTGTCGAAGAATATCAGAAGTTAAATAAAACTATATCCATAGTAAACCATTGGAAACGTGCATGTAGATTTTAGTGCCTACGTAGCAATATACTTCGAGTTTAGATTACCGGTAACTATTGCACGACTGAACAGTTACTGAACAGTTATGTAAAACTCTTATTAACAGTAATAATGAATTCCTTTGTAATCCAGTGGTTTAAGTGTTGAACTCCAAAGCAAGTGGTTTGGGGGGGAGGTAGCCTCAGTCGTAGTCATGACAAGGGGTTCTTCAGCTGGTCGCTCAATCGAATTTAGAACTAAAATGCGTATTAGCGAAGGCTTTGGGAAGCCTGAAAACGATGGGAAAGTGGGTGATGACATTCCATCTAGGACCCCTCCCCTAGCCTTGAGTAAGTATTATGAAGTCGTAGGAACTACATTGTGATGATTCGACGTTTAATATCGTCAAGAGTTTTTGTTTCCCTTAACATTTCTTACCTTAAAGATGTTCGTGATGAGCGTGAAAAATTGAGAGAAACTATATCCGCTAAAGACAAGAAACTAGCCCGCATGAATAAAGCTTTTGGAAATAAGGTAAAGTTTTTTTTTCCTTATTTTGATGTTTCTCTTTAAGTTCGGTTCTTAACAAAGATTCAGTGACTATACTAGGGAGTTTTCTATAGTTATTTGAGTGTGGACAGACATGATCATGTTACCCCTTTATGTACTTCGCCCGAAACGTAGGTCTTTGCATATCTTGCTGCTTGTTTGTCCAATTGCCTGCCTGTAGTGATATTACCCCTCTCTGTGTTCTTTCTCCACTGGTGTATTTTTGTTGCGTTGCGATGTAGTAATCCGCTTATTGCAGGCCTCTTTGTTATGTGAGTTAAGTAATTCTGGATTGCTCTGGTAAGGCTTCGCCTACCTTCGTGATTGGTCCACCCTCCCGCGCCACGTCTCAACCAATCAGACGCAAAGCAAAAACAAATTGCGACTTAGCTCTCCGCATTTTCCTGCTCTTCAGGCACCGCCTCGTTTAACTGTCATTTCTCATCCTTGTGCTATTTACCTTTCTTTGATTGGCTGTCGTGAGTAGTGTGCTTTTAGTTTCATAACATTTTCTAAATTTTCTCACGGTCGGAAATTTATCTCCTACGCCTTGGCCAACTTGTCTTCTTCCTTTTTTCCTCAGGATGATGAGGCAAAGAAGTTAACAGTGGAAAATACTACTTTGAAAGAGAACGTGCAAAGGTACATACCGAGCCAGTTTATTTTCTGTGCCTATTAGGCCAGTTTTTGGTGAGTCGCTGGCTCAAGAAGTGGGCACGACACAAGTTTTAAGGGTAGCTGCTCAAATTTTGAGTTCGTGAGCAAGGTCTTTTCTCAAGCTGGTAGCCTATCCGAGGCCCTATTGTAAACGGGCCCACAGAAGAGGCTTCAGCCGCTGTGCAGATTTAGGCTCATACCACTCAACCATGTTTGTTTTCAGACTTCAGGTGTCTCTTGATAAAATCAGCAACGATGGTCCCGTGTCACTCATAAGCTTTGAAGATCTCAAGATGGAGAATGAAAGGTTACAGGTGGAACTTGACCGAACGAAAAAGGTAAACTGCCAACCTTCACCAATGCCTTTTTAAATTTTTTTTTGGACATTTTTAATCCAATGTCACTTCCGCGGAACTGGGAGCGAGTCCGGTCCTGCCTCGCGAGAAGATTAGGATCAAGTTGCTGTGTTATCAAGTTTGCTGGTGAAGCTCAGAGTTTTAGAAGAAAGAATTGCTTAGAAAGAATTCATGTGGTGAAACTTTTGTTTGTGGTGTGGTTGTGGGTGCGTGTGTTTGTGTTTGTGTGATTTTTAACAAACCAGGCTGTCACAGCCATTCAGAAATCTGTTTCCTACCAGACTAATAATAGGGTTCAATATTATTGAATGAAATGAGTCCACTCGCTCCTTTCTCTTTATCTGTGGCTGGCTGTATCTTCCTTGTTTCAACTTTTTTCGTTTGTTTTAAGGGCTTCAATCTCTTTCCGTAGATATAATAAATGATTTGTCCTTCTACCTGCTGTACAGTTCTTTGTGAATTAAAGATATTGGTTTTTTAATTCAAGGTTTTACCTCAAAATGATAAGTTTGTTAATTCTTGAAACCTCGTTGCCGGATAATATATTGATATTGTTAGGTGAATTAAGTGTCTATTCTTGTTCATCACGTCTGGGATTGAAGGGGTTGAGAAAATGAAGTATACGTCAGTCGGGGTAAACGTTCCTTTTCCCATTGATTTGCTTCTCGTTTTATCGAAATAATCATTGCGACATTTTTTCTTTAAGGCGTTAGAAAACAAGCACAAGAAAATGAAAACTCTTCATTGTCAAACACAGAAGGAGCAAAAAAGCTTGGAGGAGCGATTGACGCAAGAGGAGGTATGGATAGAGATAAGATCGCAAGTACAGTTGAACTGAACCCACTCTGTCTTTATCTTTGATCTTTAATCACAGTTCGTAACTATACATCGAAAAAAAGTACAAAAATGGTTGACAGGACGGTAGTAGGGGGAAACTAAATTCCCATGCTAAGACATACCCTCCAAAAAAAAAAAAGAAAAAAAAATCTGGGGTGTGTAATTTGAAAAACTTAGCTTAATCATCTTGGTTTGATTCAGTGCCTTTGAAGAGTAGTTTGGTTTGAACAGAACGAAAAAACCTGATACACTTGTTAGCCATTAGAGGGTTGTGGAGTGGATAGCGGAGAGTATTGCTGATAATGAACGCAACAAAATCCTTGCCCTTGTCTTGGCAGGAAATGGTTCATGCCTTGCGGGATGAACTTGTTGCCAAAGAAAATTCACTTGAAGAGGTCAGGAAAGCAGTTAAGGAGGTGAGTACAAATATAGTTTCCACATTGAATGCTTTTGAAGTCCGGTTTGAAATTTGCACCGGCTCTCGCTTCCTTTACCGCCGTGGCACACTTCACCCTTTCACTCCTAAGATCTCTTTAGTAATTCTCCCAACTGTCAGCCATACAACTCTCATGATTTTGGTTTAAAGAATTTGTTATTGGATCATCTAATAATCCCCAAGTTGATATTTTTTTTTATTCTCATCACTTGTCTCCTTAAAGTGGACTGATGTTGGTAGGAGAAATTCTTTCTTGGTCACTCATGGGAGTTAAAAGGTTAAACGTAGATGCACAATTGCACTGATATCAGTGTGCTTTTTTTTCGGTTTGGTTTATCATGAACTTTACTAAGCCAGAATAAGGCAGCCACTGCCTGGAGTTCAATTCAGCTGAGTTAACGCGTTCGTTGATGTAAGGGAACTGAAACAGAATGGTAGCATGTAAGACTTATATTTCGAGGATCGCTTTATCCGATATGAAATGAGACTGGTTGGAAGGGGATGGCAAGAAGGCCACAAAGGGGATGGTTTTTACGCAAAAATCAGTAATTCCTGCCTTTGATGGTATCCTTTTGACATTGCACTGTATTTCACCTCTGTTTTAAAATATCTCATTTCCAGATTGCTTCTCACAACCAGGATTTGTTGGAAGAGAATTTAAACCTTCAATGCCGCTGTGAGCAGGTAGAAAAATTGGATCAATATCAGTATCTGGGCAACTGCCTACCTACCCCTCCCCTAACTCAACAACAATCAATTGATAACAAGTTAGGGTTAATGTTGGGTTAGGGGAGGGGTAGGTGGGCAGTTGCCCAGAGACTGATATTGATTCGAAAAATTTCTATGATACATTGTTTTGTTACCTTCAAAGTTGTGGTTTCATCGTTCCGTTTAGTACTCTCGGCTCAACTGAGTCTTTACTCTGAGTGAGGTCTTGGTCGAATTTACAGCATTAGTTCAATGGTCGCCACGACAAGTTTTTATTTTTCATTATATCATTATTGAGAGTGGACTCAATGGTTATAATCAGGAACTGCTGTACTGACTAAAGGACTAGTCGTTATTTACCCCAGGGGGAGGGGGGTGAGGATTTTCAGGGATCACCTGGTTTTCAGTGGGGAGATCAGGCGTCGCCAACATAGTATGGAGGGGGCATTGAATATTGACTGCCATCAATATTACAGAGCCTTATGAGGGGTCAGGTGAATTTTATCGCGACTACCAAAATCCTCCAATTTCCCCTTTCCTCCCCCCACTAGCAGTATATTATAAGTCTTCTATCTTAAGCCCTGAACAAGACGATAGCAACGCATCACGTGATTGACTTGATATTTTCAATTTTGTTATAGTTTGTTCTGAAATTTGTTTTTTTCTTTTACAGTTACAAATATTGAATTCGAAAGAAAAATTAGAATCTCAGAGAAAACTTTGGAGAGAGGTATGATGATACGAGGTGAAGGTTATCACGTTGTCACGTAGAACATGCAAGGTCACGTTCTCTATAAAGATTGTTACTGAAGTTGGAGAAACATGGGGAAATGAAAAATTGGGAAAAATTTATTGAAAATTTTCAGAATTATGTAGTTGCAGCTGTTAAGGCACGCTAACCTTTATCTTACTCATGCTTCGAAGGTGGCGTTTTAATTGATTTTTTTATATAGAGATGGTTATGGTAACTTCCTTTAATGCAAAACTTTTATCTCCACTTCATTACTGTAGCTTTCTGAATGTACAGCGGAACTCACGGCTGTGGTGCAAGTTTGTCGGGAAAGAAGAGAAGGAAAAGATCCTGACATGTCTGTTCTGCTTGGGCTCAGATGTGAGTTGGCATTTCATCGTTCTTTTTAATCAGTTTGTTTTTTAGTTCGTTTTGAGCATTAGCACTTCCTCTGGAGAACGGAATTCGCTCTGACGAAGAGCTAACGCGCGACACGTCAGCTTTGAAACTCTCTACGGTGGCCAATTTACGTTATCAACACAGTCGATAAAACCATTTTACCTAGCAGACGATTTTCAGTCGACCGAGAGAGACCGGCTAGAAATTTTGAGCCAAGTCACTAGCGGAAAGTATCGTAGCCAAGGGACCAGTGTGCAAAGAGAAGCGATAGTAAGGGACTGGGTCTTTGTGCATTTTGAAAATTAATTCCTAAATTATTCAAGTTTGTCGCCTACTATCCTCTTCGTCAATTCGTTTCTTTCTTCGCCGTAAACAAGCAAGTACTGGTTTCCTAAAACTCACGGTAATGCTTGGCACAGCTTGGGTAATTTTGCGTGAGATGTCTGAAATTTGTAAGAGCAACTGTTGAGTTTGGTGCGTGGGAATGCAGAAACGTTTAAAACCTATCACACTCATGGCTCCTTTACTTTCTTTTATTGCTTTCCAGCAACTTCTATGGATGAAGACGACAGCGAAAGCAAAGACACGTCTGATGACGTCGATGCCGTAAAATCGAAAGTAAACCAAGTTCAACGACTACGGTCAGATGTGGAAGACTTACGGAAGTTTATCTCCGATCAATATGCTGAGGACATTGGAAATAACTGCAGGATGCAATGATGAAAAGAAGTGTTTGGAATTTGTTTCCACTTGCGGAGGGTCAAGCTAAGTGCTCATCGCGCAAATTTAGCTGTGGCTTAAAACGATTGGGCCATGCAACCTGACAAGGAGTGGTGATGATGAGTGGCCGTGCAACCTGGCAGGAGAGGGGTGGCTTAATACGAGTGGTCCGTGCTACCTGTTCGAGAACTGCGGGGCAAGACTCAACAGGGGTGATCTTTGCACCATGAAGGGGTTAAATTTTATACTTATTTAGTGAGGTTTAAATTTAAACTTATTGTGTAGCTGCAATGACGTGAATTAATACAAACGCTCTTTTGAACAGCAAGGATACTTAAAGAATTCTTTTATGGTGTGTTATATCCTAGAGGTGAAAAAATCTGAGTCATTGCCATGAATCGAGATTGTTTTCAAATTTGTGACGATCACACCTGTTGATGTTTTCAGGATTAAAGCCACCCCTGTCTAAGACATACAAGGCCAGGGAAACGGCGTCGCAAACAACTGTAATTGCAATCCACTCTGTTAAAGGTTCTCCCTCGTTTTTCTTCCATTCAAGTTCGTGTGATAGTTCTTCCATTTCGTTTTATTCTTGGGCATTACAACCATTAGTTTATATTTTCTTAAACGAAGAGTTGAGTAATGCAGACAAAGAAAAGTAATTTAGTCAAAGTCAACACATATGCCGTAAAGAAATGGATAGTATGAAAGAGAATTATTACATTGTCAAACCTTTAAGTAACCATTCTTTTTTCCGAAGTATGGTGGTCACTTACGAATATATTTAAATATAACAATTAAATTGCCTGCTCGCGAGTGGCGGGTTTTTTCTTTATTCTATGTGTGGGGTTGATTTGGCCAGTGCGTGTCACGCGTGATTTGACCGGTGCGTGATAAGAGGTTGCAAGAAAAATGGGATCATAATTCCCGCAGTTCAATCCCTTTCACTATTTGTCATAAGTCAAAGATTAATTTATTGTTTTTTGTGTTTTTTTGTAAGTGAAAACTTAAGTAATAAGAAAATAGCCATCTCCGAAAGGAGACTAAATTGTGAGAAATAAAGTCAACAAGTTGAAAGCTGTATAACGTGTCTCCCCTGCGGCAGCGTGGAAAGAGTCGGGAATGGTACCACGTTATCAGTTTAAATTTTCGCCTAATGGGAAATTACAATTCACTGCAGTTGTGTAGGCGAAACGCAGGTAAGAAATGGGTTGGCCTGGTAAACTAACGAAGGAACAAACGATTAAAATGAGTGAGCGAGTGAATTGATAGATGATGGATTGTGTGGAATGTGTGGAGGAAAAAAAAACAGAAACGGACGAATGAGTGAAAAATTTTCGTGGTATGGCTTGCGCAGCAGTCCTATTTCTTTTCAAGTCGAAAAGGGATCTACACCGTACGCAGTGAATGTATTAGTTGCATCTCACGTGTGACATCAATGTCGTCATGGTAACCGGGTCTGTCATCACGGTCATTTTTTCAAAGGGCCTTATATTATCTACCAAGGTTACTTAGAGAGAAATTAGATTTTTTTTGAGGGGAAAGCACTTCTTGATAAGAGAGTTTGTTATATTTTTGTGACTGAAGTTGAAGTAGCTTTTATGAGAGCTGGGTTTACGGCAGGTGATATCTGCATTTGGCACTCGGTTAAAATTGTCAAAAATTCAAATATGTAATCAGCCTTAGTCTATTCCGCGTGAGGCATCCTCTACATAAGAAAGAAAATGTATGTTGGCGTGCCAGTAATGCTTTAGGAAGAAAACCCACCGTCAAGGCAAGTCTTATCGTTTGATTTTCCATCACTTGACCGCCTAATTTATGAAATTTTGTATATCGGAGATCTTATACATGCGCTACTTAAAGGTTGGCTGCTTATTATGAACTCCGTAACTTTCTAAAATTTTTATTCGTATTTTTTATCCTTTTGATATTGCAACGGCGACATTGTATTATACTAACAAAGGCCTTCTATCTCAGCAGTTTTGGTGGAGAAATTCATCCTTTCTCCGAACTAAACCTGTCTAAGCAACTGTTTTGAACGCATGTAAAGAAGCCAGGCTTAGTTGTTCGAGGGCCGATAAGCGCTAACCAAGTGTTAAATTTTAATCTAGGTTTCTATATCACTCTGTTGAAAAGCCGTTTAGAAAAATTTTCTCCTTATATTTTTAGAGCATTCAATCATCAAATTGAAGACAAAAAGAGTCAAGCTGAATTTTCTTTTCAAGCCTTCAGATTTTAAATCAAAATTTTCACTAACCCTGGGCTATCTTAACCCAGCTTTGAACAACCCGGCCCTGGTGTCTTGAAACCGACTAGAGGAAAACGTGGCAGGAGAGGCAGACTGCAGTCAAAGACTTATGCAACTCAAGCTCAACAATTCAAGCAAAAGGGACACATTTCAGCTCTCGACGCGACTATAAACCAAGGTTATCAACAATTCTTTTCAAGAGTGTAAAGTGCCAGCAGCATGGAAACTTGCTGATGTTCCACCAATCCCCAAAACACGAACAATCGACTCCTACTCTATCCAAGGTGACAGAAAGTTACGTTATCGAAAAAGACTTGAAGCTAACCCTCTTGAAATCGATGGACCCACAACAGTACGGCTTCCTACCACGATCATGTACAACCTTTGCACTTTTATCGATGGTACACCATTGGCTAAAGTCCATTGATGGAACAGGATCGAAAGTAAGGGTGTCACTACCAGACTACAGAAAAGCCTTCGATTTAGTTGATCATAATCTACTCACCGCTAAATTATTCAGTTTGGGAGTAAAACCCTCTGTGGTGAACTGGATTATTGATTTCCTAAGAGTTTTTAGAGAGTGAAAATCAGTTCTGGAAACTACTCTAATTTCAAACTCGTCCCAGCCGGTATCCCCCAAGGTAAGAAAATTGATCTCACAACCAACTATGTCTATGTGGAAATTTGCAGATGACACCACAATATCTGAAGTCATCCCCAAGGGAGATCAGAGTATGTTATAGGAAATGGCAATGCATTTCAATTGAATGCTGTAAAACGTAAGGAACTTATTATTAACTTTACTAAGCAGCCAGACGCGGAAAAAACTAATCAGCCTAAACAGCCTCAAGCAAAGATTCTAGGCGTAACCATCACAAAAGATCTTAGATGGAATTTTCACATCGGAATATCGTCCAAAAAAGCATCAAAGCGCATTTATCTCCTGAAGCAACTAAAAAAGCTGACGTGGTACCTGGTTCACTTGTTAAACTCTACACTGCTTGTATCAGGTCAGTTTTAAAATACTCTTGTCAAGTTTTCCATACAAGCTTGCCCCAGTATTTATCAGACAAGCTGGAACGTATCCAGAAGAGAGCGCTAGAGACAATTTTTCCAGACCTCAATTACAAAGAAGCAACTGCTAAAGCAAAACTTGGAACCTTGTTTGAAAGAAGAGAAACTCTGTGTCAAATGCTATTTAGTCAGATCGAGACTACATATGTCAACAAGTGACACAAACTTTGGAACCTATTACCAGCTAAACGTGGACCACGTAATCGTGAACAGAGGCATAAAAGAGTTTACTCGCTGTCATTAATCAAGACTAACAGATTAAAGAACTCATTTATTATGCACCATGCAGCCAAGGCCACTTGATAGTTAAAATTTCATTATTATATTTATTGTATGTATATAGATTATCTATTATTGTTTTAAAACATGTAATTCAGTTTCACGACTGTTAGATGTTATTTTAATAAACGACTTATCTCACTCTAAACCAGTCCTTAACAACCAGAGAGATTCCATCCGAGCTTTGTTGCTTCCAAACAGTCACTTTTGTCTTGACACATTTCATGATTGTCATCTCAGGCGCTTAGCTTTAGACCTATTTTTTAAGGCCTCACTGACCAGTGCTTACTCGACAGCTATATCCTGAAAATGTTGAAACGTTGTGTTTTCTTCTTGGTTACTTTTACGTTAAAATCCCTTTATAATATAAACTACGGTATTATACAAGGATTTCCAGCTCTGAGAAAATCCGTAACAACACACGTGGAAAAATGCGATATTTTTCCACGTGTGTTTGATATCGGCAATCAGCTGCTTTCGTACCACTCGCTCAGGTTGATGAATGAACGGCAAAGCCTTCACCATTCTCAATCTAAGGTCGTTTGTCGGAATCTTTTTGGATTATGGCTACTAAAACACTGAAAAATCCGTATCGCTTTCAGAAAATGACGTTCGAACTTTTCTAGTAGGAAAACAAACCAAAATACGAAAAGAAAAACCGAAAGTTACGTATTCAGTGGCTTTGGTAATTGCAGTGCGGCTGATAACGAAAATCGACAAATGGAAGATTTGCCACAGGCCACAGATTTTGGCCGTGAACCTGAAAGATCTCTTCTACCAGTAAGGACCAATTCAATAACTGAGGATTTTGCTTGTTGAAAATTAGGTCCATCGTCTATTTTTATAGTGATTCAACGCATGTTATAACATAGCTAGTAAATTTGTCTAATCAAATTCAATTGCGCGAGCGTGCTTCATATTCCTATTGTGCATGCTCATGACGTCAGCAAACAAATCCCTCGCGAAAAAAATTTTCCATCGGGTTGAAAATGTTATAAAACAATTGGTTCATACATCAGCTATGCATTCATCGAGATATGAAGCACGCAAAAGTTTGGAGAGCACGAAAGATGCGTAAGAGTTGCTCGAGGCGTAGCAGAGAGCAACTTTAGCTTCTTGAGTATGAACCCACTGTTTTAAAGCACTTGAAGCACTTGGGAATTTTGGAGAGCACTCAAGAAGCTAGAGTTGCTTTCGGCTACGCCTCGAGCAACTCTTACGCATCTTTCGTGTTCTCCAAACTTTTGCGTGCTTCATATCTCGATGAACGCACAGCTGATGTATGAACCAAATTGTTTTAAAGCACTTGAAGCACTTGGGAAGTTTGGAGAGCACTCAAGAAGCTAGAGTTGCTCGAGGCGTAGCCGAGAGCAACTCTTACGCATCTTTTGTGCTCTCCAAACTTTTGCGTGCTTTGTATCTCGATGAACGCACGCTGACATATGAACCAATTGTTAATTATAACATAGCTAGTAAGTTTGTCTAATCAAATTCAATTGCGTGAGCGTGCTTCATTGAAGAAATGTAAAATGGTTTCCGTGTTTACATAGCCTGATGTAAACACGCGGGAGGTTGGGAGAACACGAGATAAGCGTAGGAAGCCACGACGCGAAGCAAACTTCTTAAGAATATCAAATGTTTTATCCAGCTCATCGTTTGAACACGGAAACCATTTTATATTTCTTTCATAAAATAACTAATGAAAGAGGAACGAAAACCGTGTTTACATACGCTCATGTAAAATGGTTTTATAGCCAATCAGAGTGCGCGTACTATTTGAATTATTTTTGTAAATTCCTATTGTGCACGCTCATGACGTCAGCAAACATGACTTCGTGTAGTTCCAATTCTGTCTGTAATCATACTTTGATTAAGAAATCGGACTTCGCGGTCGTCCGATTTTGTTAATCACTCATATGATTACAGACCTAATAATATACATGGAAAAATTACTCAGTTCTGATTGGATAAGATAAATGCAGTTTTCAGGTAATTCAGTGCAGAAGAGAGTTAATTCAGTGCAGAAGAGGGTTAATTCAGTACAAAGAAAGAAACAAATAAGACATTCTGATTGGTCAATAATCAAAGAAAGTCACGGATAGCCGATCAAATGCGAGCCTTGGATGTCGCAACAAAATTTGAAAATTTGAAAATTTGCGAGCGAAACAATGGCCGGCGTTTTAAGTAGGCTTTCTTTTGCCACCGCAGCTGAAAAACAGCTTAAACAACGAAAACACTGTAAAAAGCACTGCTTTTTGGTTGTCGGTTTGGAAAAAGTGGTGTTTAGAGAAGGGAATTGCCGAGGAAATCGAAAATTACGAGCCGACCCAGCTTAACACTTTGCTCGAGCGATCCAACGCCGAAATTAAAAACAAACATGGTTAAACCTCGGAAACGACGATTCCATTTCATCGAAAGTGATTCGGACACAGACTGAACAATTCCTTGAACTTTTTTGCACCTTAAAGATGTGAAAATATCATTGCATACGGGCTCGTGCAATTTTGTTAGTCTTTAAAAAAATTTACTCGTGCTTATTTATTCCAAATTGCACTCGAAATCATGTGATTACCTACACGAATTGGACTCCACTCGGTCCTATTAACATTATTAACTATCTGATAAATAATTCAATTCATATCAGGTTTAGTATAGGTAATCACATGATTTCGAGTACAGTTTGGAGTAAATAAGCACGAGAACATTTTTCCAAAGGCTACCAAAATTGCACGAGCCCGTGCTTATTTATTCCAAATTGTACCAGAAAAATCATGTGATTACGTATTAATAATACATGAAAAAATACGAGATAGCTTATCATTGTATGCAGAAGCAAAGCGCGCGCATCGAGTGCGAAAATATTTACTCAAACCTGCAAGTGACATTGTGCGTTCAGTCAAAACAACCGCGTACGATCAAAACAATAATATACAATGATATTTTCACATCTTTAAGGCGCAAAAAAGTTCAAAGTCCAGCTAAATAGTTCAAGGAATTGTTCAGTCTGTGTCCGAATCACTTTCGATGAAATGGAATCGTCGTTTGCAAATCCCCGGCAGCTGGGAACTGTCTTAAATAGACCAAATGCCCAGCTGTCAAAAATTTTCACAGAATTTCCGCCGAAAGGTTCTTTCAAACTTCTTAAAAAATATCAAATGTTTGTTAAGGCATGTCAAGCGATTTCAAAAATTTATTTGGTTTTTTAGTGGACAAATTCTCCGAGCTTGTGCATACCATAATATCGCTTGGTTGTCGACAACTCACAGGTGGCCCAAGCTCCAGATGTGAGATGATCATCTTACAAAATAACAGTCATGGCGAAATTAAAGGAGTTTGTATGAGAATATTTACGACCGCTCTAAGGAAAAGAAAAATAAATCAAATTCTCACAAAAAATACCGCACCTTACTTCCACAGTGCGTTGCTTGTTATCTGACCGCTTACTACGTTGAAGGGAACCCATTTTAGCGAGTTCTCCATTTCGAGGTTCTCTACGTACATAAGAAAGGCTTCCCTTAAAAAGTTCTCTCAAACTTCTTAAGAGTATCAAATGTTTGTTAAGAAATATAAAGCAATTACAAAAATTATTTTGTTTTTTTGGTGGATAAATTCTCCGAGCTTGTGCATACTACAATTTCGCTCGATTGTCGACACTTTGAAATTCTACGCTTCTAATCAGGCTGTCGTGCACGGTCTCAAATGGACTAAATGCTCGGCAGTCAGAAATTTTCATAAAAATGCCACTGAAAGGTTTCTTCATACTTCTAAAGAGTATCAGATGTTTGCTTAAAAATGTCAAGCGAATCAGAATGTCTGGTTTGTTACTTCTTTGCACTGAATCAACCCTCAGTGCTTTTTACAGTGTTTTCGTTGTTAGAGCTGTTTTTCAGCTGCTGTATTGTTGTTGCGGTGGCGAAAGAAAACCTACTTAAAACGCCGGCCATTGTTTCGCTAGCAAATTTTCAGCGTACCCAAATGTTGCAACATCCAAGGCTCGCATTTGATTGGCTATCTGTGAGTTTCTTTGATTATTGACCAATCAGAATATCTGCTTCTTACTTCTTTGCACTGACTCAACCCTCTTCTGCATTGAATTACCTGAAAACTGCGGTTATCTTAGCCAATCAGAACTGAATAATTTTTTCATGTACATTATTATAAAACTAATGGGGGCAAAGCCCATTTCAGAGGAACGAGCACAGCCGCATTGAAAGCATCTCGGATACCGATGAAGTTCTTTGCACTTCTTTCAGCGGGTTCTATGATCTACTTTATCGTCCATATTTTAGATCGTAATGTTTGTGCAGAGTCTGACCAGGTCGGCCTCCATCGCCAATCGAGTAGCATGTCAAGACAAGCGCAGTTCGTGGAGCATTCGTATCATTTCCTGGATGTCCCCAAAATTGCAGGAATTGCTCTTCCATCTGATACAGACTGCCTCTTACGATGTATGAGGAATGATCATTGTTTCTCCCTTAACGTTGCTGCATTTTCCCTACCGAACGGAAGTACATCGTGTGACTTACTTTCTACCGACAAGTACAATGCATCTGACAAGTTCAAAGAGGATCGCACATCGCATCACTTCAGCATCATGGTGAGTAACGCTCCTGCGATAAATGTTCCACTTCTTATTCTTCTTCCTCGTTCTTCCTCTTTCATCCTCGATTCTTTTCTTTTTCCCCTTTTTCTTCTTCTTCTTCCTGTTTATACACCGATTTTCTACCTCTTCTCGTTCTTCCTGTTTACACACTGCTTCCATGCAGTTGAGATGTTTTATTCCCGCTCTAAGTTTGGCAGAGTTTTCTTATTTACAAAGCACTTGAAATATCTGTAAGTAAAAAAATAACTTTTTAAGGTGATTTCGTCTGGTCTGTGGTAATACGCCGTTTTTTTCCGGGGTGTTCGTTCAACTGTTAAACAAGCATATATGGACGGCTCGGGTCGGTATGAAAAGTTGAATATTCATATTGTTTTTATTTTGTCCAAATTTGTGGTGATGATCTGAAATGGCACCTGACGATACATGGTCGTAATAAGTCGCCGACAAAAAATTCACCCTCTTAACACGTTTTGCTTTTCTCTCGGCGATAAAAACTTGGCAACCTCCCGGTTTTCTTTTTGCGTTTGTGTTGTGTCTGTTCGGTGCTTTTATCATGTTCAATAGTTCTTAAAGACAGTAGAGGGAAAAAAACAGACGAAACCAGGGAGTATTTTGTTAGCAAAAATAACACTAGCTGTTGATAGGGTAGTTTTTAGTGTTAACAACTGAGTTGAAAACGTAAATTGGCCAACGCAAAGAGTTTACCACCGTAAAGAGAAGGTGGAATTATAGGCTTATTCATCGTGACAAAAAAAAGACATTAGCCTAAAGGCATCTCGTCTCGCTCGACATTATTAAATTTATTTCTTGCGTAATGATAAAGTGTATCCGGTCTGCGCCAAGCCAAGCTAAGTAAGAGTTCAGTTTCCTTTCTTTGAGTTCATAAGCTCATTACTTTGGTGTTGAAGAGGAGATGAGATAAAAAGAAGGACTGCGAAACAATCTGAATTTTCGAACCGGTGAAATATGTCCACCTGAAGGAAAGTTCGCTACCTGAAAAACATCTGCGTTAGTGATTATCATAACATACGTCATCTGTTTGAAGCCTGATGACAAATTTTTTTAATACCTGCTTATTTAACAACCACAACAAATATTTTTCTTCGTAATAAACTGGAAGCTCAGCCCGCACAAAATAGACTTTTTGGGATTACACAAGGAGAGACGTTTGGAGAAATTTCAAAATTAGAGCAATTGTTTTATTTCGTGTCAGGAGCCCAATGGGCTCCTGTCTATGTTCGTTGGTCAGTATTAACGACATTAGCTCGTATTTTATATTATCTCTGTCGAATGCAAAGGCGGAAGATGAAAACCTTCCTGGTTTGTTGGCAAGCTAAAGCCGGGGAAGGAGGTATGAAATGTTCACCAAGATTTAAGGTACTGATTGGTAAATGTGTACGCTGGTGAGAACCCGCGGTTACAAATCAGGGAAACAACACTCATCTCTCGAAGTAAAATGAGAGGTTTTTGAAGATAAACCATGAATCAGGCATATTTTGTTGCAAGGGTGCTTACATCGGGTGGTCGAAGTAAGGGGGGGGAGGGTGAGAAATAACCTGGAAATTGTAAGGTAATAGTAATTATTATATGTACCATACGGTTCCGCGCGCGCCTTTATTGAAAGAAACAGCATTTCCCGTATGAAGGCGGCTCAGACGATTTTGCGAAATTAAACGAACGACTAATAGTCCATTTCGCAAAATAGTATCCCTCCCAAAATTACTATTTTGCTAATCATATTTTAAGAAATAAGAGGAGGCCAAAATCTTTGGTGAAATACTAACTAGACCCTGTGAGCAGGGTAACTGGGATACCTGGATGGTACTGGATCCGTGGAATCAAGTGCAGTAATACTACGCGTGTCGGACTAGTAAACTGAAATAGTGAGCTCAAGTCTGGCCAAGGGCATACACCTGTCTCAAAACATAGGCATGCTATGCATGCAAGAGTTATTTTTGTAAGGGTGGGTGGATTACTTGAAACATTGTAAGTGGTCTACATTCTTACAAAAGGAAAGAAGATTATTAACGCGGGAAAGAATGAAAATGTCGAATTACCTCACACACAGGAATTTTGTGGTAGGTTATGTGTGTTGTGCGAATAAATGTAACCAAAAATAAACTGTATTGGTGCCACGGATAGCTGTTAGTACAAAATGTAGACAGCAGACTGCAGACCGGATACCAAATATAGACTGCAGAGTGGGTACAAAATGCAGACTGAGAATCTGAAGAGTTTTTACGTCTGGTATTGGTATATAATAACATGTCATCTTACAGCTTACCGAGCGTCACGCAATCGCTTTTCCGCGATCAGCCTTCACGATTATTTGCACTATTGTGGAAAATTCCTGGCCCATTTCTTGATGAAAATCGATCGTAATATAATTTCAAGCCTTCAACATAGTTGGTTAGTGTGATGTCTGTACAGATTTTACCAATGTAATAAAAGTAGATGACGCGAATAATAGTGATGGTAAAGCAAGCTTAAAACGGCAACAATCGCCAGAAACTACAACGGATACACAGGGTATGAGTAAGTTTTATTGATTTTACGAGAAAAATCTTCATATTCCGAAATATTTATCGTTGTAAATCGACCATATTTCGTGCCCTATTCCTTATAACGTGTTCAAATTTTCAACGGTTCCTAGCATAACTTACTCTGAGTCACACAATGCGTGACGCGTTCGTGAATTAATCGTTGGCTCTTTCTCGAGACGTGACCTTTGGTTGCCTGTGACAAGACAATTGCGTAAACAATACTTAACATAATAACTATACACAAAAAACACGGGATTTTGGATCATGTATTTATTAAAAAAGAATATCCATACAACTACAATGAAAAAAAAACATAAGATTCACCTTTCTGATCGTGAAATTAATACCATTCGAACTGTTATCGTAGCTACGTTCCCTTGCATCAAGTGAATCCAACATGGCGTCTTTCTTCACAAGCAGTTTGCATCCATTTGAATTTTGTTCTTCAGTCTCACGGTAGTAGTGTTGTTCAACAGATTGCATAGAGTATTTCACTGAGATTTCAGATTTTGCTTTTTACAACGAGTTAACGTTTTCAACTAAGACATTGGCATACTTAGCATACAAGACATACAAGGCATTCAATGCTTTCATGGCTTTCAAGCGTTCGCGATTCAGTCCGTTCCAAAATTACCGCTCAATAACACCTTTTTGTGTGGATTGGCCGCGAACAATACGACTTGTGTATGCGTCTATAAGTATTTTGAGCGTTTGCGCCATAATGTTGCAGATAATCGTAATCCAAACACATTGAAATACAAAACGACTGACAAAATATTTTTATGGGCAAAAATCTCGTGTTCGTCATGTGACCCGGCCCTGTCCGTGCATGACAACGTCATTCATCATCAAGATAGCACGCGTAATCAGCATGTGAACACCTCATTGGATCACAGTTAATTGTCATGGTGTTGAGGGCCCAATGACCTCTGGGTACTATTGCGCAATTTTTCCATTTTGTGGCGGAGGAAAAAAAAAAAAACTAGACCCTGTGAGCAGGGTAACTGGGATACCTGGATGGTACTGGATCCTTGGAATCAAGTGTAGTGATACTACGAGTGTCGGACTAGTATACTGAAATAGTGCGCTCAAGTCTGGCCAAGAGCATAGACGTATTTCAAAACATAGGCATGGTATGCATGCAAGAGATACTTTTTTGTAGGGTGGGTGGATTACTTGAAACATTGTGAGTGATGTCTACATTCTTACAAAAGGAGAGAAGAATATTAATGTGGGAAAGAACGAAAATGTCAAATTACCTCACTCACAGGTATTTTGTGGTAGATTATTATGTGTTTTGCGAATAAATGTAACCAAAAAATAAACTGTATTGGTGTCACAGATACCTGTTAGTACAAAATGCAGACAGCAGACTGCAGACCGGATACAAAATATAGACTGCAGACTGCAGAGTGGGTACAAAATGCAGACTAAGAATCTGAAGAGTTTTTACGTCAGGTATATAATAACATGTCATCTTACAGCTTACCGAGCGTCACGCAATCGCTTTTCTGCGATCCGCCTTCACGATTATTTGCAGTATTGAGGAATATTCCTGGCCCATTTCTTGATGAAAATCGATCGCAATATTATTTCAAGCCTTCAATATAGTCTTATTACTTTGCGCACGAGTTGGTTGGTGTGATGTCTGTACAGATTTTGTCAACGTAGTAAAAGTAGATGATGTGAACAACAGTGATGGTAAAGCAAGCTTAAAACGGCAGAAATCGCCAGAAAATACAACGGATACACAGGGTATGAGTAATTTTTATTGACTTTACGAGAAAAATGTTCATATTTCGAAATATGTATCGTTGTAAATCGACCATACTTCGTTCCCTGTACTATTCCTTATAACGTGCAGTTCCTCTCGTAACTTAACACCGAGTCACACAACGCGTGACGCGTTCATAAATTAATCGTTGGCTTTTTCTCGAGACGTGAGCTTGGGCCGCTTGTGACAAGACAATTGCGTAAACAATATTTAACATAACAACATTATACACAAAAAAACACAGGGTTTTGGATCACGTATTTATTAAAAAGAATATCCATACAACTACAATGAAAACAAACGTAAGATTCACCTTTCTGATCGTGAAATTAATACCATTCGTACTGTTATCGTAGCTACGTTCCTTGCCATCAAGTGAATCCAACATGTCGTCTTTCTTCACAAGCAGTTTGCATCCCTTATAGCTATGTTCTTCAGTCTCACGGTAGTAGCGTTGTTCAATAGATTGCATAGAGTGTATGACAACTAAGACATTGGCATACTTAGCATACAAGGCATTCAAGGCTTTCATGGCTTTCAAGCGTTCACGACTCAATCCGTTCCAAAATTACCGCTCAATAACATCTTTCAGTGTGGATTAGCCGCGATTAATACGACTTGTATATGCGTCTGTAAGTATTTTGCGCGTTTGCGCTATAATGCTCCAGGAGATCGCAATCCAAATACGTTGAAATACAAAACAACTGACCTAAGAGTTTTATAAGCAAAATCTCGTGTTTGTCATGTGACCCGGCCCTGTCTGTGCATGACAACGTCAATCATCATCAAGATAACACGCGTGATCAGCATGTGAACACCTCATTGGATCACAGTTAGTTGTCATGGAGTTGAGGGATAACACGCGTGATCAGTATGTGAACACCTCATTGGATCACAGTTAGTTGTCATGGTATTGAGGGCCCAATGACCTCTGGGTACTATTGCGCAATTTTTCCATTTTGTGGCGGAGGAAAAAAAAAAAAACTAGACCCTGTGAGCAGGGTAACTGGGATACCTGGATGGTACTGGATCCTTGGAATCAAGTGTAGTGATACTACGAGTGTCGGACTAGTATACTGAAATAGTGCGCTCAAGTCTGGCCAAGAGCATAGACGTATTTCAAAACATAGGCATGGTATGCATGCAAGAGATACTTTTTTGTAGGGTGGGTGGATTACTTGAAACATTGTGAGTGATGTCTACATTCTTACAAAAGGAGAGAAGAATATTAATGTGGGAAAGAACGAAAATGTCAAATTACCTCACTCACAGGTATTTTGTGGTAGATTACGTGTGTTTTGCGAATAGTAGTAACCAAAAATAAACTGTATTGGTGTCACAGATACCTACTAGTACAAAATGCAGACAGCAGACTGCAGACCGGATACAAAATATAGACTGCAGACTGCAGAGTGGGCACAAAATGCAGACTAAGAATCTGAAGAGTTTTTACGTCAGGTATATAATAATATGTCATCTTACAGCTTACCGAGCGTCACGCAATCGCTTTTCTGCAATCCGCCTTCACGATTATTTGCAGTATTGAGGAATATTCCTGGCCCATTTCTTGATGAAAATCGATCGCAATATTATTTCAAGCCTTCAATATAGTCTTATTACTTTGCGCGCGAGTTGGTTGGTGTGATGTCTGTACAGATTTTATCAACGTAATAAAAGTAGATGATGTGAACAACAGTGATGGTAAAGCAAGCTTAAAACGGCAGAAATCGCCAGAAAATACAACGGATACACAGGGTATGAGTAATTTTTATTGACTTTACGAGAAAAATGTTCATATTTCGAAATATGTATCGTTGTAAATCGACCATACTTCGTTCCCTGTACTATTCCTTATAACGTGCAGTTCCTCTCGTAACTTAACACCGAGTCACACAACGCGTGACGCGTTCATAAATTAATCGTTGGCTTTTTCTCGAGACGTGAGCTTGGGCCGCTTGTGACAAGACAATTGCGTAAACAATATTTAACATAACAACATTATACACAAAAAAAAAACACAGGGTTTTGGATCACGTATTTATTAAAAAAAGAATATCCATACAACTACAATGAAAACAAACGTAAGATTCACCTTTCTGATCGTGAAATTAATACCATTCGTACTGTTATCGTAGCTACGTTCCTTGCCATCAAGTGAATCCAACATGTCGTCTTTCTTCACAAGCAGTTTGCATCCCTTATAGCTATGTTCTTCAGTCTCACGGTAGTAGCGTTGTTCAATAGATTGCATAGAGTATATGCAGTTTGGTTTCAGATTTCAGATTTTGCTTTTTACAACAAGTGAACATTTTTCAACTAAGACATCGGCATACTTAGCATACAAGGCATTCAAGGCTTTCATGGCTTTCAAGCGTTCGCGACTCAATCCGTTCCAAAATTACCGCTCAATAACATCTTTCAGTGTGGATTAGCCGCGATTAATACGACTTGTATATGCGTCTGTAAGTATTTTGCACGTTTGCGCTATAATGCTCCAGGAGATCGCAATCCAAATACGTTGAAATACAAAACAACTGACCTAAGAGTTTTATAAGCAAAATCTCGTGTTTGTCATGTGACCCGGCCCTGTCTGTGCATGACAACGTCAATCATCATCAAGATAACACGCGTGATCAGCATGTGAACACCTCATTGGATCACAGTTAGTTGTCATGGAGTTGAGGGATAACACGCGTGATCAGTATGTGAACACCTCATTGGATCACAGTTAGTTGTCATGGTATTGAGGGCCCAATGACCACTGGGTACTATTGCGCAATTTTTCCATTTTGTGGCGGAGGAAAAAAAAAAAAAGACAAAAAAACAAAGGCATTTTATGACTGGGCTACCACAGGTATCCCAGTAAAAAAAGACAAAAAAACAAAGGCATTTTATGACTGGGCTACCACAGGTATCCCAGTAAAAAACTAGACCCTGTGAGCAGGGTAACTGGGATACCTGCATGGTACTGGATCCTTGGAATCAAGTGTAGTGATACTACGGGTGTCGGATTAGTATACTGAAATAGTGAGCTCAAGTCTGGCTAAGGGCATACACCTATTTCAAAACATAGGCATGCTATGCATGCAAGAGTTATTTTTTGTAGGGTGGGTGGATTATTTGTGGTCTACATTCTTACAAAAGGAAAGAAGAGTATTAACGTGGAAAAGAACGAAAATGTCGAATTACCTCACACACAGGTATTTTGTGGTAGATTATGTGTTTTGTGCGAATAAATGTAACCAAAAATAAACTGTATTGGTGCCACAGATACCTGTTAGTACAAAATGCAGTCTGCAGACCGGATACAAAATATAGACTGGAGACTGCAGAGTGGGTAAAAAATGCAGACTGAGAATCTGAAGAGTTTTTACGTCTGGTAAATAATAACATGTCATCTTACAGCTTACCGAGCGTCACGCAATCGCTTTTCCTCGATCAGCCTTCACGATTATTTGCACTATTGTGGAAAATTCCTGGCCTATTTCTTGATGAAAATCGATCGTAATATAATTTCAAGCTTTCAATATAGTCTTCTTACTTTGTGCGCGAGTTGGTTTGTGTGATGTCTGTACAGATTTTACCAACGTAACAAAAGTAGATGATGTGAATAACAGTGATGGTAAAGCAAGCTTAAAACGGCAGAAATCACCAGAAACTACAACGGATACACAGTTCGCGACTCAATCCGGTCCAAAATTACCGCTCAATAACATCTTTTAGTGTGGATTGGCCGCGAACAATACGACTTGTGTATGCGTCTGTAAGTATTTCGAGCGTTTGCGCTATAATGCTTCAGGTGATCGTAATCAGAACACGTTGAAATACAAAACGACTGACAAAAGAGTTTTCTAAGCAAAAATCTCGTGTTCGTCATGTGACCCGGACCTGTCCGTGCATGACAACGTCAATCATCATCAAGATAACACGTGATCAGCATGTGAACACCTTCACCCTCATTGGATCACAGTTAGTTGTCATGGTGTTGAGGGCCCAATGACCACTGGTTACTATTGCGCAATTTTTCCATTTTGTGGCGGAGGAAAAAAAAAAAAACTAGACCCTGTGAGCAGGGTAACTGGGATACCTGGATGGTACTGGATCCTTGGAATTAAGTGTAGTGATACTACGGGTGACGGACTAGTACACTGAAATAGTGCGCACAAGTCTGGCCAAGGGCATACACCTATTTCAAAACATAGGCATGCTATGCATGCAAGAGTTACTTTTTTGTAGGGTGGGTGGATTACTTGAAACATTGTGAGTGATGTCTACATTCTTACAAAAGGAGAGAAGAATATTAATGTGGGAAAGAACGAAAATGTCGAATTACCTCACTCACAGGTATTTTGTGGTAGATTATGTGTGTTTTTCCAATAAATGTAACCAAAAATAAACTGTATTGGTGCCACGGATACCTGTTAGTACAAAATGCAGACAGCAGACTGCAGACCGGATACAAAATATAGACTGCAGACTGCAGAGTGGGTACAAAATGCAGACTAAGACTCTGAAGAGTTTTTACGTCTAGTATATAATAACATGTCATCTTACAGCTTAGCGAGCGTCACGCAATCGCTTTTCTGCGATCCCACTTCACGATTATTTGCACTATTGTGAGATATTCCTGGTCCATTTCTTGATGAAAATCGATCGCAATAATATTTCAAGCCTTCAATATAGTCTTCTTACTTTGTGCGCGAGTTGGTTGGTGTGATGTCTGTACAGATTTTTCCAAGGTAATAAAAGTAGATGACGTGAATAACAGTGATGGTAGAGCAAGCTTAAAACGGCAGAAATTGCCAGAAAATACAACGGATACACAGGGTATGAGTAAGTTTTATTGATTTTACGAGAAAAATCTTCATATTTCGAAATATGTATCGTTGTAAATCGACCATACTTCGTTCCCTAAACTATTCCTGGTGTATATTGGTGTTCTAATGAGACTACGTAATTTAATTCCTATGAAATCTAAGTTAATATTATTCAAAAGCGCGATATTACCATTCCTCACGTACTGTCACCTAGTGTGGCATTTTTGTAAAGCGAGTGACACTCGAAAGCTTGAAAGACTACAAGAAAGAGGACTTAGAGCGGTTTTCAAGGATAATAATTCTAGTTATGAACAACTATTAGAGAAGGCAGATCTGCCAACACTACTAAATAGTCGCTTACAGGATCTGTGCATCCTTATGTATAAAGTAAAGCATAAACTGTGCCCTGCATATATAAGTAACATCTTTAAAGAACCAAATAGTAATTACAATCTGCGGCAAGCAGATTTCTCAATACCTAGGTATGAGACAGTCACCTATGGCAAGCACTCTATTAGATATTTAGGGCCTAGGCTATGGACAAAACTACCCAAGAGTATCAGGGACGTCACAACCCTAACGTCGTTTAAAAGCAAGATACGCCAACTCAATATAAGTGAACTTTCAGATGATGGCTGCGTAGGCTGTAGCCTTTGTTCATTTTGACTTCTGTGTATTTTTACTATAAATCTCTTAATGAGTTAACTATAGATATTTTACCTACTACTGTATATAGTTTTTTTTTAGTTTGTATATTCTCCCCTAATTGGTGTCCCCAAATTAGTAAGGGATTTGTTCCCTAGCTAGACGGTTTTTTGACACTTTAATAAAGTTTCTATCTATCTATCTATCTATCTACTATTCCTTATAACTTGCAGTTCCTCTCGTAACTTAACACCGAGTCACACAACGCGTGACGCGTTCATGATTAATCGTTGGCTCTTTCTCGAGACGTGACCTTGGGTCGTCTGTGACAAGTAAACAATACTTAACATAATAACATTATACACAAAAAACACGGGATTTTGGATCATGTATTTATTAAAAAAGAATATCCATACAACTACAATGAAAAAAACATAAGATTCACCTTTCTGATCGTGAAATTAATACCATTCGCACTGTTATCGTAGCTACGTTCCCTGGCATCAAGTGAATCCAACATGGCGTCTTTCTTCACAAGCAGTTTGCATCCATTTGAATTTTGTTCTTCAGTCTCACGCTAGTAGTGTTGTTCAATAGATTGCATAGAGTATATGCAGTTTGGTTTCAGATTTCAGATTTTGCTTTTTACAACGAGTTAACGTTTTCAACTAAGACATTGGCATACTTAGCATACAAGACGTGCAAGGCATTCAATGCTTTCATGGCTTTCCACTGGCGATTTCTGCCGTTTTAAGCTTGCTTTACCATCACTGTTATCCATGTTAAAAGACGAAGTTTTTGACATGGATAACAGTGATAGTAAAGCAAGCTTAAAACAGCAGAAATCGCCAGAAACTACGACGGATACACAGAGCATGAGTAAGTTTTATTGATTTTACGTGTAAAATATTCATATTTCGAAATATTTATCGTTGTAAATCGACCATATTTCATTCCCCATACTATTCCTTATAACGTGTTCAAATTTTCAACGGTTCCTCCCGTAATTTAACACCGAGTCACATAACGCGTGACGCGTTCATGAATTCATCGTTGGCTTTCTCGAGACGTGAGCTTGGGCCGCCTGTGGGCTTTCAAGCGTTCACGATTCAGTCTGCTCCAAAATTACCGCTCAATAACATCTTTTTGTGTGGATTGGCCGCGAACAATACGACTTGTGCATGCGTCTATAAGTATTTTGAGCGTTTGCGCCATAATGCTCCAGATGACTGTAATCCAAACACATTGAAATACAAAACGACTGACAAAAGAGTTTTAAGGGCAAAAATCTCGTGTTCGTCATGTCACCCGGCCCTGTCCGTGCATGACAACGTCAATCATCATCATGATAGCAAGCGTGATCAGCATGTGAACACCTCATTGGATCACAGTTAGTTGTCATGGTGTTGAGGGCCCAATGACCTCTGGGTACTATTGCGCAATTTTTCCATTTTTTGGCAGAGGAAAAAAAAAAAAAAAACGACAAAAAAACAAAGGCATTTTATGACTGGGCTACCACAGGTATCCCAGTAAGGGACTTGTCAGAAACTAGACCCTGTGAGCAGGGTAACTGGGATACCTGGATGGTACTGGATCCTTGGAATCAAGTGTAGTGATACTACGGGGTGTCAGAATAGTATACTGAAATAGTGCGCTCAAGTCTGGCCAAGGGCATAGACCTATTTCAAAACATAGGCATGCTATGCATGCAAGAGTTACTTTTTTGTAGGGTGAGTGGATTACTTGAAACATTGTGAGTGATGTCTACATTCTTACAAAAGGAGAGAAGAATATTAATGTGGGAAAGAACGAAAATGTCGAATTACCTCACACACAGGTATTTTGTGGTAGATTATGTGTGTTTTGCGAATAAATTATAACCAAAAATAAACTGTATTGGTGCCACGGATACCTGTTAATACAAAATGCAGACAGCAGACAGCAGACAGCAGAATGCAGACCGGATACAAAATATAGACTGCAGACTGCAGAGTGGGTACAAAATGCAGACTGAGAATCTGAAGAGTTTTTACGTCTGGTATATAATAATATGTCATCTTACAGCTTACCGAGCGTCACGCAATCGCTTTTCTGCGATCCGCCTTCACGATTATTTACACTATTGTGGAATATTCCTGGCCTATTTCTTGATGAAAATCGATCGCAAAATTAATTCAAGCCTTCAATATAGTCTTCTTACTTTGCGCGCGAGTTGGTTGGTGTGATGTCTGTACAGATTTTACCAACATAATAAAAGTAGATGACGTGATTAACAGTGATGGTAAAGCAAGCTTAAAACGGCAGAAATCGCCAGAAAATACAACGGATACACAGGGTATGAGTAAGTTTTATTGATTTTACGAGAAAAATGTTCATATTTCTAAATATGTATCGTTGTAAATCGGCCATACTTCGTTCCCTGTACTATTCCTTATAACGTGCAGTTCCTCTCGTAAATTAACACCGAGTCACACAACGCGTGACGCGTTCATGAATAAATCGTTGGCTTTTTCTCGAGACGTGAGCTTGGGCCGCCAGTGACAAGACAATTGGGAATTTTAAATTTGGGTTCGGAAATTAGGTGACCCATCCCTGCAATTGGAGTGAAATCTGCTAACCCTCCCCTTGAGCTTGGCCTAAAATATCATGACTCTCCCCCTCTTGTATAAATGATAAAATCTAGTTCTTGCAATACACTAGGGTGAGTCAGTATTATGAAAACTCAAAATATATTTCTAATCTGTTCTTTGTCATGCTACATACATACATTTTCGATGAGAGCATTAAGAGTCCGACTGATCACTCGACTCTCCTATTTCTCCCAATACAAAGTCTTCATCACTAGAACAAGTGGGTAATGCCTCATCCCCTTCATCTACCTCACATTCATCATGATCATCCACCTCTTCCACACTGAGGGAGCATTGTTTGTTTGTTTTTGTGCCAAATAAAGAACTTCCTTTTTCTTCTGTGGGTGAACCTCTACATGATCACGGACATATATTTGCATGACCCTCCCCCTTTTAACTGCCCATTTTTCATGACCCCTCCCTTTTCTGAGGCTCAAAAAGTTGTGACCCCCCCTCTGTTTCCACCCCCCCTCCCCCCCTGCTAATTTCTGACAAGTCCCTAATTAGTAATGTTTAAATGGTTTTTTGTGACATGAAAGAGGTCACGTTGTCACCGGAGGGTGAAAATAGTCGATTTCGCTAAACAGTAACTCTTCTGAAATTACTACTTTGCGAAAAGAATAAAAATCCTTCTTATCAATTCACGATTACTCTCCTCGATTACTTGTCCCCGTGAAAGTTAATTTCTACCTTATTAGAAATAGACCTGCATTATTCCTTTAGCTTCGTTATATCTCGCCTGGTTTCTTTTTGTTTGGTTTCATTTCGTTTCGTTTCGCAAAATAGAATAAGTATGACAAGCCGTAATAGACAAAAGTGATCGAGATTTTTTTTTCTCGAGTCGAAAATCTTTTTTTCCGAGTCGAGAATTTTTTCATGGAGTCGCAAGGCAACCATAAAGGACCAAAGTTAGCCTACGTGTAGGCGTGCCCAACCCCGATGGCCTCCGTTTCACCTTGGCAGAAATAGGGTGCGGCTACACGTAGGCTAGACCAAAGTGGTCGAGACTTTTTTATCGAGTCGAGAATTTTATAATCATGAAATAATCGCAGCGTTTTCTTTGGTTCTCGCCAATGTCCAAGACCTTTCGCACTTCTTGCGGGAGCTAATAAACCACATCAGGGATAAAATTGCTGCTTATTTTCAAGTCAGTGCTGAGTTTCGTAGTGTACCTTCTCGCGAAATAAGTTCATAAGGAAGACCAAAATGCAACATTACAGCAGAACAAATTGATTAAATATGAAATGTGCTGTCTTGCTTTCCCACCATTTGAAATTTATATTTGAGTATTTTTGATGGACATGGTGTTATCCTACACTTGCAAGTACCAGTGTCCCTTCAATTTTGTGAAAAATATACCTTCATAACAACGATTGGTATAACTATACCATAAAATTGCTTGTGGCAATACCAGAGAGGTTTTTTATGCTTACTGGCAAACTTTGAAACAAACAAGTCAAACTGCTGCTGGTTATTAATAATAGAATTGGACATTACGTTGCATTGCATTACAATATTTTAAGTTGCATTATTGACTATTTAATAGTCAGGAATGCAACTTTAAATAATTCGCAATAGCAAGGCAATGTCTGATTCTATGATTGCCATCATCTGCCAATGGATCAGGAACTAGGCATTTTATGCCATCTGCTTGATTGTCAGTCAGTTGAATGGTGCTTTCAGGCACAGAAACCATGTTTTCTGTCTTGATACAGGCTACGGGTCCATCAGGATCAACACCATACAGGGTAATATTACCTATATCAATGTCATCCACCCCAGAGGGAACAAACTCGGAGTACCAGGGAGAACATGCATGCTATAGTACGTAGACCATGGTGATACCACTGGGAATAAAACTCATCCAAAGATGCCTGAATGGGCCGAACGTAAACATAGTGAAGGGCAAACAAATGGCATTCATCGTGTGTCAAGAATGCCAGTATATTCCATAAAAATGAACAGATCAATGTACGGTGAGGAACCAACCCAGTTAACCTTTGCCCAGAGCCTCTTTATCCTTTGATTGTGCACGCTACGTCCGGGCGTGAAGCTTCCTCTATTTACCCCCTTCTGATCAATCATGAATCGAGCAACATTCACATTTTCAACGCCCTATCCCCTCTAACCCGAGATGAAATTCCAAATTCTTGTATTCCATCCATGAAGTATTGCAAGACTGTACCTGCTAGGTTGTTAGTGAAACACTTTATGTAAGCTATTGCTCCACTATACCCGTCAATACAGCCGTGCAAACCTCCAGTGAATTAATTTAACTTGTGATTTGAGTCAATGTGCCATAAGCGGTTTGGTTTTTTAACATTATATAGACGTCGTTGAATTGCATATCTGCGCCTTATGGCGCGGTTTACAAGATCGATTCTTTGTAATGCTTCCCATTGGTTTTGCTGTAATGTTGCATTTTGGTCTTCCTAATGAACTTCTTTCGCGAGAAGGTTAACACTACGAAACTCAACACTGACTTGTAAAGAAGCAGCAATTTTATCCTTGATGTGGTTTAGTAGCTCCTGCAAGGAGTGCAAAAGCTCGTCAATCAGCAGTTTTATCCCTATAAAAAACGCTACGATTATTTCAACAAAGCCTTCCCAGCTATCGTGTATATATTCCATATTTCTGTCGTTTCCGGGAGCTGTGCATCGTTCTATATGGGAAAATTCAAATACAATCCTGTATAGACAACAGAAACCTCTCCAAGTCCTCTACATTACTGTCAGCAACTTGAAGAACGACAACTGTACAGGCAAGAGCCAATTCGACGAAAACAACAACGCAATGCCTCTGCAAATGTTTTACTATAATGTCAGAAAAGGTAAATTCCTACAAATGCGAAAAAATAATAATTACAACACAGACAAACTACCTAAAGGCCACTACAAAACGAAATCAAAGAAAAAGATGAAAGTAAAGCCGCTTACTAGGAAAAATCTACTTCTATGAACACTAGGTACGGATAGGCACAAAAAACTCAGGTCCAAAGAAACGGGCGAGACAACAAACTATAACTAAATTTACATACAGCACGTAACAAAGGAGCGTAATTAACAAAATACCGAAGAGCAAAAAAAAGTACACGATAACAAGTAAGTGACCCCAATAACAACAATGTATAAAAAAGCTACGTAACCAACAGATCTGCAGATCGCCATATTTTTGATCATTTTGGCGGCAAATGACGGCATGGCATGCTGGGTATTCTCGACTTATGAAAAAATTTTCGACTCAACAAAAAATTCTCGACTCGAGGTAAAAATTCTCGTCTCGGAAAAAAAGATTCTCGACTCGAGAAAAAAATATCTCGACCACTTTTGTCCATTATGGCTTGCCATAAATAAGCCCATAAAGGCGGTACGGAATGACGTGAACAGAGAAAAGCTACGCGTACGGTCCCGTGAGATGTAAGCTAATGAAGGAAGACAAGGAAAGAGCGGCGTTCACATGATAAAGTGCTTATTGACCCAGTCAGGTCGGGCTGGATGGGAAAATATTTGGCCTTCCTACCAGGCCTGGGTTGTTCAAAGCTGAGTTTAGTTAACTCAGGGTCAGTCTGAAAGTTGATTTCGGGTCTGAAAGCTTTAAAAGAAAATACAGTTCAAATCTTTTTTCTTGCAATTTGATCACTGGATGTTCTAACGAGAGTAGGGAAAATTGTCTCTGAAAGGTTTTTGAACAAAGGAATAAAGAGACCCGGATTAAAATTTACCCCTGAGTTAGCGCTAATCGGCCTTCGAACAACTGGGCCCAGGCCAATAAATTCATATAACTCGTAAACCGTTGCAACGAAAGCCAGAACGAAACCGGCGACTGAAAAGACAGCAATTACCTTCTCTTTCGACAAAGATATCTATAACACAGTGGTGTCTCAATTTGTCGGAATATTCTAACTTTTTCCAGAATCCTTGTGAAAACTTTCCTTGTCAGCACGGTGGAACATGCCACGCAAATTACGAGACATACGACTACAGCTGTGCTTGTGAGCAAAACTACGCTGGGAACAACTGTGAAATACCGATTGGTAAGTAAATTTTGTAATGGTGTTTTCTACACGATATCTTACTGGACTTTTTAACTTAACAACAGACTATAAGATAAGCTGACTTCGCTCTAAAATTTGTTTAACGTTAGCGTCTTACAGTTGCTGTTTGACTCTTAGCCCTTGGTTTTGCATCTTGTAGAAAGGCAGAGAATTTTGTTACTTTCCTCTTATTTCTCTGGAGAAGAGGCAAAAAAAAAAACTACACTTATTCTGGGTCTTTTGTTTACCGTATTATTTACAAATTTCGTCAGGTCGAGACTGTTTTTATCTTCTGAACGCTGGCCACAATCGGAGTGGAGTGTACTCTGTTGATCCTGATGGTAGAGGACACTTCAGTGCTTACTGTGACATGCACACTGACGGAGGAGGCTGGACCGTGTTTCAGAGAAGACAGGATGGCTCGGTAGACTTCTATCAGAATTGGGGCGACTACAAAGTTGGCTTTGGTCAGCTGACTGGTGAATTCTGGTTAGGAAACGACAAGATCCACAGGCTGACGGCTGCTCTACCCACGTCCCTAAAGGTGGACCTGGAAGACTGGAATGGAGTTAAAGCCTATGCCAAATATGGAAAGTTTGACGTCGGTGATGAGCAGCTACACTATCGACTTGATGGGGGTTCATATTCAGGGACTGCTGGGGATTCGTTAGCATATCATTATAACATGGCGTTCAGCACAAAAGATAGTGATAATGATAACTATCCTCAAAACTGTGCTGTAAAGTTTACTGGAGCATGGTGGTATAAAAGCTGCCTCAACTCCAATCTGAACGGAAAATACTTGGGAAACAAGCATGGTTACCGTGGAATCCCGTGGTATGACTTCAGAGGTGACCTTTCCCTTAAATTCACAGAAATGAAGTTGAGGCCAGCATTGTAGAAACAACATTAGCTGCATGTGTGATTCTGTCAGCAACCTATGTCACTGTTTTGAATTGTCAATAATTGGCAATTGTATAAAATGGTATTAATGACTTAAAATTTTTCATCTCTAAACTTTAAGATAGACATTGTCAGTTTAGTTATTTAACCTAAAAGACAACATTCAGTTCAAAAGTAAGCCCATTTTATTTCAATGGCCAACATTTGAACATTAAAGTAACATGGAAACTGCATGGGATAAGGACTAAGATCAAGTAACTATCAGAATGACGATAGATTGGGATGAGGCAGGACAGATGCAGCATGAAAGGGTAATGGTAGAGTTTGTACTCAAGCTAAGTTTGTGCTCATTTAATACGAGCACAATTGAATAAATTGAAAAAAAAAGTTTTCCAATGACTCAACCAGAGGTATGTTGTTGAGTTGTTCTTAAAATTTTAGGTTGGCTTATTCTCAACTCTGTCATGGTAAAGAGTGCATCTAAACAAATTTCCCAAGTGACGCTTCACATGTTAATTGTTTAAAAATAATACAGGTAAAAGATCTAAATAAAGTTCCATAAGCAAAAGCCTGTGACTGTTCTTGTGAACTGGGATTTTCCATTTAGAAGGCAAAGAGGCTAGCAGGGAGGCTAGCAGGTATGAAGGCAAGAAGGCTAACAGGTATGGAGGCAAAGAGGCAAGCAGGTAAGGAGGCAAAGAGGCAAGGATGCTAACAGGTAAGGAGGCAAGGACGCTAGCAGGCAAGGAGGCAAAGAGGCAAGAATGCTAGCAGGTAAGGGGGCAAAGAGGCAAGGAGGCTAGCAGGTAAAGAAAGCAAGGACGCTAGCAGGTAAGGAGGCAAAGAGGCAAGGAGGCTAGCAGGTAAGGAGGCAAAGAGGTAAAGAGGCTAGCAGGTAAGGAGGCAAGGAGGCAAGGAGGTAAGGAGGCAAAGAGGCAAGGAGGCTAGCAGGTAAGGAGGCAAAGAGGTAAAGAGGCAGGTAAGGAGGCAAGGAGGCAAGGAGGTAAGGAGGCAAGGAGGCAAGGAGGCTAGCAGGTAAGGAGGCAAAGAGGCAAGGAGACTAGCAGGTAAGGAGGCAAAGAGGCAAAGAGGCAAAGAGGCAAGGAGGCAAGGACGCAAGGAGGCTAGCAGGTAAGGAGGCAAAGAGGCAAGGAGGCTAGCAGGTAAGGACGCAAGGAGGCTAGCAGGTAAGGACGCAAGGAGGCTAGCAGGTAAGGAGGCAAAGAGGCAAGGAGGCAAGGAGGCTAGCAGGTAAGGAAGCAAGGAGGCTAGGTAGAGTGGTCAATTAAGTATACAGTCACGTACAACATAAAAAAACAATCAAACTCAAAGAAGATAAACAAATGCAGTCTCTTCCAGCAGATTTCTCCTCATTCTTATCCTGACCACTGGTGGTTGTAATTCCAGTACTCTCCATGTTTTCTTTGAACCCTATGACAAGATGGTCCAGGAATTACAATTCGCGATTTTCTGTGCAGGGAGGGCACTTGTTCAGCCAAGAGAGTACCTCTCTAAACCTTATTTAGCCAAGTAAATTGCTGATGACATTTCTTTTAATGTGAGGCGACCACGTGATAACATCATTTTGATGACAATCTAAGAAAAAAACAATCAATCAGTCAAGCAATGTAATTGGTTGATGTAAATTATTGCACCCAACAAATGGAATTGGAAATTTAGAAGGGTCTTTTATGCATTAAGGACAATCTGCAAAAATAAAGGCTGGTTCGTAGTTACAACATAATGAAAAAACACCATAGCATAGTGAAATACCAGTCGCTTTCTTCATGCTGACCTTGTAATGTTGCTATAATTGTACACCTGCATGTTTGCATTAAAGAGGTAACAACCCCCATATGTTATGCGCTTTCCTAGCTTGTAAGAGAAATTAAGTCCTCTGAAAGAGTGGTATCAGTATTGGTATTGGCCATCCTTAATTTAAACACCTCTCGGCATTTAAAGATTTTAAGGTAGAAAACGGGGAGAAATTTGGGGGTCTTTCATCTAGCAATGGTGTTACGATTTTCTTTCGGGACATCTAGGGAGGGTAAATTGGAAATACCCCCTAGAGATCCCCCTACATTGTTAAGTAACTGAAACTTACCTCTTCCTTTTCGTGCTTGTTTTTCTTGAACTCTGATCTTGCCCAATCAGCAAGTTCTTTCCTGTGATCTTCATTTTCCACCTCACGTAACGTCTTAAAGATTTCACGATAGAGACTCAGAACTTGCTTTCTAAGAAAGAACTTCAAAAGGAAAAAAACACACGATCATTAAATCTACCAATAATTTTTTGCATAGCAAAGCAAGTTGTCAAATGTTGCTGTCACCTGTTTTAAAGAAAGCGCATTTGAAGGTAACTTTCCAGCAGCCATTTTGAAATGCTGGCTAACCGAGCCTCCATGGGATGGCATAGGATCTGGGGCGAATCCTTCCTTGGAGACGAGAAAAACAACAAACATGGCGGACGAGAAGCGCAAAAGTTCTTCTCTAAAAAATTTGCTCGAAACTGTTTACGAAGTACACAGAAAAGATATTAAAACATATACAAGTGGTCACCTGAACTCTAGTAAGCTCTTGAAACCTCAACACCAACGCCACGCCAAATGGGAGAGTTCAGATAAACCTCCAGTAAGGTGAGTTAAGCTAAGGAGGAATTTTTACGATAAAAAATATTGCGAAAGAACATTTCACTGATTGACACTCACGAAATAACTCTTTGTTGAAGGTTCCGTGTAAACTTGGCTTTCATTTTTTTCATTACATATGGATCCTCAACTTGCCCTGAACTGTCATGTTTTTGCAGAAAATTTGAAGTACAAGAATTCATTAAGATCTACGTAGTAACCCTCCACACTGTCATACATTTTTTCGATTCTTAACTCGGTAAAATTTCCGCACAGCCCCATACTATTGTAAAACAAATCTGTTTTCCCAATGGCAATGTACTATTTTTGTCATTGTTTTCTCTATCCAAGAACTGAATGCATAATGTAGTATGGGGCTGTGCGGAAATTTTACCCTTAACTCTTGGAATTTGATGATAAGACATTACATTTCCTCTAGTTGATGTTTCTCTGACTTTCTTCTCATCAATTTTAGCTTTCTCCTTGAAAATATATTATTGAAGTGATATCGTGAGAATTAAGAGTTCCTCTCTGTAATTTGTCACACTTGGAAGTGAAAGGGTTAAAGTTAAGGAGGCAGGAGGCAGGAGTCCGTAGGCAAAAAATCTGAAAAAGCTATTTGTCCAAAGATTCAGGCCAGAATAGTAGGAGTTATATAAATTTATGTTAAGTTTTAGTGATTGATCCTAATTTCTCATTAATGATAAACTTTATTATTTTAAATTGCAGACTTAAGTCTCCCAGCAAGCTTGTTGATCTCCCAGTGAGAAGAGGTGAATTAAGTTCTACGGAACTCAGACACAAGACAATGGCAGATCGCCTGGTCGAGTTTAGCCTGGGGCCAATCAGAAATATTGCACTTAACGGTGAGTATTACCAGCAATCTTGTAGATATTAATTTTATTCTGCAGTGAAGTGAAAATCCAGGAAGTTATTCTGCACTTGTAGACAGGTTTAAGGGCTGGGTCATAGCGATTAAGACATTTAACCCCTTTACTCCCAAGATCTGATTGTTAATTCTCCCCTCTAGCTGCTACTCGTTTCCTTGTAAATTAGTTACAAGAATTTGGTACTAGATTAAAGTAACAACTTCTAGCTGATAAATTTGGGTATTCTCATTACCTGTTTGCAGGATAATGTATGGATATTAAGAGGTTGCATGTTAATCACTTCTGTGGGTTATAGGGTTAATGGTTTCTATTAATTCTATTTGTATTTGTGTGTTATAATACTTCTGGACTTGAAATTAAATATACTCCTCTTTACCAAATGGGCTCTGAATTAATTTCACATATAACAAGAAATGCTTTTTTTCCTCAGATTTTAAATAGTATTTTGTACAAAACGATAGACAACAAAAAGAACAAGTGTACCACCCCAACTATGACATTATTTTCAACGTTAGAATTTATTTTTTAAGTATGATTGGTTTGCTGTGTTTATGTTGATGTTTTATGTTTTATTACCTAACAGAATCAGAATCAGGACCAGATTTAGCAGAAGATTTTGATGAAACAGCTAGGAAAAAAGAGGGAAAATCAGACAAACCTACCAAAGACAAAACGTATGTGGAGGAATTGCATCTGCCTGAGATAATGATCCCTGTAATGAAAAAGAAAGGTAGGAATAACAGATGATTTTTATAAGAACACTATCTGTACAATGCTTAAGGATCATTTACAATTATCCTTTTTTCAATTCAGAACACCCTAAAATGTCCACCCTTAGGTTTGATTTGGTTGACTAGGTTACAGTTTATATCTTACTTGGAAATTGTCCAATCCCACAACTCCACAAACTTTATTGTCTAAATTTGAGAGAAATGTTAAAACCTTTGTCTTCCATCAGTGAAAGATGAAAGGAAGTTGAATTTTGTGCTAAGTCTTCAGTGGATATAGGGACCTGCTACATATAATTGACCCTCTGAATTCTGAACTGAAAGACTTGGGTATTAAGCCCTGCCTTAGTGGAGTGAAGCATGGTAATGGTACTCCTGGCAAGAATTCCAGTCTCTCTCCAGGCTCTACCACTCATTTAAAGGTGTAAATGGGTGACAGAAAACTGTCAAGGGAACCTAATAAAATGTTTGGGGGAAGGTAATCTTTGATAAACTAGTTTCCTAACCTGGAGGAGAAGCATCCTCCCTAAGTTGCCTTTTTCTTCAGAAACTTTAAACAATTACAAACAGTATTAACAGTTGAATGGATGTCAGTCTCATACTTGATTTAATCATCTTACAGACTAAGCCTTGGAGATAAGAGTTAATAACGAATGTCCACTCTTTTGATATCTTAACCTTTAGAAAGCTCTGGAGAAAAATCAAAACCAGATGACCAGCACCACACATTTGTGAAGACTTATTTGAGCTATCCTACCAAGGCAGACCAGTTTGAAAGCTTTAAGAAATTTGGTGACCAGGTCATGAACCTAGGAGATGCTCATGATCGAGGTGTACTCACAGGAGAAAGGAGTGTTCGAAATTTGGAGCATAGACTGGCAAAGGTATTTATTCAGATTTGTTTGCCTATGCTTGGAGTTATTTATAGGTTGGAAAAAATCAGGCTGAATGCTGAGGTAACAATTTACTTTTATCCCATTATTGTACTCACAAAATCAACCATTGTGAATCTGTTCCACTTTTTTGGGGGATAAAACTGTTATGGAGACAATAGTTTCGGAAAACCATTTTGTGCATCACACACTTTGGCAAATTGTTAAACACTCAACATCATGGAGCAGTCACTTGTCTTCATATGTTTCCCAGACTTTCCCAGGTTTCTTCATTATTTGCTGTACTGATGTTGACAATGATCTCTCCCTATGCAATATTTGGGTTTGTTGTCATCCACACAGCTGTACACTATTAGTAACTTAGTAAGCCCTTGAAGGGTTAATAGAACCTGCTGTAGGTAGTTACCAGCTTTATCCAATGGTAACAAACTGGTTAATAATCAGTCTGAGTCATGAAATCACCTTGTGAAACTAAAAACAGTGCACAAAATATGATTTGACAGCTGTATTTTCTTTGCCTATTAAGCAACTGGCTTCTTTGGAAACCTCAAGTCAGAAAGGACCAAACTTTCATAGACTGCAGATTTATGATAGATGTTTGGCTGAGATTATTGCAGAATCCAGGACATTTGGTCCTCTTCTACAAAGAATCAAAGTGAGTTTACTTAGAGTTTTGGAGTATGACTTGTAACTAATCTGAATTTGGTATATTATGAGCTTCACAAAGTAGCTGCAAAGCTCTTGATGTAGCATCTATATCTTGAAGCAATTGATTTAAGCAAAAAATTGTAACCCTTTAACTTCCAGAAGTGATAAACATGTAACTTCATCTTTTAATATCCATGCATTATTCAGTAAAAACATAATAATAATATCCAAACTTTTCAGGTAGAAGTTATTATCTTGATCTAACAACAACTTCTCATAACTAATTTACGAGGAAATGGACAGTGGCTAGAGTGGAGAATTAACAATCAGTTCGTGAGTTAAATGGGTTTGCCAGCAAGTGCCTCAAGTGGAGCTTTGGTGTCTAGGATTTTTTTGTGTGGAGCAGCACTTGCATGACAGGATACCATCCATGACACTGACTGGCTAATTGCCATAACTGACAAGCCAGCCTTGGGTAGCCATTCCATCCTTTTCATTCAATGAGGCAGAGAAAAAGACTTGACCTGTCTTGTTTGAATTCTAAATGACCTTTGAGCTAGCCATCAGAGAACCTTAAAACTTAAAGAATGAAAGCTTGTTGGGTGCATGTCACAACAAGGTGGCATCAATACTGGTGTCACACTCTAGAGTGAGACCAATGACCATTTACATGGAGGAGTCAAATCCAGATTGTTGTTGCTATTTTGATGGCTCAAAATTGAACTGTTCAAGCAATCCAGTAAGATAACACAAGAGTAGTTGAAACTGAGAACTGATCATTGAATTTGATAGGTATAATTAATTTTTTTACTTCACAGGATGAGTATGACAGTTACTTGACATATTTGTTAGACACACAAAAGCCGTCGCAACACAAAGTGCTTTATCATCACATTAACAGCTTCTCAGAAAATGCATCCACCTCAGACAAACTAAAAGCTGAAGAGAAAAGAGTTGAAACTCTGGAAAGAGAAGCAAGGCACCTCCTGGAAGAAAATGCCAGGTTGTAAATCTCTCTACAATGACAACCTTTTTAGTTAGTTATTCTCAAAACTACGTCCTCAAAGTAATTTGGTATTATCAACTGAGTTTATGATGGAAATTTGCCACTGTGAAGAGTTATAAAGCTGACATTTTGAGTGTTAGCCCTTCATCAGAGCAAATGACACAAAATGTCAGCTTTGAAACTCTTAACAGAGGCCAATTTATGTTATCAACTCAGTTGATAATACCAAATTACCTTGCTATACTCCCCCACTGATGCAGTACCTCAGTTTCTTTAGAAACTTACTTACTTTCTTCATTCTCAAAGCTAGATCTGTAAATTATCAATCAAGTTTTTCTTTAAAAATATTTCCCGATTTTAAAACTTTGGCTACTTTTAAGCTTTTATCTGAATTACAAACTACCTGCTTACTGTAAAATTATGCTTTAACTCATGCAATAATAAGTTTTTGAAGGCTGAAGTTATTGTAAAATCTATTCTACTCTTATTAAAAACTATGTACACTTTTTCAACAGTTTGGCCAAACTTTTGAGAGAAGAAGAGCAAAAAGCTGCTGAAGATTTGAAAGCTGTTACAGTTGGTTAGTTCTCAACAGTGTTAAAACTACTTTTTACAATTAAATTTTCTTTCTTCACTCTGCATTGTTCAGAGAATGATAGTTGATAACAAAATTACTCTCAAGAAACAGTAATATTAGATATGGAGGCCTTATGCACTGCTTTAAGGCATTGTTAGAGAATTCAGGTAAAAATGTTATTTAGCCCTTTAACTCCCAAGATCTGCTTGTTAATTCTCCTTTCTAGCTGCTTCACATTTCCTTATAATTAAGTTATGAAAATTTGATGTTGGATCAAGGTAACAACTTCCACCCAATTAGTTTGAGTGTTCTCTTTAACTGTTTCTTTAAAAATATTATACTATATATTATATTATAGGGAGAGGTTACATGTCAGTCACTTCTCGGAGTTAAAGGGTTCATTAGTTTGGTTATTGCTTTGTTCCAAGTAAATGTCCATGGTACCTAAACATTAAGAAAAGATAAATCAGAATGGTTTGGAATCATTTTACACTAAAATTATTTATTATAGTAAGCTGCAATAGCATTAAAAGGGTCAATGATGGGATATGAAATGTTTTTTTTGTTTCATTTTTGTGTTTATGTATGTTTTCTGTTGCACCAGAACCTCAAGCCAAAGTGTCAGTCCATATTGAAGAAGTTCCCAAAGACCTTGAAGAACAAGTAGAAGATTTACATGCACAGGTTTGCTTTTTTTTCTAACAAAAAGCCTATTCCCAGGCTAGATGATTATAGATAATTATTAAATGATATAAACATTTAAGATAACATGAAAATATAACAAGAAAGTTTGAGTTGACTTGAGAGTGGATGTTTTGCTAATACCTTGAGAGATGGTCACAATACTTTAGCATTATAACCCTTAAACTCCCATGAGTGACCAAGAAAGAATTTACCCCTAGCCTTTCAATATCAAACTGAATACAATATCAAGCTGACAACTTATGACAATATTTAACAAATATCAATCAAGTGATTAGTAGTTGATCCAATACTAAATTCTCCAAACTAACATCATGCAATTGTGTAGTTAACAGTAAAGAGAAATACCAGTGAGTACTAAATTAATTGAGATCATGAAGTAAATTGGTAAACAATTTGACTGTTGTCTTTTTGTATTTACATCACAATTATATCAGATTTTGTCCCAGTTGGACTGTATTGACGACATCAAGAGACATCAGAAAGAGTATTGCATACCCATCACTGTCTGTCAACATCTGGAACAGTGCGTTAAGGAAACTGAGGTGAGATACCTTGACCATTTATTGAAAATTCTACTTGCAGATTTTTACACAACCAAATATTACCATCAGATTTGTTTAAGCAGTAGAATTTCAAATTTTACATGGCTTTGTTTGTAGGTTGACATACAGAAATTACTCAAGCAGAATGAATTTCTGGAGCAAACAATCAAGGTATGAACAGTCAAGTAAAACTTGCATCTTTTTTACTTTCAGAATTGATAGTTAATCCTAATGGTTATCTTATAAATTTTAATGACCTTTGTTTACTAAATGAAAAATAACATGGATGGTTTGTTGAAAATATCTGTATTCCTGTCATAAAAGCTTACAGGACATACCAAAAATTAGGGTGAGTTTTGTAAAGACTAAAATTATATATTGTTAGGATAACCACAAACATTTTCAAAGGGAAAGTGATGGGCTTCAAACTATCAATCTCTATGTCTAGAAGGGCACAGGGGTGAAGATAATTGTTTTTCCTATGTTTCCCTGTCCATCTCCAAGTCATCCACTCCTAAAATGAAAGACAAGAATGGGTTGACCAGTTCTGTTTTTTCTCGTTTTTTATTTTTAGGAGCTTGAGGAAGAACTGCAGTCAATGCTAGATAGGTCAAAAGTTCAAGAAATAGATGCCAGGTATGTGCTTTTGTTTTTGCAATAATAAGAAAGAAATTAAGCATTATCTTTAACCGTTCAATTCCCACGAGTGACCAAGACAGAATTTCTCCTTAAATTATCAATACAATATCAAGCAGAAAAGTAATAAGAATAAAGAAAATATCATTAAGAGAGTTAGCGATTGATCCAATACCAAATTCCCCAAACTGACATCACAAGAATTGTATGGCAGATAGTAAGGAGAATTGCTGAAAAAAAAAAGGAGATCTTGGAAGTGAAGGGCTTAAGTAAATTTACGTGAAAAGCAGGACATTGGAATTTAAACATGGTTTACCTAGTGATTACAAATGATTCACCGTATTAGTTGTGTTTGGTGACTCCAGAAAATTATTTTACATCAACAGAAAAAAGGTTAATAAATGCAGCAGCATTAAAATATGGTACCCAAAAATGAAAAATATTTTAAACCCCAAGGACATAATCAACTGGATGGGTACATTTACGAAACTGCTGTCACATTGTGTTTTCATACTCATCTAGTCACAAAATAATATGGTGAAATGCTTTTTATTCTGTATCTCTTTTCATCAGAAAATTGTGGAGAAGAATCAACACAAGTGAAGTTGTTCGTCTCGGCAAAAAAGAAAGAAAAGATAGTTTGAAGTAGCAGAGGAAGAGAAGAAAATAATCAAATGGAGATACTTTTATAAAAGGAAACTCTAAAAATGTAAACCTTGTACACTAATATATTTATTGTTTTGAATATTAAAAGATTTTACAGTGTACATAAAAATGACTTACTGAACTCTAAATCACATGACCTGAGCTTAATAACTGTACAACTTGCAGAAACTTTTTAAAATAAAATAGGATAACAACTGGCTCCATTAACTATGTGTACTGCTATTCCCTTAATTCTGTTGTGGGTATTGATGGTCACTACAATGTAAGGAAAGGGATGGAATTTGGTAGGTCTGAAAACTACTCCAAGTCAATCTTGCATAGCCTAATTGCAGACCATTCAGAGAAAATTTCTGTGTAGGACTGTTCTACATGCATGGGTTAAAATGAGGTAGTTCAGTTTTGCTAGAAATCAAACATCTTAACTTGAGAAAGAATTTTCCTAATGCAGTTCTTGACACATTGTGAAACAAATGGAGTGGACTTGTGTTTCATTCCAATTGGACTCTTTACTGCAGATTTCATGCTTGACTCACCCAGCAGATTACCTCAAGAAAGAGGGACTGGTTATGGGCTAATAGAACTCAGAAAATGAACACATGTTTTCCAGCAGGCATTAATCATTTAACCAAACATGAAAATACATTTAACCGCCAAGTCCATCAATTCAGTTAAATGATGATTTTATCTATAAACTTCACATCACAAAGGTTTACACCATTTCCCCATAACTTTCAGCATCAAAGGCTTTTCTTGCTTTCTTCAGTTCTTCATTCATTGTCAAGAGGTCCTTAGAGAAAGGAAAGCAAAAATGTCACAAGTAAAGTGGATAATACAACCCTAAATACGTTCATAAAGAAAGTCAAACTCTTCAGTAATTGGTGGCACTGACTGAAAAAATTGAGTCTGCGGTAATCTGCACTAGGCTCTCACTGGGTGTAGATGGAGGAATAAATTGCAAGGGTCTGGAAAGAAAGAAACTTTTTCCCAAACTCTTATCATGTTTTGTTTGCCTGTTCTTACAGAGGGCCAGTTGCAGACAACAGCTTTTAAGATGAGATACAACTCCCAATGAATTGAATGTTCAACTATCACTGACTTGCTAGAAATTTTCCCAAATTGAATTAATTGGTTTGAGTAGTGTGCAACTACCATTTATGAAAGACCCCTAACACTGGGGTGTAAGTGGTCCTCCATCAAACCAAGTTCACAAATTCAAAGGCACTATAAAGTTATTGTAACTAGAAACCAAAGCCCGTATCCCTTAATGGGCAATGTTGTGTTCTGCTATACCATTTAGAAACAGAGCTTGGAGAATTCACAAGTGTTCACAAATTCTTCTCTGCTTTTCTGACTCACAACTTCTGTCTCTCACTGAAAGGAGATGCAGCAAATCAGGGTTCACATATATGCATTTCCAGTTCCTTACCTTGACTCTGGCATATTTCTTGGGATCCTTTCTGATCAAAAAGACAATATCCTCCACATGCACCTTTCCCCTTTTACCAACTTCCATGGCCTTAAGTGTCTGAAAAACAATAGAAACTTCTCGTGTAAAGAGTAGTTATACTAAAACTTACTGATGAAAATTAATAAATTGCTGGGGGAAGGTGGTTGCTTGTGATACACTGGCATCTTAATTGGGTGGAACATTGCCATACTCCTGGTCACTTTGGGCAGTAACAGGACAAGAGGCTCAAAGAACTTAATTTGGGGGGGGGGGGGCAATCAAATCCTACCAAAAAGAAACAATTCAACAATATTACTTGGGGCAAACAATTCCAAAGGAAATGTATGCATATTAACAAAAATAATTGAAAATTATGGAAGATGTTAGATCCCAATGTTATTAACAACCAACCTTCCTCAAACTTAGCCACTATAGAAAATTAACATCACTATGATTTTTGGTAAAACGAGTTTTGACTTTTACAATTGTGTTGCTGTCCCAGGCAATTGGCTCCATCTCCAGCAACAACGTGTCATTTGGCCTCTTTTGGCAGGCCTTCTTGTTTGACAGTTGGTAACACACAGCTCTAACGATTTGGTCACCATTGAAGAAAATCAGTCAAAACCCTGTCAATAAACTTTTTTCCACATCTCACTCAACTAAAAATCGTAGTTTTATCTCAAACCATAATTGGAGTAAGAAAGCTTGCAAAACTTAAAAATTATTTTTACTTTCTATACAGGTTTCTTTTACATTATGGCATAAATTAATTAATTTTATATCATAAAACATTAACATCTAACCATTTCTGTGATGTATTCCACAACAAGATCCTCAAGTAAATCTACAGATTCTGTGAATGGCACTTGATCATCACCAAAACCAAACATCATACATCTCACTTTTAGAAAAAAGAAGAAACACAAGACATAATTTGGGCTTGTTGCACCAATGCTCAGTGAGCCTTAGCAATAAAGAAAGATGTTTTTCGTCTGGTCACAAGCATGACAAAGAAAATATTCTGAGTCCCCATGAGGAATCAAACCATATTTTCTTTGTCCCATGCTTGTGACAAGACAAAAAACATCTTTCTTTATGAATGTGTCAGTTGCATATAGAAACCTCATTTCTGTTAGGTTATTCTCAATCCTTTTTTATCATAATTTGCATGCAATCAATTAGGTTGACAGGTAAGATTTCTGAACAGCCCCATGTTAGTGTAATCCATAGTCCCTTGCGCAATCTTTTGTTTTCGCCATAAATGACTGAAACAAAAGACTGCAATTTGTATTCTTGATTCAAGTACAGTATGCTTGTAGTGCCGTGCAGAAATCTTACTAGTTGACAACACTAGCAGTCTAATGGACAAATAAAAGTGGTGTGTGTTACCAATACCTCAGTTTATTTCGGATTTATATTTATTTATTTATTTGATAAACCGCGAAAACAACCTCTGAGCGAAACGACCGAACTTGACCCGATTGGAAACCTATACACACGTTCTAGGTTTTACTTCAGTTTTGAAGGAAGCGTGTGTTGCTGAAAATTAGACGGTTTTTGATATCAGGTTTTACATGTAGTTAATCAGTCCACTTTATCACTCATTTTGTTGATCAGTCCATTTCGTAAACGCCTTACATTCTTTATGAAACAGTCTTTTTCTTTTGCCTCCTGCTTCTGCATGGACTGATTCAGATTCCTCCTAAAAAAATAAAATAAAAACAGAGTAAAAGATTCCACCACATATCCAAAATAATTACAGTCTTATTATTTCCTTACAAGTATAAATGGCTCTGTATTATCTGCATACTTATGATCGTTGCCACGTATTCTGACACCACTACAGTGAGAAAGAAATCGATTGGAAGGGAAAGCAACAAGGATTCGAATGTATGGACATGGGAGTAATCAAATTCGAGAGTACTGACACTATAAAAATTCCAACTGACTAGGTAAAGTATAAAAGTTGTTCATATTTCACATTGAGGTTAATGGTGAGGTGGAAATATCGATAAATTTCGTTTTACCTCAACTTCGTCCTCGATGTCCGCCATGTTGAACTCCTCACCAGTCTTACGGCGTCATTAATATCCATAGTTCCCAGAGTCCCAACGAAAACGCGAGAATGTGTTCTGCGCAGATTACATGTCAAAAGAAGTCTCATGAAAGTACTTCTCAGGTAAATTCGCTTGCTCCAAGACCATTCAGGAAAACTTGTTTAGGTAAGAATCCACTAGGTTCTACATGTTGGAGATCAATAGAAAAAAAATTTGTACAATCTTTTAAAAAAGTCCTTAAAATTACAATATTTTTCAAAACCTTTGTACCATGGCTGATTTTGCGAGCGATCGTCCTTTCCTTTACTTAGCGCAATTCAAAGCACGAATCACTGAAAAAATTGGCGGATAAAACGCAACATTGGAATATCTTTAACGGTTCATCCGACAGAATCCGCTGAGAAGGTGAGATTGCTCAGAGTAACCGGTTGATTGTTTCTCAGGCTAATTAGGGCAAGGAGAGAGATGAGTTTAGTGTGACTTCTAGGCAACCTCTTGTGGCTTCGAAATAATGTTTTCTAGCTGTTTTCGTAACAACAGAGCTATCGACAAGTATTTAGACGGGCAAAAGCAAACTGAAATCACGATGAGTTTCATGAATTTATTTTGTAGTTTTATCGTGTATTTACACGTAGTTGAAAACCTTCGGAATCCCTCTTCAGACTAAATTCTGTAAATCAGTCACTCAATCTTTTTTTTTTTGACTCAGAAGGATTTTGAATAACTCAAACGTACACTTGTAAAATCCGCCTATTTCCTTAAATATTCTTAATTGTTCCCCATTAGGATTTCGATTTTCTAGGTGGAGGAGGGTGAATATAACATTCACCTGGTTCGTTCACGAGCTCCACTTTGATCTGAGCTTTTTCTCTGAAAAGCAAATGTATCTCCATCATTCTATCTTAGCTTATAAATGACCTTCAGTGTCTATCTCTTTCTTCTCTGTTTGATTCTGGCCCTGTGCCGGCTATTCTTTGGTTTAATATCCTGTGTTGGTGAGGGGTTGTGCGTGCAATCGACGAGAAATTTTCTGATGTGTCTATCCAGCTTTTGTCGTTCTCCTCCTTCATAAAAAGGTAGTTCCATACAGGCGTATTCAGCAAGTTGCTGCCAGCTTTCCTTAGTCATTGCCTTTAACTCGATGCCGGCAGTAATCATCTTGCGCATTCCCTCTAAGCCGTTTGTGATATCTTCCTCAAACTGCGGCGTCGGTGCCAAGTCAACTTTGTACAACTGACAGAGATTAATAGTGAAGCTGACACCATAAGATGAACAGTGCAAGTTATAGAATTCCACTAAGTCCTGTGCGCATTGTTTTTTTGTGAGGCCAGGCATATTGTCATGGTGTTTAGTTGATCTATAGCAAGGCTGCTTGTTCATGAACATAGTAACGCTGCCCCCTTTCTGATCTTGAAGCGATAGCACAGCTTCTTTAAACTCCTCGTCCATCAGCATAAAGTACTCCGCATGAGTTGTGTTGCGGCGTTTGCCTTCAGAGCAATTTCCATATCTAGCATGAAAAATCAATCTTCCTGTTTGGTCGGTCAAGCGAACATAGATGACTACAGAGGCGGCATAATCAAATCTCGGATTGGCTTGCCTCGACATTTTACCAACGCGGCATCGCGAACTTTCAAGACATTTGTAATTTATGTTACCTCTTCTTGTCTGCGTAACGTGGTAGAACATGGCGCAGAACTGAGCTTTAGTGATTGCCAAGGGATTACGTCCTCCAAGTTTATGATTCTCACTGTGGTCGTGAACAAGACTATTCTTGTCACATTCCGTAAGCGCTTTCCTCTGAACACGGGGCCAATCTTGTGAGGAAGATAGCTGCTGAAAGTCAAGAATCTCCACTGTATTCCAGTCCATTGTGATGACAAAAATAAGATTTTCGAATACAACAAAAAGTTGCGATGAAGTAATCGGTCCGGCGACTATATTTTGAGGTACTAGTACCGAGTGGCCTTTAAAAATCAATATGTTTTCACATTTTTTTATACAAGTACGTTCATCTCTGATTCCTTTCAGGCAGCTGAATTTGCTAACCAATTTAGGTGATCCCTCAAAGTTATATACTTTAAAAGTCTTATCACCCATGTCCGTTACAACAAGGTGGTTGTTTGGTGCGAAGCAGATATCGTAAGGACTTATGAGATCTTCAGTAATTGTTTGATATGCGGGACTTGAATTATCAACATTTCTTGAACTGCGGAACAACTCAATCCGTCCTTCACTTCGCTTGACGACAGCCAACCTTCCATGTTCAGAAACCGTCAGTCCTACCTTGCTCGTCATTAGGATCTTGAAGCCGTAACAGTTTGGTCTTGATGATCAGAGAATCAATGTTTCAGCTTTACTGTTTTTTAGCTTTTCTCTGGCAGAGAGATCCCGCAGAGACGCCATGAAGACATTGAGTTAAAGAAAAAAAAATATAGCGACCGAGACAGTTTCTCAGAAGACCGGGTTTTTCTGAGAAAGTGACGTAATTCCGACGGAAATAGCCATTCCTGTCACGTTACTGCTTATGAATTATAGATGTGCTTGTTCCAGTACTTATCTTTCCCGGTGGTCATAAAACATAATTAACATGCCGAGAAAGAACGCAAATAGTTGGCTTTCTTATACTGCAGCAATCACAACATAATCAAGCTTCATCCATAACAAGACCTTACCGATGTTGTTCTTTTCATTTTCGTTTTTTTTCTTCCAACGCTGAATAATTAAAAGAGTGTAATCTTAACATCGCCAAGCTGCAGGTTGTCGCAGATAAGTCTGTGCATGTAGTTTTCTGTGAAAGCTTTGCCACCCTTTTAAGGTAGAGGTGTACCAACAAACTTTTCTATGATGGTGGGGAAAAGATCGCCTAGTTGGGGCATGACATCGAGGAAATTAACTGCAGTCAAAACTTTGTGACATCACCTCTTTTCTCTGAAAAGAAGCGGGTTTTCCCGAGAACTCGATGATAATCCCTTATGATTTTAAACAGTTCGGAAAGAGAGTTTAGGATGTCTTTGGCAAGATGATGATTAAGATAGATCTATAAATATATGAACATGAATTAGATCTGTAATCGTCTGAATATAAATATTTCGAAAACAGCCTAACAATGTCGATATAAGTATAAATTGACTTAAGCATCAGGACCCGAGTGGTTGTTCTAGAGGGGCAGATTTTGAACCAGAAATTTTCCAGACAATCATCTGACCCACATAACATGGACGCTGCAAAAGTTACAGTAGGACTGTAGGTTGATAATTACTAACATTTGTGGTAGTGTAAGTTGGAGCGGGGAACAGGAGCAAGGACATCCATCATGATTTGGAAAACAATTATTGCGATTGTATAATAAGCTCACCCACAAAGACGAATTGGAAATCAAAAATATAATTTGTTCTTTAAATACAAGTACAACACATAAAATGGCTGGTTATACCCAAAGTGATTTTTTGCATGGCTTGGAAGATTTCCTCTGATGCCCTGCCAGACAAAAATTACAGAACGGATCAGTTTAGCAGTGAAGACTATTATGAAAATCTTGATGCATGACTCGTTAACTTTCCAACTCTAACTGGCTATATTTGGTAAGTAAATGAACTGGTGTTCTTTTTATTTTGGAAAGAACCAGGTTGATGTATCGGTCTAATTTATGACGATCGCTGTCTTCATAGGCAGGCAACTGGATGTGTGATATCTCAGCTAGTGATTTCCAGGAGTCTTCTCTCATTGCCAGCAGCTCAATACCACAAGAGAACATCCTCTTTACCCCTAATCTAGTGTTTTCAATGTCTGTTGTCAAAGATCTATCGATTGAACTGAGTGACATATCAACCTTGTGCAACTGACACAAATTTATAGTCAGGTTTACTCCGTAAGGTAAACAATAAACATTTTAAAAATTGATCAGATCTTGAGCACAGTCTTTTACCTTGAGGACGGTTTTCTTTCCATGTCCTGTTGATCTATAGCAAGGTTGTTTGTTCATGAATAAGTTGATGTCTCCTCCGTTCTGATTTTGAAGAATATTGACCGCTTCTCTAAAATCATCATCCACCAGCATGAAATACTCTGCGTGGGTGGTGCTTTCGTAAACTCCTTCATAACAGTTGCCATATCTGGCGTGAAATAAAAGTCGACCGTTCTTCTCTGTTATTCGTACGTAATCACAACCGTCTCAGAAAATTTTCTCCTGCCCCCTCGTATTCCAACGTTGCATTTCGATTGTTCGAGACACGAAAATCCCGTGTGGTTCGTTTCTGTTACGTGGTAAAACATACCACAGAACTGAGCTTTTGTGATTGCCATGGGCATGCCATGGGGTTGAACCCACCAACCTCGTGACTGTTTTTGTGATCTTGCACTGAACTAACATTATCACAAACTAACCTTTTATCGAACTGTAGTAGTCGCCAATCTAAGGGAGGACAAATAGGAAGGTGGCTGACGAGGCTTTGCTTACTCCAGTCCATGTTGATCACAATTACTTCCATTCCACTTGATACGAATAGTTGCGATGAAGGTCCGGAACTGATAGCTACGTTTTGAGGGATTCGAAAAGTTCCTTGTGTAATTGAAGAGAGAATAAAAGAAATAGTCAACTGAACGACGAGTGTTAGGAAATTATTTGTAGCAATTGTCTCTCGGGCGGATAAGGGCGAAGAGTAAGGTGAGGTTTGCCACTTGTCATGTGGTATGACTTCTAGACAACTTCTTTTGGCTTCAAAATAATGTTTTCTGGCAGTTTTGGCAACAACAGAGCAACCGAAAAGTATTTAGATGGTCAAAAACAAAGAAAATTACCACGAGTTTCATGAATTTATTTTGCAATTTTATCGTGTGTCTACACGCAGTTGATAACCTACGGAATCGCTATTCATACTGAATTCTATAAATCAGTCGCTCGAACTGTTTTTTTTTTTTGACACAGGAGGATTTTGAAGAACTCAAACGTACATTGTACAATCCGCCTATTTCCTTAAATATTCTCAACGATTCAAATCCGAATAAAATAACTGTTCCCCCGATTAGGATTTCGATTTTCCATGTGGAGGAGAGTGAATAGTCACCTGGTGCGTTAACGAACTCCAGCTTAATCTGAGCTGTTTCTCCGAACAGCAAATGTATAAAGTAGCGTCAAGCTTAAAATTAAATACTACGCATATATATTTCCATCATTCTATCTTGGCTTGTAAATGACCTTTAGTGTCTATCTCTTCCTTCTCTGTTTGATTCTGGCCTGCGCCGGCTGTTCTTTGGCCTTCGCAAGCGACGAGAAATTCTCTGATGTGTTGATCCAACTTTTGCCGTTCTCCTCCATCATATAAAGGTAGTGTCATACAGGCGTATCCAGCAAGTTGCAGCCAACTTTTCTTAGTCATTGCCTTTAACTTGATGCCGGCAGCAATCATCTTGCCCATTCCCTCTAAGCTGTTAGTGATATCTTCCTCAAACTGCGGCGTCGTTGGCCTGTCAACTTTGTACAACTGGCAGAGATTAATAGTGACGCTGACACCATAAGATGAACAGTGCAAGTTATAGAATTCCACTAAGTCCTGTGCGCATTGTTTTTTTGTGAGGCCAGGCATTCTGTCGTGGTGTTTAGTTGATTTATAGCAAGGCTGTTTGTTCATGAACATAGTAACGCTACCTCCTCTCTGATCTTGAAGCAACAGCACAGCTTCTTTAAACTCCTCGTCCATCAGCATAAAGTATTCCGCATGAATTGTATTGCGGCGTTCGCTTTCAGAGCAATTTCCATATCTAGCATGAAAAATCAATCTTCCTGTTCGGTCGGTCAAGCGAACATAGATGACTACAGAGGCGGCATAATCAAATCTCGGATCGGCTCGCCTCGGCATTTTACCAACACGGCATTGCGAACTTTCAAGGCATTTGTAATTTATGTTACCTCTTCTTGTCTGTGTAACGTGGTAGAACATGGCGCAGAACTGAGCTTTAGTGATTGCCAAGGGATTACGTCCTCCAAGTTTATGATTCTCACTGTGGTCGTGAACAAGACTATCCTTGTCACATTCCGCACGCGCCTTCCTCTGAACACGGGCCCAATCTTGTGAGGAAGATAGCTTATGAAAGTCAAGAATTTCCACTGTATTCCAGTCCATTGTAATGACAAAGATAAGATTTCCGTATACAACAAAAAGTTGCGATGAAGTAATCGGTCCGGCGACTATATTTTGAGGTACTAGTATTAAGTGGCCTGAAGGACTCAACAAGTTTTCACAATTTTTTATAAAAGTACGTCCATCTCTGATTCGCATCAGGCAGCTGAATTTGCTAACCAATTCAGGTGATCCCTCAAAGTTAAATACCTTAAAAGTCTTATCACCAATGTCCGTCACAACAAGGTGGTTGTTTGGTGCGAAGCAGATATCGTAAGGACTTATGAGATCTTCAGTAATTGTTTGATTTTGCTGACTTGAATTATCAACAACTCTTGAACTGCGGAACAATTCAATCCGTCCTTCACTTCGCTTGACGACAGCCAAACTCCCATGCTCAGAAACCGCCAGTCCTACCTCGCTCGTCATTAGGATCTTGAAGCCGTGACAGTTTGGTCTTGATGATCAGAGAATCAATGTTTCAGCTTTATTGTGAACACAGAGAGATCCGGCAGAGACGCCATGAAGACATTAAGTTAACGGGCTATGACACTTTTCTATAAACTGTATATCTCATCGGCTTATATAGCTACCGAGAGGTTTCTCAGAAGACCGGGTTTTTCTGAGGAAGTGATGTAATTTCGACGGAAATAGCCATTCCTGTCACGTTACTGCTTATGAATTACAGATGTGCTTGTTCCAGTACTTATCTTTCCCAGCGGTCATAAAACATAATTAACATGCCGAGAAAGAACGCAAATAATTGGCTACCTTATACTGCAGCAATCCCAACACAATCAAGCTTCATCCATAACAAGACCTTACCAATGTTGTTCTTTTCATTTTCGTTTTTTTTTTCCAACGCTGGAAAAATCAAATAGGGTGTAATGTTAACATCGCTAGGCTGCAGGTTATCGCAGATGTGTCTGTGCATGAAGTTTTCTGCGGAAGCTTTGCCACCCTTTTAAGGTATATATGTGCAAACAAACTTTCATATGAAGGTGGGGAAAAGATCGCTTAGTTGAAGCATGACCTTGAGGAAATCAGGTAATTTAGTGTTAATAACTGAGTTGAAAACGTAAATTAGCCACCGTAAAGGGTAAAAAAGGGTAAACACCTTGTGACATCGATCAGTTCATTTCTCGGAAAAGAAGCGGGTTTTCCCGAGAACTCGATACCGGGAAATCCCTTATAATTTAATACGGTTCGAAAATAGTGTCTAAGATGTTTTGAAAAAAAATGATGATTACAATAGATCTATAAATGTATGAATATAAATTAGATCTGTAATTACCTGAATATAGATATTTCCAAAACAGCCCGACAATGTCGATATAATTATAAATTAACTTAAGTATCAGGACCCGAGATGTCATTCTAGAGAGGCAGATTTTTGAAGCAGAAATTTTGCCAATAATCATCTCACTCACATAACATGGACGCTGCAAAAGTTACAGTAGGGCTGTAGGTTGATAATTACTAACTTTTGTGGTAGTGTAAGTTGGAGCGGGGAACAGGAGCAAGGACATCCATCATTCGGAAAACAATTACTGCGGTTGTATAATACACTCACTCACAAAGACGAATTTGAAATCAAAAATACAATTTGTTTCTTTAAATACAAGCACAACACAAAAAATGGCTGGTTATACCCAAACTGATTTTTTGCATAGCTTGGAAGACTCGGAAAACAAAATTACAGAACGGATCAGTTTAGCAGTAAAGACTATGAAAATCTTAGTGCATAACTCGTTAACTTGCTAAATCTAACGGACTATATTTGGTAAGTAAATGAATTGATGTTCCTTTTATTTTGGAAAGAACCAAGTTGATGTATCGGTCTAATTTTTGACGATCGCTGTCTTCATAGGCAGGTAACTGGATGTGTGATATCTCAGCTAGTGATTTCCAGGAGTCCTCTCTCATTGCCAACAGCTCAATACCACAAGAGAACAATATTTTCACCCCTAGTCTAGCGTTTATAATGTCTGTTGCTAGAGATCTATCGACTGAACTGAGCGACATATCAACCTTGTACAACTGACACAAATTTATAGTCAGGTTTACTCCGTAAGGTAAACAATAAACATTGTAAAAATTGATCAGATCTTGAGCACAGTCTTTTACCTTGAGGACGGTTTTCTTTCCATGTCCTGTTGATCTATAGCAAGGTTGTTTGTTCATGAATAAGTTGATCTCTCCACCGTTCTGATTTTGAAGAATATTGACCGCTTCTCTAAAATCCTCATCAACCAGCATGAAATACTCTGCGTGGGTGGTGCTTTCGTAAACTCCTTCGTAACAGTTGCCATATCTGGCGTGAAATAAAAGTCGACCGTTCTTCTCGGTTATTCGTACGTAAATCACAACCGTCTCAGAAAATTTTCTCCTGCCCCCTCGTATTCCAACGTTGCATTTCAATTGTTCGAGACACGAAAATCCAGTGTGGTTCGTTTCTGTTACGTGGTAAAACATACCACAGAACTGAGCTTTTGTGATTGCCATAGGGTTGAACCCACCAACCTTGTGACTGTTTTTGTGATCTTGCACTGAACTAACATTATCACAAACTAACCTTTTATCGAACTGTAGTAGTCGCCAATCTAAGGGAGAACAAATAGGAAGGTGGCTGACGAGGCTTTGCTTACTCCAGTCCATGTTGATCACAATTACTTCCATTCCACTTGATACGAATAGTTGCGATGAAGGTCCGGAACTGATAGCTACGTTTTGAGGGATTCGAAAAGTTCTCAACGCCCTCATGTCAAAATAGGGTACATTGCTTCGATCTAGTACGATAGACATTCCAAAGAAATCGTGGCCGATGATAATCTGATTTACTGGTTGTAAATTTCGTGTCAAATCAAAGATTTTGATTGTGTTATCGCCAACGTCTGAGACTACAAGGGCTTCATTTGGAGCAAAGCAAAGATCGGAAGGCCTCGAGAGACTCGCGGAAATCTTTCTGACCATCCAAGGAATACCACTAGTGACATCTCTACCGTAGAGTTCGATGCAACGTTCCTTTATAACTGCAACTTGTCCATGTTTGGATATTGCTATTCTATTGCTTTCAAGGCTTGGAAACGACTGTTTTGTTGGGAAAACGGCCATCAAGGCTGCGACTCAACGGAAGGAATACACCAAGTATAAAAAACCACTAAAACACTATGAAGAAAATTTCCTAACGTAAATTTATCTATCGAAGAAATAGTAATTCAACCTTTCAGGTATTTTTCATATTTCTCCGAAATCGCCGTGACCGTATTTCTCGGAAACTGAAACTGAGGGTGCTAGCTATCCACGCGTGACCGTCAATATGGAAGCATCCTGGAAGAAAATGGTCAGCGGCACCTCTTTCTTTGTGATAAGGCTAAAAATTTACAGATGTATAGAATTAACATTAATTCTTTAAACTGACAAGGGAAAATCGAAATTCCTTAATGTCATTAAATTCCGTGTGATTTATACAGCACCAAGAGATTATATTCTCATGACAGCACTAAATAAGCACCTTCGATTAAACGAGTTTTTAAGTGCAGGCACCTTCCTCGTCATCTGAGAGGATACTAAGCATAAAATTCATAGGAAAAAACAGTCGATGGAAATCAGCCTTAAGGCGTAAAATTAAAAAAATTTAACTGTTCAGTCGTATAAAAGCTAGCTTTTAAAATTTTTCGTTACTTCGATGCGTCGTTTTTTAAGTGTCAAAAGTTAGAAGGTTGCGATTTTATCCCGATACCGAAAACAGAGACCTTTGGCTCAGATCCCGCAGAAATTACTGATAATCACCAATCGATTATAGACAACTCATTCTCGTCTCGAGAATCTCTCTTCTTCAATTGCTGTTGGTGAAAGAAAACGAGGGACTGGGGCCGAGAATGAGAGACCACGTTCGCTCCTTCAAAATGAACCTGTAATCAGGTGGATCCTAATAACTTTTCAAAACATTTCTCCGGTCACAATGAAATTTCTAATTGTCTGCAAATTGTCAACCAAAGTACGTAACATTTTATTCGTCATTACTTCGTAATCTTGTAATTTTGGTTTCAAAACTTTGAATAGGGTGGATGTTGTGATACGCACTAATTCTATTGATTGTGTTCATTATGATGAAACTACATTGGAGTCCATTATTAACTTTAATTTCAGTCTGGCAAGATGGTTTCCCTTTGGCAGGAGAATGACATTTTGAATAAATATTATTATTAAATTTTCAACTCCGAATATTGCACTTCTAGTGTTCTGATTGGTTCACTAAATTCCGGATATCAGCTCATATTCCGAGCCGCCTTACAAGAAAGTTCACTGCGCCAATTGGTGCAGAGCTGATACAAGCTCCAGGTATCTAAACGGTCAAGATTAAATAAATTTTATTTAAAAAATTACTCCATTTGCGCTTGTTGGATACGAGATTGGTTATAGCCCACTCGGCACTAAGCACCTCGTTCGCCATCTCATATCTAACGCGCACTCATGGAATAATTGTTACCTATTCACTGTCGAGCAACTTGCGCGGGATTTGCTCCCGAAAACATCATAATAATCGCAGGAATAAATGAATAAAAAATCATCTTTTTGTGCCCTTTTATCCCACTGTTTTAGTATAAACTGAAACAACTATTTACCTTCGTGTCGATGGCTATTTACCTCTCCGCTTCGCAGCTTGGTAAATATCCACCAATAGCCACCTCTGCTTCTTTGAATAGTTGCTAATTATCATTATCATTATAATTATTATCATCACTGGCATTTATTGTCATGGTAAATATTTTTTTATGTAGTAAGGCTGGCAACGACACTTTCCCAAATGACAGAGGATCTCGATGAGGTGATGGCTTTTACGGCTAACGGTCAAAATGTTGGCAAATTTACAGCTTGCAGTTAAACTTCTTTCCGCTGTTGTCACCAGAATTTTTTTACGCTTAACTTTTTTGACAACTAACGGTTAAGATTTGTCAATTTTTACCATTGAGACGCATTGAAACACGTCTTCAACTTTCCAATACTTCTTTAAAAATCCTAGCATTGCAGGGCAGCGTTTTTGTATGAACTCCACTGGGATGCTAATGCCAATACCCTCAACATTCATTGTTATCGTTATCGTTATCAACTGCTTTATCGTTCAACGTCATCGTAATCTCTATCGCTAATGTTTTCTTGAGCGTGTAGTTGTCATGTTCATCTACAATCCAAACTTCTCCAGAAAAGTAAGATTTAAAGAAGACATCACGTACCAGTCTTCTACTACAAAAGTTTTTCCATTTTTACGCATCGAACAACGCCCCCGCAAAAAAATCAAAAACAGAAAGAAATTTCGGCAGACTTCTGATATTATCGAGTGAAACCAGAATTAAATGAATTAACAATAATGCAATAAATTTTCCAGAATCTTTGTTTTTCGTCTTTCCAAACGAAACTCGCCTTATTTTACGATAAAATTTTTGACCAAGAGCCTTTGTCTTTTATAGTACAGGTGAGATCCGCATCGATCTCTAAATCTTTATTAAGGAACTAACGATTACTGTTAAAAACTATTTTTTTTCAGGGTCCAATCAAAGTACTACGCTGTTGCTAGTTTCTTAAGAAAAAAAAATCCGTTATATTTTTAGAGACAACCACCAGTATGTCCTTTATCTTGCGATACTGATAAATTTCAACTCTTAAAATATAATGGGATTTTCTCGACGAGCAACAGCATAGTCCTTTTAATTGGACTGTGATTAAAAATAGTTTGTAACCGTCAATAGCTTCTGATTTTTTTGCAAAAAAATGTTTACTTGATTTGTCATTGAGAAAATGCGAAATGACTTCAACCAAAACTATCCAAACTATGTATAAATTGTCGACCACAAAGTGTTTGGGTTTCTGGTTCAATCTTTTGTTGCTATAGTTACCAAAAGTGTAAACACTTCTTTTTCATGCAGATGGATGACGTAATACTCAAGTTATCACTCCACCACAAATACCTCGTTTGCATATTCCCGGTTTAAAAAAATCGCCTAAACCTTCAAGGTCATATAACGCCGGTTTAAAAGTTGGAATTGTTTTCATCTGCGAGACAAATCAGATCCCTCGTGTTCGCAAATCGAGGTAAGTCAGCGTTCTTCTTGTGCTGGGGATATTTTGAGCGGTTAGCTTTTGAAGGAAATTTAACAGGAACTTTGAAACCTCGAGAACTTAACTGTTACATATTTGCGAATGTTTGACTTGTTCACCAGTTCTGATCGTTCTTTTGGTGAAAAATCTTTGCCAAATTTGCGTATAGAGAGAAAATTTTATGGGAATTTTCGAGCAGATTTTTGGGAATGTTTCATAATTTCATGTTTCACTGATGATTACTCATGATTCTCTCCGAACTTCGAAATCAAATGTTATAATACTTTCCTTTAGGTCTTGCGTGTTTTTGATTTGTTAAATAAGAGAGTCAAAGCGAAAATGAAATCGAACTAAAGATGTTAGAAATATGACGTATTTCTTTAAAAATTATGTTTTTAGTCCTTGGTTTTGACCATAATTGGTCACGCAACATTATCTCGAAATCTTCTTAAATAAATGATTTACGCGAATGACTTCAACAAAGTGAGAGACATTACAATCGTTTAATCTTTGACAGTTCATCTCGGTATTTTTGCCGTTTAACCTAAATCTTCGACGAAGTTTTGAAATGAATCAAAACTTAATGCACTTTGGGATTATGCATGCCCGTGGCGTGCATAATATCAACTATATTGATTACGTGCATCAAGATACCATAAACAAGTCTGTTCGCATCCTTAGTTCTGGATCCTTTCAAACTAAATATGCAAATTGTAATTTTGACAGGACTACAATTGGAATAATTCTCGGGAAATTTTTGTACGATGGAAAATTCTAGAAGTGCATAAAGTAAAAGAAAACAATTCGTCAGAAGTTCACTGTCGTCAATACTCTCCGTGTCGTCAATTGAGCCTCAAAATTATCAGGGGCTTAGAAAGTTTCCGGGTGTCGCATTTTTTCTTCATTTTTTCCTCCCGGAAACACTGTCCCAAAAAGTCAGAAATGCCCGGAAATGGGTCCCAGTCTTCCTTGTGCCAATCATATTTGATACCAGAGGGGGCTTAATATATTGCTTCACACTGCTCTCAGCCTTGAAGTTACGCCCATTCTAGCGAGCCAAACTGTTGAGATTTACCGTAAAATTTGGCTCAACTCTCTCTTATTTTTTCTCCATTTTTCATCATAGGTAAGTAAAACTAGACAGATAATCTTAGAGGACATTGATAGCAGTTTTGATTTTCTCTCCTCTAATATTAACGGAGTTTTCAATCTTTCGTTCGAATTGGACGCGGGCATATGCATTTCTGAACTTATAATTGTAATTCACCGCCGATGAACATTATTCCTGCCTATAAGATAAGCTTTTCAGACTAGTCCACCGACGTGAGGGATTTTACTATCCGGGTAAATCCTAGAGATGTGGCTCACTGCCTGAATATGCTACACGGAAAGTTCTCAGTGAGCGTGACTATGAATTTCAGCCTTGTTTAATTTCGTGTTCTCTTGTATTACAGCCCAAACTTAACCCTGTAGCTGCCGGTCAAGGAAATTCATTTTTAGTTTGTGAGTTTATTTGTGGTGACAAGACAAAACTCTTCAACATGCCGAAAGTGGTAAGTCCTAATTTAAATCAATTTTTCAACCGCTTCAGACTTCAGACTTAAACACAGTTGGTATGGTACAGAAAGTACATATTTGAGTACATTCATTTTCGATCCTGCGTTTGATAAGTCCGATTATTGATTTCCTCAGCTGAACGTTCGCGTCACGACCATGGATGCAGAGCTGGAGTTTGCAATTCAGCCAAGCACAACAGGAAAACAGCTCTTTGATCAGGTAAAAAATCTTGAAAAAATTTAAACTCGCCGAGCATTCTGCACACTATGCATAGTTTAATAACTATTTACTAATCAGTATTCAATTCTCCACACAGGGGAACGACATCTTTGAAACCAAGCCTATTTTAATCCATATGTTTTCAAGACTCTAATTTATTTTTCCAGGTCGTGAAGACGATAGGCCTACGAGAGATTTGGTTTTTTGGTCTGCAATACACAGACACCAAAGGATATGAAACATGGCTAAAGCTAAACAAGAAGGTAAAGTTCGAATTCAAATGTTTTGGAAATGAAATGCATATTTAGTATTGCAAAACACCAGGTTGAGTCTTTGCATCCTCCGCATCTGTACCTCAATGGAAATAAGAGCTGATTGCGTCTGTACTTCAATGGAAATAAGAGCTGATTGTTTTGTGGTTTTGGCTCACGAAAAGGTACTCAGCTAAATTGCAGAGAACCATTATGAATTGTCTGGCTGGGTCATTAACATTCTCTTAAATTCACTCTTCACTATGGATATCATCCAGCTGTAGAAATTGAGAGAGAGCATCAGTTGTTCGACCAGAAAATAACAGATAAAAAAACCGCAGGTACAGATTGAAGGCACATCAAGGCACGCTCCTTTTTGCTTAAAGTGTATCCTATATGTTGAGACAAAAACCTCAGTAGGGAATGGATTTATAATTTTTTAAGAGCTATAATATGACATTAGTCACTGCCTGTCAATGTGAGGGATCCATTAGTAAAATAAAAAGTTTTTCATACTTGACTAATACCGACAAGGTAAAACTAAACCAGAAGTCACCATGACAGCTTATAAAGCTGGAGACAGGCAGACTGTAAAATATAAGTCTTCCTATTTGGGAAGCACAGACCATGACATGTTGTCTCTGAATTCTGAAATGGCTGTGTGCCATTTTTATTCATGACTATTGTCTTTCCTCACCAGTTTGGTGTTAAAATTGGAATTATCTCATCACCTGCGACAATCTTATGTATATACTTTCAATGCACTTCTGTAGTTAAGTTGCTTTTTCAGAATCTGGCTCTATATTCCTAAGTTTCATTCAAACTATTGTTTTTTTGTTTGCGTAAGGATATATATGTTAAAATTTGAGCATGATGACCTTTTTCAGAGCATGGAAAACAGTGAAGATAGTTAAAATAGAGTGAAGAAAACAGAAGGGAAATCTGTATCTTAAACAAATGATTAATTGATTTCTCACGGAAGTTGCAATAAATTGCACTTGTTAAGCATTCCCAGACTACAAATGGTGTTAGTCTTTGTAAAATCTACTGGCTCTTAATTATTCCAGACTGCATGGGAAATAAATTGATTAACTATGTTAATTAACCTGTAAATTAATAGACATGCTGCTAATGAGATTAAAAGGTTTTGTTAAAGATAACAGACTTGCTTGGAGTTGGTTTGAATAACAAAGAAATAAGTTATTATTTATTGTGCTGCTTAGTTTAGCAGTTTAGAGACTGATTTATCAGTTCTTGTCATTAATCTTATACTACTGACTCTTTCATGTAGTCTTTCCTCTAAGAGTCTTGGTAATTGTAATTTAAGTTCAAATGTTTTATTAAAACACTTATGATAATAATCTTTGTCGCTCTCAAACTTTTAGTACAAAGTAAAAAAAAAGCTTTATCTCAATCATTCTCAAAACTGAGACCAATATGCAGCTTTCATAACCAACCACAGATGACCTCTGAGCTACAGAATTAAAAAGTTGAAAAATTATTCAAATTTTGGGCAGACACTTTTCAAGGCCACTTGAACATAATGAGAATTGATTGTAAGTTTGTTTTTTTTTTTCTGTCCCTTTTCCACCAGACTGGTCGCCAATCTCTCTGTTGCTATTTTTTGTTAGGTTGATGCTTAATGTGCCTAAAAACTGTTAACAGCAGTCACTTCTCTGTTTAAACTTAACACGTATATACTTGGTGGTGTCACACCCTGAAACAGCAGGTCATCTTGACAGGCGTTGTTGTGTTTATAAGTTATAAATTCCTTTGAGGGTGAGGCAGCTATGTAAATGTTATTTGAGGAAACAAAAGTGTAGAACTTGTTATTAATTTCATCTGCCCAAATGGCAGGGAGGCTTGGTGTAAGGCTTGGGTTTTTTTTCTTTTCAGGACAGTGTTAGAATTGTTTTTATTGTCATCCTGTGGAAGCTTAAGTTGTTGACAAAACTTAAAAAAATAATTGTGTGACTATGGTTAGATCTGCTGTTATTATACGTAATATGAGCTTTGTAATAAAGTAAAGTTGTAGCATTTTAAGCAAATTAAAGGGTATCAAATATTCTTGTGTAAGGAGATGTTTTGGTAGAGACTGTTGTGATTTTAAAGCACATTGTTGGAATAAAGAGGATAGATAGGTAAGATGCTGTTTTTGTATGTGCCTTTGATTATAAACTGCCCTTGTACTAAACTAAAAGCAGCTAAACAAGGTTGAATCTGTTAACTTCACACTTTTGTTTTTTGTTTTTTTTTTTATGATTAGGTACAAAGTCAGGATGTTAAGAAAGAATCACCACTTCAGTTCAAATTCCGTGCAAAATTTTACCCTGAAGATGTGTCTGAGGAACTCATACAAGAAGTCACAAGGGTGAGTTCATTAAAAAATTGGTGAAAATAACATAAAGTCCTGAGAGTATCAACTAACTTCTTACTAGAAGGTTTAAGTCATTCATTACAGTGAAGTGCAATGGCAAGAAAATGATTCAATTATTTTTTTAAGGAAGTCAGTTCAGGTGTAGATGGTGATGTTTGGACATCATTCTAGTATTTTTCATCCAGCAACATGGTCAACTGGTTATGCCTCACTTTTCTGAAAAAAAACAAAAAAAAAACTAAGAATCTGCTTTGTTTGTTGGTGAAGAAACATAAGAAAAGAGCAGATGCATAGCGCTGAACTGCTAAAGTAACAACTCTGTAAAAGGTCACAGAGCAAATGTACCAATAATAACTTTCAGAAACCAACCAATCATGTTGATAATTGACCTGTCAAATCATTGCAAACTTCATTGGAAGAAGTAACTGCATTGCAAAAATAACCTCTCTCTTAGAGAAGCATACTGTATGTTCTCTTTCATTGTTTTGAGGAACCATTGTTTCAGGGGATGCTACAAAATTTTTGGAAGTGTCTACTATACAAACTTTAAGTGACAGCCTTTATAATCTTGCAAAATACTGCATATTCCTACAAGGTCTGCATCATGGATTGAAGTGTAAGAATGATGTCCTCAGTTTACTTGTCAATGTAGGTGGTGGAGACACTTTTAGAGCTGTAACTAGAATTCTGATCTCTGCTTTCTTGTTTTGCAGAGACTCTTCTTCTTGCAAGTTAAGGAGGACATCCTTGCTGAGAGAACTTTTTGTCCAGCAGAAACTGCAGTTTTGTTGTCCTCATATGCTGTAAGTTGACCACAACAATCAATATTTTTGTGTCAGTTAATGTCCCTAATCATGATGTCTTTATACTTTAATCTTCTTATTTTATTGATACTTACCTAAAATCTATAATGTGATAGTGCACAATCTAAAATATTTCCCTGTTGTTGAGTATCTTTTTCCCTGTTCAGGGCGTGAAATTAACTTTTTTTTCTGACAGCCACTTGGCTCCTAAATTCTTCAAAGTGGTAGCCAATTCAAAAAAAGTCGGTCGCCATTTTCAAAGACAAACAAAACCTTTTTTCACGCTGTCAATGTTCTAGATAGACCCTCCAAATTAACTTAGGGAAAAGATCTCTCACGTTTTACAAAGTGGACACTAGGATGGATGATATACAACCTTAAAGCTCACCTAAATCCAAGATGATGTCCGGTTATCGATTGAGATGCGTGTGCTGAGTTTTGGAAACAAACTTGACGAGGAAGTTTGCCGCGGATTTATCTTTGCAAATCTTTTTAATTCACTATATCTCTCGGTAAGGTTGTGATGAAACATTCTGGTCGCCATTTTGGCGACTAATTTTCAAGATTTGGTCGCCAAAGTGAAAGATTTAGTCGCATTGGCGCCTGTATTAGGCGCAATTTCACGCCCTGCTGTTTTTGATAAAATATCATTAGGAAATAAGTGTCAGTGGCTCCCTCTAACGACAACCTCATTAAGCCTAAGATTGAGTGATGTTCATAGGTTTTTTTTGATAACTCTTATTTCCCTTTTGGTCCTTGTCAATCTCTGCATAGTACTCAAAACGATCTAAACACTAGAAAAGATGACCAGAAGTTTTCCAAACATTTTAAGTTGGTGGCTTCTTCCAAAAGAGGAAAAATTTGGGACCATAATGAATGTGAGAGGGATGACTAGCTTGCAACCCTCAGTGTTCACACTTTTTTAAGGAAATGCTCTATTTCAAGGAATTGTAGCAGTAGAAAGTTGGATCACGTGTTCTGGTTATAGATGATAACAAAAGAGAAAAGTATGAAAAGGGGCAAAACAAATACATAACTTTCACTGTGACCAACTAAGATTGTTTTAATAGGACCAGTCAGATGGTAAAATCATAAACACATACATATATTAGCTAAATTTCCTCACATGGCTTTTATACAACTTAGGCACCCCTGTAGGAAGGATTGGGTAGAGTAATGTGCTCAAATCTTCAGAGCTACCTTGTGCATACATTTATTGATTTCCTTATTAATTTATTTATTCATTTACCCTGCATAGTTACATGCAAAGCATGGGACATACACCAAGGATGTCCACACTACTGAGTTTTTGAAACAGGAAAGATTAGTATCAGAAAGGTGAGGGTAATATATAGATTTAGCCAAGCCTAAAAGCAGAGCTTGCATTCCCCCTACTATTTTGTATAATTATGGGGCTATGCTCTGCGAGCTCCACTATCATATATGATAACAAAGATACTAAGTAATTTGAAATGTTCTTAGTTTGTCATTTCAAGTGCATCTGATCAAAAGTGGATTTTAATTATTTGGATTGATGTCAGACCAAAATAATAATTACTTACTTATTTGCCTTTTTCTAAATTCAGACTTTTTGTATGTATTTTGCATGTTCATTAGCTGTATACTCTGGATGGAATCCTTATTTGTGATTGGTCATTTGAGGCTACTTTAGTCTGAAATCTACCTGTTAATTGTCTCTCAAAAGAGTTCTGTCCTGTTAGTTCACCTTTGTTTCAGACTAAGAATAATTTTAAGATGTTGATTCCATATGCTGCTAGTTCTCTGAAATGGAAGAATTGTAAATTATCTCAAGGGGCTGGTGCTTGGCTTCATTTATTTTTTGAACACTTTGTTCAGAAATGTAATATATAGTGTTTCTATTCCATAGATTTATTGTCAATAAGTTGATAGATGATGTTCCTGGAAGGGTCTCAACTTGGTGGGGTGAACATTCTACTATATCAAGGTATGGCAAAAGTTACTTAGAATGATTCATTTTCAACCCAAGTTATTCTTCTATTGGTTTTTTATGGTATATAGGAACACAAATTTTATAATAAGAAAAGGTTCCTGTACCCATTTTGGAGCAGCATTACCTTGTAAATAATGTATAATTCCAATAATGGTTATATTTACAAGTACATACTAAATTTGTGTTTATGAAAATTAAATTTCTTTTCCTACACTAAGAATTAGGGTATATTTTACCTGTGAGTATTATTAATATTATTGTATATCATATGTTTGAAGGAATAAATAAACTATTACCAAGTGAAAAAAAAATTGCAGAAAGAAAGTCAGTTCTCATTTCCTGGAAAGGAAAAAAAAACAGATAGGCCACCATGTTTGTTTGCAACAAAGTGAAGAGTTGCCTCCTAGTAGGTTCGAACCATGAAGAAGGTGCTATTTTTTGACGTGTATATGTTAGTCACATGTAAAACTATGTGCAATAAGGACCTAAAGTTCATTTACAGACATGGAATGTGATGGAATTTTGAAGTGAGAGTCAAAGAAAGCTAAAAAAAAAAGGACAGAAAAAAGAACCAGAAAAAGAACTAAATCTACCCTGCAAACAGCTAAGAAATTCTAAGAATACTGGAAACTGTTTCTGATGCTTTTCAATCAAACAAAGTGCTAGTGAAAGAAAGGTATACTTAAAATACATGAACTCAAGTGAAAAATGAAGAGATTGGACAATATTTTTTCCTCTGTGAAGGGCACCATCTTTTCCTGTACTTTATATATGAAATTTGTATTCAGGTTCTATCAGACAACATACTGAGAACTCTTGTTACCTCACCAACTTACCTCCCATCGGCTTTGAAATGTTTATTGTGCAGCCTACTGACCATGCTTTTGTTTCTGGGGAGAAAGGTTGGGGGGGGGGGGTTAGAGTAGAAGGTTTAGAAGGCTATGATGAGGGCTCATCTAGTCAAAGACTGTTCAGTTATTGCTATTTTTGCTAGTGTTCCAAGAATTGTTTTGCAGGTATTTAAGTACCTTTTTTTTTCCCTATTGATTTCACAGAGAGGAGGCCATGATTGAATACCTAAAGGCTGCCCAGGATTTAGAAATGTATGGAGTGAACTATTTTGACATCAAAAACAAAAGAGGGACAGAACTCTTCCTTGGCGTAGATGCATTGGGTTTGAACATTTATGAAAAAGAAGACAAGTAAGATTTGTTAAGTTTTGTTTACAGAAGGGGCTTGCATTCTAAAGTTAAGGTAAAAAGATACTTTCATGGGTGGGATACAAAAAATTACAATTAAAGCAAGTGCTTGGAATTAATCCTTATAAAACTAAATATCATTTCAAAGCTTGTAAACAACCCAATTTTGATAATGTTGGTTTTTTCCCCCCTCAAATGTTGAGATGATAATTGAGCAGAAAGAGAAAAGTACTTAATATGTTTCTTTAATCAATTTAAATGTGCTTGTGTTTTATTATTTCTGCAAATAATCTTTGGGAAGTCAATCGACACTGGCTGATTTTTGATTGACATCTTCTTTCAAAAGTTTTAAGTTTTTCAAGTTCAAGTATGTAATACTTTATTTCTGACCTTGGCCCTTTTCAACCATATCTCAAAAATGTTTTGCAAAATCAAAATTTGGTCACAAAATTTGGCCACTGTTTGCTTGCTTTTGTCTGAATTTGATTTTTCCATAAATTCTTGCCTGAACTAATCTCTTTGTGGTGGTGAATTTCTGTAGATTTTGCTTAATTACTTGACATTTTTGAAAAAATGTTGTCCCTAAAGTATCTTGCATCCATAAGGTAGTGAGTAACATAACGTCTGTAACTAAGGGCCATGTCCTACACTATGTGTCAATCTAGTCCCTTTTTTTCTGTGTCAACCATTCCTTACTTCTGTTGCTTCTGCCATTGCATTGAATAGCTTTGATCATGGGAATTATCCTATCTAGGATTTGTTTATTGAAACCTGAACGTTTTTCTAAGTCAAATAGCTGTTGTTGTTATTGTTGTTGTGGTGGTTTTTGTTTTTAATTAAACATTCATTATCTTTTGTACATTGTCATTGTTCAACATCAATCATTAACCTTTAATCCCAGAGAGTAACAAGGTACCAATTTCTCTTTACAATCCATCCCTTCAATCAATTGTTTAAGTTACGAGAGTGAAGGAAATGATCAGCAACTAACAAAGCTCTTGGTGTTTTTACTAATTCTCCTTGTTAGAATCTAGGAAATGTATAGAGAACAGTATGGAGAATATGCATACTGATGTTAGGTTGTAAAGGGTTAAGCTAACAAAAAATAGACTTGTCACAAGTTATACTTTTCTCTTCAGGCTGACCCCCAAGATTGGATTTCCTTGGAGCGAGATCAGAAACATTTCCTTTAATGACAAGAAATTTATTATCAAACCTATTGATAAAAAAGCTCCAGTAAGTGTTTGCTTTTCATCACCAATGAGTTTTGTAGGGGTATCATTTCCAGTAATAAACTGCATCAGTACAAGAATTTTCTCTTCAGTCAGTTTAAGTTTTAGCATAAGATTGCTTATGGTCCAAAGTGGCTCTTCTGGGTTAATTTATAACACTTTGTTATGGGCTTTTGCCTGACTGCATCAAGCAGTGAATTAAGGAAATTTTTGTAAGTGCTGCAATATCTGATTTTAGACCAGACCACAACAAAGGGAGATATACTCCCTACTCTTAGCAAGAAGTGTGTGGGTCCTTTAATGTCTTCTGCTTACCAGTACAGAGAATATGCTGAGGCCTTCTATTGAGTGTTGTTTCTCTTGGCTTTGGCCAAGCAGTTATATGGTGCTTCTTAAGTGTAATCACTGGGGAGTTGAACTGTAGCATTTGTTTTTGTTCTTTATTTTTTAATGAAGTACTAAATTAATTCTCTTTTGAATTTCTATTGCATAGGACTTTGTTTTCTATGCTGCTCGCCTGAGAATAAACAAGCGAATTCTGGCTCTCTGCATGGGAAATCATGAACTTTACATGAGACGCAGGAAGCCTGACACCATTGAAGTTCAGCAGATGAAAGCACAAGCTATGGAAGAGAGACAGTCTAAGTTGAAGGAAAGGTCAGTTTTCTGTTAGTACTGATGTAGCTCTCTATGCTAGAAATTGCTATAAAAACTAGAGAAATAGAACAGTACAGCTTGTTCTGCTATCTAGAGACCTGTACAATCATGCATAATCATAACTTGGAGTTATAAAGTGAACATAAAATTTTTAAAGCAGGAATTTGGCAAAGAAAGATGCAGAAACTTGACATTATCTATTTAGCTTTTAATTTAAAAATAAGAAGTGGTATATGTTTTTCCTTTGTTGTTTCTTGTGTCCTTGTTGTAGGCAAAGGCTGGAAAAAGAGAAGTCAGCACGTGAAACAGCTGAGGCAGAGAGGAGGAAGCTCGAGGAAGAGTTACATAAACTTAAAATGGAGCAGGAAAGACAAGTGAGAGGTACACAGTCAAAGCTCTTTGATAGAGTCTACAATCATAGACAAAACTAGGGGAAACAAAACTGAACTCTGAGCTACGAATCATTCACCTCCAAGATGTCTTAAACATGATTTCTACAGCCCTTACCCTCATCAAATTTTGTCAGAAGGCATTCCAATATAAAATATAGACCTTGCCGAGAGACAGGAACTACTGATTGGAGCAGACAGGGGTTCAATATATTTTCATGCAGGAGGGAAATGATATGACAATTAGGTGAATTTGCTTAAAAGTTAAGTCTGAAATTGAAGCCTCTTAAAGTTAATGCAGTGGTCAGAGTTTGGAGCTCAAACTGCTTAGCTAGACTTAGATGTGATAGTTTGAGTTTGTGTTTAGTCCTTAAGCCTCCTCAGCAGTTTATTCTCCAGGATTTCTGGATTCTAGTTTTTGTCCCTCTAAAATAAAAATTCCAATGCAACCAGTCACTGTGGAAATCCAATTTTTTAAAATTTTCTTTAAGATGGACACCATGCTCTATGGAAATGTAGGGTTAGTCCCTGCCGTCTGTATTCTGATTCCAAGGTTTCAAGCTTAACCCTGTAACTACTGACAAGATCTTATTGTTAATTCTCCCCTCTAACCTGCCATACATTTCCTTAGTTACGTGAAGTTGGTGTTTGATCAAGAAAACTTCTACCTGTTGAGTTTGAGTATTCTTATTACCTTTCTGCTGGATAATGTATGGATATTTTAGGGAGAAGTTACATGTTAATCAACTCAAGGAGTTAAAGGGTTAAGTTTTCATTGATTTGTTTAATGCTTACTATTTGAACTGCAAGTTCCCTTCAATGTCTACAAAAACCATAATTTTCACTGTAAAAAGTAAGCACAGGTGTGGTTTTGATGTTGTTGCAGAAAAGGAAGAGGCAGAGGAGAAAGCTAAAGAATTATTGAGAAAAAAGGCTGAACTTGAGGAAGAGACACGCAAGCAGGAAGAGCAAAAAAGGCAACAACAGGAAGAAATTGAAGAAATGAAGAAGAAACAGAGAGAAGAGGAAGGGGAGAAAGAGAAAATGGTACGTGTAGATCTTACATTAAGGAAAGAAAACTGAAGTGTTTTGGAAGCAGCAGTCTGGATAAAAATGTTTGCTTCTCTGTAGTACTGTGTTGTAACAGAACTCAGTGAGGAGTCATTTTTTTGAGCCAAACAAGTAAACTAATAGGCTTGAATTAAAGGATGTGAGATGCATAAGATTTGTTTATCAAAGAAATTACAAGTTCTCCACAACAGTAATTTACCACTGTCTCAACCCAATGAACAAGTTGCCAGTAATCAGATCCTTGCATTTGCACAAAGATTACTGGGATCACCATGGGGCAAACACTGCAAGCTGCTCAAAGGAAATGTGTGGTGAAAGGTTGTTTCAACATCTAAAAAAAAATAGTAGTGGACTGAACACATAAACAAAGCTGAAAAGGCTTTATTGGTTTGTTTCTTGGCAATTTATCGCTACTAATTTCAAATTTTGAGACCATTAAGCAATGTCAGTTTCACAATAAACCTTGCTCATAGAGAAATGTTTAGATTAGATAGATTTTACTACATATTTTAAGATTGTTCAAACAAAAACTTGTGCTTCCCTTGTATCAACATAACTCAAATCCATTTCTGATAAAACAGCAGTGAAAAGGGGAGAATTGTTTCTTTGGATGTTGAAACAACCTCTTGCCATACATTTCTTTCTAGCGAGTTGCAATGTTTGTCCTTTGGCAAACACAAGGATCCAATTACTGACAACTTGTTCATTGTGTAGTGGTCACTGTTCTAAGGGGATTGTGCACATTGATTTAACTGCACAAGGAGAAAATATTTGTTTGTTGAGTTTTTTTTTTTTCTCAACTTTTCAAAAAGGCTCAGGAAATAGTCCAGAAAGAGGAGGCACTTGCTCTGTTAATGGAACAAGAAAAACAAGCACAAGAGGAAAGAGAAAAGATCAGACTGGAGGTGAACATTTTCATCGTTAAAGGGGCTCACTTCTTCTGTTTATTCTGAAGTGATTTATGAATGTTATGAGTTGTATTTTGCATCTTTTATTCATCAATTTAATATTACTGGCCGTTAGCTCCCTATAAGTATAATTGCTCCAGTGATTATGGAGATGAGTGTGCTCTGATTGGTGAAGTGGTCATTGCATCATATCTCACTATAATCCATGAGGTGATTATAGCAGGGGTGCTGAATTTCTAAATAGCTGCCTTGCATTTTGTAATTGTTATGCAGGAAGTGGTAAACGTGATGGAAGAAAATGAAATCTTGAACAGCACAAAAGATGCTATTAAGTTTGGCAGAACACTTGTTAAAAGAGAGAGAAGAATGTTTTGTTGGTCTAATTAAATGAATCTGTTAAATTCTAATGGAATCTGGCTGTTTATCTCAGTACATTTAATTTAAAAAAAATAGTAACAAAATGGTTTCAACAACAAAACAAATTTATAACAGTATTCGAAAGCACTCAAGCAATTATACTAAAACAATGTAGGTCCCAGCATTCAAAATTTTGGTACTGGAGTTTGCTCTCACTTAGAATGTTAGAGAAGTTGTATGTCCAAGCTTTCAAAATTTTGGCACTGGAATATACTCTTGAAATCCTCCTGTGTTGGCAGACTAGGTGCACATCACTTGCAAATTGTTGATTTCCAACATTGCAACTTTATGCGTTGTTAATTTTTAAAAGTCACTGTGGCAGGGTGGTTTTGGACTCTGCCTCAACCTAGTACTTAATTTGTATCTTTGTTTGCATATTTCTAGCTTGAAAGCCAACAGGAAGAGACAAAGAGGCTCCAGGAGAAAACAGTCCAATTAGAAGAGCAAGCTCTTTCAGCCCAGGTTAAGGAAGATCATATTGAAATGGAGGAAACACAAACAACACTTGAAACAGAACTTGAGGTAGATCCCCTTGTAGAAGGAGACAGATCTGAAGAAAATCGTATTACAGAAGCTGAAAAGAACGAGCGACAGCGAAAAATGCTTCAGGTATTAATGCAGTGATTGATGAACTTTTTGAATATGAGAGTTCCAAAAGTATCAGTATTCAATTTTTTTGCTTACCTATACAGACATTACATTTCCAGTGGTCTGATTGAAGTTTTGATAGTGAAGATAAGGAATTTTAAAATTCAACTCATGGATGCACAAGAGAACTAATAAACTTTGCCACAGTATAAACTGTATAGATTTGGGGATGTAAAGGATAGTTTTTGTTGGAAAATCTCCCCTGAATTTCATCTTTGTCGACATGTTAACACCCCAATTTCTTATTCAGTGTATTATGACATTATAAATTATATAATTGAGTGGGGTTAGCTGAATTAACAGGTACAGTAGAATACTGGCCTCTCAAGTCTTCCTTTTCTTTAACCTGCAATAATTCAAACAAGAACTCGGTTCCCTTCCTCAGTCAAGCAGTGTAATTTTGCCCTTAAGGGATTCCAACTTAAATCATTTTCTCTCTGAGTTAAGAACAATAATTATTGGGATTCCCCTTTGTAAGGGGGTCAAGAATTCATGTAACAGGTCTGTAATGCTTGGGCCAAATTATTCTTACTGTGTTATTTTATTTGAACCCCTTCTGTTTTAGCTACTTCAAGAGGATCTCCGGAAAGAGGAGAAGAATTACTCTGCTTACGACAAACTCCACATGCAGAACCAGAAAGAAGGAAGAGATAAATACAAGACGCTGAAGCAAATCAGACAAGGCAATACAAAGCAGAGGGTTGATGAATTTGAAGCCATGTAGAGTCTCAGAGCCAACACAACTCAACAACATCTGTCCAAGGTAGGCCTTTAATTCTGTTGTCAAACATATAAATCTGTAATTACTTTAATATATTTTTGTAGAGGAGATGGTTTTGTGTCCTGCAAGCTGATGGAATTTGATGGATTGCAGATGAAAACAGTTAATAGATAAAACAGATAAAAACAGCTAATCTAGTAACTTAAGTGGGGCTGTAACTTCAAGAAAATTTCTACAAACAAATGTTTCTATTCCTCAGCAGTGGGAAGTTGACAAGGGACTAGAAGTACTGCCCAACTTTAGACCCTCAGAACCCATTATAGAAATTCTTTATGGCCAATATTTAGACCATCTTTCTGAGATTGGCTGCAAAGGGGACTATATGACTACAGTCAAATGATTTTTTTTTCCCTCTGTTTTTAGGTATAGCTTGCAGCACTTTTGAAGAAAAATATTTGCTGTTTATGGGAACTATTCACTTAAACTTTAATTCATGGAAAAGTGATTATTTTGCACTCACAAGAAATTTGATAGCATGTTAATTAATTTTTGTAATGCTAGAAAAAAGAGGTAATTATTGATATGGTGAAAAATGGTTTCTTTGTAGTAGTAAAAACGGTTTCTGCTTAGCTCTTGTGTGCGGTTGTTTTGTTGTTGATTCTTTTTTGACTTCAACTGAGACCCTTTGACAATATTCAGATTTCTCCCAATGCATCTTTTCAGCCTTTATTGCAACAGTCTTGTTGCAAGCACATTTCAAAGATTTCGGATTCACTCAATTTGTCCCAGATTAGCCAAGCATTGTGTAAACAAGACACTGTATTAATCATTTTTGTAACGTGTCTAACTAAAAGAAAGGTATGCTTTGCAGGTTTCGCCGTTTGCAAGGGAGTTATCTTTCGTGTGCTATTGCCGTTATATTTTCGTCACTCCACTCACTCGCTGTACAATGTAATATTTTCCTCATGCCAAATATAACATAAAATCAAATGAGGACATGAGTCACTGATTTTTCTTTGTGTGATGCAAAGGAAGAGACCTTAGATATGACCTGTTATTAAACAGGCGTTAACGTAACCAGTATCACCTTTTGTTAGATAATAAGTAGCTATTTTTGTCTCTTTGATACTAAGTTCAAGGCATGGCTGATGTCGTGGGCTGGAGTACCCAAGCATTGTTAGAAAAGTAATCAATTTGAATAAAATGAGTATGTAATGAGAAGGGATTGGTGCTGTTGTGATATGTACAGGGAATTTTCCTGGAAAATATTTGTTACTGAATATTTTAATGGCCTCGGATATTAAAACTTCCGTAAAGTAACCTTTATCGACACATCTCGATGTTTAGTAATCGGGTTGAACAACATGCAAATTAAACTTCCGAACGCGATCATGTCAGTGGAAAAAATGTACTCTGAGACACTTAGTCAATCAGATGGAAAGTACCTCCTTAGCATACTTCCTGTCTCAATTGAGGCTTCTTTTGCTGGTTTCTACTCCCATTCGCTCCCAAGAAGACTCTACTCCCATAGCCCTCAACTTTACTCCTGAATTGCGGAATTCCGGTTCCAAGTAGAGCCTCTGTTTCTATGTCAGACCCATGTTATGGCGATGTGGCGTGGTCATTTGCTAGATTGCTTTGGATTGATCCAATGGTCCTCAAGCGTAAGTACCTCCAAGTACCTCATTTCGCGAATCAATCACGGATCAGAAGCCATTCAGTAGAGTGAATAACAAGGTTTCAAACAGAATATACACAGCATCAATATATTAAGAATCCCGAACTAATTTGAGACGCGAACAATTAATATTTCTTATCTTTTATGTCGAGCCATCTTTTTGTGCCAGGAAGCAATTTTGAGGTCCAATATCTGATCCACCCACCCCTCCCATGCGGGATTCAACGTAGAAGTACGCTTGGGCCGCAGGAAAGAGGGGAAACTGGAACCTTGATTATTAGCGATTAACTATTTTTTTCTTGATTACAATGGCTGGAATTGTGATCATAAATCTTTCGTGATATTCAGTTACTGTGTAGAAAGACTGTAAGTGAGAAAGCATCAAAAGCTATGTATTGTGAATGGGTTTGGAATAATTTTCTGAAAAATCGCGAGTTTGCTGGTTTGCAAGATGTTTGAACAACGAACCTCGTGACTTTCTCCACTAATTGTAAAACCGCATGTACGACTGCTGTGAAAAAGAGGATTATCGATCATTAGACAGAAAAAATCGGGCAGAATCACAGTTTACGCTTAGGAGATTTTGCCATCAATTTTGAAGTTTTCGCTGAAGTAAATTCGATTTTTTTGGTCCATGTGACCGACAACAGTCAGTTTATGCATGAAGAGTAACAACTGGAGGTTGAGAAGACACTGCCAGACAGAGGGGACATTGCTCATATGTCGAGCATTGTTTTAATAATTGGTTTTTGGACCATTGTATTCATTTCTAATGCCTTACTAAAGGTAAGTGTAGTAAGCTTGATCATTACACATCCGTGGACCTGAAATGACAATATTATTTCGATGATGTCTCAGAGCACTTTCAATTTTATCGTGAAACTATCTTGGGAAATTATTAAGGGAAATCTTGAAACTATTCAGGGAAAACCTCTCTCTTGTCTTCCAAGGCTAGTTACTCCTATGCGTTGGGTTTCCTTTTAATCCTTTAACCTCCCGAGAGTGATTAGCATCTTATATCTCCTCTCAGCATTACCACTGAATCACACATTCAGGTTATGAGAATAAAGGTAATGATCACCTTAGGAAATGCGCAAAGAGCAGTATTGCTTAGGGCTAGAAAAAGGGTGAACAGATCTATAAGCTGGCTCGGAGTCTAACTTTCTGATACAGCGATCTTCACTTGAGTGGCAAAAGTATTCCATTCAAGGATTGCTTTGGTTTTGCTCTGCTGTTCCCTCTGATTGGTCCTGTGTCTCAAACAATCAGATGCCAGATTGGAAACCAAGTGCAACTTGGACAATTTCCTATGCTTGAGACTGTTCACCTAACTTCTCCTTCCATGTTTATCAGCTGCAAGTGATACACTAGAATAAGTGCCACCCTTGATTAAGCACCTTCCTCGACCAAGTGCTACATTTGGGACAGAGCAGTTAATAGGCAGAGTTAATAAGCACCCTCCCTGAATAAGTCCCACAGTCCAAGGTGATAAATTAATTTAGTTAAATTACAACTTCCTTCATCCATAAAAAAAGAAATTAATTTATGACAGAGGGGTTATAATGCACATTGCTGAGATAGCAAACTTTTTAATGGCGATGCATATCAGTGTAGCTGCCATTTGATAATCTTTAAAAGTAGTTGCGATCATATTTTTACCATGAAACAAACATTTGATTTTACTTTTGTGTTTTAGAATTATAGAAAATACTCACGAAGATATAAAGAGTTTCTTGAAAATAATGGCATTTCTTTGTCACTATGTCAAGTGCGCTGGTACACTACAAGCTTCAACAGATCATTTGTCAGATTTGGAAAGATGCACCCTTACTTATTGCATGTGTGGTTTTCTGTGGGAGTCGTTGTCGGTGTTCTGTTAATGTTTGCTTCGGTTGTTATCCTTTGTCTGACTCTGTATAAAGCCTTTGCTAAAGATGCACCAGAGCAGGTGTTAACTCCTGTGGTAAGTGATTTTATTTGGTATTTGCGAAAAAGATTTCCAGTGGATAAGAGATATGTGTGAGAAAAACATTAAGGCCTCTGATACCTCTGTATATACTGCTGATATTTTTTGTAGACTTAGAAATTTAGGATTTTTTCTCTTTTACAACGAATGTATTTTATTTTCCTTTTGCTTTTCTTGTGTGTCTATTTATGTCTTTTTATGTGTTATTTCTTTATTTCAATCTGTATTGTTTCCAAAGTAATTCAATTCAATTTAATTAAATTTAATTTAGTTAAGAAGAAAATCAACCTGCCTTGATTAGCATCTGCTATATGCAGGTCAAAGGTGTGATGCAAAGATAGAGAAGTTTTAAAAGGGCTGTTGGCATTGAGAGTGGCCAATATTTTGATAACCTGAAGTCTTTTTTAGAGTAAAATTTAACCCTTGTACTCCTAATACCTCAACGAAAATTCTCTTTTACTGTCTGTCATACATTTCTTATAAATTTTGTTCTGGCAATTTGTTATTAGATGAAATGATAATCCTCTAGTTACTACTTTTTGCTACACTGATCACTTGGCTGCTTTATATTGTGTTGATATTATAAGGAGAAAGTACATATTGGCCATTCCTGTGAGTGAAAGGGTCAGAAATTTCAATTATCACACATAAAATTGCTAGATGGCAAAGCTGCAAAAAGTCAAATTGACAATTTACCTAATATTTAGGTTCAGTTCCAATGGGTGATGTTCACATGTTATGGTATTTTACTTATTTAACAGATGCCAGGAGTGAATGTACCATGGAGTCAAGTCTTGTACTACCTCATCACATTGACAGTTAGTGGTGTTTTCCATGAATTTGGACATGCTATTTCAGCTGTCAGGTGTGTAGCCCATTGTTCTTTAGCCTGCAAACAGGCTCCTGTTAGTGCTGAAGCTCAAGTGAAAAAGCCTACGAGAACTTTTACAAAAGACCCTTTGTGCAGTGTGGCAAGGCCACACTTTCCACTACTTTGTCCTGTGTATTTTGTTTATTGTATAATTTTCAATCCTTTAACTCCTGAGATTTGGTGGTTAATTCTCTCCTCAAAATGCTACACACTTTCTAACTTGTAAATTAGTTTGGAGAATTTGGTTAAAGATCAAGATAACAGTTTATTCCTGATAAATTTGAGTATTCTCACTACCTGTTCGTTTAAGTGTATGGATATTATAGGGAGAATTTTCCAGTTAATCACTTCTGGAAGTAAAAGGGTTACAAAGTCAGAATATCATTATATAAACCTCTTAACTATAAGAAAAGAGCAATCAATTTTCTAAGGTTTTCTTCACAATGTTAATGTTTGCCTTCCCAATGTTGATGTTGTAATGGTTTGAGGTTAATAACCTCATCAAATGTTTCTTACTACACTCTTTCATCACCTCTGTTCCATATAATGCAAAAGGTCAAATGAAAAAAATCACTGAACACTAACTGATTTGATGTACTTAAACTTAACAGAATATTGAAAAGATAAACAATATAAAATGAATTTACGCACCAGCATTTGTGACTGTAGTTCTCATGAGAATATCCATACACTTGGATTCATTTACTCAACTTATCATTTACTGATTAAATTATGCATAAGACAAAAAAGACTATGATGTTGTGGTAACACATGACATTTCCAAATGTATATTTTAGAGTGACAAGCACCACCATAGTTCCTAGATGGTTAATTTTTCTTTGTTTACTCCATGTGCCAGTTACCCTTTTTCTTTTCAAAACATCTGACTCACCTCTTTTGCAGAGAACAAGTTCGAGTGAATGGATTTGGAATGTTCTTCATGGCTGTTTATCCTGGTGCCTTTGTAGATTTGTACACTGAACATTTGACTGTCATCTCTCCATTGCGTCAACTGAGGATTTACTGTGCTGGTGTGTGGCATAATTCTGTGCTTGTCATAGTAGGTCTGGTGTTGCTGTGGTCTCTACCTTATTTGCTGGTTCCAATCTATGCCACTGGTCAAGGTGCTGTGGTTGGGAATTTGAATGGGGAAAGTTTGTTTCTTTTTTCAAAAGATAAAAACAACTTTCTTTACATTATACTTTATTTGTCACTTAATTGTTTTAAAAACACAATAAAACAACAACTGTACTTTATTTAATCATGCTACACTGAAGTGTGCAAGGCTCATTAGAATGCGTGCTTGTGCATGACACTAGAGTGTTTTGTAATTTTAAATAACCAAGGTGGATTGAACAAGAAATAAACTTTTCCCTTTTTTTCTCCCTAAGGAATCCCCAGTGCATGGTAGTATAACACGTGGTGACACTATCTTGTCACTATATGGATGTCAGGTGTATAACAAACAGGATTGGAACAGTTGTATAAGTAAAACACTCAGTTTCCCCCAGCATGGCTACTGCACAGACATGCTGACCATCGCCAGGAAGAACTCCTCTAAAGGTACAAAGATCTTGAAGTACTGCAGCTGTTCCTCTTGGGATGAACATGCAGGTTCCCTCCCCTCCCCTCTCCACCCATCAAGCATCCCATTAGGTATCCTGATGATCTTGTTCACCCTTGAGTGGAGAGGTATCCATGGCACAAAAAACTGAGAAAAATCATCAGGAAGGGGAGAGTTAACAGGACTTAATGTTTGTTTGGCAGTTTTGATGGTTGTCAATATTTTCTTTTGCTGATTAAAAATTTTCACTACTAATTCCAGAAGTGAAAGGGGCAGTGCTATGTGCAGTGTACACCAGGTAGTTAGGCCATGGTAGTTTTCTAATTAATCAACTAACTTTTTTATTAGTTAGCAACTCTGTCCTCTAACACTGGAACTTTGAACTTTGCTTGATATCCAAGGTGCAATATACAGTGGAGGAGTCTATGACTGCTGTCAGAATTCAACATCGTCAAGGTTCTGTTTTAAGTATCAGTCTCTGAGCCACTCAAAGGTAATTCAAATTCTGCCTTTCCTTGCTTTCTTTTCTTTTCCCTTTCATCCATCCCTTGCTTTCTCTGCCTCTTGACATCACCTTTTATCCTTTTGGTTTTACGTTTCTCCTTTTCTTTTATCCTTTGTTCCTCTCTCCCTCTGTCCACCCCTTCCATCCTTCATGTTCTCTCCTTGCTTTCCTTTGCATCAATTCTAGAGGTTCTTTCCCTTCCACTCTTACCTTATATTTCTTCTTTCCCTCTGAATCTTTCTAACCCTGTAACTCCCAAACTCTGATTATTAATTCTCCCTTTTGGCTGCTACACATTTCCATGTAAATTAGTTACAAGAATATGGTGTTTGATCAGGGTAACAACTTCTCCTTGATAAGTTTGGGTATTCTCATTACCTGTTTTGTTGGAAAATGTTTGGAAATTATAGGGAGAAGTTACATGTAAATCACATCTGGGAGTTAAAGGGTTAAGGGCAACACCAGTCTAAGTCATACAATTCTGTTTCATTATATCACAGGGCTATGCATGTCTCCCAGCAAGAAGCACCATGCAATCCAGACAACTTTGTGGCCTACCAACAGACTGTGATGGACCAGGTTTGTATCAAGGCTTAACTGACCTTTAACTTTTTCTTATCAATTAATTAACAAGTGGCAACCAGAAGAACAAAGAATTCTGCAAAGGAGAATATAATTATTATGATGTTACCATTTAAATGAGATTAATATGAATTTGAATGCTTTACATTCTAAGATCCCTAACTGGTTTTCCCCACTTGTGGCATGGGTCCAGTGTAAGAGTCATTTCAGTTAGTCACATTATTGATAATAATTTTGCAATTTCTTCAATATATACAGGTGATAAAGTTTGTGCTCATCCATCATTGGATAACTCCAGTCGTCTTTTAAGAATCATACGAAGCAAGGGTACGGATGTGCTGTATGTTGGCGATCCTTTACTTCTTCAATACACAGGTAATGTAAAGGAAACATTTGATACATTAAGAACATTGTTGAGAGGTACATGGCAAATTTGGACTATGATTAATTTTTGCTCAAGGTTTTGATACTAACATTGATTGTTAGACAAGTTAGTGAATTATATTAATAGATGCTTTAGAAACTGCAGTGCTGCGTTGTTGTGGGAAATTACAAGATTATTGAGTTTTTTCAGCTGAGATGGTAAATAAATGTGGGTTGATAACTGTAACAGTTTCTAAAGCTGACATTTTCGAGCATGAACCTTTTGTCAGAGCACATGACAGAAGACTTATTTTGAGATTTTGTCTCTTGTACTTTCAGTTGGAGTGATCAATTATCTACCTCGAAGTTATCTTCTGCCCATGGAAATTCCAAACATGCTGGAGATGCTGTTAATGTATCCTTTTAAACATATCTTTCAAAGTTGTAACATAGCTTTATCATTTATGGATGAACTGTTGCATCATTTAGAGGATTCTAATAACTAAGGTGAAGAAGTTGTAATTCAAGCAAGATCTCTGTTAAAAAGTTGTCAGAGAGGTCTAGAATTGAAGATTCTGTAAAGACATGTATAGAGGAAGGTGATCAGAAACTTATTAAATACTTAAACACCCCAGAAACATTTAGCTGGGCTTCAAGCTCAAATTTTTAGTAGCTGTCTCTCAAATATTAATAAAACTTCTTTCTCTTTTACCTATTGTGAAATGTGGTGTCATTTTCTTGGATATCACATCTAGGGATTCAAAGGTAACATTACAGTACATGTCCAGGACAAACAAAAATTAATGTCCTGTGAGTTAATTTCGATTCAGTTTTTTCTCTTGCCAGGAAGTGGCACAAACTTCTTCAAAAGCTTCAATGGCTTTTTGAGGTAAAAACTCAGGAGTCACCCAATTTCATAAAATTAAGTTTTTACTGAAATGTAGTTGTTAGTATTGTATATTGTTTCCAGGACCTCACTCTTCATAGCTCAAAATTTCTTAATTTTCTACAACAAGAGTTTTTCCTTGACTCCATGAAGATATTTGGTGTCTTTGTCTGGAGCCTTAGCATTGCTCAACATGGTTCCTTGTTACTCACTAGATGGTCAGTGGGCATTATTCGCTCTCGTGGATCACACACTTACCTCATTTATACCAAATGAAGATCAAAGGAACATGCTGTGTAATATCATTCTCACTCTTGGAACACTGTTGCTGGCAGCAAACATAACACTAGCTTTGTGGACATTAGGAAGTGCATAGGTAATGAAAAGCAATGTTTTCATTTTTCCACTCCTCTGTCTGTGAGTCATAACCAGACGATTTTTCAAGAACATTCATCATGTTTAATATCTTGATTATGGACATCTGAGATTGCAAATGCTTTCTGAGAGTTAAGGAACGGAAAAAGAACTGAACTTTGAGATACAGGGAATATCTAAGGCGAAATACTATGTACTTACTGACTGAGTGAGGAGGCCACACAGGAAAATATTTGGCTTGAGGTTGTGACTTATAAACCAAGGGCAGCAAAGTCTGTGCATCATGACTGGGGTGCCGCATATTTCCGCATGTGGGCTAACCAGATCCAGCCATTAACTAGTTCATCATATGTACATCAAGTTTTAGAAATTTGAAATAATGTTCGAAGGTTAAATATGTAAGATGGGACATGCTGGCCAATTACAAAAGAGGTTTCTCTCTTTGAATTAGGTTTCATTGAAAAATGCAACCTATCTTCTCATTTCAGACTGTTTTCTTCAAGGTTAAGTCCACTTTTGACATATGTTCTGGTAAGAATTAAAGAGAATGTCTAAGAACACGGGATGATTAGCTGTGTTAAAAGTAAGATATTGAAGTCAGCATATCACAATCGTGGAAGACATTTGGTTCAGTCTAAGATCTTTAAAAACTATCTTCTAAAAAACATCTTAGAAACCCTCTGCAATTTACATGTGATTAAATTTAAATTGTTAAATTTTTAGAAGTGATTGATGGATTGCCAATGCATAAATTATCCTTCATCTGTTCTTCTGATTTGACAATTTCTCAAAAAATCATGATTAATCAGATTAAACATGATTTTATAGGAAAGAAGAAAATATCAAATCAGTTCCAGATGAAAATCAAATCCTTCGATAATTTGTATCCAAGGACATGCATATCAAAACGTCCAGCGTGATTCTATAATAATATCTTTGTTAAGAGTCTCTCGATGTCACTTTACTGCAAAAAAATAATCTCCACCTTGTTCAAATGACACATTTGAGGTTGGGCATTGGTTCCACAAGAAACTACAAAACAGCACACAAAAAACCGGCCAAAACCGAAAACCCGCAGCAGATATTGATCAAAACCGAAAACCGCATACAAAACCATTATTTGTCTCAAGCTGTTTGAATTACGAAAATTCGTAAAATTTTTTTGAAAGCTCTCCTACAGCTCTAAAAACCTCCACAGAGAAATGATAACTTTACATTGAACGTTTAAGAAGTTAGATGAGATTTCATCGGAAGATTTGATTGTAACAGGTACTCAAAACAATTGGTTCCACGCGACCTGAATTGACTGTAGAGTGTTTACCGTCATAACATGCAAAGGCAAAGATGAAACTACACGGCGCAGTTTACAACATTAAAACAAAGTTCAATTAATTAGAAACTCAGAAACTCAACAGAAGGTGAAAATTCGCGAACAGAGATCGGGTAACAAATGGGAAAACGGCAAACCGAGTAGGACATCACTTTTGAAAACACCGCAAACAGATAGAAGCACCAAAACCGAAAAAGCGAATTTTTCAGCGCAAAAACCGATCCAAAAAATTGCCAAAATCACTCAACCAAAAACCTCCAAAGTCCCCCTCTCTAAATGGTATTGATTAATGGCCCTTGAAATTAGACGGTGGAGCCATATTGAAACAGCCTAAGTTTGATGAGGCCATTTATTAAAGAGAGCTTCAATTGAATTTTCAAAACTGAGACGTGCACTGGATTTTAGTCAAGTTGATAGCAACCAGCCGGATTCTCTGCGACCTTTGTGTTCAGACTGTTGCAGGAGAGAGAAAGGGAGAGAAAAAAATAGCCACAACAACAACTATAAGAACTGAAACATTGGTGTTTATAGAAAGATAAAAAATTTGAAAAGTTAAATTTTTTAGGAAAGTGCACGTTGAAAAGTTTAGGTGTCATATTAAAATTTATTAGTCTGGCGTGAGGAAAGTCATTAACACTTAAAAACGCTCAGTACCCCTCTAAATATTCAAGAAGTATAAACTCGTGGTAAAAACAGTTTGTAAATAGCCTAACCGCAGCTAAATGAACAGGATGAATGCTCTTTTACTGCACCAAAAGAAACTGTCCGCTTGAGTCTATAAATGTACCCGGCTATAGCCCTTAAATGTCGCTCTTAGTAAGCTGTTTAAGTACCCGCATACCACATAGATTTCATCGACAGAATATCTATGTCACAGTCGGAGAGGTAAATCTAACAGATCGGTGGTGGCAAGGTCCCAAATCCGATATGAGGCAAGTTATTTTAAAGTTGCATGTAAGCTCTATCAGAGTGCTCGGCATGCACACATTTGTCCCCTTACCGATATTTTTGGTAAGGCGTCCAGCTTGCTTTAATTTCTGGAGTACTTTATTAACCATACCAACAACAAGCAGTATGAAAGAGTACTTACGACACATTCTTTGTCCTAAATTTGTGCTATAAAAGCATTGTTAACCTCAAAATATAGATTTAAAACAGTCAAGTAATGGAGATGTGAATGAAAACCATAATCATATGAAAGTATGAGCACCAGGACTCGCTTTGAAAATGAAACTAACGGTAATTCGCAAATGGCCTATTGTTCTTCTCATAAGCTTTGAGTGAAAACTCATTAGCATAAACGAACGGGTTCTACGAATTCACTCTATTAGAAAGGAATGATATGTAACGTGAAGGCTGGATGATGATATTTAGCTACGGCAGCTATTGAATCGATCAAGAGAATTAGTAGTATGGATGAGAACTAGGATTTTGGGATGAAAGTAAGGAACTCCTCAGAGTTTCCCTGTCTTCCAGTCCTTTCTCCATTTTTTTCCTTTTTCTTTTTTTTTCTCTTCTTTCCTGCTTTTTGTTTTTAAACTTGTTTTCATCTGCCTTTTTTGGAGCTTTTTTTGCATTATAAAACGATATTTGTACTATAAGCGCAACTTACAGTAAATTTGACTGTTTACAAAATATCTTATTTCACATTTTTTACAAACTTTAGCCTATACTTTACTTGTTAAAATATCGGTGCAGCGCTCTACCAACTGAGATAACAAGTCAACTGGGAGCTGGTCATTATGTTGGTTACAAATAAACCCTTCACGTGGTAAATTCATTACTATAAATACATGAAAATAACATATGTACACTGCGGTTGAAGAAACGAAATGGAAGCGATCCTCGCTGATATGAATACTACTTAACTAGTAGTGAAAAATAATGCCTGAAAAAAAAAGAAATGATTTATATATGATTTTCATATGTTTTCAGTTTAATTCCTTTGCTCTCTATGATCCATACTGGTCGTAAACGATACAAAGATTCCGTGGTCAAGATATAAGTTTGGCTTAGTTTCTACTACATGCAGTCTTTTTTCTCTGAAGGGGATTTTTGGCCACTAACAAGGGAGAACTAAGGTACTTTGACGGCTTCTGAGCCATGTGTCATCAGCTATTTAAGAAAAGAAGGCTTGGTTTCCTCCACAACACTTTCCTTCGTGCCGGTTTCAGCCCGTGGCCTGGGCGCTATCACAGAACTTGGGCAGCAAGTCACTCTTCTGATCTTCTGTCTGAATTGATGGTTCAGGAGGGCATATATGAATGGGTTAACAGCTGAATTAAACAACACCATCATGTCAACGATGGTAATATGGACGAAGGTGATATTCAGAGTCGTGAAAAACCTTAACACGTATTCAATTGACTCTGCTCCCCAACAAATCGCAAATATGACACTGACAGTTATGACCATCAAAGTGACGCGTTTCCGCACCTTCAGCACACCCTGTCAATCAAGTATAAGGAAAGAGAAGATATTGTCAACTCAGATGCTATTACCAATTAAATCCTCACCGATATCAAGGGTTAAAATTATTTTATTTTTCTGTTAACGGCAAGGAAAGTGAATGCTTAGTAAAGTTGACAACATAATTCTTCGAGACTTTGAAGCAGAAATTTATATGAAAACTCTGTAGCATATATTTGCGACCCAGCTGTAGACCTTGCGGTAAACACTCGTCATGCGCATGTAGAAAATAAAAGTACTCTCACTGGAGCTCTAACAGATAACCACAGAGAGAATTGTTTATACCTTTACTCTGGCTACTTCAGCCTTACTAACTAAACTGACTCAGTATAAGCTGAATTGGTTCGACTATTCCAGACATAATTTAAAATTATTAACTCACCCGTTGTTGATAGTTTAGTGGGTTGCCATCATTGGGTTTGTACCATAACGTGTATACTACTTTAGAGTATAACACAATCATTATGCCAACGGAAACTACGATCAGAAATAACCACGTCAAGCAGGAAGCTGTAATCATCCACCTTTTGGGCCAGCTTTGCACACAATGATTTTTCTGGTCATCAAATGTCCTGACGAAAAATTTTGGTGAGTTGAAAATCAGCGAGAACACCCAAGAACTAAGGACGATCACCTGAAATATAAATTCATGGAAGCGTTTCATTTTCTTCGAAAATAATTTGATCCGAGGTGTATTTGCTTTTTCGGTCATCAAGAGAGGCTATGCATACCCCTGAAATAAAAAAATTGAATTCGAATTCTATTACGTTCATAATCATTCACTGTTTCTTATTAGAATGTGTTTTTCAAGTTTAGGAATAACATATGTCGTTATCGAATATCCAAATTCAGGTAAATGCACTGACCATGCTTAGTGCATAAGAAATACTGACCGCGCTTTTTGCGTAAGGAATAATGACCGTACTTATGGCATGAGGAATGACAATTAGTCTTCTTGTACCATGTCAGTGAATTTGACAATGAGTATGCTACCTCTGCTATAAATGTAATATGCAAACAAAGATTTTTTTGCCCCTACTGGGTCCAAATGAAGTTCTCGACTGAGTCTGCGGATGAATTTATTTTCAAACATTACCCATTCCAAGTCAACTTTCCCTGATATTTCTTGAGGGACATGGAGGTGATTGTTAACTTAAGATAAAGGTTCCGATGTCGGATCCTGAGATCTAAGCTCGTGAAAATTAAACGTCGAACGGACCAGAAAATGCTGATAAACGATTCCTTTTCAATAACAGCTGGTCAGAGACTTCAGACAGTATTTTCACCTGGTAAGTCGATGGGAATGCTTTGACTCACCTTAAACTTACGGTAGGTCAGTTTTCTCTTTGGATCCAGTGGGTAAAGCGCAGTATAATATCGTTCCACAGCAATAGCTACCAAAGTAAGAACTGAGGTGATTCCAGGAAGCCAGGCCAGATTTCCACCTGTCACCAACTTACAAAGGACTGAGCCTGCAGTTCCATCCGGGTGAGTTATATTGAAGCTTACAACAATCTTTGGTGTGATAAACGTTGCAAACAGGATATCGGAAATAGCCAGGTTCACGAGTAAATAATTTATGGGAGTCCTTTGGAGTCAAAGAGCGAACTCATAAAGGTCAATAGGGAAGATACCAATTGAATATATATATATATATATATGTTTTTTTTGTAAAGTAAAATACCTCTAAAGAAATTTCAAAAGCATCAAAAGATTGACTCGTAATCAAACGAATTTCACCCGACCCTGAAATTTCTAAAAATCACCGTTTTCTAATACACTATAAGGACTGATTCTAAATTTAAGGTAATGGACATTGAATGAATTTCTACTCAAAGATATCAGTCAAGTAAAACACACAAGAGGCAACCCGTAAATGTAATATATAGATTTAGCCAAGCCTAAAAGCGGAGCTCGCACTTTTTTTCCCCACACGTCTCAAGGGCACAACGCCTTGCTCCGGCCTGGACTAGTACCCGGGTTGTCCGACTTGGAGCCCAGTGCACTGACCACTGGACTACTGAACAAAGCCCACGGCGTGCCCGTGGTACAGTTGACCACGCATGTTAAAAGTAGCACCTTGTACGGTCGTACGGTCGTACATCCAAATTTTTTCGGCTTGATGGGTTACTACTATTTTGTATAATTATGTGGCTACGCTCTGCGAGCTCCGCTATTATGAGGTAAATCTTAAGAATTTCCCCTAATCATCATAATTATGCCAAAAAGTGTATTTATTATGAAATGCAGATATGTAAGGAAAGAACATACGAAGAGTGGAGTTTAACTCGTAATTACCTCATCTGAAGGTGTCTTTTTATGATCAAACAAACCAATGTATTTCCTGTTATGTCCACAGCGACAAGTGTTAACAGTATGGTGGTGATCGCGTAATTAGCTGTATCAGGCACGACCATTGTGCAGAGGATCAATGCTGGTTATACATCACCTGGACGGAGACAAACCTGAATTTGTTAGTACAGTTAATCACATGATTTCGAGTGCAATTTGGAATAAATAAGCACGAGTAAATTTTTTCAAAGACTAACAAAATTGCACTCGCCCGTAGGGCGAGTGCAATTTGTAGTCTGAAAAAATTAACAAGTGCTTATTTATTCCAAATAGCACGAGAAAAATCATGTGATTAAGTATTAATAATATACATGAAAAAATACGAGATAGCTTTTCATAATTATGCAGATCAAAACAGTAACATACAATGATATTTTCACGCCTTTAAGGTGCAAGAAAGTTCAAAGTCCGGCTAAACAGTTCAAGGAATTGTTCAGTCCGTGTCCGAATCACTTCCGATGGAATGGAATAATCTTTTGTGAGGTTTAACCATGTTTGTTTTTAATTTCGGCGTAGAATCGCTCGAGCAAAGTGTTAACCTGGGTCGGCTCGTAATTTTCGATTTCCTTGGCAATTCCCTTCTTTAAAGACCACTTTTTCCAAACCGACAACAAAAAAGCAGTGCTTTTTACAGTGTTTTCTTTGTTAGAGCTGTTTTTCAGGTGCTACATTGTTGTTGCAGGTGGCGAAAAAAAACCTCAAAATGCCGGCCATTATTTCGCTCGCATTTGATTGGCTATCTGTGAGTTTCTTTGATTATTGACCAATCAGAATGTCTGGTTTGTTAGTTCTTTGCACTGAATTAACCCTCTTCTGCATTGAATTACCTGAAAACTGCATTTATCTTAACCAATCAGAACCGAGTAATTTTTTCATGTATATTATTGAGTTTGAAACGAGTTTTCTTGTATACCTTTAAGTTAATTTCCTCTTTTGTTGCGGATCAACATTTAAAATTTCATTTTGTTATTTCCGTCACACTTCATAACTTAATCAAATGGACCAAAATTTCCCATTGTCTATAACCTTATTGATTATAGAGATGACGTCAACAGTGTTCAAATATTAAGTCCTTAGATAAGTAGAAATCTAGTTAACCAAAGTTTTCATGAAACAACTATTCCGCGAACTGCCGAGGCGTGTTTTTTCGACGCTACGTCTCTGCCTATGTTAAACAACTGATGAAAACAATCTGGAAATCCTCAAAAAAAATTCATACCAGTCAACGTTTTAGACAACATATCACCGTTAGGTGCGGATAAAGGTAATATAAAAGGGGGATTCTGGCTCATTTTAAAAACAACCTTGATTTTTAAGGCAGCTCATGAATTTAACCTTAATTTCAAGTCAACATTAAAAAAACGGTTATTGTACATTTTGGTGACAACCTTGATTTCAAGAAGACTTGAATTTTTCACAGGTGAATAATGTTCACAATGTCTCACTCTTGAGTTCTGAAGAGGATGTAAAAATTATTCTCTTGAACGATCCTCTTGAATGATTCTCTTAAACGATTCTCTTGTCACACCATCGGGGTGTTGATTGTCTTTTGTGAAGATTTTCAGATATCTATGTTGTATCTTCCCGCACAGAAGTCATGGTGTGCCTTAATTTTTTCTTCTGTCAAAAGAGTGTCTTTGTAAATGAGAAGTTATCCTTAATAGGTCAAATTTTCAAGCTCACGGTTGATGATGTTGAGCTGAGCATCTGACAGGATGAAAGGATTTCCGTTTCAGACACTACGCTGACCTTTTATTTCAAATTACCTTACATCGGCCCTTTTTTTGTTGTAGATATTAAGTTGGTTTTTTCGTCTTTTAAAATAGTTAATAAGTTGGTGTGAAAGACCCTATCCCTCGTGGGCCCCGTACATGTGTGGTTTACAAGTTTTTATGCTTAGGGCATCAGCACTTGGTCAGTAATGGGACCTCTCACATTTTCAGACACTTACAAAATTCTCAACTATGTCGCACTCTATGTTCTGACGAGTGTTTTGGCATCTTAGATCACGCTTCCACAACTTTCTAACTTAAAATCAAAGAAGCTATCCACATTCAATGGTAGCAACCTACACTTAATCATCAACTTTTTCGTGTTAATTTAAAACTTTCCTTGTAATTGCATACATTGTTTTGTTTCCATGGTTTGTTTTGCTCAATGAGCATTTTGTTATACACTATAAATTCAACTTTGTACTTTGTATAAATCAGAATTGAAGATGACAGAAGAACTGTCGAAACATGTTTTTAAAAAAATGTCGTATATTTTCTTAAATTCGTGATATATCTGCTGCTATCCAGATCTTATTTGGGATTCCATTGACAATCACCTTCACTTCAGTGATGTGAGGATTCAATGTCTTCTCAGTGTCTCTAGCACCAGCGACATATGGCTCGTAAAAAAAAAGAAGTCCCTTCATTGACATCCTTGGGACATTGATGCTCTCATTGATGATCGCGCATGATTTGTTACCTACTTAGGTTTTCTTGAGATGAGTGACGTGTTCTTGCATGAATCTCTTTCCCTTTTTATAGTTTAACAAGGCCTCATCAGCGAGTTCTTGACTGTGAATGAATTCAACTCAAGCTGGATGTCAGACAATTCACAAGCGAGCTGTGTCTCGTCAGATACTATCACAACATTGCATGCTGGTGCAAGCCTGAGCTCGAAAAGAAGCTCATCAGAAAGACCTCTTGAGAAGAAGACCATGATCGTTCAGAATCTCATGATCCAATGGAATCCTAAATTTGTTCTGATAAACATCATTGAGCTTATTCTCCCTGTCAACTCCTGGTTTCTTTTTATCTTCAGCATTGCATCTGATCTTCGAAAGATCAACAGATTGAATACCTTCTCTGAACACGCTCGCCCTCTCATTCTTAGTCAAGAAGAGGTCCTCATAGAGCTTGAATAGATCATAACCATCAGTGCCCTGCGAGAGTTCTCCTGCGAATTTCACAGTCAACCTGTCAACAAGAGCTCTTGCGACATTGTTAACTATATAACTGTTTGCGTGACCACTAACTGCCATGTCAAAGATGGGTGAAAGAGATCCTGGCACGAGGACAACTACGTCATCAAGTTTTGGAACTGGGACTCTAAGGACTTCACCTGGGGACGCTCTATTAGGATTAAATGTTACTCTGTGAATTGCGCCGTTAGCCTTGAGGGCGTTTGACGTCTTCTTTCTCAAAATTTGGGTTGGTTTTTCCACTGACATCCATTTTAAAATTATAGATATTTCATTTTCAAATTGATGATTTTGGAGATACTGATCCTCTTTTGAAACACAACGACGGTGATGATGATGATGAAGATGAATGAAATACAACAACACCTTTTAAACCAGATTGTCATTCAACTACGGTGCCATCAGGTGAAGAAATTCCAAAGACAACAATGAACAGGGGACAAGAGAAAGTATCGGAAACTGCCGAAACATCTCTCATTGAGGGTGATACTACTTATTCGCGTGTCATCACTTCAAATGAGAAGGCATGGAACTCTCTTACCAGAATTTATACTGAGCCAAAGGCTTCGGAACTCGAGGTTTGTTATAGTAAAACAGGAAGGTTGCTGGTAAAGATGTTTGGCCTGGGCAAGAAGACATATCTCTTGTATACTGAAGATAAGGGTACGAATAAGCAAAGGTTGAATCCATCAATTCCAAAACAAATCAAAACCTCATTTGGCCCAGAGTCGAGAGGTTTTGATTGCTGAGAAGGAGAAAAAGATGGAAGAGAAACAGAAGTCTATTCAGGAGGATCGTGGAATTGCCGATGATGAGAATGAATACCAAGATATAATAGAAAGAGCAAGAGAAAGGATAAAAGAAAATCAAGAGCAGATTGATGCTTTTGAGAATGGACAGAAGTTGAAACAGGCACCTCACTAAGAGAGACAATGAGAAACATATTCAAGAAATACGGTTTCATAGTCTCAGCTGTTGTTCTGGCAGTCGGAGAAACAATTGGAGTGATTGTGAGCGCATTGACGAGAGGTCTGAAGTCTGTCGCTAAAGGAGTTGGGGATAGTGTTAAGACTCTTGGCAGTAAGATCGCGGGAATTCTCCCAGGTCTCATAAGCTCAGTAGTCGGCTTCATTTCCAAGACTGCTGGATCAGAGATCAGCTTTGTAGGTCAAAAGGAATGGCTTCTGATAATGTTAGTCGCCATATTCGTGGTTGAGCGATCAAGAACGTTGATATCAGTCCAGCCGAAATCAAACCGACCTTTTACCATATCATGATTTGTTTCATATTTTTTTGATGATTTTGTCTTCACCTGAACTTCAGTTAAAGTCTTGTTAATTGTATTTGAAAGGTGCCCCTTCGCGATTTGGCCAAAGGCTTTAGAGGTGCCCTCTCGGGCCTGGATCCCTCGGATCTCGGCCTGTTGATCTTTGATGAACTCCCATGCATGTGCCTTACTCTGACTGATTTGATCTCCAAATTCACTAATTTGTTGACTCTGAGCTTCACATCAGAACTTACCTTCTTCAGGCTGTTATTATACCCAGTAGTATTCCGAGTGTTCAGGAGAAGATTTGAGGGCATATGCCAAGTAACTGGTGAGAGTGCAAGATCAATCTTACCTTTAGCCTCATCAATCGCGAGCTGAAACCTCCGAACGCTCTTCGAAATGTCTGGCTATCTGATTGCCTCAACCCATACGAGAAACTCACGTTATGCTTCCTTAGCACTTCCTGATGAACCCAAGATTGATGATCTGACATTGACTTGTGCACGGAGAATGCAATAAACGAAATCCTTAATCGACTGATTCAGTCTTGCCATCCAAGCTTGCGTCAGATCTTCTGACACATTTCAACTCATGGTTTAATTTGAAGCGAACTGAAAGAAATCTTTGTATTCAATGCGCAAGGCACTCAAACTGTAAAGACAATTTCAGAAGGTAATTATTCATTCAGAAGCCTTGGCCAAGCTCTTCAACATACAATGAAGAGTGAAGGAGTAAAGTTTGACATGAATACTTTCAAATGATTATTGGAAATCCACAATCCTCAAAATAAACATATCCTTCTTGACGATGATCTGGCTGATCTTTTCGGAATTAAATGACGTTTGCAAACCTATAACT